GTAGTCAGTCTACTTCCCGTCGGTGCGTAGGCAGAGGTCAAGCCACAGCCTGGAACTCGAAAGTTTCCCTCTGATAGAACCTTGTGCCACCTCAGCTCTCTTCATCAGTGAGCACAAAGTAACATACACGAACGAATAGATGGTTGAATGAATGAGTGCTCGCCCAAGTCGGAAGCGCGCCCGCTCCCCTGAAGCTTCGTCCACAGATCGGGCTACGGTTGCGAATTTGAGGTCTCATTCATGCGGTGGCAGAGCGCCCACAGAATGCAGGGCACATGCGGTGTCGGATACGGGCAACCTCTTGAATTGCAAAAAAAAAAAAAAATAAAGAAAAAAATTACCTGCTCCAACCCCTGGCGTAACTCTGCTGTGGGATGTGATCCAGTTCTGAGGCTGACAATCTGCATCTCTTGGTGGAAGAGTGGGCGAGTGAGTGAGTGAGTGGCCTGGAGTCACTCCGGCCTGAAGGTCTGCTCGCGTCTGTTGCAAACCTTGCTGGGTGATGCTGGTCAATCAAATCTATCAGAACCGAAAAGCAAAAATCCCATCTGCTCATCAAACCGAAACCCCAGAGCTCTCACGTCGGCGCTTCTGGTAAGCGCGTCGTCTCACTGTCCACGGATCTGTCATCCTGCTGGCCCTGGAACAGAGAAGCCGTGAAAAACCGCCGACGCTGGGGGTCTGCCCGAACCCGAAGCATCATGGCCTCGGCGCAATGCTTCGGCCAGCGTGAGACGTCAGAACGACACTTGCAGCTGGCCCTGGTGTGACTGACCAAGCAGTCTTTGGCAGATAGCATCCTTTTGGGAGGGTCTGTGATCAAAATAAATTGATCTCCGAGATTGGTGGGGTCTGACAGTTCTGTGGTTCTACCAAACAGCGTGTGTGAAAATTGCTGTACTTGGAAGTACTTGGTAAGAATGGTGAGGGCAGAACGTACCGCATTCAGGCGGTCGTACACGACCCAGAATCTTGTCGGAGGATAAAGTTTAAATCAGCTGAGATGACTAGATCCTGTCTTGCGGCTTGCCCACTTGAGTCAAGACCCAGTTGCTAGTGTCTTTGGCACGTTTTATATTTAACTTCCCACAGTGTCCTGCGTGTATTCAAGCAGCGCTCTGATCACCCCAGCCACCGCCCCCAGGGGTTGCTCGCGAGCCCGTGGCCGCCTGGTTCCGGCTGACCTCACAGCTATCGAGAACTACAGGAATCGCTAGTCACGCAGTGTTGCACTTACCGACAACGCGCGTGTGATTTAGTCGTAGATGAGAATTTTTTTTTCGATTCACTTGAAGTCACGGCGACTGATGGTGCAGGTGCGTGATGGCACACTATCTGTGACGGTGACCCGAGCTCAAGACGTCGGGACCGTGGACAAAGCTCAATGTGCCTGCCTGGACCGCACCCGGTGGTGCGCGATGCAAAGCAACCTTGGGGGTTGATAGAGGGACAACATGCCTTACCAGCCACGGCTCACAGAAAGTATGCACCACGTCCGGGCAGCACCGTTGGGTAGCGTGTCTTAGATTGTCGGGGGCTGGAAGAAATGGAGTTGCGTTCCGGCGCTCGGGGACCCGGCAGCAGAAGCATCGTCCTCAGCGGAGATCTGCGCTAGACAAATCTTGTTGTAATTCGAGGCTTCCGGCACACTTCTATGCGACGATCGATGCCCAACCATTTGCCCAAGTCTTTATGGAAGAAGCTGTCTGGTGTCTTGGGCGTTGAAAATTCTGTTGTCATGCTGCATCTACGCGCAGGTGCTGCTCCCCGTGCGGCGCACAGGCACGAGCAGGTCGGCCCTAAGTCGAAGCGCACAACGGCGGTGGGCTCGAGACAAAGGACGAGGGAGGTAGCGGAAGACAAATAGCCGAGTACTCCTGTTAGTTTTTCGACGGCCCAGCCGGAGAAACCCTGCACCATGTCATTGGGGACGGAGGAGGAAAGGCTGGGAGTGACTTTGGAGGATGGCATGTCGTCAAGAGCCTGCGAGAGGCAGATCCACGTCCGTGCATTGCGGGTCGACGTGTCCAGGGGTCCTGTCCCAGGTTTCCACCCCCCTTTTCCTGACCAGCAAATCATGACTGCGGCACAGGGCTCCGCTGGGGGCAGATTTGCCGAGCCAGGGTTGTACAGGTACTTGAGCATCGTGGATCTTCCTTGTTTCAGCTGGCTGACTCGCATGTTTTGGAGGTGGTGTGTGTGCAACATCGAGGCTGTTGTGTCGAGCGGAGTGGATGTCGATGCGTTTCTTCTGCCTGTTTCAATCTTCATGTAGTCGACCATTCAAGATCTCTTCAGGCGCAATCTGGAGTGCCTCAGCCCTCAAGAGGCCACGATCAAGGCCGGCTGGGGCTGGGGATGGGGCTGGCTGCCACTCAATGCGGGAAAGGTGGGTTGCGTGGACGGTCACTTCGCGGATCAAGCCCAGCCAAGCAGCCCACCACCGGAGAATGCCTGTGCTGTAGGTACCGCCCAAGGGCACGAGCTTCGAAGCTTGTGAAGCACCAAGTGCATGGCGCATTATGGAGACGCGTTGCCCCATTGGATTGCCAGAGCCCTTTCCAGCGCGTGCTGGCTATCTGGCCTATTTGGACGCGACAGCGGCGACATCAGTGCCCCCACAACATAATTGACGCGGCAGTTCCTCTGCCTAGGGGGAGGGCCGGGCGCCTTGCAATCTCTGCAATACAGTACAGCGGCAACAAGCTTGATGAGCACATGCAATATGACAGTCAGCACGCACGGTCAGGCAGGAAAATCCAATGGGTCTGAGTCGGTCTCAGCGACGGATGACGTAGGCGGTCGGTCCTCTTGATCGATTGATGGCCTTTATCATGCGGTGAGAATGACAGAGGAACGACTTGGATGACTGCGCGCGGGTTGTGAACACGAGGTCTCTGTTAGGAGCTCTTGGAGATGACGAGTAAGTTGAAAAAGGTTCATCTGATGGGATATCCAATGGGCAACGACATAGCGCTCGAAGACCACTTCCCCCAATGCCAGAGGAAAAAAAAAATCACCCAGCCCGAAGCTTCTGCAGGGACCTGGCCACTTGGGCCCTTCCAATTACTACTGTGTACCGCATGGCTTCCTGCTAGGCGCAGCATTTCCAAGAGGCACGATTCGTCAATGGCTGCATCGTCAAATTTAGTAGGTGGACTTGTCGCAAATGACCGATCCCAGCTCAGATTTTCTCACAGCGAATCAGTCTCGGGCTTGTTCACTCCGGCGATCCCTTCAGCCTCGGCGAGGCGGCCAGTCGCTGATCGCCTTGGATGAGGCGGGCGGCGTCTCCATAACATTGCCCGTTATAGATCAATGCCAACCAAAAAAGAATTAAAAAGAACAAATAGGAAGGGGGTCAGGGGGTCTGGGTTCAACAGTTCATGCTGCATCGACATGTACATGGCTCCAGGGACCTGAGAAGCCGAGATGGCGTCCCCAGACGGACCGAAGGCCTACCTACTATCTATGGTTAGGCCAGAGCTGGATGTTCATTGAGCGTTGTGAAGACAGGGCTGACAGCGAATCTATTCGCGATGAAGGAGTGGGTTGCGAATGTGATAGGTCAGGTTCCCACCGTGGTAGCATGGAGTCTGGCATAATGGTGATCCTTAAATGGGGCCGCAAGGCGTGGGACTGACTACCTGTGTCGGGATAGTCGATATTCAAAAAGCCTCGTGCTAGTCCACAGCGGGCATGAACACATTCATGCCCCATCTAAAACAAACTGCTAAGGCGTTAGACGAAGTCACGGTTTGCTTCACTGGAGCCGGCCCGTCCGTGTTATTTGGCATTCCGGTGCCTGGCGGTTCACGTGCGTGTCCTTCTCTGCGTGACAGCTGCGCAAGCGGCGACTTGAATCCCCGGGGTCTGTTTGAGCACTTCCATAGGACCTCTAGGAACGAAACCCGCAGCCAGGAATCACGTTTAAACTTCCGCACCCGTTGGTAGAGCCAGCGGCATCGATCCCTTGGGCCGCGAGCACTGCACTCGGGTATCAAAGTCGAAACAGGACTAACGCTGCCTTTTGATTCAGCATGAATGCTGGAGGCGGATCAGGGCCTCGGCTTTAGGTGTGTTATGCGAGTTGGGCAGAACCTTCAGCCTGTGCCTTGGCCCGCCCTCTGGACATGCGCAGTGGCCAGGTCTTGACGACGGATGACGATACGTAACTCCCAGCACGACGTAAAAAGTCACAGTTGGCACTTGTCGGGCTCGCCAAGATTTGACCGAGCCACAGGGCCACGCCCGCATGATTTTCTCCCTAAATCGCATCTTCTGAAACATACCGTTTCTAGAAGCCCTCTAAACAAAGGCGTGCGCCGATGCATCTCAATGGCGGGTGTAGTGGGCGGTTTGCCGACCTGGATCACCTTGCTGGCGACGATGGGATGCTCGCTCTACCACGTTTCTCTCGAGGGATGGTACCTTGCGAGCCTTGGGGGCTATCCGATACGGGATCCCTCGATCGTCCGATCACTGCGACGTTGCCCACGGCCCCAGGTCAGGCGAATGGATTTGGCCAGGCTAGCACCAACGGCCACCAACCTCGGATGGAGATTGTCTTCCGAATGGACAGCATAGGCATGATATTTCGGGCAAATAAGAGCGGGAATGCCCGTGTCTGCTGAGATCTGAGGAAGCCACGACATCTTGCCTCGCAATTCCGCGGTGATTTTGATAGCGAGGCGTTTTGAATCATCTCACATGCTTCTAGTCGCAGGCTGCTTGGTGAGTCTAGAATAGCGCCAAAGATCATAATGCGAATAATCTCCTACAAAGTGATGGTACAGCCCGGTATGTACATGATAGTGGGCCGCGCGCCCCGAAGCTTCAGCCCACTCGTGTCCTTGTGGTAGCAAACTACATGCCTCACATCATGCGAACACATGGGATGCTTCCTGCCCTGACAAGGTGTAACTCAAATATAGATGTGTCAATGTCATGGATCGGAAAATTAGGCGCATGCATATTCCAGGCAGTACAGGTGGCTTGCTTTAACGCTTGACCCAGGCAGGCTTCTTCCTTGCCTTGAGGTGGCCGTGCTTCTTCCTCTCGACGGTTCTGCGATCCCGAGTTACGACTCCGGCTAGGTGGTGTGTCAGCATCTCTTTTGTCTGGAATTGGAGGATTTGCGTGTGTCCACTTACCTCGTCGAAGCACCGGCTTGAGTGCTGGCTCATGCGCAAGCAGAGCCTTGGCAACAGCGAGGGTAAGTGCCTCTGCTTGTCCGGTCGTGCCACCGCCGTCAACGAGCGCCCATACATTGTACTTGTCCACCCGCTGTGAAGCCTTCAGCGGCCACATGGCGCTCTCACGGTCGTGCACGCGGCCGAACGCATCTGCCAGCGACTTTCCGTTGATGAGGACCTCGCCAGTGCCTTCTACAACCCACGCGCGTGCCGTGGACGTTTTCCTCCGTCCCACACCCAGTGCCCTGCCGAATTTGTCGATTTCGATTGGTTTGGCAATGTTGGTGTGTGGGTTGATGTTCCGCTTGAACTTCCCAACTGCGTCCTTGACACTTTCTGGTGATAATGACGGGTGAATCTTGTGCAATCGCTTGACGAGCGTCATGGCCTTCGCGTACTCGGACGCCTTGATGTCTTCGCCAGCCGACAGCCGGTAATCCTTCAGCGTCTTGAAAGCAGCTTTCTCCACTTGGTCTGCCGGCACGGTCGGCAGATGCGCATATTTTCGCATCAGTTTTTGTAGTGTGAGGTAGCTGTCGTTGAAATCCGACTGTCGAGAGAAGTACGACGGCGATATCGGTAGGGCTCGGGCGTGTGGGGGGAATTGAAGCTCGCTGCTGCCAGGCGTGTCGTTCCTCTTGTCCATGCCCTGTAAAGCCGCCCGGACCCGTCCCATGCTCATCGCTGCGAAGTCATCGGCGCTGGTGGCATCGTCGGCGCCTGAGGTTGTTGTGGACAGCTGCCTCGCACTCCTGGCCTTCGGGCTGAGCTGCAGACCCTGTAACATCTGCCGAAGCTGCTGCCATTGTGGCGCTGAGGACTGACACCGACCTCTCAGTGCGAAGGTCGGTCGTAGAGATGCCATTTTCGTCGTGCTGCTACCTCCTCATGACCACTGTGTCGTTCGTTGCCGCGCTTCTTGTGCGCCAGAGTCGTGACGAGCTGAACCGTGTCGCCAGAGCGGGAAGCATTTTCAAGAGTTGCCTGCCAGTGTTTGCTCCTCTGGCCCCACAATTCGCCACAGCCAATCAACTGCGGGGCAGGTTGTTTAGGCGGTTACTGCCTGAAAGCCCGCAATCGAGCGACGCAAAATTTCTTAAAAGTCGAGCCAGCAACCAACCCCTCCTTTGACTCAATCATCAAACCCGTATTGTGAAGACGACAGATCCGCAACAATGGCTTTCGGCAAGCTGTACACATACGAGGTAAGACTTCCATGCACGTAACGCGACAGATCCAGATTGAACTTTATGCTGAAACTCTTCCGCAGAACAACCCCCGGAGCACGGCGATTCGCGCTGTTGCGAAGGCCAACGACCTCCAGCTCGACATCGTCGAGGTCGACACCACCAAGCCCACCCCCGAGTACCTGAAGCTCAACAAGCTGGGCAAGGTCCCAACCTTTGAGGGCGAGGACGGCTACGTTTTGTATGAGTGCGTGGCCATTGCCATCTACAGTAGGTCAAGCCCTCTGACCCCGCCCGACGCCTCGAGCAGATCTCTCCTGCACGCACAATGATGATTACACCTTCAAAATATTACAGTTATCCCTGTCTGAAGAATAATTTCTCTGTTGATACACATTATCTGACCGCAATTCCTGCCGCTCATCTGTTCCTTCTTGACATTCTGCGAGAAGACTTGGCTAATTCTTCACAGTCACAGTACGCTCCTACCCCGCTGGAGCTTCATCCCCCCCGCCTCCTGGATAACGATGCTGACCCTATGTAGTCTCAAAACGAGAAGACCACCCTGCTGGGCAAGACCAAGCAGGACTATGCCTCCATCCTGAAGTGGACGAGCTACTTCAACGTACGCGTCGAGCCCCGACTTTCTAGCCCACCCACCTGCTAACCAAGCACTCACAGACCGAGGTCCTCCCTAGCCTGGGCAAGTGGTACCGACCCCTGATCGGCCGTGACCCCTACAACAAGAAGTCCGTCGATGATGCTTCCAAGGCCGCCGCGAAGGCTATCGCTACTGTCGAGGAGCACCTTCAGCACAACACCTACCTGGTTGGCGAGCGCATCACGCTGGCTGACCTCTTCGCCGTTGGCATCATTGCCCGCGGTTTCGAGTTCTTCTTCGACAAGAAGTGGCGCCAGGAGAACCCCAACGTCTCCCGGTGGTACGAGACCGTCTACAACCAGCCCATCTACTCCGCCGTTGCGCCCAAGTACGAGCTCCTCGACACCCCCAAGCTGACCAACGTCGCCCCCAAGAAGCCTGAGCAGCCCAAGAAGGAGGCCGCTCCCAAGAAGGAGGCGCCCAAGGCGGCTGAGGAGGATGCTCCTGCGCCCAAGCCCAAGCACCCTCTTGAGGCCCTGCCCCGTGCCACTTTCGCTCTCGACGAGTGGAAGCGATACTACTCCAACCACGATGAGGCTGACTCCCTGAAGTGGTTCTGGGAGAACGTCAAGTTCGACGAGTACTCCATCTGGAAGGTCAAGTACAAGTACAACGACGAGCTTACCCTCACCTTCATGTCCAACAACCTGATTGGTGGCTTCAACACCCGTCTTGAGGGCTCCCGCAAGTACCTGTTTGGCTGCGCCTCGGTCTATGGAGAGAACAACGACTCCGTCATTGAGGGTGCCTTCGTCATCCGTGGCCAGGAGTACGAGCCTGTCTTCGATGTCGCTCCCGACTACGAGAGCTACGACTTCGAGAAGCTCGACCCAACCAACCCAGAGCACAAGGCCTACGTTGAGGCTCAGTGGACCTGGGACAAGCCCGTTGTCCACAACGGCAAGGAGTACAAGCACGCTGATGGCAAGGTCTTCAAGTAAACAACTTGCTTCTTTACGATTTGACGCTAGGAAAATATGAGGGGGGTCGTACGATTAATTACCATGACTTCGGGATCGAGATACCATCACCATCAAGCCTGAAGCTCTACTAGATTCTCTATCTGTTGATCGTCGCTGTCTTGACTCTCAGCAAGCTAGCCCCCGTGAATAGAAAGTACATGAATTGAAAGTCAAAAGTACCGCTCAAATGCACTTCACTCGCTGGCTGATACACTCGGCGTGCCTCGCTGTCCTGGCTGCGATATGCAGTCGTAATTATGTTATTCTCAATGGGTATCAATGCCTCTGCGACGCTTATATTCTACGCCATCTTGAATGGGTTGACCCGAACGTATGTGCTCACATCCTCCTGGAAACATAGCTCGTTTAGGTAGTCATGTACCTTGGGCAATATATCAAGCGTCTCATCCAAATCGCCTGTGAACTCCGGTATCGTGATTGCATTGTGCGGCTCACTCCTCGCCTTCTCCACCGAATCATCAATAAGCACCGTGTTCCCCTGGTCCCAACACTTGCCTTCGTACCCTCTCCTGTCCGAAGGGAAGCTACTCTTCACCACGGGATCATCCCACAGCGTTGTGAGCCGCTTGTAGCATTGCGTCCGCGCGTTGTAGTCCTCGCGCGTCAAGCCAAACCGGTCACGACCCCAGACGGCGACAACCTTGTGCAACTGCTCCGGGTTTACGAGCGTCTCGACCATACGGTTGACGTTGTCTGGGCGCGCGGAGCTCCAGATGACCACCCAGAATGTCTCGACGCAGTAGCTCACGAACCTGTCCGCGTGCGGACGCCTGCGGAAGTTGTGCGGCTTCCTCCTGTCCGGGCGGTGCAGCAATGTCCCATTCAGGTCGATCACCACCAGGAGAGGACCAGGGTCGGGCCGGCGTTTGGGGAGGAAAGATGCGCGGGCCAGGTACAAGGGCGTCGGGTCCGGGACACCGCCCGAGGCTGCGCTGGGTGCTGTGATGGCTGCGCGCCCGTTCTTGCTATTGCTCCTGGGTGAAGCCGTTGAGGGGGCCTCGAGAGAAGCGTTGGTGGTGGCCGCATTGGCGGCTGCTGCGGCTGCTCTGTGGGACCTGCGCGGAGGGTTTGTTGAGCCCAAATCCTCGGTATGCAGAGGAGCATGCCCAGATGCATCTATTCCTCTCTGAACCAAATCATACTGGGCAAGAGCAGGCGCGGGGTGTTGGCCGGGAAACATGTTGGGCTGCATTGTGCTAAATGGCATCCCCATCATCATCCCCATACCGTTCATATTGATAAAGTGCTGGTTCTGAAATGGGTTCGGCTGTAGCATGGGCATGCCGAAGTTCTGAAGCCCGTTCATCATCTGGGGCATCAGATAACTTGGACCGTTGGCGGCACCACTTAACGCCATGGCTGCGTTCATCGCAGGCCACGACGGGTTGATAGATCCTGAGGGCGGACCTTGATGGTGGTCTTTGACGGGGTCTGAGAAAGGAGCCATGGGGTGGACTTCTTGTGAGAGACCGTTCATTGCTGGCGTTGCCTCCGATGTGCGATTTTGGGCGGCTGCGGCTGCGGCTGCGGCTTCTCGGGCGCGCTTCTTGTCCTTCTTCTTGCCCATGGCGGATTCTGCAACATATGCCTTGCGATCGGCGCTTGAGACGGAGATGCGAGAGGTTGTAGCCAAATAATGGTTGCGATAAGGTCTAGCTGTTGACAAAAAGCGTGGTTGCTGCGGAGTGTGCTTTGATAATTGACAGTTGAGACTCGCCGAATTTGAAGGACAGGAAAGTACTCGAGAACAGCTCTGGGTGATTGCATTCACAGGAGGTAGCTCGTGGACTAAGACATTCCACATCGATAACATTTGCTTGACAATGCGCGATGTCCTCACCATGCGGTTCCCTCCTTATTTAGCCTCCTTGAGAAGCGTCCTGGACTTGATAAAGGAAACCAACAGCCACGATGCGTGACTTAAAGACAGCTGTTATCTACAAAGGTTGAGAAGAGGGATACAATATCCAAGGAGAGTGATGTACAAGACAGCAGAAGTTGGAGCTCATAAAAGGCGATGAAGAAAGAGAATGGCTGAAGGCACGACTCAAGTGAGAGTGGAAGTGTCTGGTCCTAAAATTCATGAGGTGCAGTGCCTTATCGATAAAGGGATTAGCTGTAGCGGTACCTTGCAGGCAATGCTATCTCAGCCCATTTTCAAGTACAACGACTTATCCATTGACCTCAAACCCGCCAAATTCTTGCTTCTCATCTCAACCCATTGCAGCAACGCCCAAAACAGCTCATTACATGTCAAAATCACAGCCTCACACAAAGGAAATGGAGTCAAGAAAACGCAGGTTACCTCATGCCGGGTTGCAAAGACGAGTCAGGGCCAGAGCCGAGCCAGAGCCTGACCTGGACGCCTTCGATGGGTTGAGTGACGATGCACCAAGTGAAGAGGAAATTCAAGAGAATGAATCGGCCTCTGGGTCTGGCTCAGCCAACGAGAGTTCTGATGAGTCTGTAAGTCGAGCTAGGCATCTTCTTGCATATACACACACCTGACTAAAAAACAGGATGAGAACAACGAGTCATCTGAGGAAGATGAAGAGGAACAAGGCATCTCTGCCGATGCTTCGAAAATTTCATTTGGGACACTGGCCAAAGCCCAGGCCAAGATCCAACAGTCAGGCCGTCGGAAGAAGAAAAGCGGCGACTCCGACGATGACGGCTCAGAAGACAAGGATAACGCTCCCAAACCAAGAGAGCAAGCCCCCAAGAGAGAGAAGCCGCCCTCCCGCAGCAGCAAACATGCGCCACAGGAGATGACATCTAAGCGCCCTGTCTCTCGCAAGCGCGAGATCATCCCCGTGAAAAAGGTCCAGTACCGAGACCCTCGCTTCGACCCGCTCGTGACCGGGCAGTCTGTCAAGACCAAGGCAGACGAGGACCACGTCCGCAAGGCCTATGCCTTCCTGGATGAGTACCGTGAGGATGAGCTGCGGAAGTTGAAGGGCGCGATCAAGAAGGCCAAGACGCCGGCCGAGAAAGAGCAGCTGCAACGCGCTTACATGTCGATGGAGAGCAGGAAGAAGGCCAGGGATAAGAGGGACAAAGAGCGGGCCTTGGTGGAGGAACACAGGCGGCGCGAGAAGGAGCTTGTCAAGGAGGGCATCAAGTCGAAGCCTTTCTATCTGAAGAAGTCGGAGCAGAAGAAGCAACTACTGACGGACCAGTTTTCTGCCCTGTCCGAGAAACAGAGAGAAAAGGCAATCGAGAAGAAGAGGAAGAAGATCGCGGGCAAGGAGAAAAAGGCAATGCCTATGGAGAGGCGGACACGGGAGTAGGCCTGATTCTGGAATTTACGACGCAGCGATGCGCGTCCACAATGCAGTATGCTGGCCCTGCTGTTCTTCACTGTCTGGCAGGCACTGAGATTCATGGTCCATATTGGCTGATGAGCGGGGGTTTCTACATGGTTGTCTAAACTAATCACCTAATGTTCAGAGCTAGGATAAGAGCATTATCCTGGCCTTGCCATGGCGCATCCTTTGATGCATAGCAGACACTATGCCTCTTGGTCCCGAAACCCGTTTTTGGCCAAGCTTTGCTCGAACATTTCTCTGCACCTAACTCTGCTGCCCAATCTCGCACAGAGCAAGAACGCTCCACTGAGCTTCCGATGAAGACTGTATGTCTCCTCCGGCGGGGGCGCCAGCCTTTCTCTGATCATCACGGGGATTTCTGCCTTCACCCTCTCCGTGATCGTCTGGTCCCTGAAGTCATAAGTCTCCGGCGCGGATTCCAGGAAAGGCTCCGCGAGCGTCAGCACCGAGGCGATGTGCGCGTCCAGCATTGTCTTGCTTTCGTGGCCAGTCAGGTACCCTAGCTGCTCACTCAGAATGCGCACACCATCACGATCTGTTCGCGACGCAGCCTCGAGAAGCTGCACGTATTGCGTGATGAACTTGTCTGGGTACTCCCTCGACGCACCAAAGTCGAGGAGGACAAGCCTGTCCTGTTCGGCATTGTAGAGGAAGTTGGTCCAATTCGGATCTGTCTGCATGAAGCGGAACTCTGTGATCTCGCGCAGGCAGAGGCGCAGAATCTGCGTGCCGATCCAATCCCTTTGCTCTTGCGTGAAAGACTTGATCCGGGTCACGCCCACGCCGTCCATGAATTCCATGGTCAGGACCTGTTTGCCGCAGGCCTCCGGGTAGATTTTAGGGACAGAGAAAACGTCCTCTTCGGTAGCCAGCAGGCTTCTATATCTTTGTGCACATTGGGCCTCTCTTTCGTAGTCACACTCCCAGCCGAGCTCTGTCCGCGCGTTGTCGATGGTCTTGTTGAGGTAAAGGCCCTTGGGCAACAATTTTGTCGCTGCAAGTAGAATGCCCAGATTGTCGAGATCCGAGTTGATGGATTCAGCAACCCCTGGGAACTGAATCTTGACAGCGACTTTGGCGCCATTCTTCAATGTCGCTCGGTGCACTTGTCCAATCGATGCAGCTGCAATGGGCTTTTCCTCGAAGTCCTCAAACAGGTCACGCCACTCAGAGCCCAAGTTCGTCACCAACACTCGATCTCGCTGCCACGACGGCATATAGTCTGCTCTGTCCTGAACTCTCTGTAGGACCTCCTGAATGGGAGCCGGTAGCATCTTCGAGTCCTGAAAACTCATCATCTGCCCCAGCTTCAGGGCGGCACCTCTCATCTTCGAAAGCTTCGAAACGAGTCTTTCCATGTTTGCCGGGCTTAACATCAGAGACCCTTGTCCGCCGCCTCCTGTTACTCTGCTGAAGCTCTCGCTGACAGCCCCAGCGAACATGCCAGCGGCCAGCCCACCATAGTTCCATATGCGACCAAAGCGAGACGAGGGAACCTTGGATTCCCTAAGTTCATATTTGGTCTCGACTGTAGCGGTACCGAGCATCTCGCCCAAAGCGGAAGCATCCTCCTTCGTGACTGACTGGGCAGTATGCTCGTTACTTGGCTCCTGAACCGTTGACGCCGTTTCAAGGCCTGCAGGATCCGTCGGAGGCACTTCCTTCGGGGGCATTTGCTGCCTTTTAGAAATCGACGGTGCTTCGTTCACTTCAGCTTTGGGCTGCTGTGCCTCAATCATCTCCGCTGGCGCGGATGCCGGTTTAGTCTCCGTTGGCCTTGCCCGGTCCTCCAGCTCCGATTCTTCCGCGACGCGTGACGCAGTCGATTTGGTCTCGTTCCGTTGGTTCCTCAATTCTTGCAGAATAATGGAATCTTGGTGGGCGTTCGTGTGCCCATAGTCGACAGCGCCAGGTATGGACTGTCTGGGTCGCTCGCTCCTCTTGGTACCCTTCCACAGAGGATCGAGTCTACGCCCACGGCTGGTTCGAAACAATCCCTCGAAATCGACGCCCTTGGGTAGTTTGGCTTCTTCATCTTCATAGGGTTTCGAAGCTTGACTCTTTTCTCTTCCTTCCTTTTCTTCCTTCAGATCAGGTTCTTGAATCGTTGGAGACTTTGCGGAAGAATGCATCGGCGGTATAATAAATCCCGATGTAGTGGCCTGGGGTTGCTGGGCCTCCTGACGTCTGATCGAGTCCTGGACTCTCGTTGACGGAGCAGTGCCTGGATCCTGCTGAGTCCCCTGGATCGTTGCCGAGTCCAAAAAATCGCCAGATGATGACTGGCTAGGCGTGATGTCTTCGACAGACGGCCTTGCGCCGTCATCCGCATTCACATGCTGGCCAACACCATCGGGCACCTCTGATGCTGTAGCTGAAGTCTGTCCCTTCCCAGATACTACATGAGCGTCATTGGGACCATCGTGCGGATCGGGCCGTCTTTGCTGCGGCTGGCCCCTTACAGCGGCGACAATGCTTGAAGTCTTCCCATAGCGGTCGACCTGGCGAGCCCTGAGGGCGATATGCTTGGACGCGACCGAGCGTGAGGCGCTCAGCACAGCCGCCAGGTCGATTGCAAAGTCCACGAGTCCCATCTGAGCCACAGATGTACTAAAATGAGAGCCTCATTGCCATAGTCACCACTTCCATGCCGGCCTGGTCCAAAGAGCGAGGGGGAAATATCTTGAAGACCGGTTGCGGCTCCTAAAAATGATGGAGCTCTCATCCATGATGCAATTAATCCTTGCATCAGCCCTACAGATCTCGGCAGGCAAAGGATCGCCAGGGGTCTTCGGTATGGTGCGTGTCGGTTAATTGCATGACAGGCAACGACAGTACTTTCTGTTGGGCATCACAGAAATATTGGCCGTACAAAAGGTATTCGACTGCTCTTTTGCTGGTTGTTCACAGCCAATCTATTTTCACTGCCCGGCATCTACGCTGGAATCGAGCCCGCGGTCTAACCTCGCTATTCTATGGGTATCATACGCAAATATTAATTCAAAAGTCCACTTTCCTTCTCTCATCCCATCGTCATGTTCTTGAGTCCAGACTTTTTGCTCCTCGGTGTGACTGTCCCTGCAAATGGAGTCCTGCTTGAGGCCCGACTCGTCCCACCCACTTGACTCCAAAGGCGCTGGGCAGCAGGTGTCAACCCTCCTGAGACTCGTGGGCTATTGGGGAACTTCGGGACCGGTGTTTTCTCAACCTTGCCTACAAAACCAACTTTTGCCGACGTTCGCTTCGATTGAGCTATTCGGTCTACCATGCGGTGATGTAAACTTTCCCGCTTGCCCTGCTCCTGGATCTTGAAGGGGTTCGTTGTCTCATCACCAGGGCCCAGATCGATGACAGGCAAAACCGGAGCCGATGGCTCGGGTTCCTCGTCGTCCACGAAGGCATATCCGTTGACACGTGGAGTCTCGTCTCCCTCAATGATAGTCGAGCTCTGGTCCCCGGGCCTCCTTCGGCCTGCAATGGCATCTCTGACCGCAGATAGGGTCGGGGATGGTGGTCGCGCTGTGTCGGGCGCGATGGCTAGGCCTGGCATCCTCGTGTTCGCGTACACGATTGTCTTCGGTCCTGCGCGGGACGCCTCCTGCGAGCGCAAAGCCACCGTATCCACTCTCGACTCATCAAAGCTCTCCGGATTGAACATAAGGCCGTTCTTTGGATCGGACTTCCACGTGTCTGGCACCGCAGGCCTATCGTCCTTGTCCTTGATTGCAAGTCTGTCCTTCCTGAAACCATCATCCACCATCGACCGCCCCCCTGCCGCCAGCTTCGCCTTGATCTCCATCTGCTTCAACTCTTGTTTCGATGGGAGCTTGTTGCCTCGCCAAAGCCAGCCGTATTTCCCTGCCCTCTTCTGGTTTTGTTTGTCCAGAAGCTTGTAGAAACTCTCGTTGTCTTCGCTGGTGTATTTTCCCTGGAACGCGCCGAGGCTCATGTTCGTGTCGACCTCGGGTGCCGCACGCACTTCTGAAGCCGCAGTTACAGCAGATACCGTGGACATTGGTGTATCTCCCCCGGCGCCCACCGGCGTCTGACCTCCTGGCTGGGTCTGTACTGGTCGCCTTAGCCTCTGTCGGCCGGGAGTCATGACCTGTTTGAGGCGACGGCCGGCACTATGAATCCATAGGCGATCATTTGAATCTAATGCATCCAAGTATTCTTGCTGTGTCTCGCTCTCCAGGAGCCCGGGGAAGAAGTCGCGGGCGATGATCTTCGACAGGGCATCTGTGTAGGTCTCCTCGTCGAGCACCTGCTTTGGTCGCTTTATCTTCTTTGCTGGCGGGGGCGGAGGCATGAGTTCCATTTCCGCCGCTTCTCGCTTGCGCACGAGCGCGGTGGACGTCGAGCCTGGACTTGTCATGTTGGTGAGACTATCGTGGTCGTTGAGACCGTAGTCTGGTTGAGAGAGGGTGATTGATGCCTGGCGAAACAGACCGTATGAAGGTGGATAAGCAGGTGGCTTTGCGGCCGGAACTCGGGGGACCTGGTCAGGCTGCCAGGCAAGCCTACCAAGCACCTAGGTACCGTTACCCGTGCTTATTGCTCTGGGCTACCCATCACTAGCGTCATCGCGGGGAATCCCTGCGACTAAATTGATACTGTCCATAGTAGTCTACACAATGGAAGTGCTTCGAACGCCGGGGATCGGTGCCGACAGACCCCTGCAATAGGTATTTGCAGCCTGCACCTCTCCGAGTTTCGACTGCAAGCTTACCTCTATAGGTCGACGAAATTCGCCTCGTGCAGCTTTCAAGACGAGTGTCTGCCTGGCTGAATTAAGCCTGGATTCTATCCTTTCTTCCAAGAACGCCACCCTGCTCGAAAACCTGCCCTTCCACCTTGGAACTTGTCCAACCCTCCAGCCATCTCTCCATCCCTGTCAATCTTTGCCCCTCCTCGAAGAGAAGCACAATTGTTCGCTAAGCGCCGGGCACACAAAAGACAGACAATGGCAGTGTCAGAGGACGACAAGGCCAAAGCCGTTGCGCTGAAGAACAAGGGCAACGATGCCTTCAAGAAGCATGACTGGAACACGGCCATAGACTTCTACACCCAGGCGATCGGGGTCGACGACACAGAGCCGACGTATTATGCGAATCGAGCGCAGGTGCGAAACCCGCAGCCTTGACCTGGGGCGTGCTCCCTTTTGGTTGCTCGCGTGACTGACAGTACTTTTCCAATGGCAGGCTTACCTCAAGACAGAGGCATTTGGCTATGCGATCCAGGATGCGACCAAGGCGATTGAGCTGAATCCTGGCTTTGTCAAGGTCTGAGAAGGCCCCAGAACGCTCCGTAGGCAACAAAGCGCCTTTGGCTAACAGTGTTTCATTGTTCAGGCCTATTACCGCCGTGCTCTCGCCCACGCCGCCGTGCTGCGGCCCAAGGATGCCCTCAAGGACTTCAAGACTTGCACGCAGATCGATCCAGGAAACAAAGATGCCAAGCTCAAGCTCGTCGAGTGCCAGAAGATAGTGCGCCAGTTCGACTTCTTCGCTGCCATCGAGGTAGCAGATGCGCCGTCGGCTGCGGAAGGTCTCGATGTCGCCTCGATGGCTGTCGAGCCAGACTACGACGGCATGAAACTGGGCGACGAGATGACGCAGGAGTTTATCGACGACATGACGGAGCGGTTCAAAAACGGCAAGAAAATACACCGGAAATATGTCTACCAGATCATATTGGCCGTCAGGAAGCTTGTCTATGACGAGCCGACAATGGTTGAGGTCAAGATCCCTGAAGATGTGCAACTGACAGTTTGCGGTGATACTCACGGTACGTTTGGCTCTGGCTTGTTGGTCTTGACAGCTTCAACTGACGATACTTGCAGGCCAATACTTCGATCTCATGGAGCTCTTCAGGTTGAACGGATCTCCCAGCGAAAAGCACTGGTATCTCTTCAACGGCGACTTTGTCGATCGAGGTTCCTGGTCGACCGAAATTGCACTATTGCTCTACGCCAACAAGTGGCTCCGGCCAAATGCCTTCTTCCTGAACCGTGGCAACCACGAGACAGACGACATGAACAAGGTCTACGGTTTCGAGGGTGAATGCAAGGCCAAGTACAACGAGCGCATTTTCAAGCTCTTCTCGGAAAGCTTTTCGGCGCTGCCTCTGGCGACTCTGATCGGCGACAAGTACTTTGTGCTTCACGGCGGTCTCTTCTCCGATGACAACGTCACTTTGGATGATATCCGAAAACTGAACCGCCACAAGCAGAAGCAGCCCGGACAGGCTGGTCTGATGATGGAGATGCTGTGGACAGATCCGCAAACTGAGCCTGGCCGTGGCCCCAGCAAGCGTGGTGTTGGCATGCAGTTCGGACCTGATGTCACAAAACGATTCTGCGAGAAGAATGGACTGGAAGCCATCATTAGAAGCCACGAAGTTCGCATGGAGGGCTACGAAGAAGAGCATGACGGGAAATGCATTACTGGTAGGTGCTGTGCTCGATTTATTCGCTGTCGAGGTGCTAATTTTTGTATCAGTCTTTTCGGCTCCAAAGTACTGCGACATGACGGAGAACAAGGGCGCTTACATTAATATTGGCCCCGACTATAAGCTCGATTTCAAGAAGTTCGATGCTGTTCCGCACCCCAATATTCGACCAATGGTATGTGTTCCAGCCGATTCTGTCTCCTCCTGCACTGCAAGCCGAAGCTGACACAACATAGGCCTATGCCAACAGCTCCATCATGTCGTCTCTGATGTGAGCCTGCAATTCTGGATCATATCGGGCGTAGACTTGGCATATAGAAGCGAGCTACAGAGCATGTTCGGGAGTTGGATTGTTTGGTTGTCGGTGGCGTTTGGTTTAGTGGGAAATGTGTTGGGTTCTTGTCCGTTCAAACGGCGGGTTGAAAGCTCTGTGCCTTCAAAATGAGACCCGGAAAAGCAACAGAGCATCAGACAGGTTGGTTTGTTGGTGATATCGTGGCCAGGGATGGGACACAAAACCAGGATAGTAGCTTGTATCCTTGGGGCAGGGACCTCCAGATCGAAGATACCTCTCTCTCAAAGCAAGGAGAAACTCATGACTCTCCCCAAAGTCTTCTACGGTCATGCCGTCCCACAAGCGCGCCGAGCCAGTCTCCGGCAGCTAGTACCACAAACCCCGTGGAGGTCCCAGATCCTGACCACGCTGTAAGGGCGGCTGAAAAGGCGCCCAGATCCTGACGGGGCACTCGCACCCAGCACTCCTTTTCTTGCACCTTGAGGATGTCAATGGGCATCCCTGAGCCTGTCGCGCCGAGGAATTGCTTCAGTGCCGAAGTGAGGTAGGAGCGGACTTGAAGTTCATCTAGAAGGATGTTGCTTGTGCTGATGATTTCCAAATGGGCATAGGCGTATGGTGGGGTCTTGATAGTGGTGGAATAAATTTCGTGAGACTTGAGTTTTGTACCCTTGGCTTTTGTTGGCGCCTGTTGAACGGGGGCGTCGATGTCCATGGTTCCATCGTCCATTGTATCTTGCTAATGCGGACCTCTTTTGCTCAGAACTTTGACACCATTTGGCGGACTCGGGGATGAGATGAGTGAGTGAATCTGACATAAAATGCCTGAACGAGGTATGCACTAAACGGGGCCCCGGTAGTCAAGCTTGCCTGCCAGCGCAATGCTTTGTGTTAACCATCACGACCCAATGCAGGCAACCTTTACTCTTCAACATCCTCCACAGGCCTTTCTCCTTACCAACACCTGCGAAACGACAAACTCTACTGCAGCAGCTTCGGTTCTCATCTTCAAGGCACGATGCCGCGAAACTACATTCAGCCAAATGCGATGCGCCAGGCGCGCGCATGCATGGTCTGCTCAATCGTGATGCTGCGAAGCGTACGTCCACGTCCAATTTCAAGTCTTTAACGCAAGCTACGATTGTTCGTTCCGCAGGGCTATCCCTGAACTACATGCTGACCTTGCTTATCCAGACTTTCAAGAGAGAAGGTTGTCCCAACTGCGAGGGGTTCCTCGGCCTCGCGGGCAGCGACGAACAAGTCGACAACTGCACCTCGTCCGTTTTCGAAGGCCTCATCACGCTGGCTGAGCCAAGCAAGAGCTGGGTCGCGAAATGGCAACGGCTGGACGGATACGTCAAGGGTGTGTACGCCACTAAGGTCATGGGCCAGCTGCCGGAGGAGATGGTCACGCAGATGGAAGAGCAATACAAGGTCCGATACATACCGTGAGTACAACCAGCCATTCTGCTCGTTCTGCGTCCTGCAGTTAGGGAATCAATGCAGATTCGGGGTTGCGAGGTGGAGATGGCTGACCTGGCATCACAGACGCGATGGAAGTGCAACCGAGGCGGACTAGGTGTCTGCCCTATCTTCTGATGTGATGGAAAAGTTGAAGGGTGGACTTCCGTCTCGCTCTGACGGCGCGGCAGGTGCATCATGATGGGTCACAGATTTGCCGGGCAGCGGCTTAGGTCGAGAGCTTCAAGGACGGATTGCCGTTCTCTTGTAAGACCAGGCTGTTTAGCCAGTGCAAGGCGACATCTCGGTATCCTGCCGTTGTTATTTTAGGGGAAAGCATGGCGTTTTGGAGTTGCACAAAGCACTGGAAAAGGAGACATGAAGCCTGGGTAAGAAATCATATTTCTTCAGATAGATTCCCACGCCACCAACCTAATGAGAGCATTCCAAGAAACTACCTCAAGGAGCAATGTAAGACTTCCTGGGCCATTATCCTAGCTAAACGGAAGTACGAGGCCGACAGACATTTTGCACATATGGACAGGGCGAACGTTCAGAGTGTCAGAGGGGATTGGAACAAACAGAAATTGTATCTAGCCCCCCAGAACACGAAAACTCCCAGGTGGAACCCATGCCTGGGTTTAACATGCTATAGCAGTCAACACTACACGGGTCAGTAGAATTATATCTAGGCAACCATGCCACACTGCTACCATCGCCGAGAAGTTTGTCAGTCAGAGTGTGGATGGCTTGTCGTCATAGAATGTCAGTCGGACGGGTATGTACATCGATGACTTACCTTCGACGTATCAGGAAGGAAAGCATCTCAGTCCCAGGCTGCAGACGACCCGCCTTCCAAAAAGCTGTGAAAACATTTCCCTGGACCTTCTGAAATTTGAAGTCCTTACAAACCACACCTTCTCTAACGTCTGAAGGTCCAAAAACTCCTCTTCTAGCAACACCACCGCTTCCTCGGCTGCGATCTGGAATCACTGCTTCCTTGGGCGTAACGTGCAAACGGCCGGTCAATCGATTCGCCAGAATTACTCTTGACCACGAAGTCACTTCCTTTTGCCATCATGGGTCGCTGGGGACATTGTAAGTAGACCCAGAACATCCCATGGGCCAAGCCATACCACAACGTCGATTAGAGAGCTGACGATGCCTTCCATTGCAAGGCCTCTTCGGCCATGACGACGCCATCGGACACGCCATCAAGGTTAGCAAGGATGTTGCTCAAGGCGACGACCGCCAGTTCGCCCACATGATGAGTCGCGTGATCGTCGGTTGTCCACCTGGTGTCTTTGGATTCTACGTCGAAGAGTATAGCCTCGCCGAGAAAATCGGCCCCGGTGAGATGGAAGCATCCATGGTAAGTAGTGCACTGGCTTGAACTTGCCTCCAAGACAGGACATTATATTGACTGATTCTTATTAGGACCAGCTCATCCGGCACAAGCTTGATTCTGGCCTGGGCGACGAGCTGTTCGAAAAGTACCGCGCCGCCGAGCAGCACGGCTTTGACTTTGACGACATGTCCAAGTACCTCGTGATCATTTTCGCCGCGGTGTTGATGGGCTACGGAGCCAAGATCAAGGAAAGTCAGATCCAGCACCTTCGCGACCTCGTGCCCAAGCTCCAATGCAACGAGGGCGTAGTACCGCCCTTTGGTGACTCCGGCTTCCGCGGCCCTGGAAAGCGACAATTCCTTGCGGCCTTGGACCACTATCAGGCTGGAAAGCGCAGAAGTTTCACACAGCCGAGTTGCCATGGTTGTGGAAAGGTGAACGGCGATATCAAAGCTGAGGGAAAGACCCTAATGAAGTGTGGTGGATGCAAGAACGAGAGAGCCACCGCTTGGTTCTGTGACAAGGTACATGTGCCTCACCACTGTGCTCATAAACCTTTGGAGCCTTTTGGGGCATTTTCGATCATACTCCACTCCTACAATGAATATGTCTAACATCTTATCTTCTCGCAGGACTGTCAAAAGGGCTTGTGGAAACATCACAAGCACAATTGCGGTGCACCTCTTGGGCGCGGAATCGCCCTTTTTCGATCGTTCGGCAAGAACAGCTTCGGAGTCATCGCCTATGATGGTGCCAATGTATGAAAATCTTTCCCGATGACGAGATAGCACTTGCTTGTACAAGGAGATATTGAGTGGCAAGTTGAACGGATCAGGCCATATTGTCTTCGCATTTACTTTCGCTTTTCACGTTTCGCTGTCTTGAGGAAAAGAAGAAAGGCACGGATCGGACTGCTGCTGGAGCCGCTGAAGCATGACCGTGGGGATATGATATGTTGGCCAAGGTCTTAGACGCATACTTTGCAGGTTTTCGTCGACGAATGATCTTGCTCTTCAAACATATGGCCCAGAGATGAGCTTCCCAGCTCTGTTTTCTGAACGGTAAAATTGGGTATCATGGCTGCTTCAAAACGCTCTCGTCTAACCGAGGCGAGGTTTCTTGTGAAACCCTCCACCTCCTGAGGACTCCCGTGTCCGTTTCCTGTCTAATTCTTCACGCATAATTCTCTCAGCCTCGCTCATCTTCTTCGGCTGCTCAATCTTGAATGACTTCTTCGCACCGCCCCCCAGCGCATTCTTCTTTGCTTGTGCAAACACGTTCTTGGCTTGTGGCGGTTTGGCGCCAAACGAAAATCCTGCCGGCTTCGCGGCCTCTGGCTTTGTGGGCTCGACCTCCTTGGTGGCCTCGCCATCTTTTGGTGGCGACTCCGTCCCATTCTCTGGCGTGTCCTTCTTGCCTTCCTGTTTCTTGTCCTGTTTCGGGACGCCAAATGACAATTGGATCTTCTCGCCGTCCTTGATCTGTAGGTCCTGCTTCTCCTCGGGCTCATCTTCGTCCTTGTCTTGGTCCTTGCCTCTCCTCCGCTCCTCTGCAGCCTTCTCAGCCCTCTTCTGCTGCTCCCGTATCATCCTCAGCTCCCTCTCCTCGTCGCCCTTGTCCTGCATCTCTTTCCTCCTTACCGCCTCCGCGCGCTTCAGCGCCTCGGGGCTGTTGTCAACCCATGCGATTTGCAGGCCCTTGTCCGTCTCCTCGACCCTGCATATGCCCTCCCTGCCCAGGTGCTTCGCGTACTCGGTCAAGCTGGGCCACTTCGTGGCGTTCATGTGCGTGTGCTGCTTGTTGGCGATATACTCCTGGTAGAAGTGGTTGATGAGGATGGGCTTGGTGCCGTGCGACGTGCGCAGCTGCTGCAGGAAGTCGTTGTTGAACTGGCTCGAGAACTCGTTGATGGCCTTCTTGGGGTCCTCGCCCACCACCAGCATCTGCCGCACGTGCGACTCGGACTGCACGTGCATCTTGAAACCGTTCTCGTCGCGCATCTGCCGCTCGCACACCTGGCAGTACCAGCGCAGCCGGCCCAGCCCCTTGGACTTGGCCTGGTTGGAGACCCATTTCGTGCTGCCTACTTCGGCGCGACCCATCTTGAGTCGTCAGGCACTGCCGGCGTGGAGAGATGGACTGAGGATTGGGAAACAATTCGGATTCGAATATTCGCGCGCTCTTGCGCAGTAGGTTTTGGTTGCTGTTCGGAGAGGAAGAGATGGATCGGTGGACGAAAATTACAATCGGTGGGCAAAATGGTTGTCAATACAGTTGGTGGCGCAAAGAATGGGAGGCCGATGGATTTGGGGTGAAGTTGATTGTAATGCGATGAAGTATGTACGGAGGAATTATGCAAGAGTCGGGGGTTCGCATGTGATGCAGCTCTTTTGGCGGGTCCGCCGCAGCGGTCCAGTCAGGTAGCAATTCGCGCACCGGGGCACCAACAGCATCTTCACTAGGGGCCCGATTTCGCACGATCTGTCCATCATTCACACCATGTAGCCTCAGTATTTTTCTCTGATGCAAAATAAAAGAATATAGAATCTCAGATATCTGGCCATGTTTGAATCCGCAGTCGACAAAATGCCTTTTTCTAACCCAAGCGCCATATGCGAAGCAAAGCCTGCGGCTTGTACGGACTGAATGTACAGGCTCACACGCTTTTCGAAGCTCTTGGATATCTTATTCTAAAAATTTCCCGGTAAAATATTCGATATCTCCTCTGTTTTCTTTTGAGTCTTGCGGGCGAGCCTGGTCTACTCCAAGAATGTAAACAGGCTGGTATGCAGTACGTTCATCGCTCTTGTGGCATCCCGCGCGTCGATGACACACGAAATGTTGATTTCGCTCGCTCCTGGACTCGATATTAGCAAATTACTGTTCTTCCAAGCCCGCGGCTAGTGTATAGATGTTGGACTTGCCCTGTGAAATCATCTCAATGTTCACATTGTGCTCTCCTAACGTCGTGAACATCTTGCCGGCAACACCTATCATGTTCTTCATATCCGCGCCGACCAGGCTCAAAATGGCCATCTGGTGCAAGACACTGACGTCTCCACAGTCCTCGAGCTCTTGCCTAGCCTTGTCGAACATGACAGCTTCAGAGTTTGGCAGGTGCACGGCCATAGACACATGCACCTCACTGGTGGAGATGAGATCGACCGAGATCTTGTAGCTGTTCAGGATGGAGAAGACGCGGGCAAAGAACCCATGAGCGATGGACCGTTTGTTGGAGTGGACATTGATCACCGATATCTTGTCTTTGATGGTGACTGCTGTCGGCCTCTTAGGTGTCTGCCGCACCAAGTTGATCTGAGACGGCCGTGAGCGCTTCAGCTGTTGACCTGGCGCCAGTACTGGGTCGGGAATGACGATGGTACCCTCGCCACGCGGGTTCTTGACATTCTTGATGCGCACAGGGATGGGTGGGTCCGCCTTTATGACCTGGTCCATCGTGAGATGGTGGATGACCTCAGACCCGTAGAAGGTCAGCTCTGCTGCCTCGGAGGGCGTGATGGACGATAGGAGTCGCGCAGTAGGGACTTTGGTCGGGTCTGCTGTGAAGATGCCGTCTACCTCCTTCCATATTTGGAGCTCATCCGCCTTTATGCCAACCGCTACGAGCGCCGCGCAGAGATCAGTGTATCCTCGCCCAACGTCACCATCCATAAGACTTCCCGGGACGTTGCCGAAGAAACCAGTGATGACAGGTACTCGATCCTCGCAAGCCTGTATCTTGCCTCGAAACGCGGCTGCAGCGTCTCGGTAGAAGGAAGGATCCAGTCGTCCTGCACTGTCATTGTGAAGCACGTCGGCTAGATCCACATACTCGGCTTCCACATTCTGCGGAGAGCGTTAGCGTGGTGTCGAGGATTTGGTCACAACAATTTCAGCAATACGTACCCGGTCCCTCAGTACATATGTCATGAACCTACAACTCAGCCGCTCACCAAAGCTCACAACTCGGTCTTTGGATCTTGAGTTGACCTCAAGTTTGAAGCGCTTCGCAGCCTGTATGTACTCTATGAGCTCTTGACACTCATTTTTGATTTCTTCCTTCAGGGCCTCCTTGAGATCTGGGGTCGTGAGGACCGACTCGGCAGAGAATAGATGATCATCACAGATGTCCTGGATGAGGCTCCTGGCCTCTTCCAGCAATTCTGTCTGAGTGTTCTCTATGCCGACGGCGGCGTCAATATTCCTGAGCCTCCTGTATACTTCAAGCAGCCTTTATACTCAGGGTAATGGTCAGTGAACAATACCGTGGAACGGCTTGGGGCTAAAATTAGACAGCAATGGGCCATGACTCACCGACTTGTGGTGCCGGTGACCTTCTTTCCTGAGCTGCGTGCTGAACAAACGATGGCAATCTTGTTGTTCCTCAAGTTGACCCTGCGTTTGAGTTAGTGAAACTGTGACTGGGCAACTTGAGGCTGTTCTGAGATACCTGATAATATCATCTGCTATCTGATCCAGTGACTGTCAGTCCGGGCCTTCGATGGTGGGAAATTGAACTGAGATCGCACCTTGTCCGGAAACTTCCCAATGCTTGTGCCCCCGAATTTCTGTACGACCCATCCGTTGGGACTGTCATTCTTGACGGTCGATTTCATGATGAAGAAGGCTGGGGCGTTCCCAAGTCGTTTTCTTGCAGTGAACGTATTTTGTGTGACTCTTCCGAGAGAATGACTGAAGCTGCGTATGACTAGATCTAGGGGTAATAAAATGGAAAGCAAGAAAGAGGTCACTTGAGCTGAGGAGTGTGTACTGTGGAGGAAGAAAATGCCTCTCAAGACAGGAACGAGCAAGTCCTCATGAAGTCAATGGACAGCCAGCAGGGCGGATTGAGTCAACGGATGTGGAGCGGACTGGTGATTCTGGGCACCAGGCTAAAAGAAGCGGGACGGCGGCGTCACTTTGAAATGTATCGACGATGCAACCTATGTGGAATCACGGACAGCCAGTGAGAGAATGAGATTTGCCAAGCAGCAAAGAAAGTCCGGGTATGGGAATTTGTCCCGCTGAATCGGCCATCATGCTCGAAGTCTCCTGTTTCTTAAGTGGCCCTATTCTAATCTAGATACATACTTTGGCATAGCGCATTGCAGAATCGGAGCAGCCGGTGGGGTTGGCAGGTTTTCTTGCAGCACTCTGTCTAAGGTACCCTTGGTGGATATTAGTGGGGCCTTGCCGACCCCGGAGTTCGGAATCCTGGACCGCTGCCCATCCTGTACTACACTACTACTGCGTACCTAGGTCATCGCTACCCTGTGATAACCTCCTGTAGGGCAACTTACAATAGGATAATCTTGCTGTAGGATAACTTCCTGTACCATAACTTCATGTAGGATAACTTCCCGTGGGATAACCTCCTATGTGACATCATCTCATCAGATAACCTCTTGTGGGATAATCTCTCGTAGAATAAACCCCCGTGGGATGATCTACGATGTGGTAGTCTACTGTGGGACAACTTCTGTGGGTTCTGTAGGCTTGTATAATAAATAACCTTCAAGATGGAGCCCAGGTAGGCCTTTTCAAACTGTTTTCCTCTTAACTGTTGCTTTCTCATATGTGCATTTGAATATCTAGTGAGTTGTGAGATTCCTGTGCTACAAAATACACTGCATTTGATTTCGCTTTCAATTTTGCCTCCATTGTCGCTGCCTACCCGTCCTTCACCTACCCGGAGCTCATGCATCATGTAGCCTGGTGCCAACTGACAGGTCATATAGAGTTCTTTCCATGCAACTCTTTGAAACGTTCTTTTAGTGGCATCAATGGATCAGTCGTTCGGTCGTCAGGCACGATCGGCACCGACATTTACAGCATGTCTCACTCCTTGGCTTGCGCCCTTGGCGTCAGATACACGTGCAGCGGAGCTTTCTCCCAGAGCAGGTAGATCTTCTGCCGGCTCAACCAGTCCTTGCTGTCTTCTGCTAGCTTCAAGTCGAAGTTCCACAGCACACGCGCGAGAATTATGCGCATCTCGATGTAAGCCAGACTGTTCATCCCTCGTCAGCACTAGTCGACCGGGTACTATAAGCAGCTCTGTGGGAAAAGCCACGCAGAACGAGGGAAACAGTAGCTTACTTCTTCCCTATACAATTTCTTGGACCTATTTGGAAGGGCTGAAATACGTCTCGATCGTCTGTCGCGAACTTCGGATCCCCAAGCCATCTCTCCGGGTGATACTCTTCTGGTTTCGTGAAGAACTTCTCATTGTGGTAGAGAGCGTAGTGGTATTGCGACACCACCGTCTACAAGCAGCCAAGCTCGTGTTAGCCAATCCCAACTTCCCAGGCCTCGATATACGGCGGATCAAAGCAAGACTTACATCTTCTGGCACGTAGTGACCGGCAATCTTTGCACCCCCTTTCGGTGTCTGACGAGGAAGGCCAAGTGGTGCTGGTGGGTACATCCGAAGAGCCTCGTCCAAGCAGGCGAGCATATACTGCAAGGTGCTGACGGAACTGAAGTCGATCTCCTCTTCTGTCTTGAACGTCGACCGCACCTCATCTGTAAGTCTCCGCAGGGCTTCTGGGTTGGTCGTGAGGAGGAACGTCACCCCTGAGAGCAAAGTTGCCGTCGTCTCTGACCCTGCAATAATCAATAAAGACGAGTTGAATTGAAGTTTGTCAATGTCGAGGTTTAGCTCGTCCTTTTTCCTCAACAAGCCCTCAATCAAGTCGTTTCGTTCGGATCCGAGATCCATGCGCTTCAAGAGTTTGGCCTTCGTGAGTTTCAGACTGGATGACAACGAATTAGCCATTGCGTCTCTAAACCAGCAGTCAAGGATAGCTTGGAGTGGCATTATCTCTCTGGGACTCTTCCATGGACTCAAATCCTCACTCCCATAGAACTGGCCAGGAAGGGTCAAGATCATATGGAAAGTTTTGCTTACTGCTCTTCCCTCTTCTTCATACGAGATTTCGGGATCATCGACATCAAGACAGTCCTGATCCATGGGAAAAACCCAGCTGTCTGAAACAAAGTACCGATCTTAATGCTTTGGAAGATCATGGCAATCCAAGGGTGGTACTCGCCGGCTTCGAGGCTGCCGAATGGCTCACCGAAAGCCAGGTCGCCAATGATATCGAAGGTTGTGTAGTTGTACCAAGCTACAGCGTCGATCGGCGCTTTGCCGTCGTCACATCTCTCGTGCAACCGCTGTATCAGAAGATTCACATAACCGATGATGATGGGTTGTTGTTCCCTCACTGAGACAGTCGTTGTCAGTATGTTCCAAGAAAACATATTGCTGTGGGCCTTTTTGAGCCCGCCTAGCGAGCTTCCCTCGGCCGGTCCCTTAGGTATTAAAAGGTCTCGGAGAACAGTCGTCTTAAACACCTCTTGAAACACACTCATGGGTATAAGACGGAGAAAAGTGACTTACTGCTACGGTCACTAAAGCCATGGGCGAGTTGCCGACGAAGCCGGCCATGCTCCTCCCGCCCTGCAGTTATTACGGTCGTCGGCTCTGTACGAGTGTCCGGTCAGTATATTCGACAGGCTACAACCCAAAGACCACATCTCATGGTCCGTCTAGTCGTTGCCTTGAGTGAGGCAGAGACTCATCTGGAGTTTGCTGGGACGGAAGCTACACACGGTTTTTTAAATTCTTGTACATCTGTGGCGCCTTCATCATCTCGGGCTCACCTGGGCCACGGTGGCCCATGATGTCCTTCCATGCCTGCGCGTTGGCGAAGACGAGCTCGTTGGGCGCGATCCGGACCACCTCGCCGTACTGGCGGTGCAGCTCGAGGACGTCGAAGGGGAGCCGGCCCGTCACGAGGCGGTAGCAGTAGCTGATGCGCGACGCTTTCATCCAGAAGGGCCCGGGAAACTTCCGGAGGGGATGGAAGAAGACGTTATAAATGACATGGCTGAGGAGGTAGCCGATGAGCTTGAGCGGCGGCTAGTGTTAGCTGCGGGACCATTCCGAGCCTCTGTGATGGCAACCGCGAGCACGGGACGGCAGGGTTCTCACCGAGAGCGAAGCTATCATGAGCAGGCTGCCCAGGCCTAGCCCAGGCGTGTCGATTCCTATCACCGCCATAGTGGGATCTCTATGTTCGGCTTAAGTTTGTCTCACCAGATCCACTAGACTGCAGCAGAGCTGATATCAACTAGAAGAGAACGTAGGTTTATACAAGGCACGACTTCCCCGCATGAAAATGGATGCTCTCCTTTTTCAACTTAATGGTGATGTATCGATCGGGTTTCATGGTTATCATTCGACCCGGAATCCGTATTGGTCTTATTGTAGCGTGACGAAACAAGGCCAACGTCCTGCAACAGGGATTTCCGCAAGAGGAGACGTATGGTCGCAACAAGGATGCAGCTAACGTCGCTTGGAGGAGAGGATCAGCTATTATTGTGGAGGAATTGACGGCACAGCTCCGGGGACCCGCATCTAGCAGCAAGCGACAGATTGTGAGCCATTCAACCGACCAAATACAGCAGAGATGCGTAATTGTGTACCGCACAATGAGCGGCAGTTGAGCCGCTTGCCAAGTGACGCGACAAGATCTCGACGCTCTCTCCGCTTTGCTCGCGGGAGATCGGCATAATACTGAGTGCGGCCTAGATGGAATTTTCAACATCACCTCCTCATAAGTTGGGGAAACCCGCGAGGAAAGTGCTGCAAATCGCGTGAGACCATCTACAAGTGTAAGACGGGGCTGTGTGCGCTGCTTGGCCCAACCGTTGTTATTGGGAAGGCCGTTAGGTCTTCGGAATACTGAAGACGCCGAGATAAACTCTCAGTCGCATGTGTGCAACCTCAAATGTGACCAGTCCTCCAACCAGAGCTAGGCAACCATCCGGTGGCTCCGCTGCCAACCGTATCTCGATGATGCTCAGGCGTAATGCCTCCCAGTCGCAACTCGACACCCTTGCCCCCGGGAGGATTTGCCCGAGGGAGGAGCCCGCAAGGTGGGCGAGCACAAGTAAAACCCGTGGTTTCAAATCGCTATTCCTATCCGTACAATTATTCACCCGTCGCATCCCATGTCGCTTAGAACTGGTCTGCATGTCCCGAATAATCAGCCGTACGTCCCATTTAGACGGTCGGGAATAGTAGTACTCACCCAGGGTCATGCTCATGCTGACGTCCGTATTTTCTACCATCTTTGAGAATTCTTCAAATGATATCTTGCCATCTTTGTCCAAGTCCGCCTCCATGATGGTCTTATCGACAATCTGCTGTAGCTGCTGGTCCTTCAGGTTGGAGCCGACCATCATCTTGAGCACAATGAACAGCTCGCCGTTGCTGATGTAGCCATCGCGGTCGATGTCGTAGACTTTGAAGGCGAAGCGGAGTTTCTGCTCCTTGTTGCCCTTGGAGCTAAAGGCGGACAGCCCTGATACGAATTCCTGAAAGTCGACGTTGCCGCCACCATCCTCGTCAAAGATGGCGATCATGCTGGACGAGATAGGTGGTCAGCGGTTGTGTTGCGTGTGAGAGATCAAGGGCAGTATAGACAATGTTGTGGGGGTGGGCAAGTCGACACGTACCGAGTCGCAAGAGGGTTGGAGTTGATCTGAGGAAGGCTGAGGAACTCCTCGCGCTCGATGGTGCCAGAGTTATCCTGGAATGATTGCACAATCGTCAGCAACTAGCTTCTTGAACGGCATGTTCGCACGCAGCGCTCCTGGAAACAGACCTTGTCGAGCTTCATAAACCGCTTCCTAAGGCGGTCGACCTCCTCACGATCAACTGGACACGACTTCGGTCAGCAGTAGTTCCAAGATGACGCCGTCCATGTGTAGGCGAGCCCATGAGGGCGTGCCAGAGGCTTTAATAATCGCACGCACAGTTGGTGCCCTGGGCAATGTTGTCCAAGACGGAGCTGGGAGTGTTGCCCATCTTGTCGGACTCGAGCAGCGCAGTGACGAGGGGATCAGGGGTATCGTCGCCGAAGCTGTCGGTTCGGTTGGTGCTTCGTGTCTCGAGGCGGTTTGCACTCGCACACGCTCTCGCACTGGTACTGGTCGAGTCCGAGGTCTGGTCGTGCCACTCGTCAATTCGCAAGGTTAGAGCGGCTTGTTCGAGAGGAAGGGGAGAGGGAGCGGAAATGCAGTTTCAATAAGCAGAGGGTAGTTCAGCCCGGCATAGGTAAGGAGACATGCCTCCTGTGGGGGTGTCCCTATGTCTGCCTTATCTTATCGCTGTCACTTCACCGATTCACGTTAGCGTGACAGCTAGCTGAGGCTCTCAGACCAGGCCACCAGGCGCGTTCGGCATTGACACCGTTTACACTATTCAGCAGCACTAAAGAGCATGTGTATAAACTACGCCTTGGGAAATCCTGATGAGTTGCTGCACACTGCACACTGCACACTGCACACTGCACACTGCACTCACTTCACTACACTGACCGTATTGCAATTCATTTCATTAGCCTTGCTCATGATATTATAAACAAGGAGGCTATATCGGAAGGTTGCAGGAATTTGGGGTCCAGTAGTCAAGGCTGCAGCGTTCAAAGGCACGCTATGCGCTGAAGCGGCAGGCTGCTCAGCTCTCTGGGACATAACTAACATCACCGCGAGGGAACTATAGACATATTCAGGTAACCTAGAACAACATTGAGGATTCCATCGTTCCACGCCTAGGCATTAGGCTAGAATGCACGGACTGGATGGTGCTGAAAGAGAAGAGTATTCCTTAGGGAAGATCTAAAGTGTATGACTACGCCTCAACATTGCTTGTGTGAATGGACGGATTTGGTGACGCGACGCGGAAATTGAAGCAAAGGACGAATCCGTCTGGCTCTAAGCACAACATGGCCGAATGGGTGAACTTGCTAGGGCCCTTTGTGGATGAAATTGCCCCCTCCCTTCAGTGGACGGGTACCTAACGAAACCCCCGACGGCTAAGGGAGGCAAGGTAGGCAGTGCTGGTGGTGCTTACGTGGGGGACCGTCCTGCTCCAAAACATCAATCTCCAGCGCCCAAGAAACGGCGCAAGGGTTCCAAGCCAACGGCCCTTACCCCGATTTTTCCCTGGCGCGGCCTAGACAAGCACCAACAACAGGCAAAGTTTTCACCACCGGTAAAGCGTCAGCAAAGCGCAGCAACAGCTCGAGTTTCCCACCATCAAAGCAGCCCCACGACCGCGGTTTTTCATCGAAAAAAATCGACTGGCCGTTTTCGCATGATTCAGACTATCGCATGGTCGATTTTTTGGGCCGCATTTCCCCCATGGTTGATGGCTTTTTGAGCGATCCGACCCCCGTCTTGTCCCTCCCAACGTTCCGCCTCCACCCCACTCTTTAGCGATGAACTCCCGCAAGATCAGAATCAAGAAACTCAACGTCAAACAGCCACTTTCCATCCTCAAAGAAGATGAGATTGATGCAACCGAATATGAGTCCCTGACGCAAGAGCTTCAAGTTGCCACTGGAGTCGAGGCCGGCGAGGAAAACGTATGTATCACGTGACGTCACACCACCTTGTATCACGTGACACCCCTGACGACTACCTCCCTTCTTCTCACCCCCCCTCCCCCGTCCCCTTGCAGGCCTGGTGTTTGTGAGAGCTGCTTACCTAACCTACCTTTGACAGGAATACCATCTTCAAGTCCTGCTGAAGACAGCAGGTCAAAAAGTCGACAATGAGATCCCCGTGCCGCCTCCCCAGGAGAGTTCAACCTCGTACGAGGAGCTCTATAGCCGGCCATACTCAGAGCCCGCATCCTATGTCCGGTTCAGTCAGACTGTCGAGGAATGCATCGGGTGCATGTATGACATGACCGAGGAAGATGATGCCTTCCTCAAAGAGTACAATGCGAAACGGCCCGCTGGCCAGCGTCTGTCCGAGGATGATTTCGAAAGGATCATGGAGGCATTTGAGGAAAATGCCTCTCATCAGACTCCCTTCGCAGCCGTTGACAAGACGATTTTGGCCTACGATGCCATGGTCCCTGAGCTCAATGTGCTGCTTCAACCAAAAGTCATGGCGCATTCTAAGGCCATATATGAGCATTGGAAGTCGAGCAGAGAAGCCATGGGTAATGGCATGCTGCAGCCAAGCCTTAAGTTCGAGACACATCAGGAGAGTGACGACCTGGACCCATATATATGCTTCAGGCGGAGAGAAGTTCGACAAACCCGCAAGACGAGGGCGAGAGACGTCCAGAGCGCCGACAAGCTCAAACGGCTTCGCAAGGAGCTGGAGGAGGGCCGCCAGCTCATCGTGATGTCCAGGGAACGCGAGGTTCTAAAGGGAGACTTGCTCCGCGCGGATAGGATGATATTCGAGAAGAGAGCCCAGGTTAAGGAAATGAAAGTCCGGTTAGGCATCAAGGGCGACGACGAAGACCTCATAAACCAGAAGGTTAGCTTGAGTCCCAGACGCGCTTTGGCTTTACCTGCTAATTCCATCCAGGCACCGCCCAAGAAGAAGCATGCAGACGTACCAGCCGCCCAAAAGGCAGCCGGCTCTGGGCCCATCCGCCTGCAACAACCGCGGCCCCTTGGCCCAGTCGAAGTGGAGCTGCCTCTTCTGGAAGCCAAGCTTGCCAGACAGAATGAGGAGCTTCGCAGTGACATTATGACCAAGATCCAGAACCATCAGAACTGGAATAGAAACCATGTGGACCTCACAAAAAGCCCTCTACCGCCAGTGCAAAGCCCGTCTCGCCAGCCGAGTTTCAGAGCGGCCCAGGCTCAGTATCTCTTGACACCTCCTGCCAGTAGCGCGTCAGGGGAATCAGCCGGGGAGCCGACTCCGATGGATCTTGACGACGACATTCCTTCAGCGGTCTTCCAATTCAAGGGCGCCCCTGTGGACGAGAACAGTCCGCCGCAGACGGTGGCGTATCGTCGGCGCGTCGGTCGGTTGAACAGGTTGTGGATTGACCGACGGCCACAAAAATCCGCCCAATCGCCTCGAGCCAGCCCAGATTCAGATCGGTGGAAGTACGATCAAGATGATAGCGACGATGAGCAACCCATGTATGAAGTCGACCCATACGACACGACTTGCATCAGATTTAGAGCAACAATCCCGTTGTCTTTCCAAGACCCGCGGCGTCATCAACGGCAACTTGAGGCTGCCGCCCAAGCCCAAGCTGCTGCCATGCAAGCTGCCTCAAATGGACAGCCACAACAGCAGGGTGCTCCCAAGCAGCTTCCTACTGCCCCAAAACAGGACAGCTGAGCAGTGTTGTCGCTGCTCTTATTTTTCTCATCTCCAACCCCTGTGGCTGTTATCCTTGGCATTGTATACCCCCCTGTCTTTTTGGCCGGAAGAGCATTGGCGTTGGCATGGAGGTTGATTTTCGGTGTGAGGCTGGCGATGGCCCATTGTATACACTTGTAGCATAGATTTGAATGATTGGGGTAGATCAGAGGTCGACGAGGGAGGCGGGATGGCAGCCCGGAGCGAAGCTCGCCGTTCCAGGTGGGATTCCAGATTATTAAACCAATGACAAAGTAAAGTGGCATCCAGTAATGCCCACCAGCCCATGTCAAGATCTACTTCCGGAGAAGCATTCGCCTGTGACTTGTCGTTGGTCGGACACTCTGTAACGCTGGAGCTGTCAGACTCTGGTCCTCGTACGGGGTAGAAGTGAGCTTACCCGTGAGGTCATGCCCGCCGTGTGCATTACCTGACGGCCTTGGGCAGCGCAAGCTCTTGTTGCTAACGCCCGTGGGATTTGCGTACAGGACGAAAAGCAAATTGTAAGAAGAAATTTGCATTCGTGAACGAGCCAGAACTGGTCAGGCTGTACGCGCACGCGTGCGAAGGGTCGTCACCGGACACCGAAGCCTCGAAGCGAGCTCCGCAGCCTGTGCGAGGCGAGGCCGATCTGGGTGGAGATTCTAGCTTCAGGCATTCTGTGAGAAAATTCAAGGACTAGATTTGAGAAAGTCGATCATGGAGGCCTTGCCAGCGGTAAGGAGAAGCACCGTCGGCATTTTGCTGTGGGTGTCGTGGGTACGGGGTCTTGAAAGGACTGCGGTGGAAGGGGGATGGAGACAGGATGTAATTATAAGCGAGAGGATCCATGAATGACGGACGGTGTGTGGGCTGGGATGGCCCGGCAGCACAAGGCAGGCCGGGGGCTTGCAGGTGCAGGCGGGCAAGCTTCCACAGAGTGGTCAGCCAGTGCACGGGCTCGGCCTGTCAAGTGCTTGCCTAAGGTAAGTGGACTACGTATCGCAGGTACCCAAGTATCTTGTACTTGACCGTTTTTTCTCCATCAACTGGACGACTTGCTCCGTATATTCCTAGGTATCCCCCCCCCCATAGGATGCTGCTCCCAGCTACAGGAAGCCGATCATTCGAAAGCTTAATACAGTTGTGACAGCCACAGCGTAGCATTTAGCTCGGTAGCTCAGGAATGCTACTCCAGCAATTTTGAGGAAGACGCCACAGAGCAATGCCGTGGAAGCTGGACCCTGGATTTTCGATACGGTACGGACCTAACTGTACATGTACAATCCGCGCCGCCGATCTATGATCTTGACCCCGCGCCCACTTTTCAGCACGTCGACGACACAACTTGCATAGTCTCCTTCAGATATTGACAATAAAGTGCTTCCTGAGCTGTCGCAGCCCTTCAGCTAGGTGTCAGACCGCTGCTAAAAATTTAATCGGGACTGAAAGGCTCGCAGCGGGAAAAAAGGGAGAGAAGAAAAACGGTCCCCTTGCCCCTCTCCGACTCGTTCCTCCTCCGTAACCTCCAAACACACATCACCATGTCGCCCTCAGTAGAACCCCCAACAGCTCAGAAGGGTCGCCTCCTGGCCCTGGGCTGCGAAGGCAGCGCAAACAAGCTCGGCGTCGGGGTCATCTCGCACTCGCTGCCGCTGCCGCCCATCCCCAGCAACACGCAGCCCGAGGCCGAGGTCCTGTCCAACATCCGCCACACCTACAACGCGCCCCCGGGCGCGGGCTTCCTGCCCAAGGACACGGCGCAGCACCACCGGTCGCAGTTCTGCAACGTGACCCTCGAGGCCCTGCGCGCCGCCAAGGTGACCAACCCGCGGGAGCAGATCGACTGCGTCAGCTTCACGGGCGGGCCGGGGATGGGGGCGCCGCTGACGAGCGTGGCGGTCGCGGCGCGCACGCTGGCGCTGCTGTGGGGCAAGGACGACAGCATGGTGGGCGTGAACCACTGCGTGGGCCACATCGAGATGGGGCGGTCCATCACGGGCGCCGACAACCCCGTGGTGCTGTACGTGTCGGGCGGCAACACGCAGGTCATCGCCTACGCGGAGCAGCGCTACCGCATCTTCGGCGAGGCCCTCGACATCGCCGTCGGCAACTGCCTCGACCGCTTCGCCCGCACCATCATGATCCCCAACGACCCGGCCCCCGGCTACAACATCGAGATGCTGGCCAGGAAGAGCAAAGGTGAGATCCTGCACGACCTGCCCTACGCCGTCAAGGGCATGGATTGCTCCTTCAGCGGCATCCTGGCCAAGGTGGATGACCTTGCCGCGCAGATGCTGGCAGGGAAGAAGGTCACCACGGCGGAGGGCAAGGCCGTCGAGATCACCAAGGAGGACCTGTGCTTCAGTCTGCAAGAGACCGTGTTCGCCATGCTGGTGGAGATCACAGAACGCGCCATGGCCCACGTTGGAAGCCAGCAGGTCTTGATCGTGGGCGGCGTGGGCTCGAATATCAGGTTGCAGGAGATGATGGGTGCCATGGCAAGGGACAGGGGAGGCAGTGTATATGCGACAGACGAGAGGTTCTGTATCGACAACGGCATCATGATCGCGCACGCTGGACTACTGGCGTACGAGACCGGCTTCCGGACGCCTTTGAAGGACACGACGGTCACGCAACGGTTTCGGACCGACGAAGTCCACGTCAAGTGGAGGGTCTGATACAATGGATTTTGGACGCCTATGCTCTGATGCGCTCTTGCGGTCCCTAGATCGAAATCCATTTACGGCTTTTGGCTGGTATGCCTGCGCTACGTTTCGACCCCTAGGGTGGTGGTGATGATACATCCTACCAACGATACCAACGACTTTTACTATCCCATATTCAAAGCCGCCTTGAAAATGCCATTCCGGACACCCACTGGAGGATATCAACCCTTAGCCTGCCATTCCCCCAACTCCGACCAAAAGGCAGATGGCTAATAAATTCAACGCAAGAGGCGGGTCTACTCATGCCCGGGAACCGGTTTGTACATGATGGTGGTTACATACTACTTGGGTGTCAGCAACTTTGGCCCTATACGGATTGCAACAGTGTAGTCGACTCACTTTGTCTCTGTATCTTGTGGTCGCTGATACCGCCAAGGTGCCATTCTTGATGCTGCTAGTGGCCAGGTGGTTCAAGGTGGTGTGGTTCGGCATATTGAGGACGCTGTTGTCATCCTTCAGCAGGGTAGCAGCGTTCAAGATTGGTTTCGAGAGGAATCCAGGCAGGCTCGGTGGTGTGGGGAGCTTTTCGATGGCCGCGGCCGCGGCTTGAGAGATGGGCGAGTCCTCGGGCTCATTATCATAGTCCAGCAGGTATTGTGGATATACCCGCGAGAAAGCCTCGACGGGGAGCACTTGCTTGTCCTTTCGCTGCCGGATCTTCTCCTCTTCAGACTCGGCGAGCTGTTTGTCTTCCCTCTCTTGCGGCGTGCGCGCCGCATCCTGTGGAGTCGCGGGCACGTCATCGGGGCTGACCTCAATGTAGTTCACCAGGTTGTTGCCAAAATCGACCGTGGTGGGCAGGTCTGGGGATGTTTGCATATTATTGTCCACCAAAAAGCGGATATGATGCGTGCCGGGTAGAATGTTGATCGTGGTGGAAAAGACACCCGGGCAGCCCTCGCTATACAAAACCTGTCAGCCTGACTGTCTCGAAAAATTGTGATGTGATACGATGCATGCATGCCCGAGGGTTCTAGTGACGGCAGTCGATTCTGGAACCCGCACGACATGGCCCCACCAAAATGGAGAGAACTTACACAGGATGGAGCCTTTGCTTGCGGTTCCATTGAAAAATGGTACCGGTCACGTAGACTCTTTCACCTCCTCGAAGCCATTCTAGCCGAGTGGGCACAGTCGGCCTCGTCTTGTCCACCCGCAGCTCCTCGGCATCGTCCTCGTCTACGGTCGTGGTGCTCAAGTTGGAGGACTTCCTGACTATGTCACCGTCTCCTTCGGACAGATTGAGCGCTTCGACGGGCTCCCCGAGGGAATCCCCGACATCTGCTGGGGCGGTGATGGGCGAGCCAGGAGTGTGCACCTCCTCCTCAATGGGGAGTGGCATGCGCGGCGGCCTCGCGATGAAAGACATGTCGGAAATGCTGCCCTGGGTGTGAATGCCCTCGCTTGCGTCAAATGGAGAGACGGGTGACGTTGGCTCTAGCTGAGCTGTCGCGGCCGCGGTGTCCCTGGCGGGCACGTCGACGGGTTTGGTCGGTTCCGCGTCGGGGATGGGCTTGTCCTTCGCGGCTGGGACGGGGACTGGCTTGGATTCGAGGGGCTTCGCCGAAGAAGCCGCGCCAGCGGTGGTAGCGGACTTGGTTGAGCCGGCTGGCGATGCTGCTAGGGAGGTGATGGGAAGGGCTTGCGAGTTTTTGATGTCGGTAGAGCCATGGGCTTGGGCGAGCGAGGCTTGTGCGGGCACGGCAGCGCGGTGGTTGTTGACGGAGATGGGTGGCCTTGCCGCGCTGGTACCCTTTTGGTGATGGTCTCGGTTTCTGGAGGACTGCGAGGACTGCGACTGCGACTGTTGGTGCCGCCTGGGGGAATCGTGACCTTGGCTGTGGCCAGACGCAGACGGAGTGGGGGTCCCCTGCTTGGATGTGGAGGGGTTGTTCCCCATGGTGGGTGAGAAGAGATCGTCGTGGGCGTGGGACGCGGCAGGGCAGACTGGGAAAAAGGAAAGACGGGGGGTAGGATAGGACAGGCCAGGAAGGGCGGGCCACTCTTGGATCAGACCTCGATCAGATGATGGTATTTAGTCCATATGCCGACTGGTCAGCTGAGCTGGATATCGTCCGGGCTGTCGAGTCAGGGGCGGCGCAGGCAGGCTGGGTGGCTGGAGGAATCGTCCAGGGCAGGGCAGTTGAGAGGGTTGAGGACGATGCTTAACTCAACGAGTGATGATAACGGTGATGAGGGAAAGTGGTGCAAAGATGGGTGGCCGAGGCTGGTGGGATTTCGATAGATAGGACCCAGATGAGATGGGACAGGATGGGACAGGATGGGATGGGATGGATGGCCCCCCGTAACAAGCTAGCGACTTGCAAGACAGGACAGGACAGGACACTACTGTGGCGCCTGTGTGGGCAAGTCGCAGTGGGACTGGCTCTTGCACAAGCTGCTGACGTAGGTAACTGAAGCAGACGGAAGCTGCAGTGGGAGACCAAGACACAAGAGGCCTTTCTCGAGTCTGACGGCTCGATTCGGTCCAAAGGGTTGATTTCTTCGCCGCGAGGTCGGCTCAAGCTCAAGCTCAGAATTGACTTGCTTCCGAGGATGCCTTGGGTATGTACCTGCTGCTGTGTGGTCATGATGGGACCTCCCCGCCCAGAAATTGTCCAAGCTCCCTCTACAGCGGCCTCTCTGATTGCTGGATTGCTGGGCTGCCTTATCGATAGAGACGGAGAGGATCCAGACTTCCCCACAGCCCACTCACCCTTCACCCGGACAAGGTTAACTGCACGGTCAGCACTGTATGTAGGCGGGTACAGTAAACGGTAGCGACAGTGGAGCTCCTGCCAACGTCCCATCAACGCTCCGTCCGGGAACGCTGGGGATGGCGGCTGGAATGCTGGAATGCTGGGAACCTTGAGCGACCCCTACCTGACCAGGAGGCATCCTGAACAACCTTGTCCTGCCCCCGACAGCAATAGATCTTGTCTGATCATCGAGAAAGCCTTGGGATGGAACGATGAGTTCGTAGTCCCTTGATCGACTGCATCTTTGCCCGTGGGCCGCTTCACCCAGTTCATCCCAACGGCCTCGGATGATGGCCTGGCAAGACGCCGCCATATCAGCCCTCTCCATCATCTTCCTCATTTTCCACGCCATCGCCGCAGCAATCACTGCATCACTCACCATAGTCACACGCCTTGGCTTGTATTTGTTGCGTCTTGCATCATGGCCGATATCAGCTTTTTATAATACCCTGCTCTTCGTGTTTGCGCCGGTTATATGCACCATACGGTGGGTGCACAATCATTTACCCCTTAATTGGCACATGGAGACCATCACATGCATCACAACATGAGATGCAAAGTCTCCGTCGAACAGACAATGAACTAACAGCATTTTAAGGTTCATCCTCTCTCCATTTTTCTTTATTCTCAACAATTTCCCGAGGCTCGAGGTAAATCATTCGCCCCCATCCATGTAGCCAATATTTGAAATACCATCTCTAACTTGCTTTACAGCCATTGTATATCTTTGTACGTTCGTGGGCGGCCACACACCCTTCTCAAGGAGATTTCTGTCCTGCTTCTGTGATTCGGTATCGTGGTATCAACACTGTGTGAAGCAAAAATCCCTGCTGGTCTAACTCGGCCTCTTCATATAGTTTGGCTCAGCCGCTTTCGTGGGCGTCACCTTCGGCCTCATCCTCATGCTCACGTCCAGCAGCATGTTCGCCATCCTCGGCCTCTACGACAGCCCCGGTGATGAGAAGGCCTCACGCAGGCCTCGCAATAAACTTCCGGCCTCCCCGTATGTCGACGAGGATGAGGAGGAGGCAAGGCTCCAGCGCCAACGGCCCAGCACACCCCTCTTGGACGGTAGCGACCAGGAGAAGCTGGAGGCCCTGCTGTCGAACCTCAGCTCTCCGGACTCGGATCTTGGGAGCCTAGCCATGCAAGGCTGGCGGGACGGCCCCAACATCAAGAGGAAGAGGAGGTCAGCCGCGGCGTCACGCATTGGGACTATTTTGGAAGAAGATGACGATTCATTTTGACGATAATTATTCGTAACGCTGCAAACTTCTCTACTCATAAGAAACTTGCGCGTATTTGGTATCAAAACTGTGGTCCCTCGGTCCGTCCTACTCCAAAGATTAATCAATGCCAAGCTACGCCTGCTAGAGTAAACCACTATTTCACCACCTGTGCACGGAGTGAATATCCACTGTGATACCTTCAGGCGCCTCTCTACGCCCCTTTCTCGAGCCGTGAACAAATGCCGTCTGCTCTGCAGCTTCTGCTGCACGGTTCTTGTGGTGCCCGACCAGTGCTCTTCGCGTGCACTACTAGAACATTTCGCACCACAGGCCTAGCTAACAGCTAGCAACTTCAAGTTTTTGCCAGCAGCAGGGCCGATTCCTAAAGATATCACTGCATCCCCCAGCCCTGCTGGTTGCGATATTGGCTGAAGCCGCGATACTATCTGCGGTCTCTCGCGTAGTCCCAGTCTCTGTCAGGAACCCTTGCAGTTACGGGTGATCGACTACGATATCGGCGATCGCGCGGTGGTCGATCTCGATCCCGGTCTCGGTCCCTCTCGCGTTCGCGTTCGCGTTCTCTTTCACGTTCACGATAACTTGGAATGTAGGTGTCGATATCACTTCTTCCAGCTGCGGGTCTGGCTCGAGGAGGTGCTCGGTCGCGGTCACGGTCGCGGTCTCGATCCCGGTGTCCGTCAAGGTACATGTCTGGTCCGCCATTGCCGTAATTGTCGACGGGAGGTGGCGGTCGGGGAGGAAGTGCGTGTGGGCCTCGTTGCCAGGCTGGCACTCTTTCACCTGGTCCGGGCCCATTTCGGTGAGGTGGAGGCGGATATCGACCGCCATTCATGCCGTTGCGCCCACCGTAAATATCGTTGCTATTGAAACTGGGATTTCCAGCTCCATCATGCGGCTGCGGCCCGCGTCCGACAGTCCCACCCTTTGGTGCGGGAGGTAGGGCAGCCTTGCGGTCATGAAACTTTCTTCTGTCAAGCTCGTGGCTCTCCTCCATAATGGGCAGTTCGCCAGGCTGCGCCGGGAGCGGAGCGGTATGCAGATATGGGTGCTCAAGTGCATCAATCGCATTGATGCGCCTCTTCCAGTCCAGTCGTAAGAGTTCTCTGAGGAGAGCGACAGCACCTTGTCCGTATCTACCACATCGTCAGACGCACCATCGGAAACAAGTAGCACATAGGGCCAGGTTGACTTACTTGGAGAAGCGATTGCCGAGGTCACCAGGCCGCGGTCGTGATTTGATGCCTTCCGCTCCGGGAAGTTGTCTAAAGCCTGGCATGTTGTCGTCGGTGGGGGTGCCACAAAGGTCAAATATGATTTCCAGTTGGTGGTGATCGCTCTCACCAGCCAGAATCGGCTTGCCCCAGAGCATTTCCCCAAATACGCAACTGGAAATGGATAAGCGTGACGCTCGCGCAGTCCGGACTTTGGTGGACTCACCCAACTCCCCATATATCAATGGCTGTGGTGTACTTCTTCAGGTGTAGCAGAAGCTCGGGTGGCCGGTACCAGCGCGTAACCACCAGGCTAGTGTAGTCACGTTTGCCTTCACCACCACCCCGACCCTTCACTGGGGGCGGCTCGTCATAGAGCCTTGCGAGACCAAAATCTGCGATCTGTAAAATCCCCTTGTTGTTGATCAGGAGGTTGGCTGCTTTCATGTCTCGATGTAGAATCTTGTTTTCGTGCAGGTACTTGAGACCCTCGAGAAGCTGCACTAGGTAGCATTTGATCTGCGCCTCGCTGAAGGTGATTGAGGGATTGTCGAGCAGGCCCGAAAGATCGTGGTCCATGTATGGAGTGGCCATGTAAACGACGGGTTTCTTGCGCTTGTCGGCTAACACATGGGGTGTCAGTGAACCACTGTTGTGGCTGGGATAGAGTCTAAACCCACTGCTCCTCGCTGGGTGCTCAACAGCCATGTCTTCCAGCCTGAGAACATTCTTGTGTGATAGAAGCTTGAGGAGTTTGATCTCTCGCAGAGCGGTGATGGGAAACTGGATTATGTCCGTCAGCGACCGTCCCCGGCGAGGCTCGTCGAAAGGCGCTCTCTGCGCCAACTCACTCCATCCTTCTCATTATGCATTATGATCTTTTTCAGAGCCACAAGGGCGCCGGTCTTCCTGGATCTGGCGCGATGGACCTCGCCGAACGTGCCCTCTCCCAGCTTACCCAAGACCTCGAAATCACCGATCCGAGAGCATCCAACAAAGCTGCTCTTTGGGCGCAGATGCTCGAGGGCAAAGTGTCGAGGAGAGCTGGCCGCGCCAGCGGAAACGGTCGGTGCGCTCATGGTGAGGTCGTCGTGATCTGTTTGTCGAGGGGAAAGGTTGTGCGGCCGATAGCGACTCGACACCGACTGGGAGCGTGTGCCTCAAGGGCAGGAAGCTGCTCACTGGAGGGATGTTTCGCTGCGACTTGCGAGGCTGAGGAGAGGAAGGTTGGCCAGGTTGCTGCGATCAGTGGCAGTTCGGCTGTCGCTGTCGAACAGAGTTCATCTGTGAAGCGATTGAAAACAGGCCATCTGAAAAGGACATGCAGACATGCCTACAGAAATCCCACTTGGGAAAAGCCGTTTTGGTTGAGGGTGAAGCGCACAGTAAGAGGGGTTGAGGGATGAATAGGGCGAGGAATAATGGCCCGGTGCGCTATTGTTGAACTTGGGACTCCGTTCGTAAATAGAGTGCTGCACAGCACTGGGCGCGAGCCAGCCGGAATGGGATGCACGGGCCACCATGGAATACGTGGGGACGCCCGGCTCGCCTTGCACTGCGACATCACTTGCTAGGAGACGAACGACCTCGCAGGAACATCTTGATGACCGCGACTTCAGACTCGCAGAAGACACCAATTCTACCCTGCGAGTTGCCAACCCACTGAATCACCGATTGATTCTTCACCATGGCGCCTCAACCTCCCAGGGGCTTTCCCGCCAACTTTCGGCCGCATGTGCCTCCATTCTACCGCTTTTGCGCCACAGGCTTGGGCGCCAGCATGTGGTTCTTTGTAAGATCGACTTGCTACCACCCAATTGACCATCGAATAGCTGCTAATACTCAGTCTCAGCTGATGTACCGCGCAAAGAAAGACGGTTCGTGATGGCAACAACCCTGGGCCTAAGAGTCCCACCTCGATCCTCACCCGACGCAGAATGACTGACACACCTGCACAGGTCCGGTATTGATGGGCTGGAAGCACCCCTGGGACCATTAGACGATCGGAACGATATCTGGCAACAAGTATTGGGTTTTAAAATCTTAGAAATCGAGCATTCCGCCGTCTGGGCAACGAAAACAGGACATGCAGACGACACATCCGATACCGTTTCCGAGAGGTCCAATGGCGAGAACACAATAAACATCAATTATGAATAATTTGAAGGGTGGCAACTATGCATCTACTCGAGAGTGGTCTTCTAAGTCTAAATTTATTGCTGGGGCTTCTCGAACAGATAATGCGCGACTCCCCAAGTGTCGCCTCCGTCGAACGCAAACAGCTCAGAGCAAGCCATGTAGAAAATCTGCCACCGGCTGTACCACGTGTATGCGTTCTCCTTGCCGTAGGTCTGCTCAAAATGAGGCCAGAGCTTCTCTCGATTTTTGATCATCGTTGTAAGCCAGTCCTGGTCTTTGGTCAATCATCGATTAAGCGCGTGCTGAGTGTTGAATGGCAAACTTACCTCGCAGGTCTTGGAATAATGGTTGCCGTTCACCCACCACTGCTTCTGAATCTTCAAATCCTGCTGGTGGTACAGGAGCAGGTCGAAGGACATCATTGTGCCCCCGGTGAAGAAATGTGTGGTCATCCAGCCTTCCTCATAATCGTAGGGAGTGTCCTTGTGGCAGAAGATGTGCAAGAAGAACTTCCCGCCTGGCTTGAGGGCCCTCGAGACCTTTGCCATTAGCTTCTCATGGTTCTTCATGTGTTCAAACATCTGCGGCGAGCTGTTAGTGATGATGAGAGAAAGGTCCAGGGTTCCACTCTCAAGACTGACCTCAACGGAGACAACCCTGTCGAAAGACTCAGGCTCAAACTCATAATCGACCACATTTCCCGTGATCACCTTCAAGTTCTTGAGCCCTTTTTCCTCGGCTTTGGAGTCGATGTACTGCTTTTGCGTCTTGGAGTTGGAAAACGCGGTCACCTGAGCATTTGGCAGCATCTCAGCGAAGAAGAGCGCCCCAGATCCCCAACCACAGCTGGATGATATGAATCGTCAGCTACAGGCAAATTACCAAGCCAAGCAAGGGGGCACATCCGGCCGGAGCCAGGTAACGAAGATCACACGCACCCTAGGTCCAAGATCCGCATGCCGTCCTTGAGCTCAGCCCTCTCGACGTAAGCTCTCAGCATCGCGACCTCGGCCTCGCCCAGGGTCTCGGTGCCCTTGGGGTACAGGCACGATGAGTACTTCATCCTCGGGCCCAGGCTGTTCAGGTAGACGCCGGTGCCGACCTCGTAGTGCTGCTTGTTGGCCGAGGCGGTCTCAATGGCGATGGGCCGGGCGCGGGACGTGGCGATGTACTCCATCTTGCGGCCCTGCGCGTCGGTGAGCGACGATGAGCGGATCTCATCGAGTCGCTGGCGGAGCTGCCGCCGGATGCCGACACGGATGACGGCGTGCGGGAGGTATCCGCTGTCCAGGACGGAGTCCAGGAGCTGGTCCGAAACTGTGGGTTGTGGTCAGCATACTTTGGTGACAGTGAAAGCCTCGCTTCTAACTACGCAGCGAGTGTTGTGCAGTGGGATTTACCGTAGTTCATTGTGACTAGAGACTATTGAGTCGTTGTCTTTAATTGTCACTAATACAGGGAATCAATTATTAGAGGCTGGGATTGGGAGCGTGCAGGGCGCAATCGAAGGCGGACAGAGTAAGTGAGCCTGATAGCAACAACTTACAAAAACACCTCGGCAGCTTCACGAGAGCTATGGTTCGAGCTAAGAAAGACAGGTAAGGTAAATATTGCGGTGCAAGGCATGGATCCGTCGGACTGCAAATTCCCCACCAAGCTGAAGTGATGCGGTCATAGTCATACATAGCAACGGGAAGGAACGAGCCGGCCACGGGCTCTGCCAGGCCTTGAAACACTTGCTGCGGGTTGCAACTTTGGACCAAACCAGCCCTGGAATGTAACCCAACTAAGCTTCAGAGACATGTTGGAATATCAGGTGAGAGGCTCGGAGCAACGACGACCTCACTTGCCGGATTCAAGAACACCATGCTGAATAATAAAATGTTTACTGCTTTTTGTTCGACTGATCAACTGCTGCTGTATAGACTATATCCAGACACGCCTCTAAACTTTTCCCCATCCATCTAGCATCAATCACATCAACTCCATCATCTCTTCTCGGATGACCTTGTACTGCTTTCTCTTCTTCTTGCTGCCCGTCACCGCCGATTTTACCTTCCCAACCACCGCGGCGAGCCTCTGGAACACGTAGTATTCGGTTGTCCACGCCAAGCCCAGGTACACCAGTCCCAACGTGATCAGGAACAGCTTGAAGTCCCAGCTCATCTTGGTGAGCTGCATTGCCTTCTTCACCCAGTGCGCCGGGCCCATCACCATGTACACCGTAGCCAGCAGCGCGATGCCGATGGTCGCGACAAATGGCCAGTTCTGCCGGACGCCAACCCTGAACGGGGCGCCAGCATTCAGCACTATCCCGGCGAGGATATACTCGAAGCAGCTGACCAGGAAGAGCGACGTGTTCTCGGAATTCTTGATGTTGGACTTCTCCGTGTCCACCTTCGGCGGGATGAACCACGGCTGCCTCCTGACCGTTACAAACGTCACGGCCTGGATGAGGATGCACACGCAGATTTGCCCCAGCAGCGGCGTCAAAACTTTGCGTGACACCAAGTCCGCCGTCGGCCTCTTCCTGCACAGCTCCGGAGATGGACCAGCCCACGACATGAACACCGCGATGGGTAGGATAAGTGCCAGGTCGATGAACAAGAACTGGAAGTCGCCCAGGTTCCCCGCGGATGCGTACAGGAACGACACCGAAGTGAACTGGATCGCCGAGTACAGGCTCATGTACTTGAAGCAGCTGAAGCTTGTGACAAGCGCGGCTCTGCCCTCGCGGATGACATCGGGCACACAGCCAATGTCGAAGACCCTGCTCGTGAACGGTGCCGCCACTGAGGCCTCTGCCTCAGAAAGCGAGATTCCAACGTCTGCGGCCTTCAGGGCACCGCAGTCGTTAGCCCCGTCACCGCAGAACCCGGCGCAGTAATCGATGCTCTGGAGCTTTTCAACAAGCTCGTGCTTCTCGTCTGGAGACATGCGTGCGTAGATTTTCCCCGTGACAAGCATCCTATGCAGCACCTCTGTGGGCGCAAAATCGACAACCCAGCGGAAGACGTCGCCGCTGACGGCGATAGAGTAGTTTCGGAGGTCTGAGATGTCGTAAGGGAGTGACGCATCCACTTCGGCTGGAGGAGGGAGCGGCACCAGTGTCTTCTCGTCCAAGGTGAGGAGGTTGTTATCGATGCTTTCCCACTGCAGCTTCGCCTCGGGATCTCTCGAATGTCCCTCCACGAATCGGGGCACGAAACAGTGTGCCGTCCTGTTGATCATGTTGCATTCTCTTGCGACGCTGATCGCGGTCAAGATGTTGTCTCCCGTGCACATGACACAGCCAATGTTGGACTGCAGAAGCTCGTCTAGAACGGATGCGGTGGTGGGCTTCAGCTTGTTCTCGAAGATGATGAACCCGACAAAGTCTAGGTCAGACTCCACATCCGCGCGCGTCATCTTTTGGGCCTTGACCCAGCTCAGTTTCTTTAAGTGCTTCGTTGCACAAGCGATAACTCTGTAGCCCTTGTGAGTATAGTATGCGAGTTGCTCCTCGTAGTCCGTAGGGAAGCTCTCGGGTCGGCAGATTTCCCTCATGCACTCGGGTGCGCCCTTGACATAGATGTCGCCACTGGCCTGGCCGAATGTGCGGACGATGACACTCATCCTGCGAAGTTGCGATACGAACTCGAACAGCTTGAGCACTCCCAGCTCAAACGGCACCGACTGGCCAGCACTGTTGTTACTGTGGAGATCAAGGCTTATCTCTGGCGGGGGCCGAGCGATTGAGGGCGAGAGCCCGCGGTTCTCTTCCTCATCGTCACCTCCGCTGCCTTGCTGCCCTTCTTCATATGACCAGTTCGTAAATTCAAACATCTTGACGTCTAGCGGGTCTCCCACAAGCTCGTCGTCGATGGACCTTAGGGAGTGACAGGTTGCCATAGTGAACAGAGCAGCTTTGCTAGCGACGTAGGACTGGCTGTCGTTGGCTGATGCGCTGTGCTCCTTGGCTATCGCAACCGGGTCTGTAAGAAGGTCCCCAAATCTATGTGCTGATTGGTTGACGATCCGTACACCGAGAATATCCAGGCCGTCCTCGGTGAGCGTACCGGTCTTGTCAAAGCACATAAGGTCTATCTTTCCGCCCACGTTGACCCTCTGGGGGCTGATACAGAAGATTTGTTTGCCCTTGAGCCGATTGATCGCAAAATTGATGCCGATAGTCAGTGTAGCCGGTAAAGCAGGGGGCACAACGATCGTAATCAGGTCCAGTGCCCGGACAATGATGAGATGCCAAGCTATTCCTAGGCGGATGAAGTTGATGAAAGTAGCAACGAAGCCCACAAGAGCTACGCAAGCCATGACGGAGATATATCGGAATGAGTCGCGATAAAACTTGAACCCAGATGGCTTTGGGAACAGCATGGACCGCACAAGGGCTCCCTTTGTGGTATCAAAGCCAGTTCTGACAACCATGGCCAATCCGACTGCCTCTTGATTCCGGTCGTCTTGAGGGCGCCGAGCGCGGATGATCTTGGTGCCGCAGAAGAGAAAGTGCTTTGCAACGTCGGGCGTGACCGTGGAAGCGCTGAGCCCCATCTCCCACAGGGTGTTGTCCGTGGCTGGGACTTTTGACACGGGCACCGACTCTCCAGTCAGCATGCTTTCGTTGACAATGCAGTCTCCACTAAGCAGGAGACTGTCACTCGGAAACTGAGACAGGCTTGGGTCCGTAATCTCATATATATCGCCGGGCACAAGCTCTCCCGAAGATATATGCTGCCAGAATCCATCTCTCAGGACTCGGACTTCGCACTCAAACCGCGAGATCTCGCGTAGTCGCTTCATCGTTGAGATAGTCTCGAATAGAGTAGTGGCGATGCTCACCACCGACATGGCGAAAATAGCCACCGCGTAATAATAATATTGATCCATCGACCATAGCACCAGACTCGCGATCTGGAAGACGTAGAAAGGATGGAAAACCTCATCGACCAAGAGCCGAAACACCGACTTTTGCTCGATGTCGATCAGGTTCGACCCAAACACTAACTCACGGTGATTCTTCTCGTCGCTGTCAATCCCATCTCTCACGGACCTCACATCCGTCCACAGTGGATCCTTCCACCCGCTGACAAGCTTGAACTTGTCCCACAGTGGATGGTAGTAAAAGCGCACGTAACGGTAATTTACCACTCTCAGCTCCTGCAAGATCGGGTCGTCATCAAATTCGAAGATATAGGTCGTAGAGCTCTTCTTGGCCGGCGCCCCAAAGACTGTTGATAGGACCCTGCCGTATGGCTTTACGTCAACGTTCAGGATCGCCATCTCGTTCCACTGGTTCTCGACGACCAGCCACGAGGCTTCCCGCAGCGGAGCCTGCTTTCCAGTCAACCAGACATGCCACCGCGGCATCCACCGGAACAGCAGCCAGCCGAGCCCGAGTGACGCAACGCAAATGAAGATGTACGCGGCCAGGCCCACGACGCTGGTTCGGAATCCAGCGAGCACGACGACCAGGTCCTCGTTCGTCATATACACTTTTTGGGAGAACCTCCCGCCGCCGTATGCGCTCGTCTCGGTCATGTTGCTGTCGCGCCGCAGGAGTCGGGAGTGGACCGAGTGACGAGAGTGCGTAGAAGAGCGGCGGAGCATCGAGGATTCTTCGTCCTCTCGGGTGCCATCGCTCTCAAACTCGCCGCCGTTGGGCAGGAGTACTCCATCTTCCCCATCCACTTCCCCGTCTTCTTCTTCATCCTCGTCTCCTATGTCCACTGCGAAGGGGACATCGTCCAAGTCCTCGACCCGGATGTCGTCTAGTATATCTTCACGGGTCTCGTCCTCTGGGGAGTCTGGATAGAATGCGAAGCTGGTCGTGGAGTCGGCTCGGCTCCGCCGGCGGTGCGCGAATGCGTTCACGCTGGTTGGGAGGGATTCGGCCATTGGGCCGGAGTAAAGCTGCAGGTCGTATCAGCTTCATGTCTCAGTCACAGTAGTGCGGGCGTGCGTGCGCCCTCCGTATGGACCACCCACCTCGTCGTGTGCCATCTCCACGTCCTCGAAAATGCTGACAGAGCTCTGGTTCGAGCTCAGCCTGTACAGCCTCGGCGTCTGTGGTGTGCTCCCGCGACCGTCGGCAGGATCATGACCGTTGCCGTTGCCTCTGCTCTCTGCGCGCTCGGGCGCGTCTCTCCCTCTGTCGTCGGCCATATTTAAAGAGGGCTTCTGGGCCAGCGAGGTCGAAAATCCGTCAACTTTAGTTTTCGCATCTGAGGCTAGGGCATGGTCCTGGTCAAGCAAGCGCCTAGGTAGGAAGGGTGATCGTGTGAGACCGGCCCAGAACCTACATGTCCTGCTGATAAGAAAAGAACCTTGCGCATTTGTTCACGGGAGCCCCCGAAACTTTGTGACTTCTGCTCTGGCTGCGACGTCATTGGTGGGGTGCCTTCGAGGGTTGAACCCCGATGGGCCGACCCTTGGCTGTCCGGCGACCTAGTCTGAGTCTAGTTGATGTGAGACGAACTTATACACACAGATAGATACATGAGGAAAAAGAGTTTCCAATATTTGCACATTGGCATCCGCATAGGTACGTAGTCAATAGACATGGGCACTCGTTGCTTCTTCAAGACTGCCGTGAAGGCCAGTCCAATCATCTTGTAAATTAGGTGCGAATCAGTCAAGACGCCTCAATACTGAAAAGATGCGCCTGTAGGATGGGTTCGTAACGCCTAAAGTCTACGCTGGTGTATGTGGTCGTCTTCGTCGTCTCTTCTTCCCCAGCGGCTTGTTGTAAATCAACCACCCCAATAGACCTCAAACTTTCCGCCCTCTGTCTCTTCCGGAATCCCTAGAAACCCCATGCAGTTCCAGACAGATCAAGAAGGGATGAATTGCACCCGCCAAACACGCACGCCAACCTTTGCACATACACATACATACACACCTAAGCAATCATACATGACGTACGTACAACCATGGCCTCATTTCTCCATCCTTCTAATTCCAAACCTCGAGGGCATCCTAGTCCCTCACGCGCTGGTAATGCCCGTTCGTGCAATCGCGCAAGGGGCTCCCTTCAGGCTTCTTGCTACCAGCATTCTTAAATGGAGATAACAGGAACGACCTAGGAGACTGTTGTGGGAAACACCCAGACGATAACCTTAGCCCCGGCCGCGCACTCTATGCGCTGGCTTCGATGGCCTCGGGTGTCTCGTCCATCTCCTCAATGTCGCCGTTCTCATACCCGCTCTGGGACCCGTACTCCATCTTCTCCTGCTGAGCGATGGCTTGCGCAGAGACAATCTCGGCAAGGCGCTTCAGCCTCGGGGTTTGCAGCCCTAAATCAGTCATGTTAGATGCTTTTCGAGATCACTGGAGAACGAAACAAGTGGCTTACATGAAGGCGTGTAAGTCTCGAGAGCCGTGATTACTCTCGGCTCTGCAATCTCATAAGGCCCACTGTCATCCATATCGACGGCCTGCAGGAGCAAGACGTCGCTCTTCTCGGTGACTCGTGATGCAACGGCCTTCATGATCTCTCCGTTGATTGGCTGCTCGTAGTCGGCGACCAGGTATTGGTTCAAGAGCTTCTGGATTTGGTTGGGCGAGAGCCTATTTTCGATCAGCATGGTCACGTCTTGTGTCGGGTTCCGCTTCAAAGCTACTTACATCCAGCAGATATCCTGAATGATCTCGATGTCGTTAAGGGTGGCCTTCTTGAGTTGCAGAAGTTTTGTTGCTTGCTGTAATAGACATTAGCAGGTGCACAGGGATGCGGTGGTAACGGGCAACAATTACCATCAAGTGCTCGAGCTGAAGAGTGCCCTCGGGCATGTCGTGGCTCTTGCACCACTCCTCAATACGAGTGATGTTGTAGTTGATTTGCAGGCCTCGCTTCCAGGAGAGGAAATTGCGGCGCATTAGCAGATCGTTGAAGGCAGTCACGCCGACCAGGCGGAGCAGCTCTGTGATCGTCTGGGTGATGATGGAGTCCTCAAGGTAGTAGGCCTTCATGGCGCGGAACACGCTGTTCAGGAGACTGAGCAGGTTGTCCATACTGTACGCCGGTTGGGAGTTCGTCTGTAGGAGCTTGCCAAGGAATCTGTTATTCTCATTCGTGACGAAGCCGGGCAGCGACTGAGACTCGATGATGGCGGGGATGATCATCTTGTTGAGCTTCTTCTTCAACACCTTCATCCAGGTGTGGTAAATGTTGAACTCCAAGCTCTCGAGGTCGTGCTTAACGATCTCCAAAAGTCTGTCGTACTCATAGTTGTCGGTCTTCTGTGCCTCGTACCAGTCCTCGGCGAGGAAGACAAAGGAGAGCATCTCATGGACGTTGGAGAGCCAGAAAGCACCTGGGTTGATGGCCTCTTCGCCGTCATGCTGCATAACCTCCTGTTGGATGGACTGCATGACATTGGCAAGGAAGCGCTCGGACTCCTTGACGAAACCATTGTTCCACATCTCGGAAGTAACGAGGTTGATGAGGTACGAAGGGAAGAGGACTTCCTTGTCGGAGGGAGGCGGGTTCGTGTTGGGTGAAGGGATCTTCAGGTTGCGGATGAGACCCATGGTGACCTCTTCATTGAGACCTTCCTCATCGGCGAGGAGAGCCTCGAGTTCCATCTCGATGCTATCGGCGCCGGGAATGAGAGTGGACCCTGACATGACAGCCTGGCGACCAGTGACAGCCATTGAGACAGGGCGAGGATTGTAGGCAGCACTGAAGCGGTCGAGGTCGCGGGGATCCCCAGCGCTCCGTCTCTTGGTCGGCTTCTTGGAGGAAACCAGGTTGATGAGACCGTTGACAGCGGGTGCAACACCGTTGCCGTTGATCTCAGCCCCAACAGGCACTTCACGTCTAGCAAGCTCGAGTGCATCCTGGAGCTCGGCCAGTTGTTGACGCAACGAGTTCTTCTCGTTGTCGTGGCGAGTGGCTTCTTGCTTGGAAACCTCGAGTTCTGTGTTGGTTGCACGCAGAGATTCTCGCAACTGCTTCTCCTCATCCTGCATTCGCTTCAAGTTGGCGGCGGATTCTTCGAATCGAGCCTGGAGCTCTTTCATTTCCTCCTCCATGACCTGCAGGCGGGCTCCAGCAATACCTGCCTGGTTAGCCTCGGCCTGGAGATCTTTTGTCCGGGCCTCAAGCGCGTTGTGCCGTGTCTGCCAGGACTTGATCTGGCTCTGGTAGTTCTCCACCTGTGCCTTGAGCTCCTTGTTCTGCGTCTTCATAGTACCAAGGGATTGAGTGAGCTCAACCACCTTGTTCTCAAGCTTGTATGAAATTTGCTTGAGATCGCGCGCTTCCTCGCGAAGACCCTTGTACGCCTTCCGGGCCTTCCTACCACGCCACAAGCTCTGAATAAGGATGACCCTCTTGCGGTACAGTCTCCAAGACCGCAACGACCGCCTTGACCGCCATACTCTCTGGATAAGCAAAGCTGCATTGCCAACGCGTGTCTCCATGATCTCCTTCCTGCGCAGATAACCCTTGATGGCAGCCTGAGCAAGTTCGAGATTGGCCTTGATGCGAAGGAAGTTCTTCCTCTCCTTCTGCCCACGCCAGACTCGTTGAATGGTAGTAGCGGCCTTGATGGTCCTCAATTCCTGGGCCTGTCGCCTAGCCATATAAGCCCTGGCAACGGCCTGGGTCTGAATGATGGATTCCCTGGCATCAAGATACCTACGGCGGTAGTACTTGGCCCTCAAGTTCTTCTGGATCATGATGGCGCAGTCGTTGAGTCTGTTCGTACGAAGGTTCTCGAGGAAGGCCAACATGCCAGCTCGGAAGAAGATCTTGGTAAGACCAAGTTGGTACTTGTCCTGACCTCCGCCAGTGCTCTCTCCCAGGGCTTTTACCAAGATGGCATTCGCCATCTGCCGAATCTCCGCTGTCCATTGGGACGACGGCGTCAGCATGTAGTATCGAAGAGCGAATTCCTCATACGTCCATCGTGTAGGGTATCCAGCACAACTGATGCGGACTGTCTCAAGAACACCACAAGCTCGGAGCTGACTCAGAACCATTGGCCCTTCGAACTTCCAAGCCTCCTTAGCCTCATTGGGCTTGATACAACGGATGTAGTGGACATCTGTGTTGTTGATGGTGCTCATGAGCTCAATCAACGAGGATCGGAATATACCGCCGAGAGTGGGCTTGCGGTTAACGGCCACACCAATCTTCCGGCCGGCTGCTGGCTTGACTGAGCTTGTGGTTGCTGATGCCACATCCTTCTCGCGAACAGCCGCGGCAGCATCAAGCACCGATACCAGGAACTGGTTCTTGCTTGACCTGAGGACGGCCATATGCTCATCTGGCACTGTGTCGCGGTTCTTCTCTATGAAACCTTCCGACTCGTACGTCACATCGACGGCATAATGGCACACCGTGAAAGCCGACTTGCCGAAGCGAGGCTTCTTGTAGAAAGCGTTCTTGTCGCTGGCATAGTTGTGGTGTAATTTGGTGACAAACTGATCGTCAGAACCCATAGGAAGTCTCGACTCCTCGTCAAGCAAAGACAGGATACCTAATTTGCCCTCGATGAGATCGATACAAGGCTGGTTGTCTGAGAAATCAATAAAGGTCCAGTCAATCTTCTCCCGAAGATATTCTTCCTGCTCAAGCTTGAAAACATGTTGGTTGAACTCCTGCTGCAACTTCTCGTTGGCGTAGTTGATACAGAATTGCTCGAAAGAGTTCTTGGCGAAGTGCTCGAAACCGTAGATATCCAGAACACCAATGAAAGACTGGACCTGGCTCAAGACTTCGTCCGTTGCAAGACTTCGGTTCGTGACCTCGACCAGCCAGTCGAACAGACTCGAGTAAATATACTTTGCAACCGAGTCTCGAACGACGATGGCTTGTGCCTGGCTCAGGTTGGATGTGATCTTCTCACCCCTAGTGATAAGCTGCTTCTTCACGATCCATTTGGCAAACTCGGTGGCGTCGATTCCAAGGGCAGAACAAGCCTTCTCAAGAGAGGGCTCGTCGGGTGGGAGCACACTGTCGTTCCGCGAGGCGCCGATCTTAACGTTGCCCATGTGCAGAAGACCGGCGAGCATCTTCATGATCTCGGTCTGGGTAGACTCATTAACACCAACTGTGGACAGGGAGCTCATGGTCGCTTTGAACTCGGCTTTGTCATCGACTCCGTCGATGGTTGGCGTGTTTCCTTGGTTGAGATATTCAAATTGCTCAACCGGCAGAAGGCCCCAATCCTGACGCTGCTGCTCCGTGACACCTGCAAGCATTTGGTAGAAAATGTGATAGTTCCGCTCCTTCATTGGCTGGAACACCAATCTTGATCGCTCCAGCAAATATGTCCGAATCTTTGCGCCAATGATGTCCGTATTGCTGTTGAACATGATCTCGATATACTTTCCAAATCGGGACGAGTTGTCGTTTCGTGTCGTCTTCGCGTTACCAAAGGCTTCCATGATAGGGTTGGTAGCAAGAATCTGCTCCTCGGTTTCGCTCAGAGTGTCGGAGCCCTTTTTCGACCGTGCCCCAGGGTTGTCTGGCGACTCTCTGGTTGCGAAATATCTCATGATGTACTTGGCACTCACGGTCTTTCCGGCACCGGACTCACCCGATACAACAATGGTCTGGTTCTTCTTGTCCCGCAACATGTCTATAAACGCCTCTTCGGCGATGGCGAAAAGATGCGGCGCCTGGGTTGCTCTTTGTTTGCCAGCGTATACCTGGACCATCCCTGGGACGTAGAGAGAGTCGACACGGGCAAAGGGGTTTGTAGCTATTAGCACGATACCGGAGTACGTGTAGATTTCTTTTTGGAGGTAGCGAAGCTTGATGGCTTGCAGGACTAAAGGACAGGGTCTGTGTTAGCACGAAGCAAAATGGCAAGCCGGAGCTTTCGGTGTGATAGGTCCATACCTGCTGGCTCGTTGAGATGGGAGAGGTTAGTCAAGTCATCGCTGGCTTCGAGCACGCTTGGGTTCATCAGCGGAGGTAGAGACTCGCCGCCCTTCTCCAAGGCGGCGACGGTGAGCTTGACCTCTTTTTCCTACACTCGGTATGTTAATGGCTGCCTGGTCGAGGACGGTGCGGAGTAGTCTGGAGAGCTTCTCACCTCGCCATTGTCCAGCTTGAAGGTCAGGATGACATTATCACCATCTACTTGCTTCTTTGTGACCTCGGAAGCAACCCAGCCCTCAGCGGCATCGGGCTGCCACGCCCGGGTGCCAACATCGTAATTCGAGGACATATTACACGGTCTGTGTCGAGAAATCTATCGAGACAGCGCAGGACGCATTGAGCGTGGGATCAGAGGAGGAGGGGAGGTCGGTCTGGTAAGGGAGGCAGTTCGTTGCAGACACTACCGGGAGCAAGGTTGGCGAGTCCTTGGAGAAAGAGACATTCGTGGAAGTTACCAAAGAAGTAGGTGGAGACCGGAGGGTATCAATCAGGAACGGACAAGCCAGTGTTCAACGCTGCCGGAGGACATTGACCATGAGGAGACGGACAGAATGTGATGCCAGCGTCGTGGACGATGCCGTGATGTGTGGTGTGTTGGGAGGTGAAAGGAAGGCCAGATGCAGATGCAGGTTCAGGTCCAAGTTCCGGACGCGATGCCGTCGTTGGAGGTCGGTCGTCCAAAGAAAGGGTCGTGGCTGTGGCCCGTTTGGTGCTGGGCTAAAACAAATTTGGTGCTCCTTGTTGCTTTGCTGTACTCTACTGTGGTGCTATCCGTCCATCATGCGGTCTGTCGCAACGGTGAAAAGGGGCCACAGCGCAGACGGGGTTGGCACTGGCTGATAGGGAGCGAGGCGTGTCAGAGGTTAGCAAGTCGCGGTGTGAAGCGGTTGCGCTTTGTGGGGCCTGCCTCAGTCAACGTGCTGCAGACTGGGCCAATGCAAGCTCCTGCATGCAGCTGCTGAGGTACGTAGGTACCTAGATACTCCATATTGGGGCACGAAGACATGTCATGCACTGTAATACAAACAGTTCAGATACCTGCCCGCTGGGTACTTGACCTGTTGGGACACGAAGCAATCTTTTCCTCACGTCTCAGTCCACGAGGCCTGTATAGCCTCCGCCGTGTAGGCTCGTCGTGAGGATGACGACTGTGTAAACTCCTCACTTCTGGTACCTTTGGTATTGCGTACGGTGTCGGCCACGTTGAACTCGGACATCCACGGTACCTGTGTAGCCAGTCACTGCAGCTGTCCATGGCCCCCCTGCCAGTGCAAGCCTGAGGTCCCCGCGCTAGAGAACGGCCCTAGAAACGAAGAATACCCCCAACAGCTTCCCTAACCCAGAGCCCATGCTCGCTCGCTTGATGCTGCTACTGCTGCTGTATTCCATCAGGAGCCATCTTCATCTTCATCTTCATCTTCTCTTCTCTACGCGTCCATCGTGTCCAAGGATCGCTCAGCCTGCCCCTGAACACCTGAATAGCAATCTCCGCTTCCTCATGGACAGACCGCAAATGGCCAGGCATGCCCTCGGCGTGGACGAGGGTCCCTTCCGCTGGAACGCACGAGAAAGGACCTGCGAACCCCTGAGGATCTGCGTCGCGAGAACACCTTGCATACCTTAGCACGCGGGCTAATACACAGGCAACCCACGTAGAAAAATGAAAAGTAAATAAGAATATGATACTGTGCCAATGAATGCAACACGCCCAGTGCTTGCTTGCAATTCAGATGCCTCTGCACACTCATCGACAAAGGGTCTTGAAATTGGAATTGAGAAGTGAGAACCTCGGGGATCTTATGTTAGGACCAAATACTCTGTGCGCTCGCACCTGCATGAACATCATCTCCGATGGCGGAACCAACAACAGCAAGCCTGTGGGAAGCTGGACGTAGCATCATCACTGCGAAAGCGTCTCTGAAGAGTTCTTCAAGTTCGCGATGGCTGAGAAGCAGGAGTCATATATGCGGAACAAACCATCGCTGAGGATCGAGGTTTGATCGCAAGGTGTGCAACGATACAACTGAGATGGATGCAACCACGTCCCAGCGGCACCATGCTACCTCAACGTCCGGGCGACTGATCATCCAAGATGGGCGAGGCGTCGAGTTGGCCCTCCACGAGGACATTGTTACAAGATGCCCAGAGTAGAGCGGCCCCGAGCGAAGCCCCTGGTCAAAGTATATTCCTCCCGCGCGGTTGGTGAGCTCGGATGTCCGGAAATTCAGCACAGTGTTGAATATTACAAACATTAGACTTCGTACGTATCCTGCTGCTCTTCCTGTTGAGCAAACATCGTCATGATTACAGATCGCACCTGTAAAGCACGCCACCCATGCCACCGGCCGGTACCCACGGCCTCAGTACCGAGGAGCCGAGTGTTCAGACAGACTCAGCTTCTACGTGAGTGATGCCGTTCGAAGGCTTCGAGGGAAAGGGCTCATCTGAAGGTCCTATGAGAGACATCTAGGATGCCCGCTGACATGGAGTAGGGGCATCGTCCTACTAAAATGAAAACCCAGGGTGGTTATGCCAGTATTGAATTGCTTTGACTCGAAATCCGTATGCCAGTAAGATGCCAGGGTGCTGTTGAACGCCCAGATGATCTAATAGCCTTTCGCGACTGCCATCTATTTACCCAGTGAACGCCTGTTGTTGTTGAACCTCCTTTTTGTTTACCGCCGACCTGAAAACACCAAATACTAGACTACATTTAAAACAGGATGCGCGTCATGATCCTCGAGCTGAGGGAGTTCAGCTCATCCGAGATATTCCTCAGGTCGCTGATCTGGACACCGCTAATGTCTGCGATCATGTACGCAATATCGCCCTTGCTATCGCTGGTTGCCTTGTCAATATTGTGTGGCATGAGGATGTCGTAGCACTGCTTGAGGGCACCCGGAACGTTCCTGTGAATGAAGCTAACACGCGCCTTGTCGCTCTCTTCCAGGGTCAGCGAGCGGACGGTCACCTCGGGAAGGTTGACTGAGCCGATGGTCAGACCCTGGTTGATGTACCGCACCAGGGCGTCAGCGACCTCGATACCGATGGCTCGCTGGGCTTCCTCGGTGCTTCCACCGATGTGTGGGGTGAGGATGAGGTTCTTCAGGCTGCGCAAGTCCTCTCCCCAGGTGTTCAGGTCGTTGGTAAAGTAGTCACCGTTGGCGGCAGGCTCGTTGGGGTAGACGTCGAGGGCAGCGCCGGCGATCTTGCCGCCTCGCATAGCATTGATCAAGGCAGGAATATCGACAACTGTGCCACGCGACGCGTTGAGCAGGTACGCGCCGTCCTTCATCTTGTTGAGCTGGGCCGTGGAGATCATGCCCTTGGTCTCGGGAGTAGCAGGGACGTGGCAAGTGACAAAATCGGCCTCCTCGAGCAGGGCGTCAAGAGTAGGCACCTGGCGGGCCGTACCCAGTCCCATGATGGTAAGAACATCGTAGTAGATGACCGTCATGCCCATGGCCTCGGCCAACACTGACAGCTGTGCCCCGATATGGCCATAGCCGATGATTCCCAGCGTCTTGCCACGGATCTCCCAGCACTTTGAGCTGACCTTGTTCCAGGTCCCGCGGTGCAGCTCACTGGAGCGGTCACCAAGCTGGCGGGCCAGGACGATGATCTCGCCGATGATGAGCTCGGCAACACTACGAGAGTTGGCGAAGGGGGAGTTAAAGACGGCAATACCATGCTTGGCTGCATAGTCCAGGTCGACTTGGTTGGTGCCGATGCAGAAGCAACCGATGACGAGAAGGTTCTTGGCTTCCTTCAGCACCTTCTCAGTCAGCTTCGTCTTTGAACGAATGCCAATGACATGGACATCACTGTGACATATTAGCATTTGTGTCTTAGACCCACCGGGGCTCTGAACTAACTCACCGGATCTTCTCGATGAGCTGTTCCTCGGGAAGAGAAGTCTTCAGGGCTTCCACCTGGTAGCCCTGGGAGGTGAGGATGTCCCGGCCGCTCTGGTTGACATTTTCCAGCAGGAGGATTTTGATGTCTGTCGTCTCAAAAGGCTTGAGGTTCTTTGCGCCGGCTTGGCGTCCTGAGTTTGATGCGCCGAAGCTGTGGGGGAAGCTGGAGGAGGGGCTGTGGAATGTGGCAGAGGGAGAGACGCTGAGCTCATGTTGAGAGAGGTTTGCCGCCCCACGGACGGCGATGTCTTGAGCTTGAGGAGGAGCCATGATGTATTTGGTTTGCTTTGAGGAGTGTTCGGGAAGTGGTATGACGAGTCTGCAAAGGCTTTGGTGGGGTCAAACGTCAACGACGGGCGCAGCGACTACCTTAGCAAAGAATTTCTCGAACGGCGAGACACGAAGGAGCTATGTTAAAAATATGGCAGCGAAACACGGAGATTCGCCTGACGCTATTGTCATAATAAGCATTTGCAAGAAGCGGACTACAATTAGGAGGACTAGATGCGGTTAAATACAGATTCCTTTGACACACCACGTCTGTCTCGCAGGAGCTTTGATGACTGTTCAGGAGAGCAAATGGTGGGGCCTGACTCATTGGCCACCTCTGTAGCCCCCCCCACGCCCGCCGTCCTCGCTGTGCCATGACATGAAAAATTCTCGACGACTTCGGAAGGTATTTTCTCTCCACGCGGCTTCCCATGACCCCATGGAGAAGGACACAACCGCATTTCGACATCCACGGCAGGTTGCAGTAGCAGTATATGTCACCTTATGACAGATACTGGCCTGCAGTGCACGCATAGATATGCAGACACGCAAAGAGATATCAAGCACTATGATGTGGGGCATGTGCAGCTCAGGCGATAGGGCATATGCAGTGGGACAACTCTCGTGCGGCATCGCGGAGGCGTGCTACGTGAACGACCTTCCACGAGCAGACGAAACGTGTGCAGGTCTTGATATTTCGTCATCAGACTGGCCACCTCCTATATCCTGTACCATGTCTATGCGTGCCATCTATCCTTGCCGTGAGGTGCTGCGTATCCTATAAGAATGTGCGAGCTCCTCTTGCGCCGAGCAAGCACATTAACAATTCCAAATGGGAAGTGGAAGCAGGCCACTATAAGTTCGGAACGGGCCCCATGTCATGTCTGTCTAATACCAAGCCCGAACCGGACGGATGCTGTGCTCGATGCCAACCAACCACCCCGTACAACCTCGGCTTGCGCAAGGCCGCCTGTTTCTGCTGTCACCTACAAATAACTCGATTTTACGGAGGAAAGTGCTGTGCTTTCTCTGACGCCGATAATAGAAGCCGGTTTTCCATTCGAGCGGGTGTACATCCCGTGCACCGTACTATGTCGAGCGGAACCGTGCATTGGTTTACAAGTCGAAGCCATTGGAAGGGCTTCAGAGTCGACCAGAAAAGGTTAGGAATAAGCGTCGGCCGCCGTGTCGCTGACCCCGAGCATACTCCCGGAAAGAGAGACAAATTCTGTCGTTTGCCGTGGCTCACTGCTATGAACAGGTAAGGTCCCAGCTGCCATCAAATCGACAGCAGCTAGAACCTGGCAATATGTGTCGCTGCATGAAAGCATGGAGTGCTGTCTTAGGAACGTCATCCATCCATCCACCCGCCCACCTAGCATGATTGGGCTCTGTTCCGGCTCTGCCAGCAACAAGTGGCTGATCTCGATGGTTGCTGGCAACAGCAGACGGTCCGGGGCTACGGAGCATGATTCGGCATGATGTGAGACGCCCGGTTGTAAGACGGTCCCAGGATGCAGCTCTTATCAGACTCATGGATATCACTTTCCGTGGGGATGAGGTGAATGACCATGATCAGATTTACTCCCGCCGACAGGATTGATGTCGTGCATTAGTGGCTGGTGTGTGTGTGTGTGTGTGTGTGTATGTGGATAGATAGACAGACACTGAGTCGACCACGATGTTGTTGGTGTTGGCAGTAATGATACGACGATAGGGATGGGTATGGGATAACGCGAAGGGATGCCAGGGGTTAGACTCTTCACAAACTCTTCAAAGTTAGTTGGCGGACGGGCGGGCAGACGAACAAACGAACGAACGAACGGCATCTGTAGTGTGGTCCACGGGTGTGGCATGGGTTGGTTGGTGTGGTCTGAAGTAATGGACAGGCAAGGCAAGGCAAGGCAAGGCAAGCAAACTTGCTGCACGCACGCACGCAGTCACTCACTCACTCGCCGCCTCGCTCGCCAACAAAAAACGTGTTCAACGAGCCATTCGCCGCCCAACGATTAGAGCCGCCCAGAGCCAAAGAGTGGGGTGGAGCGCCTTCCCTCTGTCTCCAAAAATTTGCAATCAACCATCCCATCCCTCGGGCCCTCCACCTCCTTCCTCAATCCCTTCCCTCGCGCTACGATTGATCACCGCTTTTCTCCTTCTCCCTCCATATTTTTTCCCACAGCCATCACCACCTTGTCTCTCTGAGATACCCATCCCTTCGTTACCCAGATCACAACCACATCCAAAATGGCTGAGCCCATCAAGAACAAGCGGCCTGAAATCGCCGTGGCCCCGTAAGTTGCAGCACTCCCAAAGCCCCAGTCCCCGTCCTAGACGCCCAGTCCCACTTGCCACAGGCGCTGTGCCTGGTCTCCCCGCGTCCCCCGTCAACACGACGAACAACGTCCGAAAAGAAAGGAAAAAAACCCGCCGCTGACGAGACAATCTCAAACCACAGCACTCCCCAGAACACACCCGCCAACAATGCTCCCATCTCATCGCACGCCCAGCAGCCCGGCGTTGATAGCATCAAGGAGGGTTAGTACCCCGCGCTCCGCTCGCTCGTGAAACCCTGTCGGCCGTAGTGACCCAGAATGCTGATATCCTCGCCACAACAGAGGACCTGGACCGTGCTGCCGCTGCCTCTATCTTCGCGCAGAACCCAAAGCTCGTCCAGATGATCCAAGGCCGTCTCGGCAGTCTCGTCGGCCGCTCATCCGGTTACATCGAGTCCTTACCCCCTCAGGTCAAGAAGCGCGTCGCCGGCCTTAAGGGCATCCAGAAAGAGCACTCCAAGCTTGAGGCCGAGTTCCAGGAGGAGGTCCTTCAGCTGGAGAAGAAGTACTTCGCCAAGTTCACCCCGCTGTACGAGAAGCGTGCCGCCGTCGTCAACGGCGCCACTGAGCCCACAGAGCAGGAGATTGAGGCTGGCGAGGAGGACGACGAGGATGACGACGAGGAGACCACCGGCGCTGCTGACAAGGAGGAGAAGCCCGCCGAGTCCAATGAGTCTGTTAAGGGTATTCCAGAGTTCTGGTTGTCCGCCATGAAGAACCAGATCTCCCTCGCTGAAATGATCACCGACCGTGACGAGGGTGCCTTGAAGCACCTGACGGACATCCGCATGGAGTACCTCGACAAGCCTGGCTTCCGCTTGATCTTCGAGTTCGACGAGAACGAGTACTTCACAAACAAGACCATCACCAAGACCTACTTCTACCAGAACGAGTCCGGCTACGGTGGCGACTTCATTTACGACCACGCCGAGGGCGACAAGATCAACTGGAAGGAGGGCAAGGACCTGACAGTCAGGGTTGAGCAGAAGAAGCAGCGCAACAAGAGTAAGTTATTGCCCCTGCAGCCATCGCGGGCGCTGGCTCTGGCTGGATACTAGAAGCTGACGCGCAAAACAGACACAAAACAGACGCGCATCGTCAAGAAGACCGTCCCCACCGAGTCATTCTTCAACTTCTTCTCCCCACCCAACGCACCAAGTGAGGAGGACGATGACGCCGCCTCTGACATTGAGGAGCGCCTCGAGCTCGACTACCAGCTTGGTGAGGACATCAAGGAGAAGTTGATTCCCCGCGCGATCGATTGGTTCACCGGAGAGGCCCTCGCTTTCGAGGAGATGGACGAGGAGGACTTCGACGAGGAAGACTTCGAGGACGATGATGATGAGGACGACCTGAGCGAGGACCGTGACGAGGACGAGGAGTCCGATGAGGATGACGTAAGGCCCTTCACCATCTCTAATCCACCTTGACCACGCTCTGACATGACGCATTAGGATGATGGTTCAAAGCCCAAACAGGAGGCTGCTGAGTGCAAGCAGAGCTAAGCGTCTCGATGTTTGTCGCTTCGGATCTGCTTCGGATTCTTGGATTTCGCATCACCTCATATTGAGGTCCAGTCACTGGGGAACTCGTCCTGTCGACGAAGACATCTCACGGCAGTTTGATTTGTTCTCAGGTCTTCGACACATGCAGTTTCCTTGTTGATCACTACGGTTTTGCCTATCGGTTACGCCTCTAGACCATAATTCGCAAAGGGGGGCTTGGTGGATTCTGCGTGTTCATGCGCCAAAAGGGAAAGGGGGGTCGGCGACGAGTACAGATGAGAACACTAAAGTGGAAAATTTTTACACTCCGATCGCTTTGAGGTAGAGGAGGATGACGGGCTTTTATTTTGGCTGTTTCGGAGTCCCAATATGATCTTCACCAGCATACATCGGCCGCATTGTGGGTAGACAAGTGTCCCCAGGCGGCACTTTTCGGGGCAAGGCGTTGACAGAGCAAGATGTCAGGTAGTCAGTCGACCGCTCATCCCGGAATTAAGCCATCATTTGGAACAACACAGCCTCTTGTCTGCGCACCATTGATGTCATGAACGGTCTCAAAAGTCTTGAACTCTAGGCATTACGAGTCCTCAACGCCGTCCATTTCATTCAGCATAATCGGTCCGATGTCTGCATCTATTCCCATTGTGCAGTGTTTAAGCTTGGAATCAGAGTGGAGTATCCATGGAATCTTGTTAGTGAGGTATGCTTGAATCGTAAGCCTAATCGACCTCCACCACTATTCGTTGAAAAAGCTGTCGGCGAGGTCTGAAACGGAGTTGCCTTCTTAGGTACTCCAGCATTAAATAGACCCTTACCCTTACACATCTTGGGCACCACCCCCCCTCTCCCACCGAGCTGGTTAAAGTCCTCTTTGAAATTTTCCACAGCGCCTTGAAGATATGATATTACTTGCAACAAACCGATCTCGTTGCAGCTCGACAACAAGCGGCACTCTCATAGAGCACACAGAAAATTTTCACTTCTCACATTCAACCAGGGGCAATATACCTTTGATGACATAACCTTGCAATTCATATTCTATCTTGTCCAAAACATTACATAAGTAGACACATCCCGGCCGAATATGGCGAGGCCACTCCCCAACATCATCGTCACCGGCACCCCTGGCACGGGCAAGACGACTCACTGCGAAGTGCTGGCCGAGAAGACGGGGCTGAAACACATGAGTGTGAACCAGATCGTCAAGGAGAGAGAATGCCACGAGGGCTGGGACGATGAGTATCAGAGCTGGATCGTCGACGAGGACAAGGTGAGTGCTCGAGCGAGCCAGTGCAAAATGACAAGGTCAGCCAGAAGAAGCTGACGACGATTCTTGCAGCTGCTTGATGCCATCGAGGAGGAGTGCAAGGCTGGCGGGTGCATCATCGACTGGCACGCATGCGATTTGTTCCCCAAGAGCTGGATCGACCTGGTTGTTGTGCTGAGGGTGGACTCGGCGGTGCATTTTGACCGGTTAAAGGCGAGGTGAGTCTGAGATGCGTGACTTCGGGGGAAAGGGGCTTGCTTGCGAAGTGAACGCTCTCCTGCAGGCCACGGGAGCCCAGCGGCAGGGAGTGAACGGAGCAAGGTAGAGCAATCGCATTCAACACGCACTAACCCATCAAATAGGAACTACCCAGAAGTCAAGCTGCAGGAGAACATAGATTCGGAGATCATGGAGGTGTTATTACAGGAGGCACGGGAGTCTTACGACGAGGAGATCGTGGTGGAGCTTCAGAGCAACACTACCGAGGAGATGGAGACCAACATAGAGCGTATCGAGGCGTGGTTGAAGCAGTGGAAGGAAGACAATGCGAACCGATGAGAGTGAAGCAGCCATGCAGGCTTCGAGCTCACAGAAGAATGAGTGGCAGATTAAAATGCAATGATACCCATGAGCCACTTGCCAACCAGATGTGGTCCTTATTTTCCCCAATATATGGCAACCTGAACAATTCACATACTTACTTGCAACTTCAGAGATTGCACGCCAAAATGGAACTCTGATCACCCGTATGTATCGACTGACGAGTAGAAGACTTCATTTGTGCTTCCATCACTTGAGACTCGATGCCCTGGCAACGAGTGATGATATGCAATTAAGCCGAATTATGTTCCACCGTTAGCCCCTGACCCCAGCACTTTGACTCAACCGGCGAAGGTGTTGTATGCATGTAAATAAATTCAAACTGAAAGCAAGTAGATACTGCTCTTAACAACACCACTTATGCTCGTTCATTTTTGATTCTTTCGTATTATCAGCTCAAATTATTCCTCCCATACGAATCAAATAAATAACCATGGCCACCGAAAAACAGACATCCGCCACCCACGTGGTGAACTTCATTACGGGCAACAAGAACAAGCTCGGCGAGGTGAAAGCCATTCTGGAGCCCACGATCGAGGTGCGAAGCCAGGCATTGGACCTGGTGGAGGTACAGGGGACGCTGGACGAGGTCACAATAGCAAAGTGCAAGAGCGCCGCAGAACAGGTGCGCCCCTCGGAATGAAAATTCTCACAACACCCCGGCCAGGCCAGGCTCACTGACGCCCAGAGCTTCTCATGCAGGTCGGCGGCCCCGTTCTAGTCGAGGACACCTGCCTCTGCTTCGACGCGCTGAAGGGCCTGCCAGGACCGTACATGTAAGTCGACACCGTACCTCCCTTTCCCCGCGCCCTCTCTCAAGCCTGGCAATCTCGAAAAGAAAAAGGAAAAGTTAGTTAGCTGACCTGAGGGACCCAACCCCTTTCGCAGCAAGTGGTTCATGAAGGACCTGGGCCACGAGGGCCTGAACAACCTTCTCGCCGCGTACGAGGACAAGGGCGCCAAGGCGGTCTGCACCTTTGGTTTCTCGCAGGGGCCCGGCCACGAGCCCATCCTGTTCCAGGGCGTGACGCAGGGCAAGATCGTGCCCGCGCGCGGGCCGGCCAACTTCGGGTGGGATCCCATCTTTGAGTACGAGGGGCAAACGTAAGTGTCCTGGGTGAAAAAGGAGGGGCGGGGGCAGGGCTCAAGTGAACTCTGCGTCTGTCTGTGTACCTCGAGAAGAATGCTTGGACCGCTGACCTTGCTCACGAGAAAATAGGTACGCCGAGATGGACAAGTCGGAGAAGAACAAGATCTCTCACCGTGGCCGTGCCCTGGAAAAGCTGCAGGCGTGGTTCGCAGAGCAGATCTCCACATGAAGTATAGGTCCCACATCGGCATTCGTACGAGGAGGACGAAGTACGTCAGGGGACCCTCAGAGGACCGGTACGAAACTTCAGTAAAGAAAACAGCGGTCATTTCGGGCATGAATATTATTCACAAGACGGATGCTTAGAAGACAGCTAGACCGACTGATCCTAACCGGAAGCGAGGTTCAGTGCACTCTGGGCAAGCCATGATAGAAAACGACAATGCCGGAAGACGACTTGCCGGTCAAAATTGTTGAGGTAGTCCATACATAAACAAGCCATCCATGCAATGAAGACATCTGGGGCTCTAAGAATTCCAGTCTACAGTGCTCATAACGCCATGCTGTGTGCTGTAAGAAGCCAGCTACACCTTCCCTGCACAGAATGGACTACTGTGCTCATGTTGATGCTCGTGCTGCCACCCATGGTAGCACCAGGCCCGTTACCGAGCCATCTTCTTCTTCTTCATGCTGCTCTCATCTGACTCTAATGGCCGCTTCTAGCTTGGATTCACTGTCAGACCCGTATCTCCACCACCATTTCTCTCCTCCGAAGTGGGCTGTACCGCTGGCAAGGGGGGTTGGATCTCGGCCGTTCCCCTGATAGCCCCCATGGGCGGTCTCAGCCTGTTCAGCAGTCAAGTTCGTCAGCACCCGCCGGTCCGCCTACAGTTTTCGTTTCTTTTGTGACCAACCTAAGAAGCTCAAACTCCCTGTACCGTCTTAGGTACTTGTTTCCTCGGCGGTACGCCCTCAGAGCGTGATCCGGGTGTTTGGAGGTGAATCTCTGTCCGATCCTGTCCGTGACGATCGCTGAGTCGCGGAACATGGGATCGAAAACGAGCAAGTTCACACCTCCGTCCTTCTGCTTCTCGATCCCGATGATTGTCATCGAGTGGCCCGCATGCTGGAAATAGATAGGCGGAAGCGTTGTGCACCGCACCTTGTCCTCCGGGTCGAAGATGCCCTGCTGGAAGTACCTTTCTACGGACGCTAGCATCTGGGCCTCGGCCTTGCCCGGCTGCTCTTTGTTTTTGAAGCCCTGCGCGTCGCATGCGACGCCGAGCGACACGAACATAGCTTGTGCTTCTGGCGTACCGATGTACTTTCGCGTTCCTATGATTCCTCCCGTCTCGATCCTGCCCTGCTTGTTGATGCCCTTGTCCCACGCAGCCTCGACGTAGTCTTGAATGTCGAAAACCGAAGGCAGCTTGTCGTTGAAGTGATGACAGCCTTCAAACTTGGCTCCAATAATGTAAGAGCTCACCGTCTGAATGTTCCTGTAGCCACAGAACCCGCCCTCGCGGCGGAGCTTGGACACGTGCCAAGTGCAAGGGTGGCAGAGATAGGCGTACTCCGTCAGGGACGACTGCTCCAAGAGTTGGGCTATTACTGGGATTATGTCGCGACCGACGGCCTGTCCATACTTGCGAAGGTGAGAGACGAGCCAGTCTGGCATGCGCTGCTCGCTGTGGTACCGTCCCAGCTCGGCCTTACCGAGCTTCACAGGCACCTTCTTGGAGATGGCGCCGTTGCTGGGCTTTGGTGTCGTGCTTGCAGCAGTGCTGTCCGTCTTCTTAGGACGGCGCATGCTAGGCATTGCCAACATATTCCTCCAGGCGGCGATAGCCCGCTGTTGCTTAGACTTTGGGATCTCGACGTAGGTCACGTCGGAGGATAGGTCGCCACCCGACTCCAGCGAAGTTGGCGTTGAATGGCTAGACTCCGGCGCCTGCGCTGGCGGTTGCGGAGTTGTTGCGCGAGAAGCCACATCCTTCTCTTCTGCTTCCTCCGAGTGCAGCTCCAGATGGTAGTCCAGCTCGTCCCTAACCAGGACCTCATTGCAACCGTCAAGGGGACACTCGACATAAGCGTCGCCGACACCGTCTGAGTCCTCAGCCGCATTCGTTGGGTTTGGAAGGCCCTCATCCGGAACAAATGGAGACTTTCCGTCCTCGGGGTGGTAAGTTTCCATGTGCTGGCGTTGGGAGTCAGCGCCACTCGGAAGGGTTCAAAGAAGGTTGGAATGCTGAGGCTCGGCTACGTACCATTAACATTTCATACTCCTCACGCCATTCGCTGGTCCACCCACAGAATGGGCATTCCATGTTACTTAATGAATCTGCCATGTTTGCGTTCTTTTCTTGAGAGGCGGGAAACAAAAGAAAGGTGAGCGGTGGCAGGGTAATCAAACCTGATGTGAAAGCCGGGAGTGTGTCAATGTGTGATTGGGGCCATCAGGTTATTCTTAGTGTCAGGCACTCAGGTCCGACAGACAGTTACAAGAACCACATGACCACATACAAGAAGTATGCGGCGTGGGAGTCTGTCACCGAGGCGATGTGAAAATATAACCAATGCTCAAGTGGTTGGTAGGACTCGCAGGTGCACTTTTGTCAGTTGGCATTCCAGTCACCAAACCCAGCGTCGTGCTTCTTCGTTCATATCAGAAAGGGGAGGTGTAACGGGCGGCAATTCCGAAAAGGGAAACAGCCCCTGAGCCCGCTCCACCTGGACTCAACGGCCTGCACAGTAAGTACGGTACAGAGCTCGGTACACAGCCTGATGGCTCTGCTATACCCGGGTCATTTGATAATTCATTTCTCTCTCACAAAACCCTCTTTACTTTTCATGTAAGGTATCTCTAGGCAGCAAATGCTCACATCACATCACACCATGCCAACTGGCTCAACCATGTCATCTCCCGTCTTCTTGAATCACAGGTTCCAAAGTCTTTCGAGATGCCAAACAGCCAGCTCTACAGATGCAGATCATTCAGATCACCATGTTAGTAGAATCTAGACGGAGGCTTCCTTCAGCTTTTCTGCCACCTTCTCAACAGCATTGGCCGCCGTCTCCGCCGCGCCCTTTGCGGCCTCCTTGGGCTTGGAACCCTTGTTATCCTTCGACTTCTGCTTCTGAGAAGTCGAGTCCTTGGGCAGCTCCTTGGTAAACGGGATGAACTCCGGAGCACCAGGCATGTATTTCCGCAGGGGCTCGGGAACTTTCAGGCCCTAAAGTGAGGAGAAGAGTCAGAGCAAGACTTTACAGGCAATACTGGTGATTAAAACTCACATCTTCAGTCTGGTAGTTCTCAAGGATGCAGCACATCGCACGAGTGGTTGCGCACAATGTCGAGTTGAGACAGTGGACATAGGTCTTCTTGATGTCCGTCTGCTTCTTGCTGCCGAACCTAATCTCCAGGCCCCGCGACTGATAGTCAGTGCAGTTGGAGCACGAGACAAGCTCCTTGTACTCGCCCTGGAACGGGAACCATGCCTCCAGGTCGTACTTCTTGGCGGCAGCATTGTTCAAAGCCCCCGAGACGATCGCAACAATCTGATACGGCAGGCCCAGGGACTTGTAGAACGCCTCCGAGACGCCAATCATCTCGTCGAACATCTCCCACGACTTCTCGGGGTCGGTCAGTACGAATTGCTCCACCTTTGTGAACTCGTGGACTCGGAAGATGCCCCAAGCATCGCGACCGTGTGCTCCTGCCTCTCTCCTGTAGCAGCTGGAGTATCCACCGTACTTCAAGGGCAGATCCGACTTCTGCAGCCACTCATCCGCGTGGAAGGCCGAGATCGGTTGCTCGGAGGTAGCAATCAGGTACTTGTCGTTTTGAGGCTCTCCGTCGACGACCTTGTACAACTCCTCGTCGAAATCAGAGAGTTGGGCGGTCTTGGCCATCATACCCTTCAACATGAATTGGGGTGCCTGCAGCGCAGTATATTCACGGTTCATCAGGAACTCCAGGCCGTAGTTGATCAGAGCTTGGTTGAGGAACGTGCCCCAGTTCTTGAGAAAGTAGCCACGGTGGCCCACAACCTTGGTTCCGCGCTCCGGGTCGTACCCATCTATCCGGGTGAGGACTTCATGGTGGGACAGGACGGCCTTCTTCTCGACAGTGACGCCCTCAGGGGCCCATGTCCGGATGACCTCGTTGTTCGCCTCGTCATTGGACACGGGGACGGACTCGTGCACGATGTTGCCGATAGTGTTTAGTTTCGCCTTCAGGTCGATCTCCTTCTGGCTGGCAGAGTCGATGAGCTCCTTCTTGGACTTCTCGAGCGCGGCTTTCTCCTGGAGGAGCTCGTCGGCATTCTCCTTGTTCTGCCGAGTGATATGTTGATCAGTCGTGGTGCCCCCTCAATACACTGGGCAGGCGGGGCGACAAACCCTCTTCCTCAGGCCAATTGCCTTTTGGGTCTCGTTGATCTTGCTATTGAGCTGCGTTGCAGCATACAGCGTCTTGCGGTGGTCGTCCCATACCGCAATGATCTCGTCGACGATCTCGACGGGAGCGCCACGGCGGCGTTGTGACTCCCTGCGAATGCTTGGTCAACCTCGTGCGTCCTGGGCGACAGCAATACTCAGTCAGGTAAGAACGATGGGCAGGACGCACTTGATCTTCTCCGGGTTCCCACCGCGTTCGGCAATGAAGTCGTTGACGTCGAGCATGCTGGGCAGTTATTCAGGGCTCGTTTGCGCCGCCTCTCTTTGCGATTGAAGTTTTGATCTGGTCTTTTGTCGGCTCACCGTAGCGGGAGGTACCAGAGTACTTGTGGTTGGCGGGGTGTCAGCGACCAGCTAGGCAAGGCATGGGTTGATCTCTGATTGAGTCAGAGCGGGCATACAGCGTTTAATCCTTAATATGTAGGTACCTGGGGACCCGCATTCTTTTGGAGGGGTATGAGGGGTCAGATATATTTGCAGGCAGGGAGCTTCCACAGTGGCACAAAAGAGTCACTCTACCTAGGTATGGCCGCCAGAGACGAGTTCAAGGTGACTAACTCGGCCAGACTTATTACTGACCATGCTGGTGGCTGTACAGCTGGCAGTGCTTTTGGCAGTGTATTTGGAATATGCCTCTATATCTTGAAAGCTATATAGCAGGATTCATCACAACTTCCTGCCCGCGCTGCCCAGTTCAGCCTAATCACATTTGGACTTTGTAGTTCGGCAGATCACTGGCAGGACATAGGACAAGAGGGCGCTCACTGCAAACAAAGTTCCTGTTCACAGCGCCATGTCGAGATATCACTGGCTGAGGTCAAAGTAGACCGAGTTTTGGTGGTTTGCCCACTCATGAGTAGCAATAATCCATGACCACTTGTTCAGAGCATCTGAAAACTCCATGTCCCTTCAAACAGACCTTGAAAGGCAGGATATATCCCCATCCATGTCGTGGACAACGTTGTGCGCATCGTACAGTGAAAACTTGAACCTCTTCAAGCCCGGCAAGCCAAACCTCATACATAGGTATCATTGTCCTCAGCCGTGTCGGCCATCCAAGCCCTTCTCGTTCTTCCAACAACGTATTCAAACGATGGGCATGCTCGTGCGCATGCAAGACAACCAGTACCTCCCCAACCATTACCAACCGGTTTGGCCATGTACCCCTGTCAACAACCTCATCCCGGCTGGTGCTCTGAATACGCACCTGGTATCATTTTCTAGCTAGCCGGCGTAGTTTCGCAAACTATACGGTCACTGCTCTTCACATCACAACGCACTTGCCACCGGCGGGAGGCTCATTAGGATTCTGCGCCTTTTCGATTTGTGCGATGAGAAGATCAAAGCCCCTGCCAACGTTCTCGTTATAGCGAGCGCTGGCCTCAGTCCAGGCGCAGTTGTACTTCTCAGACAGCTTCTTGCCATCTTCCGTGGTAACCTGGCGCTGCTCGGGGCGGAGATCGCTTTTGTTGCCAACGATGACGATGGGAACCCACTCGACGCCCTGCAGAATAATGAACACAATCAGTTTGTGGTTTGCAAGTCGCACGCAAGTGATGGCGGGGTTAGGAGGAGCTTTTGTTGTTTGTGGAAAAGTGCGGGGGGTTGGCGAAGGGGCCAGGCTTACCAGGTGATTGAGAAGCTTCTCACGAATGACTTGGACCATCTCAAAGGACTGCAGAGACGCAACCGAGTAGACCAGCATATAACCGTGGATACCGATAAAGTGCTTGCTGTTCATTATGCTGTACTCGTCCTGTGTATCAAAGTCAAGATCAGCCTCCAGGCTGTATGCAGCATCAGAGCAATTGGGAAAACTGACCTGGCCGGCGGTGTCGATGATCTCGGTCGAGAACTCCTGGCCTTTGTACTTGATGATCTTGCTGAAGGTGTTCTCGATTGTAGGGTAGTAGCTCTCGACAAAGTGGCCGTCGACAAACTGGACCGCAAGCGAGGACTTGCCTGTGTTGTCACATCAGTTCTCCAATCGCAGTTGCAAGCATGTGATAGCCAGCATCCACTGTGACAGCCCACAGCAACGAGGTCGCGTGCGCGAAAGAAAAGAGGACTGCAAGATGCCCAAGTGGTCGGTCTGGCGGATTTATAGTGAACAACCGAGAATTCGACTTACCAACAGAGCGGCTGCCGACAATAGCGACCTTCCTCGACTTTGATGGTGCCATTACTCCTATGTGAAGGTGACTGAGGTCCTTCCAATCCTCGATTTCGCACTTGACAGTTCTATACTTGTTGGGGTCGTCCTCACCTCTAGGTGTTATCTAGAGATGAATTGGCGGTCTGAAAAGGGTGTGAAGCCCGATTCAGACTGGGAGAGAGGTATCGGAAAGAAGTGAGGTGTTGTAGAGAAGAGGGTGTGGAGGACGGCGTGAAAGTGAAGGAAAGGGCGACGGCAGGATTGTTGCCCCCCAATGCCCCAATGCACGTTACGTCGATTGATGCTACAGTGGGGGGTCAACGGGCAGGCACGCAGGGATGAATTGAGCTTCTAGAACAACTGGGCTCGAGCTGGGCACTAGGATGCCTGGGTACCTACATAGCGTGAATCGTAGGGATCTAGGTACTTGGCCTTGGGCTGTAGAGTAAAGGGGCTTTGGTTGGGTGGTTGGGCACTCAGTCATGGAGCACAGGTTCCTGGCCTGCTCAACCTTCCACATATCCCACATAGGCAGCTTTAACCCAAGGCAAGCTGACATGCACACAGCGGGGCCATACTCCGGCCGCGGCACATTTACACGGCGTACTTGAAACTGGTGGTCAAGTCATTTCGCAAGAACTTTTTTTAACTGAAGCGCTACATCTAGAATCACCACACCCACAATTGCTGGTTTCTAATGGTATTAGTGTGCTGAGAGAGTGTGCTTTCAGTCCTAGACAAAATCAACAGGCTTCTTCTGGATGTAATGTGTGTCTGGTTCTCTATCAATCAAGCAAGCCCCTAGCATGTAGTGACTATTTCCTTAAATCATAAACATCATGAAATCGTACACCGCTCAAGCTATTTACCACCCGCGAATCTACGGGACAGCCTCACAATCCTCCTCATGGGTATTATCTTTTTTCTGAAAAGTCAACGAGCCCACTCCATCAAAAGTGTATTCCGCCCAATGTACCTCTGAGCCTCCCTGCGGAGATGCCTCTCTTCTTCACCAACACCATGCTCAGTATGAGAAGCCCGCAAAATCCCTCCATTTTGCACGAGTATTGTTCATTTTTATGCATAGCTTTCCAGTCGCTCCACAAGGCCCTGCAGCTTCGTCGTAAAGCTCGAGTAGAGAGGTGCCTGGCCGTCACCGGCCTGCGCGATTGCGTCGTCTGTCATACGGTGGTACGCGATGAATTCGCGTATCGACTCCAGTAGAGGCGCAAGATTCCCCGCTTTGTGCATGGAGCTGAATCGCTTTCGAACTGGCTCATACAGAGACATATAACCAAGCAGCAATGACAAATACCCGAAAGCGACATTCAGCTGGCTCTTCTCCACCGAATCCGCCTGTGAAAAGTGTTAGTTCAAAATGTCCAACAGCGTATTGGCATCTTCTGAAGGGAACGTACCTCAGACGTGGCTGCGTGGTGATCAAGGAAGAGCCTGATAAGCCTGTCGAGTGGAGCCTGGCTATCATCTAGAGCGCTGAGAAGAGCCCCGCCTGTATTGCGATCGTGTTCGGAGAAATTGATCATGACGCCCAGCATCAGCAGCAGTGCTTCAAGGTGACTGTTGAAAACATCCGCGTCATCAATCGCGGCCGTCGCTGTCTGAAAGGTGTCACACAGCGCGTTGGCAAGCGTTCGCACGGTGCCTTTCTCAATAAAGGCCGTTGCAGCGTCATGGTTGTTGTTTGCGGTGTTGAGGGTCAACTTGAGGACGAGGAGACCAACTTCTCCCAGACGACCGTTGCTGCGCCGGAGTGTCGTGCCAAGCGTGTCTGCAATGATCGGTAGGTGCTTGAAAGTCCATCTATCCTTCGACTCGGTCTGCATGGCCTGGACTGAGTAAGATTCCAACAGCGTCAGTGCTAGATGAAAGTCTATAGATTCATCTGTGCGCGGATATTTCCAGGAGTCGGGCTCAGACGCGTCTGCCAGCAGCGAAAACAGTTGGTCTGTCACTTCAAGAGAGAACAATTCGCTCTCGACTGACCCCGAGTGCTTAACAACAAGTTCCAAAGCCTTGAGAGCCAATCTTCTGGGCGACAACATGAAAGGCGTAGTTGGTTCCCAGATTGGGAGAATGAGAAGAGACGCCTTCAGCTTCGACATGGCTTGCTGTCCATTCCTTGACAGATTGCTTGTGCTGTCCTTGGAAATCGGTTGAATATCAGCCGGGATGGCGAGCAGCCGTTTAAGCAGCAAAGACAAGCCCTGTCCTTGGAGCTGGCTCATGATATGGGTCGATGCCGTTGAGGCCAGGAGTGTCGTCAAGATAGCCACCAGCGCATAACCAGCAATGATATCTGTCTCTCTGCCAACCTGCTCAAACAGACTCCTGTCACCGTTGTGGTCACGAAACTTGCGAACAAAGCTCTTGTCTGACATTTTCTGCGACAGCTCGACCAGGGCATTGCGCCTGCTCGATGTGGTCTTGCCACTCGGTCGGCCAATTCGTGCGAGCAAATCTTCGATCTCGTCTGCGAACCGGCTGTTCGCGCCAGCCTGTCTAAGCTCGTGTATGCTGCGCACGGCACCTTTGGTGAATGGCTCATCGTCATCATCGTCATCCATATCAAACTGAGAACCACCAGTGGGCAGAAGAGGCTCCTTCAACCACGCGTCCTCGTCGACAGTCTCCAGGCCGCCGGTCGAGCTACCTTCCGCAAGGAGCGTTCTCCGGGCACTGTACGTCACTTTGGGGCCTGACCTCTTCTTTGCAGAATCTGGGCGCCCAAAACTCTTGGGAATCTTTGGCTCAGGCGTGCTGGGGAAAGTCGGCAAATCCTGCGGCTCGGGTGTCCGGCGCAAGTTTTGGGACCACTCCGCAGAATCGTCGTCGTCGTCCGAGCTCTCATCCGCCTGAGCCGCCAGCTCATCGATCAACCTTTTGCGCTTTCGAGTTGCAGATCCATGCTGGCGTTGTGAGTCACCAGTAGTGGGGCTCACCTTGGAAGTTGATGCCTTTTCTTGGCGTGCTCCCGGAATGCTGCGCGGGGTTTGACCTGGTCGGAAGGGGATCTGCGTCTGCACGAGCTCTTTCCTGGTTTTGTTGATGCTGAAAGTCTTCAGATTCTTCGGGATGGCGGGAGAAAAGGGCACACTCTTGGCAGCACTATCTTTCATTGCTGTATCCTTCTGTGACGTTTTGGCTGAGCCGGCGGAGGAGACTCGTAAGATCGATTTTGGTTTTGTTGTCTTGGGGACGGTCTTTGGCGGCGGCATGGCCTCGTGAGGTGGTGACGGAAGAGATGGAGGCGGTGACGGTGGCGTCGAGTAAGCGCGCGCGCGAAAGCCTCGAGAATCTCCATGAGAGGGCGACGTTTTCCTCCGCTTTGGATTCGGGAGGGCTTTTGCCTGCGCTACCGCTGGTTTTGGGGAGACCTCAGAAACGCGGCGTGTCTTTTGTTCGATCTTGCGACCGTATTGCTTGAACTTGGGCTTTGTGGGCAACGTGACGACCGGGCTATTAATCTCGTCGTCATCTTGGAAGTCCCAGATGGTGCTGGATTCAAGCGGAGCAGTGACGCTCCGTCCATCTTTTCCCTTTTCCTCTGGCCGCGACCTTCGTCCAAATGCTTTGCTGTATGTTGTGACGCGCCTGTTGCGGGAGAGGCCGGCGCCTTTTGGAGTGGCCATCATGGTGCTCGGTCTAGGCTGGCAGCGTTCGCTGCTGATGGGGGTTGAGGTCGAGTTGAGATTCGAATGCAACAGAGCCTATGCGGAAGAGGAATCGACATCTGATGGGAGCGAAGCTCATTCGGTTATGGGCAGTTTATGCAGGTCTCGTATCAACGATTCAATGGAGTACACCGCTGACGCGACTGGCAGGGGCGGATGGAGGACTGCTGATCAGCGCAGAGGTTGACGTGAGCGAGGGCCTTCCGGCTTCTTATTTCGCCTTGTATGAATGGAGCCGCGTGGTCTGTTCGCATCTGCTGGGTGGAGGTTCTGGAATGAGTGTAATGGGCGAGTGGTTGCAACCAGGTTTTTGTCTGTTGATGGATGCGACCAAAAACAAAGGCTGGGTCGACGGTCCTGAACGTTTCGCCGTCAGGGGTCCTCTGCGCTAAGGATGCAACATCCGTTGGAACGGAGAGGGGGGCGTCATTCCCCCAAAAGCCAACTCAAAGAGGACCGGCAGGCACGATAAGCGGCATCACTGCATCGGTGGTCACTGGCAGGTGGCAGGGCAGGAGGGGCAGCAGCTAACTGCCTTAGGTACCCAGGTACAGCAAGCTGCTTGGCTGCTTGGGTACAGCGCGCTCTAGGCCCCGCCTGCCCGCGATAGGCACTCTGGTCGGTCGGGGCTTATCACAAACTACAGGGCTAATGGCCTTAGCTGGGCAGGGGCAGGCGCAGCTTCAAAAAGGGTCTGTATTTCACCAGAGCACCCCTCAGTTCTCAATTCAAGACAAGTATAGGTTCTCAAAAGTCGGTCATCCTTCGCTCCTCAGAAAGGGTGAGAAGAGAGAAAAAAAAGTAAAAAACCAAATCATACCCTGAGGATCATCCCTACTATAGCCTTTCAGGCGCATAAACAAGTGCAATATCACAAACTCCACACCCACCTGACCGGCATTCCTAACACGAGCGGAGACCACCTGCGCACTCACGATGTCGTCTAAGAAAGTCGAGGAGGGAGGCAGGTCGTCCGCAGCTCCCACACAGACCGTGGGCCCGGACTACCGACCAGACAGTCAAAAGCCCCAAGCAACAGTGTCGAAGGAGCCAACCCAGAAGAATGTGACCGTCCTGAACCAGACGCCCCAGCTCATTGCCCTGCTCACGTGAGTCGCTCCCATCCCCGGTAGAGTGAGCCCCGAGCACTGAACCACCCCCCAGGAAGATCCGTGACAAGTCCACCGACCGGGGCGACTTCATCTTCTACTCAAACCGCATCATCAGGTTGCTGGTGGAGGAGGGGCTCAACCACCTGCCGACCACGCAGCACACCGTCGTGACGCCCACGAACCAGCACTATGACGGCCTCTCGTTCCAGGGCAAGATCTGCGGCGTGTCTATCATGCGGGCCGGCGAGTCCATGGAGCAGGGGTTGCGGGAGTGCTGCCGGTCAGTCCGCATCGGCAAGATCCTGATTCAGCGCGACGAGGAGACCGCACAGCCGAAGCTGTTTTATTCCAAGCTGCCCGAGGACATCGCCGATAGATGGGTGCTTCTTCTGGATCCCATGTTCGCAACTGGTGAGTCTGGCTGCCCAGCCATGGTGGAAAGGGAATTGGATGTGTGCTGTGTGATGAGTGCTGATTGGTGGCAGGCGGCTCCGCGACAATGGCCGTAGAGGTGCTCAAGGAGCGCGGCGTCTCCGAGGACAGGATTTTGTTCCTGAATCTCATCTCCAGCCCTGAGGGTACCGAGAGGTTCTCGGCTAAGTTCCCTAAACTGCACGTTATCACCGCATTTATTGACCAGGTAAGCTCACTTCAGACAAGGAAGGCATACACCAGGTTCTTGAAGCTGACACTGCAAATAGGGACTCGACGACAAGAAGTTCGTAACTGGCTCCCACCACACGCTGTGCTTGTCTTGCTAACACGAAGTAGCTATATTGTCCCAGGGCTGGGCGATTTCGGCGACAGGTTCTTCACTATGTGAAGTAACGCCGTCGTGCCACTGTCCAGTAAATCTCCCAAGCCCTTCTTTCCACACTTCGTCCAAAAACGAGCCCGCTGACGTTGTCTCACAGTTCACTGATCAATTGGCTAGGCGCTCGTGATCCTCGAATTCGATCTCCTGCGTAAAGACTGGTCCGCTCCCAGCGGTCCTTCCCCTTGGCTCCAGCTTCTGCGCGTCTTGGATGAATAGACTGTAATCATCTTTTCGTCAAGCGCTTGACTATCGTAGAGGGCATCCTCGCCTGTGGTGGAGCAATGATAAGGCATGCGTGTGCCCAAGCTGTGCGTCCTCGACCACATTCAGTGGTCGATAGCTTCCGCCTAGTCAACGGTGGACGGTCGACGACCTGTTTTCTAGGTCTCTCTTATTTAGTACTCCTCATCGTCTCCCACGATCCCGTCCCCACTGTATTGCGGATGGCCATCGTCGCTGTTGTTGGCTGTGTCTCTGTCTTTGCGTGTCGCGCGACTGGCCTCTGCGTAATCCCGTACGGCTGCACCGCTGCCTCCGTCCTTAGCAACCTCCTCTGCCGCATCAACCCATTCACCGTAGACGTCCACTGCAGCCGACAGGTCTGTTGCGCTCATGCTAATTAGCCGTGTTCTCTCGCATACCCGGATGCAACGTGGGTGCGCGCGGGTTATGGTCTGGTTTCTCGGGGGCTTGAGCATACAGTTGACGGTGCACTGGAAGCGCTGTCCGCAGACCTTGCATTCCAGCGAGCCGATTCCGGCTTTCTTATCGATCTTAACGGTGACGGAATTCTCGTGGTTGCAGAAGAGACAGGTGAAGACGGTGGGGAGAGGGTCGCCCTGGAGCCCGCGCAGGGCTACGTTAGCTGTTGCGCAGACAGAATCGAGGACGGACGAGATGGCCAACCAACCCTCTTCTTGCCCTGGGGCGCGCGAGAGCTCTTCTTGCGCTTTCCCATGGTTCCGGCGGTTGCGAACTAATCCGTGGATGGTTCAAGGCCGGGTGCAGAATGCGCCGTGGCGATACTTGGTTGTCGTCGGAAGGCTGGGCGCAAGTTGGAAATGGGCTGAAATCAAAAATGCAGTGCCCGATTCCTTTCCCGCTGTGAAAACGGACATGCGATTAGCGGCTGGGGCTGCCCCTGCCTAAAGGCTGAATGGGGTGGGACGGGCTTGCTTGCTGCATGCAGGCCATTCTGAAATATTATACTCTATAACCTCCCACATGTACCTAATTGGACCAAATAATATTTCTTGCTTCTGTGGGACTACTTGCATCAATCACAATTATAACTGAACGCACTCCCGTAGATTACCCCTACCTGTTGATCCAGATCTGTCTCCCAGGTAGACGAGACGATTCTGCTTGCCTAAGTACCTATGTATCTATATAGTCCGTGCCAGCTTAGTCTCCACGTTACTGCCCTAGCAGGCGGAGGGCGGCGGGTGACGGACGGGCTTATCAGTACGTCACGTCGGCTTGCTGGGTGTGGAGTTTCAAAGGCCGCCATAGTAGGAAGAGGCATCTACTGTGTAGCATGCTGCATGTGTACTACTACCAGGGCGCATACTTGCATGACTTGCCGAGGTACACCAACACTTTCTTTGTTGAGGCCGGCTTCAGATGGTCTTTCCCAGATATGCAGCTTCAAAGGAGAAGTAGACCTTGCTTCAACATCTCCCAGGGGGTGGTGGCTTGCGAATCTGGCGGGTGCTGTGTAATATGTGGCCTATCACCTACATATGCAATGCAGAAAACATTCCACTCGTCAAACAAGCCACCTCTCAGGTCTGGACGGTTTGTATATTGATGCCAGCAACAGTAGGGCAACAGTTGAGGCACAGGCACCAGCAGCGGCACCAGAAGCAGGGGATCAGCTACATGCAATCAGATGGATCTCCCGCCAAGCGGATCAAACCAACGCCCCACAATGGCCCCGTGCCGGCAACTCTAAGATCCTCCCCCGCTACCTGAGCCGCAGCTCGCTGACGGCCCAGAGAGCCCTGAGTGTCAACTGACCATTGCCTCTTTCAGAAGCTCGATCTTGCTGTAGCATCCTTGGCCGTGCAGCCCAAGCTAGGCATGCTTGCATTCCCGCGCCTCCTGCTTGCCCAGGTGATAACGATTCGATTCCAACCGGCAGCAGTCGGTTCGCTCGGCTGGCCAAAGTGGCTGGTGCGTGCAATGTATCTCTATAATAACATAGCTCCTTGCTCCTATTCTTCTCCCACGATCTCCCTCTCTTCCCTCCCTCTCCTCTCTCTTCTTCGCTTCTTTTTACCTGTGTCCGGTGTCTCACCGCCCCCTCCTAGCAGACTGTGATAGACAAGCCAAGCCCCGAAAGGCCTTGGGAAACAACTCCAGCTTGGTTTTGGGTCGCCCGTGAACAGTCTAGAGCCATCAGAGATTCCCCGCTCCCTGGACCCGTGAATGTTGACTTGTTGAAGCAATATCGTCAACTGTTCCAGTGACTATCGATCCGCTCAGGACAATCAGAATAGGCACTACGAGATTTGTGTAGGCTGTCGTAACCTCTCCTCTCCTCCAATGGCCTCCAACGGTGTAGCTTCCGGGCTCAGCCTAGAAGATGTGTATAGCCAGTTGAAGACGATCCAGCAGAAGCAGGATGAGCTCCTCTCTGTCGTGGAATCCATGTCCCACGGCAATGCTCAATCCTCCGCAGCACCCGGTCTGCGACCCTCTCCGGCATTGCAACAGCAGAACGAACAGGAGAATGAGGACGCCGCTGCCACATCAGCTGCTGCTCTGGCCGCCAAGTCTACCGCGACGCCCCCTCTGCGTCCCACGGACTCCTCCGACTCCCCGGTCGGCAGTACGTCGCCGTCACAGGCTTCGCAATTCTCGTCCCGCATCATCTTGACGTGAGTTATTGTGCTGGAGCCTTTATGCAATATGCGCCAAGTCTGACACCTCATAGGACCTACCCTAAGCAAACTGGCATCAAGCCCATTCCGTTGGACTGGGGCGCTTCTGAACCTCTCCAACGTGGTCCAATTGTGGTCTCGCGCTACTCGAGTACCATCCGGAGACGTAATGGTATGTAAATCACTTCACGGCGTAGAGGTATATACTAACTTTGTATAGCTATCGGCGGTCAGTCCAATTTCCATGACCAATCTCACACACTTGCTGACCCGCAGGCTTTGCTCAGCTCATGGAGGCTCTTATTCCATCTACTACGCGCTGGCTCTCGCCAGCAAGGAGCTGAAGGCTGATCACCGGTATGCTACCCTCGTGAGTATGGGATTGTGAGCTCAAGTGTGGCTAAGAACTTGTGCGCAGGCCTGACTTCACCAACACGGAGCCCGCAGCCGAAATTGGGCCCTTTCCTCAATGGGGAGACAAGAAGAAAATTGTAGCCATGGACCCCTGGGGTCATGTCGCCCCGTGGCTGTTTAAGGACCTGGTCGAAGGGGAGGACGGTACGTTAGGTATACACGGTTTCTGTAGGATACGTTCTGACGTCGCGTAGTTGATATCCGACCAACCATTGCCATCACGAAGGCACACATGAAGGTAATTTCATGGACCGTAAAGATGATGAAGGACTCATGCTGATCGATTTGTAGCTTCCCGAGTTGGAGGACAGTGTGCGCAAAGGGAGACTGTGGGTCTTCCTCACTGTTGCCGAGGGGCTGGAACAGCCAGCTCTCTCGCAGGTTCCAGATGTCTACAGTGCTTCCACTAACTATTGAGTCAATAGTGTGCCGGATGGCAAGATCTGTAAGAACGCTTCAGGCGAGCTTGCTGTGACAAAGTTTGCTGTCGAACCAGCTTGGTATCTGCCCGGAGTGGCCGAGAGGTTTGGCATTGGTGGGTTCCCTCATGAGAGCATCCGGCGTCTGTATTCTAATCATACTGACAAATGTAGACGAGGGTACTCTCCGAAGGTATCTCTTCGAGTACACTGGCGGCAGCTATCCCGAGGTGAGATATTTCCATGCCGGCACTGGGAGACAATATTTGAACAGTTCTGACATATTCTCAGCTGATAACCCGTGGAGATATCAAAGTCTTCCTGCCACCCATTGGTATGTATATCGTGGTTAGGCCCAGGGAGTCTACCGACAGCATCTAACAGCTTGCAGGCGGGTTGACCGTTTACTGCTTCGGCGATCCAGCCAACATGTCCGATCCCAACAAGAAGCTCGCGCTACGGATCCACGACGAGGTGAGACAGGGCGAGACCGACGAAAGTCGCGTGCAGAGATAACTAACGAGACATAGTGTAACGGGAGCGATGTCTTCGGCTCTGACATTTGCACCTGCCGGCCGTATCGTGAGTTTGACCGCATTTACTTGAGGCATCCTCGACACTCCGGAGAGGTGACGACGAGTGTAACTGTGCTCTTGAGCGCCGCACAGCTCTTCTCCGGGGCCACATCTTGTACGGAGTGCTAATTCCATCTTGTTCTCAGTTATTTTCGGAATCGAGGAGGCCGTCAAGGAAGCCCAGAACGGAGGTAGCGGCGTTGTCATCTATTTCCGGAAAGAGGGCAGGGCTCTAGGTGAAGTCACCAAGGTAAGTATGGTGGGACTACAGCCTTATGTGACTAGCTAACAGATTTGTAGTATCGTAAGTGTCACCGTTACTCCAAGATCATCCCGGTCTCGCTATTGTCGGCGTGGTTGCGAAGAGGCGACACGAGCACCGTGAAACGCCATCTCGCACCAAAATCGATTTCTTGACTAACACTCGCCACAGTGGTGTACAACGCTCGGAAGCGTGGTGAGGACCGGGCATCCGACTACTTCAAGCGTACAGAGAATGTCGCCGGCGTGAAGGACATGCGGTTCCAGGCCCTAATGCCGGACATCTTGCACTGGCTCGGTATCACCAAGATCGACAGGATGTTGAGCATGAGCAAGTACGTACTTGTGCAATGTTGCACGGCGCCGATGGGGGCGCTGTTCAACACCCACCTCCCCTCACTTGGCGGCCGAATCGATCACTAGTGACTAACGTTTATATGAACTGCAGCATGAAACACGACGCCATCGTCGGCCAAGGGTAAGAGATGGTCGCACATCCTGAGTCTGTCTGGGTCACATGCGGCCGGCGGAGGTTCTGTTCCAGAGAGTCGGTCTTACTAACGGGTGCCTCCTTTTCTTCCTATCTAGGATCCCGATCCACGAGCGTGTCGAGCTGCCCGAGTCTTGGATCCCTGCGGACTCGCGGGTCGAGATCGACGCGAAGATTACAGCCGGTAGGTAGAGACCCGAGAGGGTGCCTTAGTCATCGCCCATGAGACGAGAGCGAGCTGACGGGAGTGCCTGCAGGATATTTCACGACCGGCCATAGAATGACGTCCGACGAGCTCAAGGCCGTCCAGGGCAGGCTGTGGGAGGAGTAAGTCCCAGAAACCGTCCCAACCCCGAACCAAGTGGCCCGGTGACAAGGCCGGGCCGCAAGGAGTGATCTTGGGCTGACATGAGCGTTTCTTGTTCTGCAGTGTCGACCACTAAATCGAGGGGCGGATTGTCCCGATCTAGGTCATTGTTGTACCTTGGGAAACGTAACCCCGGAACCACCCGTATGTATGCAAGCAACTTGAGTAATGTGTCCATGGCTTTGGGTAGGTGATTGGGTTGATACAGGGGGTAGATGAAAATTAGACTGAAATACATTGAATGCTTCACTGCATTTGTTTTGTCAGTGTTCTTGTCTCCCATGGCCGTGTTTATTGCCGATCGGGTTTGCTTTCCACGAGGCCTGATTCACAAGCGCAAAAGTTGTCACGAGGAGAGGGACAGGGTTATACTGTCTGCCGGGTACGGCAAGCGTCATGTACAATGTAAATGGGCTGTCGTTGGGCTGAGCCTTGATCGACAACGCCAGCGGAGAGGAAAGTAATCAATTAACCCCAGTCACCATCCAGAAGCTCTTCGCCAAGCGACGGTGGGCAGATGACGGGTGATGGAGGCAATCTTCCCCGGTGTGAACCTTGCAAACCTTGTATTCGTTCAGCCCACCGGCCATTCGAGAGGATTATAGTATATTGGCCCCAGCAGGCAGGCAGGCAGGTAGCAAGCACACGGAGCCTAAATAGAGTACGGAGCACAGATGCGCCCAGGCGCTCTCTGACAGACAAGACCGTGGTTGCGCAGAGTCTTACGGCAGCGGCTTCTATGATGGAATTGTACAACGCGAGAAGGCCGATCCGTCATCTCAGCACAATCCTGACAATAGCCGGTTAAATCACTTGAGTCTTTGGGCGGGACAAGGGGGAGGGCTGTTGATTTCGTCCGAAACGAATCAGCCCAGATCGCGAATCCATGCAGTGCCGTCGGAACATCGAGCGGTCGACACGTGGTAAAGAAGGGCCTTACTGCCCCTTGCACCCGTATCCACCGACAACGGCGGGGAACGCGGAGAGCCGAGGAGCCCACGACGAGACAGGCGAGGAATCACGAAATCTCTGTCCCAGGAGGGATTAGATATCCCCATGACTGATAGGGTGAAGGGCGCCCGTGCCGATTCTGGCAACCGTATGGAACCAAATAGAGCGGGACTCGCGCCCGAATAACCTCGATTGGTCCTGGGCGGCATTTTGTGCATGTGGAGTGGTCGCGTTTGATGACTATGCGGCGTTGACCGGCTGCAGGACTGAGCTGACAGGAGGTTTTCGATTCGAGGAGGCCGGTGGATGGGGCTTTAGGCCGGGCCAGTGAAGTCAACTGGAGACAAGCGCGTGTGGGTGGGTGTGTGTGGTTCTCGGTCGAACTCGGCATGGAGTTAAAGAGAGACTGAGGCAGGCGGCAGACCGACGACGGGCTCGGGTTTCGTTCGTGGTGTTCGAAGAAGCGCGGGATAATCCATCATCCATCCGTCATGAGTGAAGCCTGACAATCACGGGCTTGTCTCGTGCTGTTTGTTCGCTCTCCTTGTAGGCTCTGGGTCGCTCACTGATTTCCTCCAACCGGAGCAACTGTCCAGCAGGCCAGGCAGAGGACGCGTGTGCAGGGCAGTACGCTGGTTGCTGCAGGCAAGACACCCGGCAACGACGAGGAGCAGTGGGGTCTGGGCCTTTGCCGGTGGTCGCGGCGGACGAGTGAGGTGTTGCGGTTTGTAGCCTGGCAGCTTGGCTCCCTCTGCCCATCCTGTGCCATCCTGTCAGGAGCCTGTCAGGAGCCTGTCAGGCCTGTTTCCCCATCCTGTGCCAGGTGTGACGACCGCATCTTGCAGAGTCCAGACCTGTTGGCCGGGCCACTGGCCACCACCGAAAGAGGTCGCGGCCACAGGCAAGCACCAAGCAACCACTGGCACCGGAGCAACACAACAAAGCATGGGGCAGACAAGGCTGTTTGGCAAGCCTGGGTGACCCCAGGCGCTGTCATCCAATGCGACAGTTCGAGAACCGTGCAGTGCATGCAACCTGGCACTATACCAGGGAGCCAGCGAACCAAGGGGGTGGTAGCCAGCAGCCGGTTGGCAGGAGCCGTTGACCACTGACCACGGAGGTGCTGTGCTGGAGCCTGTGATGTGGTGTGTTGTTGTGCTGTGTGCTGTGTGTACTATGTAGACTATGTGCTTAATGGACTACTACCAGCAACACCATGTATCAGTGCCCGACCCATTACCCATGCCCGCCTGCCCGCCTGCCCGCCAATCCATCCTTGCACCCACCATGCCGCTCATGCTGCCATGGTGCCTGGAACTAAGGCCGAGCCCAGAACTCTCTCCTCCCCCCTCCCTTCCAGGCCCTCCAGCATTTCCTAACCACTTGGCCACCACCACCATCCGCGGCACCACCACCAGCGGCCCGCACGCCTCGTAACGGCTCGACGCCTGTGGAAGCTATTACCCAACCTTGGGGAGGTGAGGAGACGCTTACGCTCCAAGACGAGGACAGTGTGTGGTGGTACACGACAGGTGGCAAAGCTCAAGCTTCGCAGCACAAACCTCACAACAGACCGAGAAAAGCCGCGATGTGTGCGTGCGCGTGTTTTTTTTTTCCTTCTGTCATTCTCGCTGCTTCTCCCATCACTCCATTCCGTAACTGGTCTTGACTAGTGAGAAGCTCCATTGCTTACTTCCCTTTGTCTTGTTTTTTTTTCTCTCTCCCTTCCCCTCACTGTGTGTGGTATGCATGTACCCCTGCGTCAGAGAAGGGAGAGGGGGGCTCAGGTGGGAAAGACCGCATCGAGACCGTGCTGGTCCCACGCTGCCACGATGGGGTTGACGGGTCGGAATGCACAGCCAGGTGGGCGTTGCGGACCTGTCTGGGGTACGTACTGCACGCGACGCACAGTACTCGCTCCGTACAGTATCACACCACAGTACGCAGGCCTGCTTCTATTTATTCACCACTGTACGTACCGTGCTACGCTCTTCTGTGGACTTTGGCTTGTGCCGCGGCCAGCATTTCAGCCCAAGTGGGCTGGCGGGCAACGGCAATGACAAAGACAAAGGGAGGGAGAGTGTATGGGTCTAGGTTCTAGGTTCTCTGAGCAGTAGTACACGGCGTGCCGGGCTCCATGCATACGAACCAGGCATAATACATATTGCCCACACACGCACGCCCAATACACACCCACTCGCTCTCACCTTCGGTTTGTGATGACCGTTTCATTACTACCTCCCAATAGTCTTGCTCTCGTTCTATATCCTGCTCGACCTCTGCTTGCATACAAGACTTGAAATAACCTCCCTACCCCCGTCTCCCACCAACACCACCAAACACTTACACTCATCTCACCCAACACCTCCCTCCAATATTACACACTCTCCTACCTGCAACTCGCAGCCCTTTCGATTACGCAAGTCGTCATACTCAAGCTCAATGCTCGACAACATCAACAACCTCGTCATTTACATTCCCAGTCTCTTTCACTACGTGTCAGATTCAGACGACGACATGGCATCACCAACAGAGTCTCGACGGGGCACTTCTCAGAGGAGGGACTCGTCCAGGTCAAGCGTCAGCCGGCGTCCACGACTTCTACGCTCAAGCGCAACCGAGCCTTCGATCACGCCGTCGACCGCCAGCCGCAACGCCCTGGCAACCCCAGGCACAAGCCGGCGGGCAACCGACCTGCTGAACCAGGTCGCCATCTCTACCTCACCACCAAACTCGTCCTCGCCTCTCTCGCAGAGCCCGACCATGTACGATAGCCCGGCCAGGATTGCGAACGACCATGTCGACCTGGACGGATTCCGCCCCCACCTAGGTATGTCATCATCCACCAAAGTGTTCCTGATGTTTCGCGCCATTTGTGCTGACGTGGGGGTTTCACAGCGGACTCTGGTCGCTATTTCAGTTTCCCGAGCTTCGACACCTGGCAGCCCGACCACCCAGAGGAGGAGCGGGAGCCTCAGATGCAATCCCCCTGAGTCAATGAAGCGCTGCCACCGTCTTGGAGTTCTTGGATGGAACGGCAATGGCAACTACGAGGAATTTGGATTTCAGCATGCCCGTCCGATTGAAGACGGCATTGCATTCACCACCCCCCTCCCCCATTTCCCATCCCCTATGCGTGGATTTTCAAGCCGCGCTGGGGTGTCGACGAAGCAGCTGAGCAAGATGCCTCTGCTCGCTGGGATTTCAGGCCAGCCACGTCCTGCTGGGGAGAGGGGAGATTCGGCCCCGGACAATCGGTAGGCCAGGGGGATGATCATGGCAGGGGAGAGGACATGGGCTCAGGATGAGGTCATAGGGCTGGTCAACTTCCTTCAGCGATGGCGTACAAGGCGTTCAGAACAGGATATGACAGCTTTCCAGACGCTCTCCTTTGAGCCTAGACCTGCATGGATGAAGGCTAGGAAATGCAGGCGTCCAGAACTGGCCCGCTTGTTGGCCGGAAAGGACGGAGGAGTCCAGGGGAGAGACGGGGAGACATAGAGAGAAAAAAGGAGGGCCCGCATACACTGGGAGCATACAGTATGCGAAGGCACCACATTCCACGATACCCAACTGCATAGCCCCACAATCAATCACGATCATTGAACCATCAATCAAGTACTGTGCAAAAACAACAACCCACAGAAGAGGAATCGTGATCCCGTGCTAGCATCGGCATCTCCATGCAGCTTGGCCGCTCTGGCCGTGCCTCCGGGAGACCGTTACTTCGGTCTGGGCCCCCTAGCTGCTCCCTCCTGACCTCGTGCCTGACAGATCCGGTCCAACCGCGGAACAGACCGAACCTTCTGTGGGGCACCCGTCGCATGGCAAGCTTCCTACTTGAAGCGAGATAAAGTGACAGAAAGCATGTTACCCCGTAAGGTGGGAGCGGGAGGTTGACAAACAGGGATGGCCGATGTTAAGGCGGTGAGCCCAATTCCGCTCAGCTAGGTGAGGTCATTGCCCATAGCTCTTCAATTTGACCCTCAGCTCCCCAGCACCCCAGGTGAGGCCGGCTGGCAGGGTAGGTGAGCGTGAGAGATAGATGAAGTGCCGCGGCAGGAATGGACTTGGAACATGCGGATGCGGCATTATCAATCCTGCTGCCGAGACGGGGTGACGGGGCGGATTGCGCCGTTGCGATGTCAGTGATGGATTTAGGTTTGGATGGAGCTCACGTAGAACTTCACCGAAGCCAGTGTTGTGATTGCATGGGCTTGATCGGCAAACCCTCAACCGACTGACCACGTTCGGTTCCCGAGTGACTTGACGTGTATTGCTCCCGGTGCCGATCTCACTAGTGAACAGTTAGGTTGGTGAGTGTTGTCGTCGTCTTACGGGCTACCAAGACTTCCAATGCTCAAGACAGTTGTGTTCCGAAATTGCTGTGCCTGCCGCTGGACGCGGCTGTCTGTTTCCAAGTGTTTCCAGTAGACACCGCTTCGGCAGCACTCAAAAATCTGGGTCCAATCGTTCTGTTGGCGTCCTGTTGGCTTCCTGTAAGACCACTTGTTCAGGCTGCCACGCAGCCCAGCTCATGGGCCTGGAACAGTTGGGCATTCCTTCATTGCTGTTCTTAGCTCGCCCGCGACTCAGGGCAAGCTTTCGGGCAGTTGGGTCGAGTAGGCGTCCCGGGGGAGATGCATGTGTCCAATGGAGATCGGCATCAAAGCCAATTCCAGTCCGGGGGGCTTGCTCTTGAAGAGCCGTCAAGGATATTCAGGAACGGGATGGGCTAAAAGCATATCATGTTTGGATGCATTTGCTGACAAAGCATTTCTATATCGGGGTGGTATCTCGCTAATGAAGTCCATGAGCTCCCCGGGGCGCTAACTCAATCGCTCCGGAAAATAGGTCGCTCCTTGTTCCGAGCGCTCGGACCAGGCCTCCCGCACCACCTGGGCAGCTCTTTCAGAAAATTCGCTTTGTCGATTTGACGCCTGTCTCCGCCCAGAATTCCGAATCTCGCGATCTCCCAATTCCACCCACCTAACGAACCATTGCCCGTCTTTGAGAATCGAACCTCGCAAAGATGGCTGTTGGCAAGTACGTCGACTCTTCCGATCCCAGCGACGACGCACGAGTGTCCAATCCGAATACCGTGGGAGCGAAAACGAACAGTCCGCTGATGGATTTATTTTTGACAGGAACAAGAGATTGTCCAAGGGCAAGAAGGGTCTCAAGAAGAAGACCGTCGACCCCTTCTCCCGCAAGGACTGGTACGGCATCAAGGTACGAACCAAAACCCACAAATTGCGACGGCAAATGGATAATCGACTAACATGTCTTTGCGAATAGGCTCCTGCGCCTTTCAACGTCCGAGAGTAAGCAATGCGAAATGCGAATCGCGACAACCCCGCGAAGTGAAGACTGGGATCTGACAGCAACTGCTACAGTGTCGGCAAGACTCTTGTCAACCGGACCACCGGTCTCAAGAACGCCAACGACTCCCTGAAGGGCCGTATCGTTGAGGTGTCCCTGGCCGACCTGCAGAAGGATGAGGACCACGCCTTCCGCAAGATCAAGCTCCGAATCGACGAGGTTCAGGGCAAGAACTGCCTGACCAACTTCCACGGTCTCGACTTCACATCCGACAAGCTCCGGTCGCTCGTCCGCAAGTGGCAATCCCTGATCGAGGCCAACGTCACGGTCAAGACCACCGACGACTACCTCCTCCGCCTGTTCGCCATTGCTTTCACCAAGCGCCGACCCAACCAGATCAAGAAGACCACCTACGCTGCTTCTTCCCAGATCCGTGCCATCCGACGAAAGATGACCGAGATCATCACCCGTGAGGCCGGCAGCTGCACCCTGCAGCAGCTGACCAACAAGCTCATCCCCGAGGTCATCGGCCGTGAGATCGAGAAGGCTACCCAGGGCATCTACCCTCTCCAAAACGTACGTGGGCACCAGCACGGTTGAGTGTAGGGGAGTACGTGTTAGGCAACGCGAGACTGACTGTATCACAGGTCCACATCCGCAAGGTTAAGCTGCTCAAGCAGCCCAAGTTCGACCTCGGTACCCTGATGGCCCTTCACGGCGAGTCAACCACGGATGAGCAGGGCCAGAAGGTTGAGCGGGAGTTCAAGGAGCGCGTTCTCGAGGAGGTGTAAAGTTGAGGCAACAGCAAAATTGACTTGGAGCGCGGCATGGACACGGTTTCTTCAGGCAATACCTCTCAGGGGCGTGGGTCTTGCTTATTCGTTACATTTGGCGTGGCGACCGGTACAGAGTAGTCATGGAATATCTGTGCCTTCACGAGTCCAGGCCGGAATGAATCAAAAAAGGGAAATCGATCACCAAAACAAGGACAACGAGCGCCACTACAAACCTGTGAGATGTCCGCCCTGTCATTTTCGGCTCAGCCCTGAAGCGTCGTCTAGGACGACGAGGCGAGGATGGCGTACTTCGAGGTCGGGTACGCAAAGCATCGGAGGGTTGTGTGGACGTAGAAGTTGGCCCGTGATGAGCCGAATACAGAGGCAATTCGCATTACTTGCCTGTCTTTTCAGATGCGCTCGAATTATATTTTGCACTCCCGTGTGATCGCACCTGTAGGCTCGTGTGCATACTGTGATACGGGCGTCGGTGGTGAGCATGGTGACCGTTTGCCTCATTATCGACCAGTAAAAGCAGCACGACAATCAAATCCAGAAGAACTGCTTTCGATGCGAGGTAGTTGGTGGATCGAGAATGGTCTGCTAAGCCCAGGTGGTGCTGATATCCCGGGCCGTTTTGGTGGTGGTCATGGGTTCGTCCCTAGAGGGGCAAACAAGCTTTCGACTGGCTCTGACCTCACTGAATCTTTGTCCAACCCGCCCACCTGCACCTCGTCTCCCCTGGTTACATGCATACATACCTTTTCGCCTGTGCTCCTAAAGAAATATGGCCACCTGAGTCCTTCCGCAACCCTACATGCATGCTCCTGTCTTCATTTGAATATTAGTTTTTGGCTTCGTAACCATGGCTTCCGACGACTCCCTACCAACACTCAAGATCCTCCTCATCGGGCCCTCCAGCGCTGGGAAATCAGCGTGTAAGTTGCCCCCTGGACCGCTCCGCCGCTCTGGCCACGAGCATGCCCCTTTTCTCACATCCGAGAATGTTTTTGAGATGTGTTCTGACTTGTGTCTCTAGTGTTGATGAGATATTGCGAGGATGTCTTTGAGCCTGAATCAGCAACCGCAACTATCGGGATAGATTTCAAAGTATGTCATCGCCACTCCTCTGAGCCGTCGTCACTCATCACCTCACGATCAGTGCACCCGCTCTTTCGCGGCAAGTTCTGACATATCTCGTGTTCTTAGATAAAGAAACTCTCCGTCAGGGGGAAGGCATACCGCTTGACGCTCTTTGATACCGTGAGTCCGCCTTGATCACATCTCAGCGTCCGCATCACGCCCCTCCTCGCATGGCCTGCTCAGGACGGCGGCCTCCCGGAAATGCACAATACTGACTTAAATCCCCAAGGCCGGCCAAGAGCGCTTCCGCACGCTCTCAACCTCCTACTACCGCGGTGCGCATGGCGTCATCCTCGTCTACGACGTCTCGTCCAGGACGTCATTTTCCTCCATGGAGAGGTGGTTCGACGAGGTTGAGATGAACACCGTCCCCGGCGTGGCGCTGTACCTGGTCGGGGCCAAAATTGACAAGCCCCGGTCCGTGTCCACGGCGGAGGGCCAGGCGCTGGCCGAGGCCCACGGCGCGAAGTTCTGCGAGGTCAGTGCGAAGACGAGGGAGAACGTGAGGAAACCCTTCGTCGAGATCGTAGACACCGTCGTGAGCCAGCCGGACGTGATGAGAGCGGCGGATAGTGGGAACAAGGGGACGGTTACGGTGGGCGAGGATGCCGCGGCCTCGTCGTGTTCATGCTAATAGTGGTTTTGGGTATGGATTTGTCAACGTTGCAGTTGACGGACCCTGGGACATGGATTGACTTGATGACTGGACGACGCTTAGACAGATTGCGTGACATTGAGCTCATGAATTGCATATTGAAGCGTACAGATAGACAAATGGTGGAATCGGAAAGGCGCCGTCGGATGCTTGCAGCTCATCTTTACTTCGATGCTTTAAGGTTGAGACAACTCATTATATTATCAGACCGACTACTAGTAACAATGCACATACAAACAGCAGGCCCGCGAGGGCTGTTTCTATGCTGCTTATACTCTAGGAGAAACCTCTATGTGTATGGGAACCTTCTATTCCTCCGGAGTAAGGAATCGTACAGTGGCTATCCAGCATATCAGTATCAGTTCATCACACGAGAGGGAAGAATTCAAAAGCTGGTGTGCGAATCTGGGACTCACCTTGTCTAAATGCCTCCGGATTCTCCGAAATCAACCAGTGACCCGCGTCGACATCCGCAACCTCGAAGCGCGGGAAGAACTCGCCTATCGCCGGCAGCACCTCGTCGGGGACATACTTGCTCTTGGTTCCGCGGACGAACAGTGCCGGCTTCTCGAACCGGACCTTGCTGGGGTCCTTGTAGGGGAAGTCACCCATGTGCGCGAGGGCCTTGCCGAGGATGTCGATAGGGACGCGGAACTTCTTGGTCTTTTGCCCTTCTGGGGTGTAAAGATTGCCCAGGAGGAACTGGCGGATGGGCAAGGACTATTGTTTCCCATTAGAAATACGTCAACCACGACTTGCCCTTCTCTCAGAGAGTTAGGAGACGAGACAAACCTCTTCGAACTCCGCCATGATCGCATCAGCTGCCTTCTGCGTAGTCACGCCCGCATCCTCGATCTTCTTCATGCCCCGGACGTATTTGGCAAAGTCAGTGGACAAGATGGCGTCCACGGGTGCGTTATCCACCGAGACAATGTCCTTGACCATACCCGGCGAGCGCAAGGCCAGCGTCATCGCTGTTTTGGCGCCCCTTTCGCGACAGTCAGCAGCTGTCAGAAGCTGAACACAGCGCAATGGGTGTACAGGCTTACATCGAGTGGCCTATGATGGTTGGCTCTACGATATTATGCTCTTCAATGAAGGCTCCGACATCCTCTGCCATGGCTGTATAGTCATGACGAGGGGCGTGAGGTGAGTCGCCATGGTTACGAAGATCCTTCGCAAAATATTAGTCTCTCAGAAGACAGGAGTGATTTTTGACAGCTTGAGGACTGTCGGCATGTCATAAAGCTGGTCGGTCTACTTACGAGAGCGTATATAGAGCGACCGAGATCTCGCGCAAGTGCTCTACATTGATTACACATTACTCAGCCTTCTAGGTCCTCCACAGCCATTCTACGAGCCGGTACTCACTTGCTTATGCTGCGGTTGTTCTTCTTGGACCCAAATAGCCCATGCAAAAATAAAATAGGAGACGTCCGGTCCGGGTTGTCCGAGACGGGCTTGGCTGGCTCGTGGAGGTCGTACACCAGAGGCACGGTGGTGATGGCACCCGAGGTGCTGTAGGGATGCTGTGCCACAAGAGGGCGCAGGCTCGTCTGGCGCAGTCCTCGCAGGACGGGCCGTGCGCCAAGTCCGAGTAACATTCTCCGTGATCCTTGGCCAAGAGAAACGAGGTTGAGTACAGTTCCTAATCAGGGCAACGAGTGAGATCTGATAAGATTTCGCGCAGAATTATGACTGAGCTTGGACCACATTGAAGTCTTGGCAGGGATCCCTTTCTTTTCAAGCTCTCGACTGTTAGACTACTTTGATTCGGCTACGTGCTTTACAGCCAGCATTTTCAAGTTGTCGATCTGCAACGTCTTGACGAACACTCTTTGGCCCGGATGTCACAATCATCAAGAATCTTCTGCGCTAATGGCAGTGTCATTTTGTGTCATTTTTGAGCTGCAGACTATCATTTCGTCCTAAGATGCTCTCGTGAACCATTGACTACCCCAGGCCGGAATAATTTTATTTGAAAGTTGACCTGAGTGATGGGCCATTTCCCTTCCGTACTGTAGAGCGGTAGCACCCTATGTCCATGGCGTTCTATTCAGCCGCCTTCACGGACTTCCCATTCCCAACGAGTGAGCAAACAACGAACATTTTTCTGTTTTCTTGCGACACCCCTATGCCAGTCATTCGCCACAGGCATCCCATCCTGCCTGTCTGTGGATTTGACGCGTCCATGGGCGCCGGAACTCGTCAAGATTTATACATCCTCAAACTCCATGTCCTCTTCATCATCATCTCCATCGTCTTCTGCGGGCTCCTCGACCTTGACTTTCTTGGCGGGCCTATCGTCTGAACCAGGGCTCTCACGTTTTATTCCTGAACCGTTGGTGTCACCCTCGCGCTTGATGGTCACTCCGGGCTCATTCTTGACTGGCACACTGGATTGTCGAAGTGGCGAAGGTGCAGGTTTTATTGCTGTGCCCGTGGGGATAGACGAGGAGTTCACTGGTGGCGTCGCAACAACATCCTCAAAGTCTCCCTCCTCGTCCTCCTCATCAGAGGACTCGTCCTTCTTCGCCGCGAGGGCCGCCTGCTCCCTCTTCAGGTTCTCCATATAGCTGCTTAGCTTCTGGGCCTCCGTCTCGTCTATGGCTTGCGGCCGTTTCAGGGTCTCTTTGCCTGTGTCGGAATTTGTCACCGTAGTACCTCCGGCTCCTGTGGCAGAGAACGCGGCTCCATTGACCGTACTGCTCGACATCCACTCTGGTAACTCGTTCTGTTTAGCAAGCTTCTCCTTGCGCAAACGTTCTGCCTCCTTCTCCTCCTCTGTCGGGCCTTCCGAGTTTGAGATATTGATATCGATCTTCTTGGGACCCGTGTCCGCTAGGCCCTTCACACTGGTAGGCCTGGCTTGTTCAACGACGGTACTCTTTGCGACCTGATGTTGGGCATCTCTGACGACCGGCAAGCCACTCTGTATGGCGAATTCGAAATTATTGTCCGGAATGATGACGCTGTCTATGCGAAGCAACAAGTCGGTGATAAACTTCAGTTGGTTGTTGAGCCGGGTCACCTTCTCGTGTCCAGCCGAGGTCCTCTCCGCTTCGTGGTTGAGAACGTGGTTGCATCTCTGGCAGAGGAAACCCTGGGCGCCCACGTTGTCGAGGACCTCCAGCTGGGTGTAGTCTGCTTTGCATCTGGGACAAACATACTCCTTGCGCTCGTTCGCCGGTACGGTCGGTACCTGCATATCCTTGCCCAGCCTGTAAACCCTCCACTTTATAAAGTCGATCGTTTGACGGTAATCGATGTAGTAGTAGGTACGGTTGACAGGGCGTACGGATCCTTCCTTGAGCTCTGACCGTACGTGTCTATACAAAACATGCCAGGTCAGTCATGAAGGCACCAAGTCAGACTGAGCCTCTGTGCAGCGCCAAACGTACATCGCCAGGAAGCGGTCATCCCTGAGCTTCGCGCAGAGCTTGTGTAGGTCCTTCATCGCCGTCATGCTGAGAAGGTATGCAAGATCATCGTCGCGCAGCCTGGGAGCAGTGGTTTAGCAAGTTTCGACGTCGCGCGTTACCTCAACCTGGCACGCGACCTACGCTGAGTGAATGACCAAGGCGTCAATAACGAGGACATGACGGACGTCGAAGCTGGGCTGTTGGTAGAAAGCGCGCACGCAGGAGCGCACGAGCTGCTTTGCCAAATCCATTGCGCAAAGCGACCCGTTGGGTCGGACGTGAGTCTGGGGAGGAAGCGAGGTCGGTATCGAGGCGTGGTTGGGCGAGTGAGATTCTCGGGGACTGCGGTGAGTGTCGGCTTCCTTCGAGTGGTGACCTAAAGGAGGCCGGAAAGAGTGGAACGACCTCTGGAGGCTTGAAGTAGCAGCCAGATGCTACTACGTCGGGCTCTTGGATCAGAAAGGTTGCATGATGATGTTGGTGTTGGCGCGTAGAATGTCCGGCTCAACTGGTGTGTCGCGATCGCGCTGAAGAGATGCTAAATCATCGAATGCTGAAAATTAAGCCTCCCCAGGTTGGTTGATAGGAAAGGTGAGCGACGTGAGGTGAGTAAGGAAAACTGCATGGACGTCGTGGCTGGCAAGGTTGACAATGGAATATTGAAAGCATCGACCCACAAGCAGGCAACAGGCATCAGCCCCTGTTACTTAGCGCAGTAAGGCTGCAGCTGAAATCCCGACTCACCAAGTATAAACTGGTACAGTACCCTTCCTCCTCGTTTACCGACCCCGACCAAAATATTATTTCACTTGTGATACCACAATAAATGCAGTATGCTATAATATCAGAGACCAAACCTACGGACTCAAACACAACGTAGCATGTTCCATTCAGGCTTGACTTGGATGTGGAATTCTGGCCCAAAATTCATTGTCCTTTCCATTGTGCAGCTGCTCCTGGCCGTAGCCTGAGATTCTGGAGCTCACCCTGTCGTCATCACTGCGAACATGAAATGGTACAGTTCACAGGGATCCCATACGTTTGAGTGTGCGGGTACGGCTTGACCAGTATACAGTATCCATTCCTTTAATATGACCCCTTAGGGGATAACCTCTTGTGAGATAACTTCTTCTGAAATAATCACTTGCAGGACAATGTCTTGTGACTTAAAACCTCTTTGGAGTAACCTTCCGTGGGCCCTGTAGGGACATCTCCTGCCGTCCCTTGGGGTTTCCCACAAGTTGTAGATAAGTCTTGCTTGCTCCTAGCAGCCATCACGACTTTCCCGCCGTGCCATCTGAGCTTTGTATCATCTGCCACTCAGATGGCAGCCGCTTCCCTACGGGCTCTGGTTGCTCATCCTCCCCACATCATTGAATCCTCCGTTTCTCAACCACAATTGAGAAGTTGAGTCGGCACTGCACGCGATGGATCTCCGATCCCCAGTGATATACCTTCTATCGACTCGCTTGGCTTCTGATGAGCTGCGCCAGTGGGGTGAAAAGATATCAAGCATCGCTCGAGTCACTCAAGTCGCTAGTGAAGCGGATTTCATCGTTGGAAAGAGTATGTCACCTCTGTCGTCCCGGCTCGGTCTCTTCTCCACATGTGAGATCACTTGTCTTCAATTCAAGCCATTCAGTCGTGCTATTCTCAGGGCACTGAGCAGAGCCGAACCTCGCTCTACTCACGGAAAATTGACGTGCAAGTTGTTAGTCTCCCAGAAACTACGCGCCCAGTTTGAGCTGCGGAAATTGAAGCTGCCGGCAGAAGAGGCGCCACCTTTGGTGGCCGAGCCACATTCAACTCCCAGGGCAAAGAGGCGAAAGATTTCCAATACCGAGGATTATGCCTTGCGCAGCAGCTCATTTGAAGACTCCGAAAATGAAAAAACCCAGGACGAGGATACTCCGGGCAAGGCAAGCGCCTGGCCGGATAGTTCAAGGAAAGTCGTCCGGTTGGCCTGGATCCAAGACTCGTTGTCGAAAGGCAGCTTGCTCGACTACAGAGACTACTTGGTGTACACGGCTCTTAAAACACCAGCAACTCGAGCGACAGAGCCACACGAGATTGTCGGGTCGCGTACGTCACAAGATCTGCCGCAACGAGACCAGCAGGTCGCGATGGCCTCTCAGACCTCCCCAGTTCGACGGTTCAAGGGTGGGCAACAGCACCATCGCAAGGCTCCGCCTCTTCTGGCCCAGTCGACAACGGAGGAAAAGACCGTTGCTAACTTGCCCCCTGTACCCAATTACCTACATACGACCTACGCATGCCAACGATCAACTGTGGTTCATCCGCCAAATGAAGCATTCATCGAGAAGTTGAAGGAGGTCAGAGAGCTCAGGTCCATAACGGGCGATCAGGTTGGCGTGAGAGCATATTCTACTGCGATTGCCTCACTATCAGCATACCCGTATCGACTCCAGAGTCCTATAGGTAACTGCTTCATCAATCTGGCTGCTGCTAACGTGCAAGTTGCTGACAATGTCCATTCAGAGGTGCAAAGGCTGCCAGGCTGTAGTGACAAAATCGCCTTCTTGTTCGCAGAATTTGAAAATTCGGGCGAGCTGACCGAGATTCAAAAGGCAGCCTCGGATCAGAAGATGGCAGCTATTAGGATCTTTACTAACATATTTGGTGTCTCAGCCGTGACGGCCGAGGAATTCTACCGGAGAGGCTGGCGGGACCTCGATGACATTGTCGACTACGGATGGAAGACAATCACTCGGTCACAGCAAATAGGTGTGAAGTATTACGACGAATTTCTGATGAAAATACCTCGCACGGAGACCGCGTCCATTGCGGAGACGGTTCTTCAGCACGCGAACAGAATTCAAGAAGGTTTTCAAATGACCATAGTTGGAGGCTACCGCAGAGGAAAGTCGATGGGCGGTGACGTGGACATCATGTTGAGCCACCCAGATGAAAAGGCGACACTTGACTTCATTGACAAATTGGTAGTCAGTCTCGAAAATGACAAGTTTATCAGTAAGAACCTATTTCATCTCTCAACGGTTGATTCGAGGCTCTAAAACTTCATCAGCGCACACCCTCACCCTGAGTTCTCACAACAGTGAGCGCGGCCAGAGGCCCACGAGTTTCAAGCCATCTTCATCCGGGGGCACAGGTTTTGACACGCTCGACAAGGCTCTTGTCGTCTGGCAAGATCCTCGGTTTGACCCTTCTGCGGCAGAGTCCTCGAACCCAAATCCGCATCGCAGAGTGGACATTCTCATCAGCCCCTGGAAGACCTGCGGATGCGCCGTCTTGGGGTGGACATCAGAAACAACCTTTCAACGAGACTTGCGGCGGTATTGCAAGCATGAGATGAACCTCAAATTTGACAGCAGCGGCATCAGGTCCCGCACCTATCCGTTTGACTGGGTTGATCTAGAAAATGGCGGCAAGGGACGGGCAGCAACGATGGAGGAGGCGGAGAAGAGGGTGTTCGAGGGACTGGGACTGGTGTACAGAAGCCCTGCGGAGCGTTGCACTGGATGAGATCGAAGTTCTCATTGAGCGGCCGTGTTGTTAGGAGGAAGCGCTGATTACTCAACTAACAGCATCAACAACCTCGCATCATGGCTCGAACTCACCAATGAAATCATTTCTTATCAAGTTACGCCTTTCCTGGCGCCGTTGACGTGCCTTCCAGCGAACACCCTGTTGGTGATCCGGAACCCCGGAGCACCAATAAGCTTACTGTAGGGCCATAAATAAATAATAGCTAGTGTCGCTCGCCTTCTTTCCTCCTGAACATGAACCTTTTCACGATGCATCCAAATTGACCAAAGGAGCCAGCAAGCTGGAATGATTTCAGTGTGAAGCCTCGAGTTACGAAAAGGGTCCCTAACGTTAAACCCCGTTTCGTTACCCCTGCTAAACTCCGTCGGCATTCGGTCATTTGAGTCGCTAGATCACATCAGCAAGAGGTGCAGGTACCACAATTCGGACAAATCTGTTTGGTCGAGCTTTGTCCGTCGGGGACTTTCCAGCGAGAATGCAACTGAACCAGCCGCTATCGTGAGGGCAACCTGGCTTCTTCCAAGTAACAACCGGACGAAACACACGGCCGAGACGGCTTTAACGTCAGGACTAATGGTCCGTGGAGGAGTTTCAAGCGTTATGTCAGCCAGAGCCGCTCCCCGGGTCCGCCCAGCAGCGGCGGGACACGTTCTTAGGGTAGATTCTACTTTTCCCAGCGAGAGAATTGAAAATCGATAACCGTCCAAGCATAAACCCATTTTCATCCCAGCAAAAGCCGTCAAGTTGATCCAAGTGAACGTCTGCCAAAATGGTTGTGCTCGAGATCTCTAACGACTTTGGGTGAGCTGCTCCTATCACTCGCATCGGATGACGAGATGGTGGATCACAGTTCGTGAATACTGACTGGGTGTGAAGATACGTCCTCCTCGCCGCAGCGTCGACTGTCTTTGTCAACATATGGCATGGAACTCAGACCGTCAAGGCCAGGAAGGCCAGCGTACGTACCCTCGGCTCGCCCACACCAGCACTCGCTTCACTGCGCGTCGCCTGTGCCACTGTGCAGTTCCAGTCGGCACCGTGAACACTCATCAGCCAGGCGGAACCTCACTGACAGTGCTTTTCATGTAAAGGGCATCGGCTACCCGAACACATACGCCACAGACGAGCAGGCGAAGCAGAACCCCGCTGCATTCCAGCTTAATTGCGGTTAGTCCTGCCCTCCGTGTGCCTACGTGGAGAGAAGTCCGGAGACTGACAGTATCGCACATCAGCCCAGCGTGCTCATGCCAACTTCACGGAGAACCTGACTCCCTTCATGGCCACGCTGCTCATCTCGGGTACCCGGTACCCTCTCCAGGCCGCCGTGATGGGAGCCGGCTGGCTGACCTCCCGGATTGTGTACACTATTGGCTGTAGGTGACCGTAAACATCAGGATACGTCTTCAAGGCGGAATCGTCTACCCTCATATCACCCTTCTCCGGCAGTTCGCTGACTTTATTTGCCATTAGACACTGGAAGTGGTCCCAAGGGCCGGATGGCGTAAGTACCAAGACCACAAGCCTCTTTTCCCCTTCTCGCTTTACATTTATCGTGAATTCTCATACTGTTATGGAGTTACAATACTAATCAGTGGTCGCAGGGGCTCCATTGGTCACTACTTGTTCGGCCTGAGCCTGGCGCTCACTGCGTGCTACACCTCCGTGCAGATGGTACGCGGCAACTAGAGTGGGCTTCAAGCACTGGATATCGTGAACTGGATGCCATGCGGAAGACTACTTGTGTCACAATTGTACACTAATAGATAAATTGCAACTTGTGTTTGACTACAATAGTTGCCTTCTTCGGGACACGTGTGCATATGATACAGCCCACAGGGCGCCCAAATGTTCGAGTATAACCTGATTAGCACTCCTCCCTGTGCCTCTTGCGGGATAACTTCCTGTGGATAATCTCCTGCGGATTGACCTGCTGTAGGTCAACCCCCTGTCAAGTAATATATACCTGGGTAGGTGTTGCTCTTCCGATCACTTTCTACATACTCTTGAGCAGTTGGCCAACCTCTCGGGTCTCTAAATCCTCCTTGCTATTAGGTGCAGTCGCAGAAGACATTGAGACCAGGGTGTGTCGAGTGAGATGCCTTGAGTGCGAGACTCCTCAAACATCTTACCACCGCAAGTCAAACGGAAGATGTGAAACACGAGTTTTCAGAATTAAATCGCCAGCCGACTGTTGACGGCCCGAATGCTGACCGGTTGGGCTCGGGTTTGGCTATGAGAAAAGCCGCCTGCACATTTGATGCGGTTCGCCCTCAAGACTCTCTTAAAGCAGTGAACATTGCTATTTCGCTAAGCCTACCCAAGTATCATGCTTTTAACATTCATTCATAACGCACATGCGGCCAATACTGAACCATTGCCTTGAGGCCCTTTCCGCCATCCTATCGATAAGCCACGAAAACGCCAGTACCAAACACAAGGACAACATCAAGCAGAGAAATAGACTTCAAATATGAGCGCTTAGCTTCCTACCTCTTCCGGCGCCGCTTCTTCAGCTCCATAATGTCGTCGTACTCTTCTGAGATAGCAAGCAACTCCTCGTCGGGCTCGGCAGCTTCTTCGGGACGGGCCTGCAAGTTCTCGATGCCATCGTTGCCGAGTAGGAAATCTCCAAGGTACTTAATTGATTGCAGTATCTCCTCCTGTGCAGCGTTGTCAGCAATATGCACTTAAGCAATGAATGATTTACTGAAGCAGAGCAGCAGACGTCGAGAGGGACAGGCCAGAGTCAGAGCAGCATAGTGGCGGTGAAGAGGAAGATGCAAAGGGAGGGATATCTTTTTTAACGCTGGTGCGGAACGTACCCCCGTTGGAATGATTTGGTCACTCGGCAGCAGGAAGCCATAGCTGCCAGTATCCCGTAGCTTAATCTGGTAACTATAATGAGCTCCCAGTTCGTGGTAGAACCAGTCAATGGCGGAGCCCCCGGTAGGCTCGATCCTGAGGGCTTTTTCCGTATTCGAGTCCGTGACAGCGCCCCTGCAGGCCGGTTTGACGGAGTAGCTCTCGCCAGAGAACAACCTGATGGACTTCGCCAGCCCCAAAGCGAGCTCCTCCATCTTCTCTATATTGGGCGGCTCGACGCCGCAGGTATAAGCATAGGGGAACAAGATTTGCTGGGAGTAAGAATGCAGATCCACCAGGCCGACGAAGTCGACATTGTTGGCTTCGACTTGAATCCTCGCCCAGTCGCGCAGAGCTGAGACTTCAACTGATTCCCATGGTTCATCACCGCCGTACTATTCAATCAGCTGTCAGCAAACCGGGCGGAAACTGTCATAGAGGCGTGAAATCCTGTGTCTCCTGAAACAGGATCCAACGACTAGCAGAAGAGATAGGGTTGCGAGATGTAGAGAACATACACTCTCTGAACAGGGGTCGTTCTGGTGCACCCCGGACCCGTCCCACTGGTATCCAAATGCATGGTCAAGGTCCAGCCCGCGGCAGAATTGCAGGCTCGTGTGTTGGCGGGACTTCCTCCACAGTCTGTCGGCGCTCCACGTGTACTCAATTCCGTCCGGGTTGAGCTCAGGGATGAAGACAACATCGAACTTATTCAGGAACTTGGTGACTAGCGGGTCCTTGCCGTAGCTAGTGATGAGAGCCCAGGCAAGATAGTTGACCGTCGTTGTGGAGATCCATTCACGAGCGTGGGAGCCTCCCATAATGACCAGTGTCTTGCGAGGCTGCCCTTGGTCGCTGAGGCCAGGACCAACCACCAGCGCCGGGATTTCGCGACCTTCGTATGTCTGCCCAATGGTAGTGAACCGCACAAAGGAGGGAAACATTGCCTCGATCAGACGCATCCATCGCACGACGACCTTGTGAGGTTGGTAGTTGCGGAAGAAATACAAGCCCTCGTCGCCATTGCTTGGGGCCCGAGGTCTCATCAGGTCCACGCTCACCTTGCGCTCGAATTGGGACTGCTCCTTGGGCGTTTGTGGAGAAGGGTAGGAGGCGTACACGGCCGATGGCAGGTCGTCGACCATGACCCAGTACGAGTTTCCCAGGGACGGCGGCAGCAGCCCCAGTAGTGACTTGACATAGTTCTTCTGCACCCTCAAATCCACTGTGCCGTCCCACGACCATATATCCAGGAACAGGCGCTCGGTCGCCTCTGCCAACGCCGCCTCTTCCTCGGCCGTGGAGATGTTGAAGCGGAGAATTATCTCATCCTGATATTTCCGGCCCAGGTTTGGTATTTTTTGCTCGAAGTCTTTGGAGGCGGGCCGGCCGAAGACCATCTGCACGGCGCTATCTCGAAGCCATGTCAACCAGGGGAAGACGGATCGGTCAGGGTGGGGGTGATTGTGATGGCCGTGTGCCGCGGCGGCGCTGCCGGGAATTGAAGAGGCAAGGAGGAGGGGGAGAAAGATGGCGGACGGTAGTTGCATCTTATCGCTGGAGGGTCATGCGAGACATGCGCCAGACGAGGTGGTGATGCAGCACGCGGAGGGCGGGTGTGCTGCGACCGGTGCACGCACGTTGGGATAGATCAAAGGTACAGTAAGGCGCGGGTCCTCATGCGTATCAGTGGCGACCGATTGCGTCGCGGCTCGAAGCGGCTACCACCGTGCAGAACGGCCCAGCATCCGAGGACAACAGCTAATCCAGCTGGCGAGGGTCTGTTTACACAACACTGAGGTTATGATGGCGGTCACGATGTGGTTGCTTGGTGCATGGTAAGCTGCTTTTCGCCCGGCATTGTTCATGTCCTACCTACGCTAAGCCGTGCGTACTTAGGCAGCTAGATCTACTTTGGGCGCTTGGCGTCTGTCGGTCCACGGGTGAGGCTGCCTCTCCCGTCTCCGTCCCTGTCGCTACGGCTTAGCTCTCACCTCAATTGAATCTCGGACTTGAAAGCATAGCCACGCCCAAAGAAAGGCTCTACCTAGGTACCGCGCCACTCCGCTCAATAAGAGACGTGGCAGCTCAAAGAAGGGGGCCTCCTTGAGAGGCAGAAGAGAGCGCGTGTCTGTCCAACACTGGCACTATATAGTACAGCCAGAATACGGAAAATGGGATTTGCATGCGTCAGACATACATCTAGCACAAACCTTCAATGCCCGTTGGTGCCGTAAATGGGGCTGGACAACCTCAATGAGGGTGGTGTAGATGTAGTGATAGGGCGCGGAATTAAGCGATTAGCTTCCATCAACCCAGGTTCAAGAGATTTGACTCTGAGCTTGTCATGCTGCACACGTGTGCCTCGGGCTCGAAGTGAAGGTTGAGATATCAAACTCGTCCCAAGTCGTGTCTGAGGCTGAGGCGGACTGGCACCTTGGGGCAGGATAGTCCAGTCCCCCCCTCCAGTGCAGTCCAGAGCAATCCGGCGCAAGCAACAGCAGCAGCAGACCAAACAGCTTGATCACCGAGGCCTCATCTCGGTCCCTGTCGTCTCCCTGCCCTAGTTCATTGTTCGTCGAAACCACTCAAGCTGTGTCTATGTCGACCTGGCGATAGGAGGCGTCGCTAGTGCTGGTGGTTGTGTTGGTGCTCGTGTGTGAATGAGTATGTGTGTGCATCGAGCGTCCCGCGCGTGGTGCGTAGCCTTAGTGCATGCGTATCTGGGGCATCGTGATCGCAAGGGGAAATTTCCAATGTTACGTCGGTGCTGGAGCAGCCCAAATGGTTGCAGCTGAACAGGAAGGAAAAGAAGACTGTGGGGATTGAATGCCATGCCGGTCATCTCAAGGTGGCTCGAAAGTGGAGAGAAGGGAATTGGCACAAGCCGACCCGCTTCCCGTAACTGTGGCACCCAGGCACATGCCTTACCACCTTGGGCAGTGAGTGGTAGCGGGTAGGCAGGTTGGCAGGTAGGCTGTACAGCACCCATCCCCTATTCCCTGTCCTGCCAATCCAGGGCTGTCTTCCATGTCTTGCCTCCGCTGCAGGGAGACAGACAGACAGAGAGAGAGAGGAAAGGCTGTCACGGCACGCCGGCCACTCCAGCATTGATCGATCCCAAAGCATTCACGGGAGTCCTTGCTTTCAGGAGCCGACTCGACTAGCAACCTCCTCACCTACCTGCATTGCATCTTCGGGCGCATAGAGTTGACCGCAGCAGACACCCCTCCAGCCTCCAGCCTTCGGCCTCCCGACATCCCGACCTCCCAACCTCCCAACCTCAATCACACTCCCACCTTGGACGAGAAGCAGCGGCCCTCCTTGGCTCGACACCTAGACCTGAACGTGGACCTAAAGCTGGGCCTGACCTGTCTCGACGCAGCCACAGGGGAGAGCTCTGGCGTAATCTTCTCGTCAGTCGTCCCAGCCAGCCTGCCGTCCAACTACGTAGGGCTTTTTCTCGACACCACATTGCTCCATCTCAATCCTGCGAGCTCGTTTTCATCCTCCGCCACCACCGCCCTGGCTGTCACTGGCACTGCCTCTCTGGGCCGAACCGACCAAACCCCGTCCAATTCGAACCTCTGACGCTCCAGTCTTCGATCCAGCTACCATTGCCCCCCGGTAATGGCTGATAGAACCGCATAGAGCCCTGCCGTCGATACTTACTCCAGACTGAAGCTATGCTGATCCTCGCCAACTCTCACTATGCCCTTTCTTCGCAACAAGCGTGGAACTCCGGCCAGCGAGTCTGAGTTGCGCCGCTCAGCTCTGGATCCAGATCAGGCTCAGGACCCCAAAGAACCCCCGTTGAGGTCCACTACCTCAAACATCGACCTCCCTCAACTACAATTGTTGCGCTTCGACTCGAACACCTCAGCTGACGCTGACGCCGCTCCTGCGAATGGCTCGACTCCCGCCATACCTGCTCCTCCTGTCACACCCCCTCACGACAGTCCCTCGACTTCTGCCGCCGAGAACGCCCTGTCTGTCCCTGTTCGAGACCCTATTGAGCGCCCCGATTCGCCGCCGATTCAAGACGAGACCCCAAAACATCGTCGCTTTTCCATGTTGAGGTTTCGCAATGCCTCCGACTCTCAACTGTCGGCCAGGGCCAAGAAGCAGGGCCATGTTGACGAGTCCGCGCCTCCTGTGCCACGGCGTATGTTGCATCCCATCCCCCATTGTCTTTACCTGAGCCCACAGACTCTGGCTAACAGAAACATCACAGCACCACCAGAGATCATAACAACCGCCCCAACCGTCGAGTTCGGTACCGTTCCCAGGAAGCCATCTCGCATGTTTGGTCGTCTTCGGCGTTCTGGAGAGGAGATGCGGTTCGACCAGCAGCAGCAGCTGCTGCAACAACAGCAGCAACAACAGCAACAACCGCAGCAAACGCAGCAACGACCTTCAACTCAGGGACTCAGCAAGAAAGACAGGCGGAAGTCCTTTCTACCGGGCGCAACTTCCAACGGCAAAACCTCTATAAGCATAGAGGAACCAAAGCGACCAAAATCGTCGAACGCACCGTCAACCAATGGCTCTGGCCAGCATCCTCCGCTTCCGCTCCCTGGGACCAGGTTATCTGAGTCCTCAAGGTCCGAAGATAGCTCAGACCGCCTGCGCGGAAACACTGCCCCGAATACGCAAAATACATCAAACACGACTAATTTCTTCCGGCTGCCACGGCGAAAACCAAAACAGCCTGAGCCTCTATTTCCTATAGCGCATCTCCAGAAAAACCGCAGCCATGAGCACAATGTATCCTCAAACCCATCTTTGGCTCCCTCGACTCCAGTGCGCGCGAGTACTTCGTCCGCGGCTTCTGGATTTGGACCCCAACAGACTCCTGTCGCTCGGAGCTCCAACGGCGGGAACGGCGTCACCACGCCCCCAGGACCGTCGCCTGCGAGGGCTTTGTTCCAGAAGTCGCATGCTTCACCCGCGACAGCTCTCTTCCGGCCAAGGTCCACGAATAGTGGCGCCTCTTCTCCAACAAGATCAAATGTCAACTTGCGGGGGAGATCGTCGACAATGAGTTCTCTCGGACGCGAGTCCGTAGACGAGCGCCTGGCACCATCGTTTCCTCGAGCATCTACCTCCACTGGTCGCAAAAGCTTCGGCGACCTGCTGGGAATTAGTAGATTACGGAATAATCCCGAGTCCCTCCGCCAAGGGACGGGCACACCAGCCACCCCAGGCTCCAACACGTCCAAGGATAACTCACTCAATATACAGCGGGAATCAGTCGTCTTGCCGGAACGTCGGGAAGATGAGAACCCAGGAAGATATCTCGAAAGGCTCGAGGAGGTTGCAAGTCGTAGTGTCATAGCTGCAGCGATTTCCAAGAGCTCGGACGCCTTCTCTCTCGCTGTGCTTCGGAGCTACATGCGAAGGTTTGGCTTTTTTGGTGACCCCATGGACATGGCTATAAGGAAGCTGTTGATGTCCGCGGAGCTGCCTAAGGAGACACAGCACATTGATCGTTTCCTGCAAGCTTTCGCGAACCGCTATCATGAATGCAACCCCGGGATTTACGCGAACCCGGACCAGGCGTATTTCATAGCCTTTTCGATTTTGATCCTACATACCGATGTTTTCAACAAGAACAACAAGCACAAAATGCAGAAACCCGACTATATCAAGAACACCAAAGGGGAAGGAATTTTTGACGAAGTCCTCGAGGTCTTTTACGACAACATCACCTATACACCCTTCATCCACGTGGAGGACGATTTGGACATAAATGGAGACCGAGTGACCACTCACAAGGTTTCCAAGAAGAAGTCCATATTGCCCAACGCTAACGCGCCAGATGCCGCAAGCAAACGAGCCGCCAAGGAGCCCATTGATCCCTACACCATCATTTTGGATAACAGACTCGACATTCTGCGACCAAATCTGAAGGACGTGATGCACCTGGATGATCATTTCAGTTACCTCGGGACGGCTCAGAGCTTAAATCTAAAGGAACTGCAGAGGACTTTCTTCAGGACCGGTATCCTGCAGATCGTATCTGCAAGGTCCCGTCCTGATGCCTTCATGACAGAGAAGACCGCAACAAATCCCCAGGAGGCCCAACCGGGTGTTGTTGACATAAAGGTCACAAAAGTAGGCCTCCTGTGGCGCAAGGATGTGAAGAAGAAGAAGACGAGGTCACCCTGGCAAGAGTGGGGTGCCATTCTCACCGGCGCGCAGCTGTACTTTTTCCGCAACACCGCTTGGGTCAAAAACCTCATGCACCAGTATGAGTCGCACGTCAAACAAGGCCACGATGCAATGCCGATTATATTCAAGCCACCGCTCGAGACTTTCAAGCCAGACGCTCTGATGTCGACTGACGGCGCCGTGTCGTTGTTGGACGCAACATACAAGAAGCATAAGCATGCATTTGTGTATGTGAGACAAGGAGGACTCGAAGAGGTTTTGCTGGCCGACAATGAGGAAGAAATGAACGACTGGTTGGCAAAGTTGAATTATGCTGCCGCATTCAAGACAAATGGAGTACGCATGAGAGGTGTTCTGGGAAGCAACTACGATGGCCAAGGCCGAAGAGCATTCAGAAGGCTGGATACCGAGGCGGTGCAAACTCCGACTGGAGAAGTGACGATTGCGCGCTCGAAGGTCGACCAACAGATGGCACAAGACATTCTGTTCGCACGTCGTGAGATCATTTTCCACAAGGTCGCTGAAGCCAACGAGAAACTTCAACACGAGGAGAAGAAACTTGAGCAGGCGTTGAGGAATGCACGCCATCTCCAGCTACTGGCTCCTGTTCAGCCGAAGACACGAGACCAAATGCTCATGGCAGCCGGGCGTATGGCAGCGCAGCTCAAATGGACAAGGGTCGAGATTTGTAAGCTCAAGTGCCACCGCGACATCCTCCTCATGGATCTTGAGGAAGAGCGGCAAATGCTAGGGCTTCCACCGGGACCGATGTCAGAAGCCATCAGCCCGGAGAAGCCCGCTCTAGGCCGTGAGATTTCGAAGACAAGCAGCGGCACAGTGATGCCTAGTCCCCTGACTCCCAAGCCGACCGACGCGCAACGCAGTCAAGCAGAAGGCGTAGGGTCGGACACTGAATCAGGGCAGGGCGAGGCTTTCCAGACACCACCAAGAAGCGCAGCCGGGTCTTCATTCCACAAGCACCAAAACTCTTGGGAACTTCCCGCTCTGAACTTTGATCGAGCCAGCAGGAGGAAAGCTTCTGTGTCGAGCGCGGTCTCATCTCACCCCTCTGTACCGTCTACGCCACCTCGAACGGCCATTGCCACGAGCTCCACGACCGAGGACGCTGCTGCCCCTGCCGATGGCGGGGATCATCATGAACCAGATGCGCGTGAGCGCGAACTCCTTGAACAGGCAGGGCTGCTCGGCGCCGACGTCACCCGAAGCCCTGAGCCTATCGAGTCGAGGGTCATCGATCCAGACGCCACCCCAGACCGGCAGGAGCACACTTCGCACAGCAGCTCGATGGACAAAGCTGATAAGAACAAGATTCGTCGGAGCCTGCAACGCACTCTCAGAGAGGGCGCGGGACACTTATCTCATGCCCGGAGCCGCAAAGGAAAGGAGCCTGCTACGAGCGGTTCCATGGACGATAATGAGTCCGAGATGCTCACACGTGGATCCGGCTCATTTGTCGTGCATGGAAAGAAAGCCTCGGTCATCACCTTTGGGTCTGAGCTCCAGAGTAGTTTGTCGCCTGACGAGCGTCTTCGCGCACGCAAGACGTCGCACGCGGAAGGCAGTGTTGCTCACAGCGACAGTGCTGAGGCAATGGATGTTGCTGCTGGCAGCGGCAGCGGCAGCGGGAGTGGCGATGGCGACTTCCGTGTTTTCCTGCTTTCCGGCCCAAAGAGCGCCAGCAAGCATCGGTCCTCGGCAGCCAGCGCCAGTACAGCCACAGCCAGGAGCTTCAGAGATCTGCACAGGAAATATAGCTCAGCGCAGGCAGCCAAGGCATCCTCATCTGGCGGAAATCTCACTGTCCCTTCGGACGGCGAAAGTGATCCAGCCCTTAGCTTCTCCGATGGCCGGCGCAGTCCTTTGCTACCGGAGCATGTCGAAGAGCTGAAGGAAGTGGAAGAGCATAGTGACCGGGAAGAAAACGCCGACGGTGAGGACTCCGAGTTCAAGAGCGCGACGATGAACAAGACCAGGGAGACTTTATTCTTCACCCCTGAGCCGCCGGCATCCCCAACTGCCGACCAAGGCAGTGTGAAAGAGGGCTCAGGTGGAGAACAAAACGACGCCGAGGAGAGCGGCCAAGGGGGAGCCAGCCCGACTGTTCCCGTGCTTGCCTGACCACAGCGACTTGCTAGCGAGTCTCATTCCACCGATTCCGGCGATGGCGAGTTGCGGAATAGGTGAGAGAGGTCATGACGATACGATTTCATTCTGTCCACGATATTACTTAATAATCAACTTCAACGCCGGAAGGCTGGAGGTTCCACAGGCATGGCCCGTATCCTTCAGCCTTTTGTTTTCTCTCATGACAGACATCATCTGTATTTATGTACATAGACAAGCGGAATGATGGGGAACGGAATAAAAGGGCGAGACTTGATACCACCACCATCGCAACCTCCACATCTACAACGAGACCCTTTCTATTCGCGGGCAAAGTGGGATTGACGGATCAGGCCCGACATTAGCAAAAGACTCCACAAAAGACAACAAGAGTATTCTACACCCACACATGTGTTTCGTCTCTGTTTTGACATCAGTGGGGGTAAAAATGATTGATCACTAAAGTGGATTGGAAAGGGATAGCAAGTGTCGGACAGCGAGGGGATCATTGAACTGGCATGGATTTTCTTCTTTTTCCTCTATACAATCTTACCTCATCTATCCGGGGTGGGATAAGGCGTTGTTGGACCAGGTCTTCTTGGTTGCAGGATACCTTAGTCGATGAGTGTTACTCCAGCCACTCCCCAGACAGTGGTGAAAACCAAATGGGTCATTTTGTTACCAAGCAACTGCTCGTACCTCCCCTCTCTTGGGCATTTCTACTACAAGGGAAAGTCATGAAGGGCTGACGGAATGTCGACTGGAACCAACTCGCAGTGACATTCTTCGTCTATCCTACTCTTGTGCCCACCGAACTAGATGTGTAGACGCGGCATCTCCGTGCTCCTGCTTGTCCCGCCCAAACCCGTTCATCGGCTTCATGCTGATGGAAGCACCATTCATCAATGTTGAAGTCCAAGCTTAGGCCGCTGCGCATTGTCATATCGTGAGCAGGCCGGTTGCCCTAGATAGAATATTGAAACAGGATAAATATGTAGAAGGTTGTTGCAAGGACAGGGCATAGGAGGTGAGCACGAGATTTCCCCGTACATGGCAGCCTGAGTACACATGCACTACAACAGTGTATAACACATGGCGAGATCGAGATTCAAGTGGCATGTATTTGCTAGGTAGGTGTAGGATCACTTCCCCCGGATGAAGCGCTTTGGAGTGGAAGAAGGGCCTTCCTTTCCTTGAATAGAGACCTGATGCCAATGATCGAAAAGAAGGAAAGAAACCGGATTTGATAGAACGTAAGGAGAACACCATCGAGAATGACCGTTCCAAATCAGTCCGAGTGGATAGTTTATCTTGACCTTTACTGGCCGGCATATACCAGCACCGCGAGGTCTACGTCATCTCTGGAGAACCAGAAACTTCTTCTCTTCACGGGGACAAGATGCTGTTTTCTTCAACTCATACTTGAATGATAGCCGCTGATATTGGAAAGCTGGTTCTATCCAAAAGCAGCGTCAGGTGAGATTCCACCTGTAGTCTTATTATTTGGCCACCCTGACCAGTTACTACCTATGTATTCCTTTGTGTACCAATGCGCTGATGAAGTAAGTCTTCCCTGCCGCAAAGGAGTATTGTCATCGATATTTGAGAAGGCTGGCTCGAGACGTGGAATACAGGATGCGCGCTGTCAGGGTGCCAATCTTGAGCATAGCTGCGTGCAGTTGCGCTTAGTCCAGCAGATTTTGCAAGTGCAGACGTCTTTATTTTATCCACCAAGAGGCTCAAAATCGGTTCCCAGACGACTAGCCTTTTCTCCCTTTCTTGCCTTTCTTTCCGCCACCACCACCTCCCTGCGGCGCCTTTTCTACCTTGATCTGTCCAGCGCCACCAGCGAGGTTCAGCGTCTCGGTCTCATTGGCGACCGCTCCGCCCTGCGTCGACTCGGCGGCTCGCTTCTTGCCTTTCCGGCCCTTGGGCTTGTAGTATGACCGGTCACGCATGGGCAACCACCGTTCGGGGTCAGGCTTGACGTTAGGATCGTAATTCTTACCCAGACGGGGTTTCTTCTTTGGCTTGTCAGATGACGGTTGCGCTCCGGTCCCAGCTTCGACGTCGTCGGCCTTTCGCTTCTTGGATGGCTGTTGAGGGGCAGGGAAGGAAGGCACGCCCGCATCGAGAAGAGCGGAAACATCAATACCGGACGTAAGCTCTTCCACCGAGCTGAGCGATGAGAGATGCGGTTCCACCTTGGAGTAGTCGGTCGTCGCGAAAGACGCGACGAGTCCTGCTTGTGCAATCCTATCCTCCGAGTCCTGTTCGACCATGCGCTCAAATGCGGCGCCGGCAGTGGCAAGGTCGGATGGTTTAGACGAATGAAGGAGTTCTATTCCTGCTTCGCGGAGCAGAGTCGTGGAGGAGTTCTTGGGTATCTTCTGCCAGTACGCTGCCGCCCGGCCCAACTCATTTCGAATTTCCTTCCGGCGATTCTGCGTGCGGTAGAGGGCTACAGCTAAAGCAACGAGTCCTGGAGCGTATCTCACATCCTCGTGGTCGGCAGTGCCTGCCGATTCGACATACTTGAAGAACTTTTGAAGGACGTCGATTGCGCTGTCGTAGTTCTTGGCTTGGATGTAAAGATGTATGACGGTGAGCAGAAGACCGACGTCGTATGGTCTCTTCTCAAGAACAGCGAGGGTTTTCTTCAACGCCTCTTTATCTGTTTGGGATTTTGCTTTCGCCGCTGCGTTGAAGTAGCCGGCATACACCCGCTCCAGATCTGTTGAAGGTACACCGTTCTGTTTCAAGAGCGCAGCGGTCTTGTCCTTTACCTCTTTATACTTGTAACACTGCAATGCATTTGCATGCTGATTACGGGATACGCCCACGGATTGGTGTTTGAACAACCTGTCGTTGCCAATCTTTGCCTCAGGCACCAGCTCAGAGAGTCTCTGAACCATGTACTGGTTAGAGAGGGACTTCGCGATCAGTGAGTTCCACCCTGCTGCAGCTTTGATGGACAGGTCAGAGGTTCTGCCGGGGACGTCAGCGAATGTTCTCGACTTTATACTGCTCGAAGACTTACTCGTAGCTCTCAGTCTCTTTCTGCAGAGCTGCCGCCTCTTCCGTCTTGCCCAAAAGCGCAAGAACGTAAGCCTGCTGCAGCTTGATAGGCAGCATCTCGACTCTTTTATCCTCCTCACTCAGATCCTCTGCCGCGTCGCAAAGATCGGCGGCCCTCTTGAGCAAGATTGACGCCTTTGCCAAGTCCCCTCTCGCAATGCAGCCACACCCAGCATTGTAGGCCGTTTCGAAAGCCTCCATATCCTCTCTCCTAGGCTGCTTGCTCTTGTCCGGCACCAAATCGCCCCGGCCCTGCCACTCAAGCTGCGCGTGCGTAGCCAGCTGGTTGATAACCAGATCTGTATCCTCGCCGAGTACCGCAGCGTGGTCATCCTGCATCAGCAGCGAGTAAAGTTCGGCGGCCTGGCTGAATCGCTCGGTTCTATAGGCGATCTGCGCAGCGACGTGCTTCAGTGGTCGTTCTGCCTGAGAGACGTCGCGACCCTCGAGCAGGGAAGCAGCCTCGTCCAGGGCACCCGTCTTGTACAAGGCATATGTCTTCTCAAGAATGCAGCGGTCTTCGAGGGCGCTGCCGGCAGCAGCGATGACTCGGAGGGCATCGTCGTACCGATCGAGCCGCAGCAGGGCGACGACCTTGGTGTGCTGCGCAGTCAGATCGGACTTAGATGATGCAATGGCGGCATCAGCGATCGAGAGGGCTTCGGAGGGATCGTCTATGCTGGACCGCGCGAGCAGAGAGGTCAAGGAGGCGGCCATGGTGTAAGGAGCTGGGGAGGGAACAGAGGGCGTGCTAAGTCGATGAACAACAGTAAGTAGTCTATGTCGTGCTCATGGCCTGGAAAAATAAAGTAACACGATATCCAATGGCAAGACCAAAAGAAGTTGTGTGTCGCCCAAGCTTCGACTGCACGTGTGTGTTCTACGGCAAAGTATGCGACACGCGACGTTGTTGGCGGGTTGGAGGGGCAGTTCTTGGTGTGGTGCGTGCTGTGGGAGGGAAGCTTGGTGGAAGCTCGCGAGGTGTTCTTTCCCCACTTGAAATTTCCACAGCACTTTGATTTGTGGGGAAGGGGTAACCCTGGAAGCTCGAGCTCCCTCCTGGTCAACTGGCGACCACATTTCGGACCCTGAAGATCAAGGGACCGGGAGACCCTCGACCTCCATGATATCGATTTGAATATTGCTAGGTACAGTACCTGGGTCATTACAATTTACATTCTCTATTTACATACGTCCCTTGCAGCTCTCAACGCGGTGTGAGTATGTGGTGATCCCCATCGCTATGCTCACACACCACACCTTTGAGTACACGAAATTGACGACAGTCATCATCTCTCCTATCCACCTTCAAGACGTGACGAAGCAGAAAGTAGAGACTGTGGGCCAAGCACAAGACCTCTAAGCTCGTCGTCAGATGGCAGGTCCAGTTCAAACCGATGTGCCGAAGAACATTCTATGCCCTTGCTCCCACAGCGCTTCGTTTTAGCGGTACGCGACAGATTCTCTCGGTCAACACCACTGGTGACGTAAAATAGACCCAGCTTTGATATAGAAGCCGATCCGTAGTAGTTCCTGCCTTCTCCTCGCTTTTCAATACTCGCTCACGGTCGGTGCTCGCCTGAACAGTCCCAAGAACCTTCTCTCCTTGACCTGCGGCTGGTACGGTCGTACTGGGTACATGACTGGTGTGTTGTACTCCTCCGAGCTACCATCTGAAGTGTCGTATCGACGATGCCACTTCCTCTCTGGAATCTCCCCCAGCCTCGTGCTGTCCGAGGACATTGAAATAAGTGAGAACCGATTCGCAAAACTGGGCCGTCGCCTGAGAGAGCTGCTGGTGCTGTGCTCAAGGCTGCGATCCATCGAGTCCAGCAGCGGTGTCGCGAGTCTCATCTCGAGGCGTAACGGTCTCTCGTTCGCCCGCTCAGCATCTCTAGTCTTCGGTTCCTTACGATCGGCATGATCGCGTTTCTTGGACGTCTTCGTCTTCTTATGGCCCCTACTGTCAGTCGATTTGGAGGCGCTGCTCGACTTGGACGAACTCGTTGACTTCGAGGCTTTGCTGGTGGAGGACTTCGATGTCCGTGACGATTTTGAAGATGCGGTCGAAGCAACCGAGCTTCGAGACGACTTGCTGTCCAGTCGACGCGAGAGCTGGTCAAAGGTCTTGATGGCCTGTAATCGAGACGAATTTGACAGCGACATCAGAGATTGATAGTCCAAGGCCTGGCCCTGGCCCTTGCTAGCCGTGCGTAGCAGGCTGGCGATAGCCGCATTGAGCTTCTGGATGACTCTGCCCAGGGCTGAGAGCGCCTTCCTGTCGCCTTTCTCAAACCGCCCTCCAGACTCAGACACCCGAGATGAATAAGCCCGCTCGACTCTCTTACGGTCCGTCTTCAGCGAGTGCTTCAGCAACGCTTGTTGGTCGCTTGCCTTTACGACCTTGCGGTTGCCATCTTGCTTGTCCCGCCTCTTGAAGGCTTTCAGAAGCGAAATGCAGTTATCATAGGTCTCGAGCAGGGATGAGACGCTTGAGCCGAGGCCCATCTTCAAGTAGCCCTGGCTGGCGGGATTCTTTGCGCGGCATTGACCGGTTAGACACCAAAGAAGGAAGAGAGAAAGTCATGAGAGTTCTTGATTCAATGTCACGATGGGATCCAAGGAGAGAAGGATCTGAGGATCAGATAACCTTGCCTCACAGTGTTCAACTTGACGCTGCGTGCGGGGCCATTGTTGCAGCCAGCGGCTAACCGCGAGCAAATGATAGGTTCCTAGACTCGCAAGCTTGAAGCGTCCTGTGCTCTTTGCACGGCCAATTGACGCATCGGAGAATTGTGTATTGCAGAGTCACCAAAATGCAAGCAAGCCTGTGATGGAATTGAGGTGGCCGGGAGTGGCCTTGGTTGGAAAGTTCATGTCTTCTTTCGCACCCAAATGCAATGGTGCAGGTAAAGTATTAATGTCCGGCTTGGCTGCCCAGAATTTGCCTGGCCAGCACCTTGATATTATTTAGTCAAACGGACCTGCCCAGACAGTTTCGGTCCCGGGACTACTCGTGGCTGCGTAGTAAAGGGGTCCTGGGGGCAAAGAATTTCGAATTGGCGCCAGAGGCAACTATTAAAATCGCCGCTGTCGACCATGATTCCAACGTAGCAGCATGGTAGGGAACAATGCCACCGAGCAGGTGGGGGTCCATTCATCAGGCAAGGCTGGACACGTTCCGGCCTGTCGGACTCTGGTTTGCGATCCGTGAAGCGACGGGATACCCACCTTTCACCCATGGGGTAGTGGGTCGGAATTAGGTAACAGTCCCGCGCCCTTCTGGGCGAAAATGGAGAAACATGCTCAGCAACAATGACGACCTCTATTGCCTTTCACTTTGCTTGCAACACACCTACTCCGGCTATGCAGTGCGGAATATGCCACAATTGCGCAACCGTTTCCCGATGGGAGAGCCAAACCAAATCGAGGGTACATGACGAGACTCAGGCCAAAGGCTCTGGCCTGGGCCTTTCACGGTGCCTAGAGGGGTTATCAGAAGCAAAATCTTACGGATAAGCCTGCCTGAGAGATGTGACAGGGGATGCAGATATGCACCATCACAGGCGAGATGCGAGGCACCGTTATCTACTCCCTGACGGACCATGCAGCTTGTCAACGGTGCGTTGTCATATCTAACTCACCTGGATACACCTTATTTTATACGCTGAGTCCTTGACCGCCGAGGTGCTTCTTCCTAGAAGATGACCGCAAGCCAAAGGCCAAAATGCGCGACATTCTGACCCAGAGGCTGCGACAACGACCAGCCGCGAAACCCGACCGGTAAATAATGAGAGTCCCTGCCAAGAGGGAGATGGAGTGATACCACCCGCACCGGCTCAAACATGGCCTCCATTCGGCTAATGGTGATTCTTAAAAGTATGAGATATCACTTTTAAAAGGGCAATGATGCTCGGCGATTGCCACCGGTGGCACTTCCTCGGCTAAAACGCAGTTTGCTTGTCCGTGTCGGTATCTTGCAGCAAGAGGGCTGGCGCAATTTTTTCCAGGGATGTCGTTGAGCTGAAGGCGGTGATAACACGTTTGACCGGCCTGTGACCCGAGCCGTGGGCGCCCACGTCAACGTGTTGCGCCGACCATGGTACCCTTGCTCAGATGGGAAATCCATCAGCCCTCCCTGGGCCTCCCTGGCCCTCCTGCAGCGACGCAACCACCCGTGGTCGTGGGACAGGCGGGACGGATGGATATGCCGCGATATCGATGATCACTTGCATCACTACCCTTCACTCCCTGCCGCACTGGCTGACTGGCAGGTGCAACAAAGGACCGGCAGGGTGTGGTGAGTTAGGAGTACGGCCGACGGGGCGTGGGCGGTGCACACTTGAGGACACAGGATGTGGTAAGACAATGTAGGCTCCGTGGGGGTCCGCGGCAGCGGTGGCTTGCAGGTACCCGAGCAGTCCTATGTGCTGCGCAGACGTTGGAGGCTAGCCGGCTGGACAATCCTAATCTGATACACGTCGAATGTGCTGACGGGCGCCTTGTGGTGCTGACGGGACCACTGCCGTGACGCAGCATCCGTAGGTGACATGATCCAAGCTGATACTGGGGGAGCACCAAGGTGCCACAGGTAAACATGGCACAGGGCAAACCCATTAGGGTGGGCAGCAGGGGGTCTGGCATCGTGCAATCGGATCATGTTGTGGACTGTTCCGCACTCATGAAGCACATGCTGGCCTGGCTTGGGAGAGAGTTGTCTGGGTTGTTGTCTGCACTCTTTTATCTCTTCGCCCGCGCCGCCACGAGGGGCCAAGGTGAAGCAAACAGGCCCGGGGGCTTGAGACCGCAGGGTGGGATTGAGCATATCCAAGGGTTGAGCTTCTTTCTGCCCTTATCTTGCGCCCCCCACCATCAGCCATCGCACGGCGTGCGTCTGGAATCAGAAACAGAGCAAGAGAACTAAGCCCTGCGAGGGCCTGCAGGCTCTAGGCGACCATAAAAAGAAACGTCGACGATGCTCGATGATAATGAGTGAATGATGTGGTTGGTCCGTTATTTATTATCAATCAGGGCCGGTCCAGGTCCCTGCGCGCGTGGCTAATGCTTCCAAGCCCTCGAGGACCCCTTTCTGCCAGCCTGTCGAGCCTGCCAGCCTGCCGGCCCGCGCGCTGCCGATTTATCGCAGCACAGAATGGTCCCTGTGTGGTCGAGGTAGCACTGGATGGCACCTGGGCATATCGAACGAACCAGGGCAGACCCCAGCGCGGACATTGGGCGCAGTCAGTGACGAGCTTTACCGCCTGTCTTGCGACAGACGACAGTGCAGGCCGTGTTATCAGATCACCGCCTGGGTTGGTGGTACCGTAGAGCACGTCGAGTCATCACAACGGCTGAGAGGCGAATGGAGGGCAGATCAGCCATATCGACAACATGGACAGGGGACGGGAGGGAAGGATCTTGCCGTCGTCTCCGACCGCAGGTGAGCAGGAAGATCCAGGTACCGAGGTACACACACACACACACACACAAACATCCACATCCACACTCCTAATCAACGATGCATCTGCCAGCCAGCAGCCAGCAGCCAGGAGCCAGCAGCCAGCCAGGCCAGCACAGCAGTCCACAGCACTGACTCTACACACCTATCCCTGCTCCCCCACCAGGAGCTGCGCCGGCCGATGATATCTGGCCCGCTTTGGGGCTAGGTACCGTACCCCAAGGCACAGCGAGAGACTGCGAGCAAAACGGCAAGACTGCAAGACTGGTGAGATTGACAAGGGGTGAGCTCTCTTTGCCCCCCGGCCCAGCAGCGATAGGCTGGTGGGGCCCAGGCACCACGCCCAGGTACCCAAGTACCAAGTAGGCCAGACCGTGGTATAGGCTGTATGGCATGATATTGTGCCATTCTCTTTGACTTTCTGTCCCCCGTCCCCCGACTTGCATCAAATCCCGCCATCTTCCTTATCGGCGCCCACTGACCAGTCGCTTCGCAGCCAGCGGAACGCGACATCTCCAGGATTAATGTGCTGCTTGACGGGGTGGGATGGATCGGTCAGGTCCATGGGCCCTGATGGATGCATTCGACTTTGACTTGACTTCTGTCTGGCTTTACTGTGTACAGGCTTGAGTGATCGTCGCTGCTCGACTCCTGGCGACTCTGCTCCCTCCCCTCCACCTCCCACCCTCCAACTCCCACCCAGACAATCCCACCTCCAACATCCTGGCCCGCACGCCTTCTTACTCCCACGTCCCCCCCGTTCGCCAACAACAAAAACCTCAAACCTCACTTCCACACTTCCACACTTCGTCCGGGTGCAAAAGCTATTCGGATTCCAACACTCCAGACGGGCGGTGTTTTTGCCTATGCCTTATCGCAGTGGTCCCTCGACTGTATCTTAACAGACCAATAAAGCGGCTTTGGCTGCTTTCGACGACTCCAGCTGCAACGGCCATCTATCTGTGCATATCCTCATCCACAGGTCCCCATCCGCATCGGACCCCAGGACAGACCTCGCATACATGCTGTACTGTTATCAAGATATCATCGCACCATCATCTCTCCCCACAGGCTGCCCCTGCCCTCTCTGTCGGTAATCACTTCGACTGGGCTCCACCTCCACCTCATTCATGTCCACCGGTTCCCCTTCCCCGGCTTCCAGGCTCCACCTCTCCAGACCGCGATTCTCGCCCAACTACTCGTGCTCCAGCAGGCTTTTTCCAGCTCCCGCCCCAGATTGCGCCCTCGCCTTAAGCCTCAAGCCATCCCTGCCGCCTGCGAAGTGAGGGCTCCATCCCACATGCCGTGGGCTATCCTGCACTGACGGCTCGGTAACCTCAGACCCCTGCCTGGTTCGAGATGTGACGGCCCGCTCCTGCTGCGTCTTATAAGAGTAAATCGCCGCCTCCGACACCTGTCATACTACTTGCACCATTCCCCCGAGCCTCATTACAGAGCCGCGTGACCATCAAGTGGCCCCATCATAGCCTCTATCCTTCGCCCCTCAACACTGTCCAATGCTCGTCTCATCCTGCCGCTTTGTCAGGGTACAGAGTGCTGTGAAGTGCAAGTGACCAGATCCAGCACTACCGATTCACAAAGACTGCCGACCAAGAAGCTGTGTCCTCTTCGGCGACTCCAGGGCTATCTGGACAAGCCCCTTCTCTGCCTTGCTACTGGGTATTAGCTCTGTGGTGCGGCGTTGACGACACGTCGGCCATGTCTGCTCTATCGTCTCCATCGCCCGTGCTGGCCCCCACAGCCGAGGTCGATGAAGCCAAGTTGCCTCAGGGCAACTGCCGTTACATCATGATGAACACAGAAGTTAAGGGAAGCCGATGTGCCTGTGTCAATTTCACTTTGAACCAGGCTTTGCCCGGTGCTTCTTGTGAATGCGGGCACCTCGCCTGCTTCCACCACAAGACCGCCGAGCCCCCAGCGGATAGGCGGGAAATGGAACTGCTTCGGCAAAGGGTACAGCAACTCGAGGAGCTCCTGGCAGAAGGCAACAGTAGAAGCAGCGAGGTGGTTCAACGGGTGAGCCAGCTTGAGGGGGTTGTGGACTCCCGCACCGAGGAGATTGGCCAAGAGATCAAAAAGACGTACGGAAACCTGAACCGAGCCTGGCATTCCATCGGAGAGCTCGAGAGACGGAGTGGCGACGTTGACAACCGTTTCCAAGCCATGGGTGTGCACTTCAGGAATGTTGACGGAGAGCTGCAAAGACTACATCAAAGACAATGCGAGCTCAACGATGCTGATCTCAGTCTAGAAGAGCAGCTCTTGGAGGTCGTCGAGAGCATTGAAGTGGCATCTGAGATCACGCCTCCCAGAGGGAGGCAAAGACGCAAGTCGGTATCGGATTCCACGCCAGCACCGAGCAACTCTCCGAGAACAACCTTGGTGCCCGTGAGGTCAGGAGGCGTACCTGCCCGGTCGCCAGGGTCGACCCTTTCAAATTTATGGACTGTCCATGTTTCTCTGCTTCCGAGCAGTTCGCTCCCCTTTCCCTTCGAACGGGACACCAACGCTTACAAACGATGTCTCTCGAGAGGCTTGCACCAGATGGTTGCAGTCAACGGCACCTCTGCTGAAGCCTTCGTCTCCGCAGTGACACGAGCTTTCAAGGAGAATTTGAAGGACCGGCCTTGGGTACCCCTTCAAGCGAAATTGTGTGACGCCGACACCCTTCAAGGTCTACCAATGCTGCGTCCATTAGACTCGTCACTCGCGAGCTCCAAGTTTGACGTCGATTTCCTCCGCGCCCATTGTGCCGTGCTCGACGTCCACGGGAACATGGACTCCCTATACATCGCCATGCGCCACTCGTCGCTCTCATGGCATGCACTAAAGCACTCGCCTGTGTTCCTGCAAGGCCTCGAGGCAAGCTGGGAGTACGATCCCATCCTGGACTCTAACGACCCTTTTGACAACGATGAGAGCGTTGACGAAAACGACAGACCGTCGGCGGGGGACTTGGTCGGGAGTCTCCCAAACTTCAAGAGGGCGGCCTCGGAGATGTCGAGGTCGTCCACGACGACTACAATAGCTGACGGGGCCGAAGGGCGGCCCGCCAAAAAAGTTCCACGGACGGCTTGCCCGCCCTCCTTCCAAGGAGTTAGGAGGCGGCGGGTCGAGACCGTTTAATTTGCTTGATTCCTTTTCCTCTCCTTATCATTCTTTTGTCCTGGGAGGCGCTTGCAGGTGTTCAGCGTGTTGTGGGCTGATTGGTTGTTGCGATGATACCAACTTTGGCTGCAAATGGCTACTGCCAAAAGGTCAGAGTGACTTGGATAGAAATGTTTTGCCCAGATTTTCGGCAATAAGACCTTTAGGAGTGGGAATTGACAATAGATTGTACAGAACGTGAAGATATGCGTTATTCCATTTATATGCGGAGGCTTGCTGGGGGGAGAAGATGCACAGGGTAGAGACAATCGCAGGTCAGTCTGAGGGTGTTCTTGTTGACAAGCGCCCTGATAGACAACGTTTGTACCGCAGCTAGCCACAGCGTAGCTGTGCGTTCTTAGTGTCTTTCCGTAGGGAATGATGAGGCTATACCCGTGGTCATAAGAACTAGACAGCTTTTTTGCAATGTGATTCAAGGCAACACGGGCCGAAGGCGATCGATTGCTGACAGGTCTGACAGGTTTGGGGGTGGGGGGCCGGGCGCGGCAGGGACAGAGCTATTGCACAACTGATGCCATCTCGCGGTCTCGGTTTGCGTCATATAACCATGGGAGCATACTAGACCAGGCGAGTTGTTCGATATTGTGGAATATGAGTGGGACAAAAAGGTCGTGGAGATGAGTAACAGTCGGCTGTACGATGCCCAAGAGGAGGCTTGGGTTTTGGTTGCCGAATGCCTTGAGAAAGGAATACACACCGGCCGCTGTGGGGCCCGAGACATGCCTGGAGAGTCGGGGTATTTTGAGACATTGTGTGACCGCGCCCTCTCATTCGCAGCCTTTCCTGGTTCTCTACCTAGGTACTGCGTATCATGGACAAGGAAGGGCATTGTGAGGATTGTTCCTCAGTTATCTGATGCTAATCTAGTGGCCTTCCCAAGCCGGGATCCACCCGTTCCTTGGGGGTACCAGTTGAGCGGTCGCCACTACGGGCTGAGCGGTCGTCAGGGGTTAACCAATTTAGGACTAGCATTTTGTGCACGGACTCTGACAACCGCTCAACCCGCAAAAGTGCATACTGAGTTTAAACTCGAGCTGGCAATTGAATTTTAAAAAGGGCCGGATGGGGCGAAAGGACGAGCGCGAAGCGAGAGGCCGGTAGGCCGGGCCTAAGCACCACTTGAGGCCCAACCCGGTACTCTTTGTGTTCCTCTAAATAGTAAAATGCGAGTATGAATCTAGTGTGAACTTAGTATGAACTCTGTGTAAACTCTGTGTATACTTGGCGAGATTTTAGCGCTAGCTTAATTTAGCTAGGGTTAGGGTTTCCTTGGCAGGGTTAGGGGTAGTGCACGGGCCCTGATGACCGCTTAGCCCGTAGTGGCGACCGATCAAGTGTATGCCCCGTTCCTTGGTCCATTGCCGGGTCCGTACTGCTGTGTCCCCTGCAGCTTGTCAGCTTATCGATAAGTCACGTTGCAACCGTCCCTTCAACCTTATTTCGACCAAGCTTCCTGAATCACCAACAACCACCACGGAACGCAGTCTGACCGTTTCCGCTCCGTCCCCAAGCCACGGCAGCCTCGCCAGCAAACACCGAAACTTCGACACATCTGAGCTCGCCGTGTTCAAAAGAAAGACCTCGTCGCAAGACGGCTTTGCTTCCTCCCTTCTTTTTCCCTGATCTTTCCTTGATTCACCACCAGAGCCAGTCACCTGCAAGGCTCCAGCGCAACCATGGATGACTTTGACATCGAGATGGGCGACGCTGTCGACGTGCCAATGGAAGAGCAAGAGGTTGCTGATATATTAGTCGGCGATGATCAACAGGTTTGTCACCCAGGCTAAAATGGGCAAGCGAGTTGGCTCAAGTCTCACCACATGAATTCCAGGAGGACGGCGAGGTTGAGGAGCCCATCACAAACGAGCCAGCAGGCGACGATTCGCCAACCGTTTTACCACACAAAATCCACATCCGAGGCCTGGAGGTATTGGACGAGACCCAACTCAAGCAGTACGTCTCCGCACATGTCGGAGGAAAAGGTGCCGACCGCATCGAGTGGGTAGACGATTCGTCAGCCAACCTGGTCTTCAACTCCGAATCAGCTGCGCAGGACGCCCTCAAGGCACTCGCAGCTGTAGAGATCTTGGACGTGACCCAACTCCCGCCCCTCGAGGTCCTGCCCGCCAAGCCCGTTCCCGAGAGGCCAGAGGTCGCGCTGCAGGTGCGATTTGCCCTGGAATCCGACAAAAAGGTCAAGGGCGCCGCACAGAGAAGCAGGTTCTACCTCTTCCACCCGGAATGGGACCCTGAGACTGAGGAAGGAAAACGCCGACGCGAGGGCCGAGACAGAAGATACCGTGATCGCGAGGACCGGGGAGGGTACCGACGAAATGGGAGGGGCAGGTACGACGACCGCAACGAGGAAGAGCCTGAGCCATTTGATGTCAACCTCTACGACGATGACACGGGCGCGCTCGCTCGACGCGTGACTCCGAGAGGCGAGCGACGAAGACGTGATTCGCGATCACCGTCCAACGAAGCAGAATCCGACCGATACAGGCCCCTCAACGCCGGAAAGGAACTCTTTCCCAGCAATTCTAGAAAAGAGCTGTTCCCCAACAAGAAGCCCAGAGATACGCTTCGTTCAGAGCGGGGAGCACACTCTCGTGACCGGTCTCGGTCTCCGGCTCGGGACGAGCAGGACGCGATGATGGACGATCTCGCGAAGGACAGGGAGGCGCAGCGCAACCGCGAGAAGGCGCGATCACTCAAGGAGCGCATCTCCAGGCCAAATCCTAGCAATAGCGCCAGAGAACTGTTCCCTAGCAAGGCATCAGGTGGTAGCAAGGCCCAAATGGACCAAGTACCCGCAGACATGCTAGCTGGTATGCTACGACTTTCCTACGACGGCAGTGCCGAGTTTCCCCCTTCTTTCTCTGCATTTCATTCTCGGCAGACGCCAAGCCAAAGCATCAAAGTGGTAACCCTCAAATTTGTAGATCGCATAACGGACCCCAGCAACGGTATCTCAATCAAGGGTCTAGCGCGCCAATCCAACTCACAGCAGGGAATCTCGATCAAGGGCAGCGCGAACAAGAAGGAATTGTTCCCGGACAAACTCAGCGGGAACGTGAACTCTGGGAAGGAGCTGTTTACTGATAGGCTTGAGGGAAGGGGTCGCAGGCGTCAAAAAGCGGAGGATCTGTACTTCTGAACACGCAGCTAGCGAGTACGCCCATCAGAAGGTAGGAGAGCGTTTTCCAGGTCTATTGACTTTGAGATCACACATGACGCTGCCTTGAGCGGTGTTGCTCACTACCACACAGTGGATGAAAGAGCCAGGACACGTGGATCTGGTCAATTAGGTCTGTGCCAGGTATGTGACGCGAGGATGCGGTTGCTAGCCCGCGTACGGGAGACATGAAGTGGACGGCCGCACATGGCAAGCCAGAGTGGGGCTCTGATACTTGCTATTTCTGAGCAGAGAACCCACGGGGCAACTCAAATGCGTTGAGTTGCCTGGATCCAGTTGAGCATTGGTGAGTGGGCATACTAGTCTCATTATCCCATCTCAGCTTTACACTTGGCTTTTGTCGAGTATGAATGCTGATGGCCACTGAGAAGATCGTGCTCTGGTAATCCACAAGACTGGGGCATCGAACTACACCGGCAGTCGATGCAAAAGCCGCCCGTGTGGCGGAAGCAGGAGGCAGTGGCAGTAAGCATACTAGATGCTATAGCTATGGTGATTGTCGAAGATCAAATGGCTTTTGCCTTTGAACCCAATACCAACAATGAATTCTTCAGGGAAAATTGGGTCTGTTGAACTTGCCATCTCGGTGAGGAGTAACAAGAGTTGTTGTCCTGGCTGAAAACTTGTGAGTTTATCGGCCACACCGTACTTTCGGTTGAGAGTCCTCCAAATTTTGCTATGGTTCAAGACCCGCGTATTGACGTACAAAGCCTCAGAGCCCGTCTAGGATCTTTGGAAGATACTCTCCTCATGGCGAGGAGTGTGTGAATAGGCTGCGAAGTACTCCAGCGAGCAGCGAGCACTTCAATGTCTGAGGAATGGGAAGGTGCTGGGCGGGAGCGTAATTGCCAGACTGAACAGAGAGTGGCACCACCAGAGGACACGATCCTCCGCAAAGGAGTAAACTCTCCGGCGCCAGCAGCCTCATCTATCTCTGCAACGGCAGCAATGTCGAGACTGGCCGTTCGCACAATGTCCTCTGATGCTATTGTTGAGGTCGACTTTTGTGCCCCTATCACCAATTCCTCACATCTGCCCATTCACACACACACACACACCCTCTGCACAGCGAGCTATTCAATTTTTCCCGCCTTCAATTGTTCCATTTTATTGTGATGACTCGTGGTGTACCTATCAATTCACTGCCTTTCCCGATTCATCGTCACTCATGGTAACCCACGTTCGAGGTCCAACCCATCTCGAACCGAGCCCTGGAATACCCTTCCCTTTTTCATCTCGACCGTCTTGACAATCACCACAGTCAATTCCCTTCTGATCAAAAGGTAGCTGTATCTCGATTTCGCATTCAGCGACCTTCACTCAAGTTGTCAAATTCTCTGTTCGACTGCGAACTTTTCCTGCCTGTCGAGGTTTGTAGGCACGACCAGCGCGAGATCTGCCTTGAAGTCTTGCTTTTCGATGCCAAAAACCGCTGTCTTGGGCGACTTTCATTTCTGACGCAACCTTCAACTTTACCTAGGCTTCCGCAACATCACCACAGCCGGGCAAAAGCCTGGCGCTCACGTTGTACGTGTTGGACGGTTGAATTCCTGATCCGCCCTCAACCAAACCTTGCCTACCCACAGCAGCACATTTCGTGTCGAGCTGTGATACCCTTCCGCAGCTCTTGTCGGCATTTCTTCACCACCATCACGTTCGTGAAAGTCGGCCTTTGGGACGTACCAGAGTCACAGGTATGCTTACCCGTTTGTCACCACATGTAATCACATTGACAACTTGCAGGTCTCTCAACCAAGAACGACCCACCATGGCTGATCGTGGCTGGTTTGGTCGCGGGCGCTCGGCGCATATTGCGCAACAGCCACCGCATCAATCCAACACGACGCCAGACACGCAGAGCGAAGCTGGAGATCAGGCGTCACATGCATCGCTTCATCGTTCCTTGACGCAAATCCCGCTGCAACAGAGCCACAAGCCCCCGACTCTGGCCAAGATTTCGAGCTACATCGGCTTGGGCACTCTCGCGAAAGCTCAATCTCCTACCGTTGCGGTGTACCCTGAACTCGTCATGGAACGAAGTAACTCGATGAAGTCGGGAGCGACTGGTTCCCACGTAACCTCAGTCGACGGTGGTGGACCTATTGGCGATTGGCGACCCGCAAACAAGAAGGAGGGGAAGTTCCCCTACTACAATGAGGCCGATTGCACTTGGCACAACCCGAGCCTTGAGCAGATGGTGGAGACCGTGTCGTGCACGATCATGAAGAATGGTTCATCTGCGCCCATTCCGCGCCACCTCAATGGCTGGATCGCCGGCATCATCGAGGAAGTTTCTCACCAAACCAGCGAGCTTAACAGCCTCCGTACCCAGGTTGCGCAATTGAAGGCAACTCGGCAGGAAGAAGTCATGGAATTTTCCAAAGTCACAGAAGAATGGGCACTACGCGAGATGAACTTCAAGGCAGAGATCAACCGTTTGGAGCACATCATCTCTGACACACAGCAAGGTGCTGGGTCTGTGCTCTTGGCGAGGGCTGGGAGTGTCGTCAATCGCAACGATGGCAGAGCCTTCAGAGCCAAGTTGGACCAGTTGAGCAGGAGCGACGAGGGTAAGCCTTGCTTTGCTCACCCCCCCCCTTTATCCCCAGTGGAAAAGTCTACCGACATGAGCCTGGTAGGAGATGAAAATGCCCTTCCAGAAGAGGGTCATCCCGCGGATAGGCACCGCGACTACCTCGTTGAGCAGGACAAACGTGATTCTATCGCATTATCCCCTGGGGATGTCGGCTTGACTGTCAACACAACTCCGTATCAAGTTCTTGGTGGGTTTCATTCATACAGACCACCCAAAACGGTGAGCAAAGGTATCTGGCTAACAATATTTTCCATATTCAGGATCCACACCTAGCCTGCTCGATCGTAACAACGATGTCCACCTGAGCAAACAGCTTCGCAACGCAACCTCCAAGCGCTGCCGTAAGAAGGATCAGGACATTGGTGCGAAATTGGTCGCCGCACGGATCACGCTTCAGACAACTGGGAAGCCGCCGGCTCCCAGCGCGCAAAACTCAAACGACTCTTCATCCCAGTCGTCCAGTGGAAATGCCAGCTGCAGTTCTTCGCTCATCACGCAGGGCCTCGCTGAGAAGGTAGCACGGGCCAAGGTTACACCACATACAAGCCCTACCAAGGACGAGAACCTCTGTGGTCGACCAGCAGAGGAGCCAAAGAAGGGCGGCGACATCTTGGGAACGATTCGGCAGCTTGCGGCGCAGAATGGAGGCCTGCCAGATGACGCTATTGATGATGGGAGTAGCTGTTCATCATCGATTGTGGACCCTAGACAGCACCGAGCCTTTTCATTCTCGGATGGAGACGACCAAATCGCATCAGAGGACGAACCCACGCCTTCGATGGACAGGACGTCGCGAAATAACGGCTCAAGTTCACGAAACCCTCCGCAAGTGTCAGCGGTGCAAGATCAATTACTTGCGTCTCAGTTTGATGGCGCGTCACAACTGTCTGAGAGCATATCTTCAAGTGCTTTGGGCTATCGGAAGTCGGCCTCATCCCCATCTTCGAGTGATACGTCGCAGCTCCGCAGTCATGCGTCCATGCAACGGTCCATGGGACAGAATCATGCTACGGAAGCCAGCAAGAAGCAAGAGGCCGCTAACGAGGTTAGAAAGCTGGCGGCAGCTTCGATCTGTTCACCAATGATAATTGCAATGGCTAGAGAGAGAAGCATACCTAGTCCAACGAAGAAGGTACAAGAGGTACAGGAAGGTCAAGTACCGCGCCAGAGTCGCCGCGGTCGATTCCTGAACCGGAACTACTCCCAGGGCCGCGCTTTCATCAGCGATGAGGAGCTTGCCGTGGTAGCCAACCGCACAAGAACCCGTGAACCGGCCCAGGTTCGTGCTAGAGGCCACAGCTCCGCTTCAACCGTGCCAAGCGCTGTCGAACGCCTGTCAACCGATGTTGGCTGCAACCAAGAGGCGGCATTTGCTGCAGCGAGGGCACTCAAGAACTCGACTTCTGAACACAAGAGCCAGAACGAGTCGCAGGCTCAAGCCGCTTAGGCGAGGCCATCTCGGACTACATCGACGCAAGTGAGCAGGCTTCTGCCCAGTCGACTAGACTTGATACCTGAAGTGGAAGCTTGGAGATCTGAGGCGAGCATTGACTCACGATATTTTGCGCCAGCAACGGTCTAAAAAGTGCAGTCGACACGCCTGTATTGACGATTGGTACGAACGGATCACTCGCTATTCGGACCGACTTCCGCGTGATGATGCTTGAGCAGAACAGGGCGAGGAGAAAATGATAGGTTGTCCATCAGTGCTGGGTGATTTTCGCTTGTGATGGATTGATACCCTGATGGGTCGAATGGCGTCAACATAAGGCCATCACGGACGTTTGGCTGTGTCAGAGGCAGTGCGGCTCTAGGCAGTGCGGCTCTGGGCTCATGGGAGGCTACGAGCCAGGTGACGGAATGACGAACGGCGCATGACAGCTCGGCCCGGCCGCCCAAAATTCTGACAGTTTTGACAGGCTCGATGGTCTCAACAGCGCACTAGACGCTCTAATAATTATTGGCTGCTAATTTGATGAACACTTGACTATTCTTGTGCACGTGAGCAGGCCTGGGTTGTGCCTTGTGCGTAAAAATGACAGCAACGGCCAACTTTACCTGAGTCGGCTACTTCATTTGAAGATGGAAAATCATTGGCAGAGCCGTTGTGGCCACAGCAAGGTAAATCATGTAGCTATTTGTGTGACTCACTCAGTGAACCTGATCTGCGACCTTTCGGACGACGGGCGTGCTGCTCTCCTACGATATGGCCAGAAATTCAAGAGATATCACAACGTAGATCCGTCTACAAGCCAGGTGGGCGGAAGGCATATTCAGTACCTCGGCATGGTATCCTGAGGAACCTTGAGCACCTCGATTCTCCTCGTGTTTGAAGACCTTGACACAATGTGCCCTCCCCTCGGGGCATATCTCCCGGGCGGAGCGACCTCCGCACTCTTCTCCTCTTGCGCAAGGGCCCCGTTCTCATGACAGCTTCGATTTCCAACTCGTATAGCCCTGGTTACACAGGCTGGGCAGCCTTTCCAGATAGAGCCGTGACAGGTCCGTACAGTCAAATTGCTCAGACTGGAGTGGCACGCATCATCAGCTACTTCCCCGGCCAAGCATAGGAATGACACGAGCGAGAGCCGCCAAACCTCTTTAGTGATGGCCGTAGACGTTTGCTGGCGCACCGTTCAAGCCCTTGCGAGGCAGGCCATCTTTCTGCTTGGAGATACCATCGATCCCGATGTTATGATTAGCTTAGCACCGGGCCTTTTTGGGGCACTGTGACTCATAGCTCTAGCATAGGATGTTCACTGTCCCCAGTGCGGGGGGAATCGTCGAAGTTTCTGTCCTAAAGCCTGCAATCCTGATGGTTATGGCAAAGGTGGCCGTTTAGCTGTGTTATTCGAGAGGAGTTTCGGTCGTAACCCATTTAGGAGAAAAACGTCCTTTGCGGATAGGACCATCACGATGGTTGGAAGGGAAGATGCGTAGCTGACTCCACGTCGTCATCCACGGATGCTGAAGAAGGGGCCCAAGTCACGACCGAGATGCTCTCTGTGCCATTGGTTCCCTCGTAGCATGTGGCTCGCGTGCTGATCGAGCTGCAGCGTGGCATCGCTTGGGACAGGACGTGTCTTGTCCACGAATTGCCTTGTGCTTCTACTTGTTCTTGGATCTAAGTAGACGACGGTCTGGTCACTACCACCGCGATGGGGCGGAGTCTCATGGACGATTCGTACGCATGTGATAGAGGAGAGATGCCAGCTTACCAGTAGTCAGCTTCGTGATTCCTTAGTATGGGGAGGGCAGTGGATACGGCGATGGTGGAGTTGCGCAACCGTTAACAGAGCTCACCGTTTACTGTCTACCGGAAGTTTTCCTCCGTCACTCACTACGATGTATTCTCATACTCGGTCTTCAGATGATCTCGATGATCTCTGTATACTGCCGCCGGTATACTTCCCCTGTCAAAGTAAACAATCAACCTGAGGAGACTCTGCAATATCGGCTGACTGATTACAATGCAGTGAGCATGCACGTCTTCCCCACAGGCCACCAAGACTACGAGAGCACTACAGTTGTCATCCAGTCCGCTAAGAGCTCAGACAAAACAACAAACAAGCTGCCGTTCTGTCGATCTCCGGGCACCGTGCGAGGCTGCAGCGGTCCTCCTGAGAGGATGTGCTTCAGATGCCAATGCTGTGGCGCCCGTCCCGTTTCGTTTCCCTTGCGGATGTCCGTGAAACCCGTTTGCATGGGCTTTACTCGATTCTTCGATGGTAGGGCACTAAACACCTGACAGGCAGCACGACGTTGTCCATTCCTAACGTCTGCAGGAACAAGTGCAGCAGAGATAGCCGAAGTTGCCGGACGTTGAGGACTGTCATGAGACTTGTGTCCTCAATTGCATCCGGGTGGGCGTGGATTTCTGCTGAGGTAGCCTGCAGGCAGAGCAGGATGTGCAGGCAGAAGGAAATGAGGGAATCTATGACAACGCAGGTCTGTCAGGTTGATCTCGCCGTCGCCAGATGCGGTGGACTGTCCTGCGCACACCCATTTCCCCAAGTGGAAAGACAGGCAGAGCTCCTTTGTTGCTCCCCGGGGGACTGCGAGCAGGGGGGGGGCTGCACTTAGGAAGCTAGCGTGGGGGAAGCAAGCTGATTGCCCAGTTAGGCAATACGTTAGGCGATTTAATTTATCGACCTCTGGCCTAAACGTAGTGCACACCGTTTTCGTCCAGATCGACTGCAAGACGGAACTGAGTGTTTCCCTCGCCCAGGCCCTCCCATGCCGTCTCACGACTGTGGGAGACTGCTTTTTTTGCAACAGCAATGGGATGACATCACTCGTCCGAAGGCCAACAATTGGCACTGGAGGTCGCATCCAGATAGGGTTCTGATGCTGTCGTAGGAATGGCACCCAGCCGTTGGAGGGTGCTGTGACCCAGTCAGTACCCATGTGCTGTTGCAGTGGGCGGGTGCGGTTATGGGTGTGCCAGCGCCAGCTGCATTGCGGGGCCCAGGGCAGCATCCGATGCCTTTAGAAGTCGAGGTCGCGAGCGTGCAGATGGCGGTGCAGCCAATCATCTGACACGAATCAGCCCTTGACCTTCCTAGCATGGTAATTCTCAGTCTGCTTTAAGGTTTCATTGCGGCCAAGACAGACAGCCCAGATCGATCCTCACAACCTGGACCGAACAAGGGTTGTTTGTCTGTTCTGGGTCTGAAGTTCCCCTGCTGCTGCCGGATGACAGGTCGGAACAACCGCCGCTCAAACACCTGGACAGGAACAGGAAACAGGCGTTCGGTGGCTCAGCCGTTGCCAGTGACATGACATCGAGTTGAAACTTTTCGGACGGGGGTTGCTCGTGTCCGACCGAATGCAACCAGGGAACTGGAGGTCATTGCGCGCCCGCGTGGCCGCCCACTCTCGCAGCGAGTACAGTATGCTGCAGCACAACACTGCACAGAGGAAAACCGTGCCACGAATTATTCACCGCGACTCCCGGTGTACACATCTGCTAACCGGTTGTTGGATAGACAACTCTGCATCTCAAGGGGTGAGGCCTGTCCTGAACTTGGCAGAGCGCTCGAGGTGGGCCGCCCCGAAACCGCCGCCGTTCTGCTTTGCGTGTCTCCGATCTTGTCAAGTTGCCGAGGTCTGGACTTTTTTTTTTCCTTTTCTCAACGGTTGTCATGAGGAGACACTGACGTTCATGGATGCGACCTCTGGTTTGACTTTCTCGCCGAGTCTATCAACAGCCCTGCACAGCGCCTTGTTCCTGTTTCAGAGAACTGAACTTTGTCTCCCACAAAGCACAACGGAAGAACACTTGAGCCTAATCGATGTCCATCCCAGAACCTGGGAGGGCGGAAACATGACCTAAAAAGGGGTGATTTTGCTGCTTCGGGTCGAGTTCAGATTTGGGCACTCCAGATTAGTCTGGATTCTTTGTCTTCCCCGGGCGATCGGCAATGCTGGGCCCTTTGAGCGGAAACGGCCGCTAAAATCCCTTTGTTGAGGTCGATTCCCGAGCCAGGATTGTTACTGAGCCTCGTCCAACATCGAAAAGCCAAGGTTCTGTGAGTTCAGTCGACTATAGTCGAGAAAGGCCGCGCGTTTCTCACAAAGGCGTAATGGCTACCCACCAGGGGCCCCAGGGAGCATTGGGCTTGCAATGCAGGTTTGGTCTGGAGTATCCAGAGTGGCAAGACTGTGTCACAATCCCACAAACTTCAGAGCGAGTGGGCGATCTTGCATTAGTCGAGGTCTCTCGCAGGGCTGCTCCTCATTTCCTCCGGACGTGACCGCTGCCGTATACTTTCGTCCTCGACGGGCCAGGCGCCGAACAAGCAATGCTTAGATGATGGATGACGACGGGGACGATGATGGATTCCCAGAAATAAACTAGAACGCGAGATTCCAGTTTCAGGGGCTGCGGCGGCGTGCTTCTTCTAACCAGAGAGGTGTGTGTGGGGGGAGGGGGGAGAACGGGCGCGGGCGCGCAGTCGACGCATGTCGTTAGGGCTGTTTCGACCAGCCAGGACTGCCAGGACTGCCAGGAACTGAGGCCGGGGAAGTTGGAGATTCCAATGAGAAAAATGCGAGGCGTGGCATGCAGGCGCACAGCAGGCGGCGATTGCTCCCTTGCTCGCCCGTGCAGTGCAGCCGTGCAGCCGGTCAACGGGCCCCAGGTACCGACGAGGCGGGGGGCACGGACGGTGCAGCGCGGTGCAGCGTATTTGCTCTGCATTTCTGTAATTAGGCCCTGCTGCTCGATGCTCGGCAGGGGAACACAGAACGGCGATTGTCTTGGATTATAGATTGAGGTTGTACACCGAAGTGTCCACCCTGTGCTGCAGTGATACTCGAGCGATTTGGGGGTAAACCTTCGAGAAGCAGGGCGGGGAGAGCGACGCAGAGGTCTGTCTGCCTGGGCAGGTCTGCATGGCTCTCACGATCTGGGGGTAACCGAAATGACGAGAATGGAACGTCAAGAGGCTACAGTACCATGCCCATCCAACCCTCAATCTCAATGATTGCACTACACAGGCAGAGGACAAGCACCTCTTGTCCCTAGTTCACGTATCAGAGTTGGCTCTGGCCTGGCCTGACCTGCCTGGCTGCCCGGCTGCCTACCCTCCTACACAGTAGGTAGATACTGCTTGCTGCCCGAGAGCGAGGGTCTGTCCAACCCTGGTGTGTGTGAGACCTCGGAAGCACTTCAATCTCCATCTTGGACGAAGTCTGGACTGTCGCCTGTCGCCGCCAGGGAGTCGAGGCCCAATCCACCTGGGCAGCCTCACGGCGGCTCCCTCCGAGGGGGGGGCTCAAGAGCAGTAAAGCAGGAACTCAAGATCTCAAGAAGTCGAACCCTTGCTCTGTGCAGACTTTCGGCCGTCAGTGTTGGGAATGCAATGCCTGCGACACGGCTGTCATTGGCTTGCCCTCTCCCAGCTATGCGGCTCAGACTTTGGAACTACGGCAGGTGGCTCGTCGATGTTATGCAGACGAGGACAAGCCAGCCATGGCGCCGACCGGCACTCAGTCTTGACTCAGGCAAGGTAGGCATTCTTGGAAAGCTTTCTTGGACATGACTTTGCACCAGTCCACTAGTTTCTAGCAGCTTGATACAGATGCGGTACAGATGCAAGCCATTGCCGTCTGTCTCTGTAGAGGCAACCAAAGAACGGCAAGAATGCGAGTGTGGGGGATGCAACTTGAGCCTGCAACCAAGCAGATTTGTGGAATTGTCATTTGTCGGGGCAGCCTGTCTCCCCCTTGAGCAAGCCATCCTCGGATCCGTCCAAACCCTGCACATACAATACTGTACGCCACCTGATCACCTCCCACCTCTCCTGCTGCGCGGTCCCAGACGATCGGAAATGCAAGTAAGTGTATTGGCCGCAGCGACTGAATCGACAAAACATCCGAAATTGTTCGGGTCTTGCTTTCGCTGGTCGCGTCGCGGTCTGAAGAGATCCCGACGATGCGAGCTTGGTACGGGGGCGGGCGAGCAAACCAGATCAGCCAAAAATCGACCTCAAGTCTCACAGCTGGGATTGGACGGCCACGATCTGGCTCCAACTTCAGCCCAGACACCAGAGCGATCCCACTCCGAAGAACACACCTTCAACTGAAGTATCCGCTGATCGACCGGAGACATCAGTTGCCGCCCGCCCATGGTCCAACCCAGCGTGACATCGCGAGGTTGCAATCTCCAGCCCTGACCCGGGCCACCAGTGATGTGGTCTACCACAGTAGTCTGCGTAGCTCTGCTCTGGCTTTACTATGCTATGCTATGCTATGCTCTGTTGTGCTGTAGTGGAGGGTGGTCGGGTGGGTGGTGGTGTGCTGTCCCGGGGCCTTTGTCAACGGCGATCGGGCGGTTGCGAGATTGGCGAGGGTGTGATGGTGTGATGGTGTGATGGTGCAAGGCTGCTGTATTTCGTGCACAAGCCCTGCATCTGGCGTGTGATCATCTATCTACGGTACAGTATGTGTCTAGTGCAGCACATGTGTCTGTCCACGACCGCATCCCACGTCGACAATGACGAGACAGGCAGAGATTGAGAGAGATCGAGGGGGGCTGATCTTTCACCTGAGGGTCCAGGTGAAAGGCAGGGGTCTGCTCCGTACAAGCCTGCCAGCACGGTCACATTACCGAGGCCGGAACGTCGGCACCCTGCCATTCTTCCAAGGTCCTCCCCCGATTACCACCCACCCTGGACCCCAGGCCGATGCCAGATTCTCAAATACCTATCCGAGGGTTACATCGCTGTGGATAGCGGCGATCATAGCGACGACGTCCATCCCAACTGTACGGCTCGGGCTCAGCTTTGCGTTTGACGTTCAAGGATGGCAGATCGACATCACCGCCACTACGATATGGTACAACACAGGACGACGACAACGTGCGCCCTGGTGGTAGTGCCCCAAGAAACCGTCGACGACGAATTGCCCCAGGTGACGACGCTCTAGTGTGGTGGGCCTTTACTTTTCTCTCAGCCAGATCAGCGCCCCTTCATTTTCTATTAGACTACATTCACAGTGATGACGCATCCGTGTGTGTGCTCGAGTTGGGATGACCGCCAGTGCTTGCCCAGATGCAGGCAAATTGGCACGCCATCTATTCCCACGCTTGCATCGGGCGCCTCTTGCTCAACAGTCTCAACGGTGATGGCGGCAACCCGGCAGACAGACAAAGGAGTAACGGCTTTGCGGGCGGGAGTGGCTGGGCCCGGCCGCCTGTTCTCACGGTGAAGGAAGCTCCCACGCCGGCTTCACGATCAATGGGATGGCCAACTTGAATCTTCATGACTAGACGCCATCCGCGATCGTGTCAAGCCTTTGTTTGAATGACAGATGCAACGAGAAACATCCTAGGCCAATCCCGGAAGGAGAGCGCAAGAATAGTGACAGCATCTGTCTCACATCATGCAATCGCACTGATGTTTGGGGCTATCGTTCGTGTCCTGAAGCCTCGGGCTCCCGGCCGGACCGCTCCTGTCTTCACCACGGGCCTAGCCCATCTTCAACGCTTTTTTCTGCCCGTCGAAAAGAGCTAGACTGAGCCCTCCCGATGAGGCGCTTGCGCTTCTAAAGAGGAAATCGATGAGTTGATCCTGATGAGGACAAACAAGGAGCGTAGACCACTAGAGCGCGCCACGGGGCGCCTCTCCCTTTCCCAGCCGTGCCAATGAGCTCGCCCAGAGCTTGGAACTCTTCAGCCGTTCGAAACAGCTGTTGTGCCCTATCCAACTTTGGATTAAGTCTCTAGGTCATGCCAAGAAAAAAGATCCAGAATAGAGGGGCGACTTGGCCGAGAACGTTGATGACTATGCGATGATCAGTCTGATATGCTCCGGAGGCAGATTCGATATGATGCAGATGGCGTTGAACCTCGCTGGGAGGACAATGGCAACGGGCCGATAAAGGTCTCGAAAATGACTTACACATCTCTGAATCCGATCGAAGGGCGTGAAGGAGAGGAACTGGGCATCTGAATCAGTTCCTGAACATCTTGCAAGGGGAGAGAAAAAAAAACGGCGGGTATTCCGCACAGGTCCGAAATTCCACGCCTCCCCCCACACCCCCGTGACCCCTTCACCGGAAAGAGAAAACCGCCCAGCCGTTGTGCAACCGCAATCTGAGACACGATCACCGAGACATGCAGGCACCATAAACAACTTTCGAACCCGCGCTCTCTCGCCCACTGCTGGCAAATTGTGTGGACAGGGAAAAGCAACGGCATAGAAAGATCTCGCGTAGCACAGCTCAGATCGAAAGCAAGATAGAAGCTTCCTCCCCATATCACTCCCTCCCTAAGCTCTCAAGCATTACCGTTAAGGGACTGCCTCCAGTTACACAGCATTGTGCGCACCGTGCGTCTGCTGCTAAACACTCAGCCATTGCACGCACCCTGGGGGATACAGTACGGGGAGGGCCGAGGAGAAAAGTTGCTGCGAACTGTATTTGCGTTCGTGTTTCACGCAGCAATAAACCCGGTGGTTTGGGATCGGGGGTTGAGCTGGGGGGCCATGGTGGAAGCATGGGGGCAGGGGAGGAACAGCGATCTGCCCGCTTTGAATAACTATGATGTGACTGATCCCCTCCGGCCTGGCCCCTGCTATCTGATCTTCCCCCCACCAACTTGGCGAACGAGCTGGGAGCACATCCCATCCATCGCCTTTTGCTTGCGGTCAAGAAAGCGAGAGAGATGGATTTCTTGCGGGGAACGAGGGTCGGGTGCCGAGCCACAGCATGGGCAATTCTCTCTATTCCCGACTGGCAGGGGAGCTCGTATCGTGAAGCTTAGGAAGGGGTGGCCCACACTATGTCTCTAGCCTCACTCAAGTCCAAGTCATCCGAGCTTTTTTTTCTTCTCTTTGCCTTGGCCCTGGGCGCAACGCCCTCCCTATCCCGCCTGCCAGCCCCGGTTGTGGCTTGATTCTCGTTCATTCTTGGATGCGGAATTGTGTGTGCCCCCAGCGGCCGCCAGAATTCCATTTTGTTCCTGCTCAACGGGCTTTCTCCATTCCTGGGACTCTTGTCTCGCGGCTCGTCCACCCACAGGTTTGACACATAGACAGGCACACAAGGAGTTACAGGTTGTCATGTTCAAGAAATTAGATGTGGAGCTTGTTGTGCCATTTTTTGCGACTATTAGAAGATTGTATCATTCATCAATTAACCAAGTACTAGTACCTATCGTAGGCGTCTTCTAGGACTACTATACGTCCTCGCAATTCTCTGCCCAAAAAGCACGAGGCGTCCAAATTCAGATTGTCACCATTCCGGCCAGGCGGGTATCATGAAGGCCTTCCCCTGTCCACCGTTCCCTGAGCTTGGTTGAAACCTCACATCTTGTGTGTACACAGCCCGAAAAAAAGGGTGTGCTCCCAGTTGTCTGTAGCCGCCCCACCTTTTCCAAACCGTGAACTCCTGCGCTATGCAGTATAAATCATGCCACATGTGACTCCTAGAGCTGCCCAAAAAGGCTTCCATTGCCATGGAAGGGGATCGTCCGCGGTAACGCCAATAATCAATACAAAGACAAAGTAGTAATTGGTAAGACACTGATAAGAAGACGGGGTAAAAGTGCAAGTTCGCCGCGTGCCTAGTGAAGACAGACGTGCTCAACTGAACAGTTCCCGTAGAACAGTCCGAGGTCGTGATCTGGCCCGTCTTGATAAATTCAACCGAGCAGAGACGAAATGGACATGCGAGTGTCTGAGCCCGACCTGGACTTGGAAGGGCTCGGCTCAGCATTTCGTGGCGGCGACCGTCTGTCAAATCTGTTGTCAAAGAAGCCGGAGTTGGCAGATGGGGAGAACACAGGGGCGTGTCTGTCTCTGTTGCGTTGAGCTGAATCACCGTAGGCCGGCGTCGAGAACCCAGTGCGAATTGGCAGCGAGACTGGGCTGTGGGGAAGTGCCATCAATGAGCCGTAAGACGACGCCGAGTTTGATCGCTTGTGTCCTGTGGCTTCAAGCATCTCCTGAGGTGAGAGCAACTTTGGGCCACTGACACCCCGTTGGAAAGGAGGCAGTGCAAACTGCCCTTGGGGATATGGGATCTCGGCCGCAGCGCGGGGCGACTCGGCTGGGGAGCCATGGTCTGAGGCCAGCGAAGGGGGGTTTGTGATGATGGACGCAATGCTGGTGCGTCGCGAAGGGTACTGATAGTTGGCATGATGTTGCCCTGAGGGGTAATATGGTGCTTGGTGGTTGTTGCCGTAGTCATGGGCGGCGGGAGCATACATTGGCGACATTGAGGAGCGTCCGAATGGCTGGTAAGAAGAAGAGGATGAGTTGCCCCGCGACATGGGCACTGAGTCCTGGCGCTGCGATGCGTGATGGCGCATCTCGCGCTTCTTGGGGCGTACTCCGCGCTCCGTCTTCTTGAACTCCTGGTAGTAGTAGTTCTTGACCATGTTCTCGGGACGTTGCATGGCGCGACCGAGTGGGGCCCAGTGCTTGCCATGCTCACGAACCCATTGCAAAAGCACGGCACCTTCAGGGTCTAAGATCTTGTCCCTCTTGAGGCCAGGCTTGAGGTGGTTGTCCCAGCGCTCACGGCACTGCTTTGCGTCCCTGGTGCCGTGCTCGCGGGCGATCTCGACCCAGTGGACCTGGGTCTTGTTGGCACATCGGTCGACGAGCATTTTGAGCCTTTCGTTCTCGTGGACGGACCATGGCCCCCCTGTCTTGCGTGGGCGGCCATCGCCTTGATTCATTGTGCGGATACTTGCCATGACGATGGCGATATGATGATGGGTTGTTGTGATAACAGCGAGGCGGAAGCACACTGACCAGTGTGGCAGAGGTATGGGTCGGTGACAGTGAAGTCGTTGGAGCGTTGCAGGCGTTGTGGACGATGACAGCACCGTTCACAAGACCAAAGAGGGCGAGTGCAAGTGGGAGTCCAACGTGTGAGAAGAAAATGTGTTGTAGAGATTGTTGATGTCGGGTGGTTGAATGTTTCAAAGTCAAGAGTGCGCAGACTTACAGGATTATATGGAAAGGCCCAGTGTGGGCGCGCCCAGGGGACGCTTCTGGCCATCCGAGCGAAGTAGCTAAGTACTTGAGCAGCAGGACAGTACTCCGCGGCCATGTACCCATTCCATGTAGCTCACGGCTTGTGGCCTTGCACAAGGGTACAAGAGTACGTGTGTTCTTGTGGCTCTCGGACGAGGAGCGGCGTCAACGCTAGGGGCAGAGACTCTGGTCACCCTGCTCAGGTGGAGGGTGCTAGCGGGAGGGAAGACCCCACCACCACCAGCAGTATGTACCAGCACCAGCGCAAGAGCAAGAGCTCCAGATCAGACATGGGAGTACTTGTCAGGGACGCCAAGTTTTGCTGGGTGTGTTGGGTACTCAGGAGGGACGAGGACGAGGACGAGGACGAGGACGAGGAACGATGAGAGCTCTCGGCAGGGAAGATCTCCTGCAGACAGCGGAACAAGGTCAAGGTCCAGGGCCAGGGCCAGGTCATGGTCGAAGTCAAGGTCCAGGGTCATGGATCTACGCTGCTGCATTACAGACGGGGTCGCGGCAAGCCAGCATGGGCTGCCACAGCCAGCCATGCCTGTCGCGTCGCCCGCTGGGGGAGCTGGTAGCTGGTAGCTGGCAGCCAGCACACGAGGGAGGGTCTGGAGAACATACTGCCGCAACAGGCTAGCGGATCTTGCCCGATCGAGACGCCAGTATTTCTCTAACTCTCTGGTGGCCGTTTGGTAGGTGATTTTGGCAGCCTTGGACTTGCCTCGATGGGGCCCATGACATGTCTGTGCCTTGCGTCTGTGCCTTCTTGTCTGTTTGTCTCTCTGTTTGTTTGCCTGTCGCCTGTCGCCTGTCTGTGTCTGGCTGAAAGACCAAAACGGAAGGCACTTTGTGACTGCGTGCGTGCTGCACCGTCCAGGACCCACCCACCTTCCGTCACCGACAAGTCGTTGGAACGGCAGCGCTGTGGATAACGGTGTGCGGGTGCGGTTGTGGCTCGAAACGGAATGGTCCAGACCAGAGGCTCCAGCTGAAGGCACTCCAAGTAATGCGACAAGTTTGCCAATGAGGGCCTTTTGCTTCTGCCATTGGGCAGTGCCCAACAACCTTTGCGCCCGTCAATCTGACCCTATTCAGCCATTCCAAATTTTGTGCGCATGCTTCAGATCAACCCATGCCCCATGCCCCATGTCCCCTCATGGCCCATGGCCTCCCTGCCAGCCTGCCAGCCTGCCAGCCTACCAAGCCTGCCTCACCGGAGAGGCGACAAGGCGACATCGTCATGATCCCAGCGCGGTGGAGGTGCGAAATCTCGGAAGCGCTTGCTCCCGGCCACCTGGCCGTCCACTCCAGTCCACCCAGCAGCCTCAGCTGGCCCTCCGCCGCCAGCTGCCCGCAATCCCATCATCTCACACAGAGGGCCGCCGAGCTCTGTGTCACCTCGCTACCTGCCCGCCACCGTCCAGCCTTTCCCGATACGGTCGCCATTGTCGAAGCACATCAAATGAGGCGTCCACGCCCTCACCTGGGCACCTCTGGTGTGGCTGCTGCGAGTCTGTCTCTCCACGTCTCAACCGCAACCCCAAGGCCCAGGCACACGTCGCCCTTGATGGCATGCGTCTCCACTTTGCTGAGATTCAGATCTCGCAAAACCCGACAGGTTGGGCTCCGCAACGGTCGCTCGCGCCACGGACCTGCCGCGCCCCATCCCCATCCCCGTCCCCATCGCAATCCCCATCATACGGAGCACTAGTTGTCCTCAATGTTGCATAGGATTAGGATACTACTGTACGGCTGAAAGGGCCCCGGCCTGTTGGGCCAAGTTACCAATGCCTCCCATCGAGTCTGTTAATCTTGGAGGGCCATGCCAGGGGACGGACCTACTGTATTTTCCACCCGAGACATGGTCTCCCGACGCAACCCTCGATTCCGGCCTGAGGGAGAGAGGCGCACCTTTCCCCAGGACCCACCTTTCCAACCCCGGGCTCCTATGTGTACGTACCCATAGCGATGGCCTTGGCGCCAGATCGTATTTCTCGATGATGGCTTTCCCGCATCAACTCCAGGGAGATCTATTCTTTTCAGCTTCGCGTGGCTGGAGCTCCCAGAGGCCTGGGGCTCGTCGATCCTGGCTCAGCTATTCGCCTACCTCCTGCCTACCTCTCGCAACTTGCGGGCGTCGGCCGCATACAGCAAGACCCCCTGCCGAAATTGTAGCTGACCCTCGGCAAGAGAAAGAGAGAGAGAACGTCGCTTTTCCTGCATTCTTGAAACGCTCTTCAGGAAATCAGTCCAAGACACAGGCGAAGGTTGACGTTTGCTTCTTCAAGCAGCACGGGGAATAACAAGAGACAGATGCCCACGAGGGCTCACGAAGGAGCTGCAAGTGCTCGGCGATCTAGGTGGGTCGCGCAGTGCTCATGTGCTTTTGGCATCTCCCGTTGAGATGCGATATCTGACTCTGTTCAAGCAGCAGTTTCTTTTTCTCTGCATTGCTGCTTCTCTCGATCGGGCTTCATCCTTTCCTGCGGCACGGTGGAAGACATGTTCCTTGCATGAGCCAAATGACTATGCTCTCCCCCACCGCTTGCTGCATCACATCACAACTTTTGCTTTTCTCCTTCCTAGTGACATTTCAAAGGGCAGCCTCGCTAAGGTCCAGCCAGGCAATTGGTTGGCCGCGTTGATGAGTGAAAAGCCACGGATTCAAGCGCGGAGATGTCTGTGGGGGTTGTATGTCTTGCAGCGCTGCGGGACTATGATGTACAGCGGTACATCCACTCACTCACTGAACTTGTGCTGCGCTGTGAAAACGTAATGTCACACTTTCAGAGGTGTGCGGAGGTCTAATCAATCGCCAGGTACAGGGATCGCCCAGCGAACCGGCTGCGCTGATCACCTTCGGGTGGCTGCTGACTCGACGACTCGGGACCCAAAGTGCTGGGTTTTGGTCTGTCATGGGCTGGAATTTGCGGTGTACGGCTCGCTGCCTGGTACCTATATCGTGGCGTGATATACAGCCCTCGGCCTACTAGTTCGAGCCTTACAGGGAACACTCGATGTCGCTGTTGCCAGCAAAACTTCCGCTCTCCGCCGCTTCTGAGCCCGCCAATTTGGCTGAGCTGCATCGGGAGAGTGACAAGTGGACTCATGAATGGAATTCTTGGAGGGCTAGATACGCCGAGGATGCTGCGATGTGTAGCAGATATCCCAGTGCCTAAGGGGAGGACCAGCCCGCAAACGAGTGAAGTGACATAGCGGCCCGCTTACAAACCCGTTAAGCAATACCATCTCTATTTTCATCTGAATGCTGACAGTGCAGTTCGTCGGCATATGGCTCCCGATCGGGCCCTGGGAGCCAAGGGTCTCAATAAATGCAAGCACTATCATGAGACTGCGAGATCTGCAAGACGAGGGAAGGCATGACGTGACCATCCATACGCGGTCGCGGGAGCGAAGGAAGGGATCGATGTGGGACCGTAGCTGGGACGGACAAGCCTACTTCTGCTTCCCACAAGCCACGGAACCAAGCGATTGGGTCGACTTGCGTAGTGAGCCGTTGGTTCCCTCTCGGCTGCTCTCCCACTGGCGACCCATTCTGCTGGTTCGGATGCCAAGAAGTGCGCCCACGGGCGAGCCAACTTTAGCCCGGACTGAAGGGCTGGGTTTGAAGTGCACACAGCTGGTAAGCACTTGATCTGCCGGCAACTGGGAGCGCCCGCATACACGGTATTGTATATACCTGCGGCATCCGATCGCAAACAAGCGCGAGTGCATGCTTCTGGGCTGCAATTAAGCGGCTGCCTACTGTAACGCTCACTGTACCGCAAAGATGTACTGATTTTAGTACGGATCGCCAACGCACCCGTAAGAGGGCAACGCACTCCGGCGATGTCACTCTGCATGGGAGATCAAACATTGCAAATCGATGCATCAACAGAGCCTAGCGGCAAATAAAAATGCATAGTGAAGATGGGATCTTTTTTATCCCGCCTACATCGCGCCAAGCCAGTGAGCTGGTACAGCACCCGGCGCGCCTGCTGGCCGCGCCGCAGTGGCTGGTAGACTGGGTAGGATGCTGGTAGGGCTATGCCGCGCAGAAAAGTGCGTCTCTGCTTTTCCCTACTCGAAGATCTCCGCCAGGGCCGTCTGTCACCAATCACAATGTTTGTCGAAGGCTGACAAGACCGATGAAACGCATCTGGACTGTTGGAAAATCGCGGGGACGGATAACCTGGACGAACATATTAATTATCGCTGGCCAGTCAGCAATGGCCAGAGCCCCTGCAGCTGCATCGAGGCGAAGAGGTTTCATCCCATCCGGGTGCCTTAAAATCAACTGAGCTTGCGAGGAGAAGCAATCACCCAGTCTGCCAGTGACATCTTAATAGTCGTCGAGTAATGCTCCGAAAAATCAGGACGAGATCCTCCGCACATCAGATTCCGGCATGACTGGTATAAGACCTATAGCCTCTGGGCAATATGAAGGCACTAGGTCGATCAGCCCCCAGTGGACCCCACCTCTGGCACTCACCCGAGCTTCAGCTTCTTCGTGTCGTCAAGATCTCTGTGGTAGAGACGGGCAGATCATCCGGCACTCAGGCCAGGCGGTCGGCGGGCAGCACGGGATGGCTTGTCATTGGGGACGGACCGTGATGGTAGTCGTTAATTCGTTGATGCCTCCAGCTTCCGCAAGGATTGCACCCTGCCCCGAGCAAGATCGTTGAGGGTGGAGGCGTTTCGAAGTCAGAAGGAAAAAAGCGTCTTTGTTCTGTCTTCCTGGTACCGAGACCCCTCAACCACCAGCATGGGGCTCTCAAAAAAAGCTTCCTAAAAGGGAGGCTTGCGAGAGCGTCCAGGACCCGAGACGACAAATCCAATGTAGCTTGGGACGCATCTATCCACATTCCCGGTCACAGCATCCACATGCTACCTTAAGGGGAGATTTAGGGTCTTTGCGCTTCCTTTGCCATGCGGACTGACCCGCGCTGTGGATGCTTGCCTCTTTTGTCAAGAAATCCTATCGGCATTGGCAATACTGTTATGAACACATAAAGTGGTACCGTAGTAGGTTCCAGCCCGAAATGCATCGGGATTCAGCCTCGCCAATCTGTGTGGGAAGCTCCACTGCTGCGCTGTGAGAGCTTTCCCCACGATAAACCCTGGACGCTGACCCCTGCTGTAATCTCCCCTGCAGCTGACAGTGGAGCTTGTACGTGGCTGTGATTTACAACACGACATGGCAGAGGGTCTGTATGGAAAACCACTCGGGTGCAAGTCTTCGATGCCTCAACGCTGTGGTCTAGAAGACATGGTGGAAACCCAGACTCAGAGAGGCATCGGAGGCTGGTTGCCACACACTGCGGCAGCGAAGGACTGAGGTTACTCAAATATGTAAATGGCCCGAGGCTCCACCCGACGACGAAGCCGGTAAACGTCCTCTAGTAACCCCCTAGTATACCAGCGCTCCGGTACAGGGCGGCGCCGCCCCTCCTAGTCCCCTCGCCTGACGTTGCGGTCGGTGTCTCTAGCCTGTTTTATCTTGAATGCCACTCCAGCTGACCCATTGATGGCGAAGAAATGGTCGACCCAATGAACAACGTTAAACGGGATTTGGACCAGAGCTCCCAGCGATGCCGTGGGTCCCTAGTCAGATAAACGGGATGCGGAGGGCGGCTCCGAGGCGGAGACCAAGCCAGTGGGGCATTCAGTGAAGCACGGTCTCAGGTACCTTTGCGAACGTTGCACGAAGGCGGACACAACTCGAGTCGTGGACAAGAGAGGGCTCTGCTTCAGATCGATGGGGTGTTGAATTTGTGCAACCCGACTTCATTGTGGCTGCAGTGTAGTCGGCGAGTCGGGGAGGTTGTGCGTCCTTGGAACAGGGGCCATCTGCGTAGGCATGTCGCATCATAGCCGGGGCTTGCATGCCTCTGCATTTCGGCATGCAAACCACCGCATCACCACGGCTTGGATGTTGAAATACCGTTGCAGCACGCGCACACGCACACTCACAGAGGATATGGGTCCACGACGTCCCTCACCGACCACTTGGCACTTGGGCCCCTGGTGGCGTTACGACGAGTATTTCAGCTGAGCGAAGTGACAGTAGCCCCACGGGACGACTACAAGCGGGATAGCCTCAGTCTAACTATAGCCCTCAGAGGTAAACCTGCCTGTCACATCCGGGCGCATCTGGTGATTTTTGCTCAACCAGAACCTCAGACTCATCATCTTATTGCCTTGCACCGGCTGTCGAAACGAAGAAATGCAGCCTCCTACTGCAATATCCCTATTCGGTGTCTGGGGCGGCGGTGCCAAGGCCACTGGGGGTAGAGGATTCGCGGCGTGCGTGCCCTGCTTGATCGACGATCAGTAATACGGTTGGCCTGCTTATTGTTCTCATTTGTGTTGCACTCCACCACCATCGTCATTCGGCATCGGTGGGACGGTGGGTGATCCTTCGCCATGCGACAGTGAATCTGGAACCTCTTGTCCCCACAAGCAAAGGAGTGATAAGCTGTCATGGTAGTCGCGGGCAGAACTCCCTAACGCTACTCTCTCGGAACCGAACAAAACTTTCATGACCGACGGCTTGCGCTAGGCATGGGTCCTTGGGCTACACTCTACATCCGTTACCCACAAACACACCTACTTGTGCAGTCTGCTCTCAACCTCTTGGAACATTGTGGTTCTGGTTGCCTAAGGAGTGGATCGCTTGAAATTCTGATCTCCTGCAAGACATGTACAAAATAGCGTCCCGGGCAAAGCTCACTATCATGATCTCAACATGGCACTGGCGACATCTTTGCGGTCCGTGAACTCGACGAACGAAGTCTCATGTACTCATCTTCGTATCTCAAATACAACCTGGACCAGGTCGAATGCGGAAGTCCATGAGATGTTTCCTGGAGCTGAGGTTAGCCATCGCGTGGCATGCCATTCCCCTGGTCTAGCTCATGATCTGGCGTTAGTACGACATGGGCACGGCGGCCATGATCCCTTCCCCTTGCCATGCTGAAAGTTGTCAGACTAGGTGGGAAGGGGGAAATTCAATACTACAGTAGATACGAGTCTGGACGAAACATACCAGAGGCTCTCTGGTCGCGCCCCCTAGGCTCAAATCCTTCTACCGCCTCAATGGTACCGCCCGTTAGCCTACTGTACGTTCCGCTCCCCTTCCGCACTGACTTTTGGCTAAGACTCTAGCCTCCATTGAGAAGGGGGGCTGTCCTTTCCATTCCCTCGGGACCTAGACCCAGGCTCGTTGGCGGCGCCTCGATTAAGCTATTTCCGTCCGGCTCTCTCCCGTACGCTATGCTGCTCTCACTCTCAACGTCGTGCACTACCCGACCATCCCTCCCTGCTGGGGCCAACAACAAGAGGAGCGGGAATAGTCGTCGGCTTCTTTCATGTTCGGGACCTTTTTGGTCTGTCAATGCCATGTGGCACTAGTGGCCGTACTTGTGCTGCGGCCAGTCGATAAACAACCCACCCTCCTCCTCCTCCACTTTTCTGGTCCTGGCTGGAAACAGCGCCGGGCTTCACTCTAGCTGAGCAGCCGTCCTCTGTGTCGCGGTCTCACGAGCATGCACATTTTGCCAGGAGAATGTCCCCCCCCCCCCCAAACAGCACCCTTCCTGCTTCCACGCACACGAGGACAAATGTCGTTCTCTGCACTGCCCAGTTGAGACAAGACAGTACAAATGAGTGCCAGACCAGTGAGCAACCAGGCCGAAAGGCATATGTTACACAGGCACAGGCGAACATTTCCAAAACTGTCACGAGGCGTGATCAAGGCAATCACAGCGGCGGGCTCTGCCATTGGACTATTTACGAAAGACGCACAGAGTAGAAGAGCCCGAGACACAATAGCGGCCGTCTGACGGAGTACGGCCCCGCTCTGCCGGTATTGTGTTCGACGAGCGAGTCCACTCTATTCTTTCTCCCTACCCCCCCCCCCTTTTTTTTCTCTCCCTCTCAACACGCTTAGCACCCACCGGCAGCCGTTCCTGTACGCCTCAACGGTCTTCCGTGGCACAACGCACCACCCGTCGCTCCTACGCTCGGGAATTCGCGTGAGCTACCAAGCTGTTGGGTCCGTCCCCATGCTCTCCCATTTCCCCTGGCGTGTGCACCAGTGCGAATCTGGCCCCAAGCGCACACGCTAATTGTCACGTCCAGGGCCTCGTCAGCATCTTTTCGGTAGATGTATCCGGACTCGGCCAAAGTGGACTCTTTCGCACATTCCGTGCGTTTTTGATGGGTCTTCATACTAGGTCATAGCTCCGATCGTGGTTGGTCACCGTCACTTTAAACTGCTGCCTGAAACATATTGAGCTAGTCGCGCTGATGGAGGAAGATCACACTTTACTGACCTCACGTGGCAATGTCCATCGCCCCACTGCAAGATACTGCTTAAGGCATGGCATGGATATCTGCAACCCTAATTTTTCTACAGCCTATTGCCTTACCTCCGACTGCATTTCGGAGATCCATGATGCTTAATTCACACACGAGATGCAGTAGCCAGGAGTTAAATATATCTTAGCTGAAAGCAATGGACATGAGGGGCATCCTGGACAATGGTTCGTAGAATTGCCCGTGACGTGACATGTTGGCCTTTCCTTTTGAGGGCATCAAATGGCTCGTTTGATGATCCTTTGCCATTCCGACTTCGCTCCACCTGCGCCTTTGGTCTTATCTGACGGAATTCTGGCCGGGATGGTGGGACAGCCCTGGTATGATTGCACTTGACGATCGGAATTTTTCCGCGCAGGATCAAGCTGCTAGTAAACTATATCGCGAATGAAGACCCTCTCTTGCCGAAACGGATCGCGACGTCTTTTTCTGGGAAGCCGTGGCCGTCGCAAGGAACAAATGGCCAACAGCACGACTTCGAGAGGTTCGATGGTCTGAACCACATGGAGGTTCGTAATTGCAGCTGGGATACCTTGCTAGGTAGCAACTAGGATCCTGTAAATGTTCGCGTTCGAAAAAGTAGAGTTCTTGTCATCTATCGATTGGTTCCTGCGTTCAATGCTGTATGGGGCCACCTTGCTCATATCAGGACTTTAATACGCGTCGGTCTCTGTCCGTTCATCAACCACTTTACGATTGAAAAGACGGAGATAAATTTTGAAGATCTTGAGGTGACTGCAGCCGACGTGATAAGTGTGCCTGTCTCAGTGGGCGAGAGATACGTTTTAACCTAGACCCAGTCGCACGATTCGGCGTCAGGTTTGCAATAATAGAACTCCTCAGTAGGTGCCATCAGGTCAATTCGACTTCCTACAATTGAATCCCTATATGCCCTCAGCGGCGCGCTCTACGTACACAGCCTAGAGGTTGGAGCGGCAGTGCAAGCTCATAGCCCTCACCAACTCCTCGCCGAGAAAAGGAGTCCAGCTATACAATTTGTATCAGAGTGGCAAATAGTGTCAGGGGATCCTATACTATACTAGCCTGCACTGCCTGAGGATAGCTATGAAAGTCCCTCACCAGAGACATGTGCGCCATATCAAGGAGACTTTTTTGGGTGTAAGAGGCAAATATTTCCAAACTGATCCTGGGCTAGAGGAAACTTTGCCAACATGAATCCTTGTATTGTTGATCTCTACGAGAAAATTCTCCTTTTGGACATCTCCGATCCCAGTAATCAACCCATGCTTTACGATATCCTGGTGGGTAGAGTGTGTATACGTGGTCGGACGGGGCAGGCTGTGTCGGGGGTGACATATTCCGTGGTCTAGCCCTGAGTATAAAAGGGCCGTGAGTGATCGGTGGGTATACGAGAATATAGTGAGAGATAAACAAATAGTCTTTCATTTAGGAACGGCGGGTTGTACGTGTCGTTTCAGATCGGTTGGCATTGTCAAGGGGTGATCCTTCCGCCATTACACGGTCTGGATCCTGCCGAACGAACTCGGCGTAGATCATATAGGCGAGCTATTATACATACACGAAAGCTCCAAAGAGCTATAATCCTAGCTCACCTTTACGTGCCTTTTGTGTTTTTATTAACATGTCTATAGGCGCTTAGATGCCTGCCTCTAAACGAAATCGCTCTCCAAGCCAGAGTCAACAGGCCGAACATCGGCAAGGCGTCGAATACAGTTTCGATCTGCTCTCGACTATGGTCTGTGAGCTAAATAGTTCTTAAATCTGCCGAGGCGTAGCAAAGACTATGCTCAAGAGTGAGCGGCATCGACATGTGAGACCGACACTGTCCCTCTATAGCACAGCATATATTTTCGGTCTCGTCTTGGCTATAATTCGCGGGAAAAATGCTCTAATGGCTTACAGAATGATGACAGGGTGTCAAAATTGTAGTTTAAAATCTTCAAGTAGCGCGAATATCGTGCGGTACCGCCTCAAGCTGGAAAAGTGCTCTATCAAGTGATACTCACCTTGCCTGACCCCCTGGTCTGAAGAACACAATGGTGCCAATTGACTTGACGAAGATACAACAGCCACTACGCAAAAAATTGTATTGCCTACCAAAGTTATAGAGAGCTTCTTCTAAGACATCAATAGTCTCACCGCATGAGTGTGTTGGTTTGAGAAGCTTTCAGATGCTGAACAGACTTGCACATAACGATATGCGAATACCTCCTTTTCTTCCATCATACCCGCGAACTAAACTGAACGACTTCATAATCTAAACATTCGGGACTGACTAAAAACTGACGAAGCCACCAGCCCAAAAACGATACAAAAGTTCTACACAGGTTGACTGGATAGTTGAAGCCTGCACGTCGCTGCTGGTCTTGGAGCATCGGTCACATTTTTTGATAGAAGACTATTACTCGCGGCAACATGAGCTAGAATATTTGCTACTGAATTGCAATTTTGTTTATTGTAAAATCATATCCCAGCCCCATCAGCAAGTAAACCACTTCAGCGCCACCTGCTGGGTCGTGGAAACCGTTGCGTCGTCATTGGTCATCAGTCCACTGGCTGATGAATTCGAACTGCTCAGTGAAATAGTATTCCCAATGTTAAGTAAAGCTGTTGTGCCAATTCCCAAAAGACCACAAGGGCTGGGAACCAGATTAGGCGTTGAAATTGTGTCGCTCTTTGTGTAGACAGACCCTGACTCCCACGTACCACCACCTAGAACGCTGGTACTCGTGCTAAAAGTGGAGGACACGAGCGACGAGAAGAAGTAGGCCGAGTAAAACTTTCCCGTGACACTGCTATCGAGCTGCGCATAGCCGTGGTACGTGCTAGAGACCACTGCGAAGGAGTATGCTGGTGGGTATTTAAGTGTGAGCAGGAGGTTGCAACCCTTGGAATGGTCTGCCACTGCTGTGCCTGGCCCGATGTATGCTTGGAACTTGTCGAATCCAAAAGTGATGACCTGCATTCCGTTAGTTCTTTCTTTGGGGAATGTTCGTGAGCAAAGAACCACCAACTTACTGTCTTATCTGTGGATAGCGACGTTGAGACGCTACCGGATGGGCAGCCTTTGCCAGAGTAGGAGACACTGACGATGCTTATTCCTGAAGGTTTAGAGATTGGAATCCCGGTGATGGTAGCAGGAGCCGATAATTTCAAGGTCGTCGGGCTTGGATCCGACCATCCAGGGATCGAGAACGTCGGCAATATACCAGCCAGTACATATGCTGGCAGAAGGATAAGTAATAGAAATCGCATCTTGACCAAGTGTTCGATAGATACCACTCGGTACAGTTTATTCGACACCCTCCCAAGCCAACAGTACCTGAAAATGCTTCTGCCTCAATGTTCGATTCATGGACTAACACTTCAGTCCTCGAAATCTTGAGAAGGCATTTCAGAGCTTTATTATATTGGAAGGAGCTCCAAGTTCAGAACCGTCGAGCTTGGTCTAGATCTGATTCCTAGTCCCGGTTGAATGAGGAAGCTTGCCCCTACGGAACATCTCTTCCACGTCGGCTAATAGAGTCGAATGGACTCACACCAAGTTGTTGTTGTCCAGATCAAATTAAGGGCTAATCGAGCTGCTAGCCAGCCACCTTACCGGGAAGCTGGTCGACCTAAGGGTGCTAGAGTGGAATGGCTCGCGTATCTCGTCTAGAGCTAAGACCACACGATGCAACCAAAGCGATCGCATCTTCGAGATCAGAACACGTGCAAGATTTAATCCTAATGTCTTACATATTCGTAGCGTCTGATCTGCTATTGAAATCCTCACGCCTACAGACTCGAGCAAACTGCAGCCCGGCCTTCTCAGATTTGCAAGAATCAAGAACAGGACGAGGACTTGAATGAATTCCATTCAAGACTATAACTATAATTACAGATGAAGAACCATTTCCCTAGCATACCGGGTGCTTCAGTATATTTTGTGAAGGATTCTTTTGCTATCACTCAGGAGATCTCGGAGCTAGTTCTTGAAGCTCGCCGATGTTATTCACAGTCTTAGACCGCTGTCCCTGTTAAATGTTCATGTTCAATGATCGTGTGATCAGCGCCGACGGATACAAGCCCTCATTCCGCGTGCAACACATACCCGCCACCCGCCACCTCGATGCCGGGTGTATAACGGTGTCTAGCACTGACAATTCTTATATAGCACTCGGTACCTACACCAGACCCGCTCATTACTCACAGAATTCCACAGCATTCATTCTTTCCGCGCCATATAGTCAATGTCAGGAGCTATCAAGTCTCAGGAATTAAACCAACAACATTTGAGCTTCCTCGTTCAAATCAGTCTATCGACGGACAAGTTGGATGACTCCTCTAGCTTATAGGGGAAAAAATGTACAAAAAATGGAGACCAACCACAGGAACGCTTCCAATTTGTTGACTTGGGACTAACCGCTGAAAGGCAAAAGCTATGCGCCAGCCCGGAGTCGAACCGGGGGCCCATCGATGGCAACGATGGATTTTACCGCTAAACCACTGGCGCCTTTATTGGATATCAGCGGGTATTATTATCGTATTATATAGTATATCTTGACAGAAAAGCCGCGCAGAATTATCTTTTCCTTTCCCATCTTTTTCCTCCTTTTTCAATTTCTTTTTTAAAAAAAATGAATAAAAAAATTAAAGCAACCCTCTATTGTAAGAGTTAGTATACACCGTCTACTGAAAGAGGTATTTGCTTTGAGTAAAAGTCTCTTTACTAAGAACTTATAACATCGAAGCTAAGTCAAACTGGTGGGACTATTCACTTTGTGTGCGATTTACACAGCAGACTATACTAACGACAGTACTCAAACAGGTTGTCGAGAGGAGGTCTGGCCACTTGTATCACAACGATTCTCTATCCATAAGGCACTATTTAGGCCGCAAGCTTGTCGACATGTTGGCCTGGACTAAGGCCAAGATATGTACTGAGAGAGAAAGTGATAGATATAGCGAGGCGACCTGATAGCGAGGGAATATATATACATATATATAGTGCGAGTAAATGCAAATAACATCTGTTTCACGAATCCGCGAAGGTTCAATCCGGACTCACCGATTCGCCTCCTTCTCTGTAATGAAAGTCAGCAGAATGCAGTAGCTCTGATTGACTGGCGGAGCCCAACCTGATCAGCACCCAGCGGGCTTCTATGTGGCTGGCAACAGAAGCAGGGAAACGCTATCGAGGCGAGCCTGGATGGCTGCATCAGCCCTTGGCCGCTGGAGGCAACTTTAGACGGGGACCATACCAGCGCCTTCTCTTTGAGTGGCACTGCAACGCTCTTACTGCCATCTGATCTCGTCTGAGATTGGTCGGGTGTAGGTGGATCAATGCCGGATAGGTTGGTAGACAAGCAAGGCATTACATTACGTCCATCTCTTTTATCGTAGTGGCTGTCACTTCATGTATACCATGTCCATACACGTTGGAATATCGGCCATGATGTTCCTGGGTGATCACAGGTGGGGTCAGGAGTTTCTTGAGGATATGGTTGACAAACCAAAGAAATGCTTCATGATATCTCGACACCGACGAGATCTGACGAGGGGTATAATATGTACACTTCAACTCCAAGTGTTCCGAAAAAATGAGGACAAAAATAAGCAAAGGAGAAGTATGGCCAACAGTGGTAGCCGACGGGACGGAATCGCCCGATGCCCGTCCTATGTGTGCTACCAGACAGCCATGACCGCCGCCTCGGGGGATAAGGCAAGACTATCGCACGTAGCATTCAAAGCGAAGGTCATGCGATGTCACAAGCGGACCCCCACTCAAAGATACCACGATTGTAAGAATGTCGAAGTCTTCCCCAAGGCTGGTTAGCGCAGGGCTGTGGGATTTCCCTCCTCGGCCGACACGGAAGAAGTGACAAGAACACCAACAATACCTAACTTATAAATGCCCTGAAACGCTTCACAGCTCTGCAACATAAAAGAATTTCTCCCATCCATAACATATCCGAGAACTCGCTTCTTCAATGCTTGTCGCTCAAAAGAAAACATCACCCCATGTATAACGCCTCAAAAAGGGAACTCGCGTTCCTGCTGTTTTGTTGTAACCCCCAGTTTTCTTGTTCACCCCTCCCCTATTTGACCAAATCCATCGGAATGAATGGCATATGTCATTCTGTGGATCGATCTTGTTGCCTCAGAATCTCACAGATAGATATCGCCGTCGATGCCTGCGACCCATCTCCTCCAAGCCTCTTCGTATGCCTCCTCGAGGTCGGATACCCAGCGGCGGGTATTGAATAGTGCGCAGTTCCATTTGCTTCCGAACAGTAGCTTCCGCAACTCCCATAGACGCCCTTCTGCCTCGCCATAACCGCCCTCTGCCATGCGGTACGAGATACCATTGGCCAGCTTGATGGCTTTCTTCTCATAATCGTCATCATCTTCGGCGACCAGGTCCTCTGCAGCTTGGTTGCCTGCAGGATTCTTGGGCAAAGCACCCTTGAGAATGGACGCGGCCATGCGTGAGCACATCTTGTACTTATACCTCGGCAATGTGAGCAATGGAGTGCTGGACCAGAGAACGTCGGCTGCTGTCGTGTGCGCGTTGCACTCAGGTGTGTCCAAGAACAGATCACACACGCGAGCGCGCGAGATATGCATCTGCTTTGGTGCTACATCCGTGAATCGTATTCGACTAGCGACTTCAGAACCAGCCCATGCTTCGGCGGTCTCCTTGAGCGCTCGCTCTCCCAGCTCGGGGAACTTCAGCAGCCAGAGAATAGCTTTTGGCGTGTTGGCCAGGATTCTAAGCCATGTGCGGAAGGTGGAAGGGTCGATCTGCATCGTGTCAGTGACGGGGTCATAGTTGCTGACGGCAGAGGGCACGGGTCTGACTTACCTTGTACAACTGGTTGAAGTTGCCCAGGATGATTGTGTCATCCGAGAGATCCGGGAAGATCTCCTTGCGCATCTTCCACCTCCGCCTTTGCTCTTCTTCCCAAGTCACAGTTCGCTCGGCAGTGTCTGCGGACTGTCTGTGGTCGCAGCAGAAGAAAGTGTCCCTACAGAATATGATGTTTTCGGAGTACACCCAATCCTCGGCATCGCCTTCGGCATCGTCACGGAATACGTCTGTAAGCGTAAGGTTGCCTCTCCATGGTCTGAGAGTTTCAGGAGGGATCGCAGTGGTGTCTGCCAGAAGGTAGTCACACCATTCGGCCCCAAGCGTTCCAGCAAAGCCCATGAAAGACATTTGTATGGGAGCCGGACGTGCGGCGAAAATCTCGTTGCGGGCACCCCTTGTATACCCGTTCAGGTTGACGAGGATATGAATACCATCCTCAACGATTCGCTCGATCACCTTGTCGGAAGACCAGCTGCTGACGTCACGGAACACAGGAGCCTCCCTTTCGATCTGCTGGCGGTGCGATGATCCATCACTGGCGGTTGTGGCATAGCAAAAGGCTTTCGCTCGAGTCTGGTCGTGGAAGCCAAAAACAGACTGCATGAGGTGTGCCAGAGGGTGGTTGTTGAAATCGGAAGAGACATAACCTATGTTCAGGCATGGGCTCGGAGGTTTCGGGGGCCGGTAGACTGTGTGCGGAAGCCATGGTGATCGTAGTGTGGAGCAAGATATCCGCAGCGCGTTGCGCTGAGAGATTCTCCGCACATCCCTGGCTGTCAGAGGGCAAGTAAAGGTATGAAATGGAAGGACAGTCGGGGCGGATGGGACTGTGAGATTGCCGGGAGGCCGTGTTCGGGGATAACCATGCGGAGACTCATATCCACGCTCGTATTTGTCCAGGTACCAGTTGCGCATGGTGGCTCTGGTCGAACGCTCGATCAGTCGAAGCAGGCGAGATCCTTCCCACGGCTTGCCTGCCCAATAGCGCAGTTCAGATTCGAGATAGAGATTAGAATCCGGTTGAGACGCACGAGAAGCGTCAAGCTGAGACACCATCGAGGCAAGGACGCCCGAGGTGAGAGCACCGGAACCCCAGCTGGAGGCATCCTTGAGCTGACGCGCAACAATATCAACGACTTTCTTCATCAAGCCGGAGCCCTGACGAGTCTCTTTGACATCGATGATCATGCCGTCGTCGCCCACATGCCACCTGTCAAACTTCCCACCATTGAGCAACACTCCGCCACGACCCTTCCAGTCGCACACTGAATTTAGAGCTGTCGACAGCCCGCACACAGCCTCAGCAAATTCGGGGTTCGAGTCCACTGCACGTCTGTAGTACTTGATGGCTTCTTCGATACGACCCCGATCTTTGACCGCATTTGCTAGATTTGTCAAAGCAATGTCGAAAGTACTATCACATTCCACCGCCTTCTGGTACATTTGAATGGCGTAATCGAGTTGGCCGATGTCCTTCAGCAAGCTTCCCAGGTTTGTGTGGAGATGAACGTGTTTTGGGTCCAACAATAGGCCGTATTGATAATATGCAAGGGCAAGTTCCAACCCACTTCCAGGAATAATGCCTGGTATTCGCGCAGCGTATTGTGTTGTCGAGGCTGATGGCGACTGTGAAGCAGACTGTTGAACACTCGCAAGTAGGATACCAACATTGTTCGCGGTGGATGGACTCTCTTGAAGCGCCAGAGACAGATAGTACAGCGCAAGGATATCGCCCACGCCGCGTGGTTGCGCCACAGGCCCTGGACTTGATCCACCCGCAGACATCGCATCCTGGAAGATTTTTGCCAAGGAGAGCAGAGAATTGCTTGTTGTCGAAATGGCATTGTGTTTGTGCTTGCCGTCAGGGACATATCGCAGGCCCGGTAATTGCCCCCCTGTCGATGAGAAGACCAACTCGGCCGTTCTTTTGGCCCTATCTGGCGGCAAAAGAAGCGGCGCAGACAGATTCTTCGGGTCCAGATGCTGTGGTCCGATAGCTCTAGGTGACAAGACCAGCTGTATCCTCTTGATTAGGTTCTGAATGCCTCCGATATGGCGCCCGGCACTGATCAAGACGGCTTCTTCAAACGCCTCGGATGCGCGATCGATCTGTTTTAGGGCGTAGAGCATGTTTCCCTTGGCGTGCACGAGCGTCAGGATTCGCCAGTTCTCACTCGCTGGAATCTTGTAACCACTGGAGCCCCAATCATCCTGCATTTCACTTGAGACCGACAGCTTGCGGACGGCTTGTGCTGCGTCAATGAGCGCCTCGTCGGGGTTTACCATGCCATTCGTAGCCGAGGTCTCCGTGCCTATGCCCTTCTTCAGTTTGTTCTGTCGATGCAAGTCGTGCGATGATATGCGTAGTTTTTGTTGCACGAGCTCGATTATGTCCACGGCTTGCTTGTTGCGGTGAGTCGAGCACAATAAACCCACCAGATGCTCTAGTGCTTCAAGATAATCCGGGCGCAGTTCGATAGCTCTGTGCCACTGCCTTTCTGCTTCATCCTGCCGGCTCAGGCAGTACAATGTAGCCGCGATGTTCGATATTGCTTCCACGTGGCTTCACCATGTGTTAGCAAGGCGGCGCTTTTGTTGCTATTTCTTTTGGGTCAGGATGAGGGCCGTGGTACTCACTTCGCGTTAAGATCGATAATCCTCTTGAACCATTCCAAGGCCTCCTCATACTTTTCTAAAGCATAATGCAGACAACCCCCTAGGAGCATGCCATCCACCCAATTCCATTCGGACTGTTCGCACAGGTTATGAAGTATTTCCAAAGAAGCCCTGGCGCTCTCGGCGGGATATTTTTGAACCAGCACATTCCCGTAGACCTCCCCCATCATTGCAGGATGGGCGCTGATCGACCGCCCATTAGCATCTAGCCTGGCTGAGGGAAGCATGTCGGAGGCTCGGACCATGCGATTCAGGGCGCTTGGTGCATTCAGGGGCTGTTGAAGAGCCCGATGCGGGAACGGAGCTCCGGCGCCTGGAAATGTCTGATGAGCTCTCTGGAGGTGTGGAGTGGGCCGCGATGCAATTTGTTTGGGAGGTCTCGGAAAGATCATGTTCTTCTGGGATCTTGAATTCGTTTTGCCGTGTTGGACCTTTTTCACCCTGTTGAGATGATGAATAAGGTCCGTGTAGGCCTTGTGCCCAGCGGCCAGCACTCCCTCTTTGAACTGTACCTGCGAGGAAACACCGCAAGTTGCCGGTGACGCTGGGCCGAGCGACATGCTCTGGAGACCTCTGTGTGAAGATTGAACCAAAGGGAGTTGTCCGTGCCGGGAGTACCCATCATCAAGCATGTACGGAGGTGTTTGCATCTGTAAGGGAAGGTTATGGGCATTAAATGGAACCATGCCCAAGCCCCCCTGAAGTAGTGGTGCCTGTACAGCTACAAAGCCGCTCTCGTACGGGATGTTATGGGGTGGATACCCTGTTGACGACATCTGCAAGCTTGGATGGAAGCCTGCGAAAGGCCCGTCGCCCCAGACAGGATTTGGGTTGAAGCCACTGGGCGAGAAGCTCGAAGGACTCGGTGCTGCCTGGTTCTGATATGCGTTCCCGTAACCGTTGCGCATGATCGGGGTCAGGTTCATCGGATGCAGCTGTGCGGACGGCGATGGCAGCAAAGAGCCATGAGCCGGGCTGTAACCCAAGCTGCTTTGACCAAAGCTGCCACCAACCGGGGTCGGACGGGATATCGGACTGGGTTCGTCGAGGCTGCCTCTGACCGGCTGCGAGGGATACCACCATGAGCTGCCGCTGGCTGATAACCGGTGACCGGAATTCGCCGTGGGGAATATGTCGCCGCCGGGAGCCAGATTCAGGTATTTCTGCGGCGGCGGACCAGCAGCCAGCTGGGTGGGAGTGCCATCGTATCCATTGTCGATTGTGCCGTTAGGGGTCTTCCTCCTCAGCGAATGCTCGGCATTGTCGGCCAGATAAGACGGGGGCAGATTCGTAACTATTCGGTGGTACGCGCTGTTCCATTGCGAAGGAGAGTGGTTGGTCTGGTATGGGTTGTACGTCCTCGGCGACGGTCGAGCCTGTTGTGATGCATGGTCAAAAAGCCTGGGATCGGGTGCCTGGTCGCTATTCGTTTGTGTGGATCGACAGCCTCTCGCATAGCTCGGGAATGCTGGCACCGTGGGGTGCGTGAGGCCTGTGATCAGATCCATCTCTGGCCACCTCCTCAATGTGGAATCGGACAGGGCGGGCGGCGAGGCTGATGAGTGAGCAGGAGAGTCTGGCGGCTCCTTGATTGCGCGCGCCTTCACAACAACACCTCCACCAGTCCGCGCGTGGTCGAGACTCTTGCTGAGCACAGTGGCCGATATAGACTACGTCTCGGACGGTGTGATGTTTGAGCGCCGCCTAGTGCCTAGTATGAGGCAGTGACAGGACGCTCAGGCTGTAGAGGAAAACATTTGGGGCTAGCAGAGGTGTCGTCGTGGCGACCAACCCTTCGCAAGCCAAAACCAGAGGGCGGAGTTGAAGAGAGGCGGGAGTCGAGTCTTGTCGAGCGGAGCGGAGCAGAGCAGAGCAGGGCAGGGCAGAACAGAGCGGCGGTTGAGTTGGACCTCCAGACCTTCGCTGGAAGGTGGGGTATCGTGAAGAAAGACGGGAGTGCCAGGCGGTGGTGGTGGTGATGGAATCTTCGAATGTGGGTCAGAGAATGCTAGCACGAACGGTCCGTCGTAGTGGTAGGTAGTGTGGTGGATTGTGGTGATTTGAGAAGGAGTCGGCTTGGGCCCGACGTGATGGTGTTAGTAGGAGTTGCCCAGGTGGTGTTCAGGGCGGGCCTGTGCAGCCAGCCAGATACTGTGTACGCCAGGCAGTACGGAGAAGGGGGAATCCAAGGACCAGGTACTGTACGGTACAGGACTGTACGGCACATCACGCACGGCACAGGGCGGAACGGTACAGTACAGACGGTACAGACGGTACAGGGAAGTGTGTGGTCATGCAGGACACCGCCCAGACTGCCAGAAGCGGCAGGCCTGGGGGGTTTTTGGCCCGCTGGAATGTGGAACCCTTGATTGTGGACTGGACGGGCACGGAATGCCTCCCTTGCTGAGAGTGTTCGTGTATTGATATTGTTGGTGTTGTGTGTGTTTGCGCCTTGTTGCTGGTGTCAAAGCTGATGTTGAATTCGTTCCTGACACTGATATTGGCTTCACCACCAAGGGGCCACCAGTTCGGGCCCCATTGCGATTGCCGTTGCGCTGAGATGGAAGCTAACAGACAGTAACACACAAGTGTGGGCCCCAGGCTACATCTGGCCCGCTGCTAAGGTAGCCGCATCTTGCTCAACCTTGGAATAACTTTGGGTGTCTAGTTCCAAATCTAAGGTCCCGCTGGCTGGGTTTTCTGGCCGCCAGCACCAAACTACTGCCACCAGAATTTACAAAATATAGTGCAGCGCACAGATGGCACAGAGGTCCCACGCCAGAGTACCTTTGTGTCCGCCTTGCACTTTGCTCATCTTCCTTCCATGTATTCTTCTGCCTTTCGTGCGACTAGTCCTTCCTCTGCAAGGCTTACACGTACCGTATATGGTCCATCCAACAACAGAAACCGCATCTCACATCTCACAGTCCGAAACGAACGACATGTCGCCGAGCATTGGACGTGGTCTTACACAGTGCACACGAGGCTCGAGGGCCGAAAGATGCGGCCTAATGTGATGCTTTGCTTATTTTCTGAGGTGCAGGCCCCCCAGGCCCCAGGATTCGAACTGCCCAGGGATCCCGAGCCCACCTGCAGGAGATACTTGGCCTACAGTCACTAGCACCTGCGGTAGGTACCCACCACTAGCATCAGGCCATCCGAGCATCAAGCATCGCAATCTCTACTGCACTACTGGACTGACGATCACACCCCGCTGCCAGTCGCCGTGTCGTCCTCTCTCTGAGGAAGACGTGGAAGGCAAGTAGGTAGACCACTTGAGCCTACCTTCGGACAGGCGTCTTGCACAAACATGGCCAGCGCTTCCAGAAAAGATCGGCCTCTCTTGCGTACCCACGGTGGGACCACGGTGGGAACAGCGACAAATGATCTTCAGTCTCGCCCGTCGCCGTCATGACATGCTGTGTGATGGCGGCGCAATCGGGAACGATGGAAACAAGTGCGATACTGTGACACTCCACTCCCATCGGCGGTACCATCATGTACCTTGCCATGCTAGGAGTCAGACTCCGTCACAAATCCGCAACAAAAAATTCGCTGCCTCTTTGGCGAACGAGTACAAAAAGCAACTCCACTGCGGATCAGCATCAGCATCAGCATCAGCAGCAGAGTCAGCAGCAGAGTCGACGCCACGATCCCAATTCGTCTCGCCTCGCTCTGCCCGGGCGTCAGGCCGTGCCACCCCAAATCCTGCGCCGTGAGCGTCGGCGTATCTGACACATGCTCTGCACTCCACACCAGCGCGGGAGGAAGAGGCAGCAGGGGGAGGCACTAGACCATCTCTGCCTTGGCTTGGCCTGCCTGCCTGCCTGAGACCTTCGTGCTCTGTGACACATAACCTACAGCAAAGCCAGGAATCAATTTTTCGACGTGTTGCGCACCCACCCTACACCGACACATTCAGTCTCTCCTCCTCCAGCCAACAGATCCGTCTGCTCGCTGAGCTCGGCAACCTGTTTTATCCCAGCAGGATAGGCATGGAGGGGGGCCCCATGGGCACACTGACACACACACACACGCACACACGCACACACACACCTGGGGCAGCTGTGGGCTGCCATGCAGCGACACGCAGGACACGGCATGGAAAAGGGCTGACAACTTCTAGGATAGGCTGTGAGTGGGTCACTAGGATTCTCGCTAGGCTGTAGCCGCTTGATTAAGTTTTCCGCCGCTGCCAATCAAACCCCAAAGCCCGGCGCTCTGGCACATTAGCAAATACTCCCAGGGCCTGCCAGTGCGAACATCCCGCAATGGGCCAAGGCCCTGGCCTTCCCACCGACAGGAGGCCAACCCGAGCAACGTCGAAACGTCGTCGACGCGCCATCCCTTATAGCCGCCGCCTATCTCTCTACGCGCGACGCCGGCCTGAGAGTAGTTGCGATAGTTTTAGTGATACCCATGCCGGAATGGAAGAGCGAAGGACCCGCTTGTCCATCATCGTTAACACGCAGATAGTACTGTGTATCATCACCTGCCGAGCATGCATGTAGACATCCAGATCTATTGTGGGACTGGCCCCCTTCCCCTCGTGTGCAACGCAATGCCGCTCGCATATGCAGCTTGCTGCTGCCATACCGCTCAAGCGCTCCGCGTATTGGCAATGGGCAACCTCCTGGGTGGCTGAGCGGCACATTGATGTCTCTCTCCCCATGCACGCAAATACTTTGAAAATCCCGGGGTTTTATTTTTGGGTCGACCCCGAATCCCGTCCCCCGGCGAGCGCTCATTTCGCCTCTGCAGAAATGCTGCTGAATACCACCGTACTTCACACAAATCTGCCCCGAACCATCAAACACTTCTCTTTTACTCGCAAGCTGTCGGGGCCTCCGGGCAGCCGTCTTGCCATCCGATGTTGCTCTCGACCTTGCATGGGCGCCAGCCCAGGTAGATCCTATCCCGCCCTACACCACCCCGTTTCTCCACTGTGTCAATCGTGTCGTCCCGTGTGTCCAAAGTGAGGCCTCGTAAAGCTTACTGGAAACCGGGGAAGGGCCCTGCTTCAAAGCCACCACCGGGCCAAGTTATGTTTTGAAACCCCAACGGGTCAATGCCACTCTGCGTCACCAGGGCCGGTTCGAATTGGAACATGCAGACCGCCTATCGGCACCTGCGAGGCTGCGTCCCTTCTCTCCCATCGGAATCTCGTCTGATCTACGATGCCGGTCGTTGCCACGATGTCAATGGTGGGAAAGGCCGGGAAACTATAACCCCAAAGTGCTCGGTACATCCTTGAAACCCGTGCCTTGACACGGCAGACCTGGCCGGGCTTCGGTGTGCCCACCGCTTCAAGAATAGCACGTGGATGCTTCGGGAAAAATAAAGCTGTGTATTATTATTTTTTGCCTTCTAGACGTCCGAGGATTCTATCCTTGTGATGTACGACGTGTGCGTCAAGGACGAGAAAGGGGAAAAAAGTGACTACAAAGGCCTGGCCGAATCCGAGGAACCGCCACGCCACTTCACATGCAGGTATAGTATGCATATGGATTTGCACAAAAGCAATAGACCCCCAACTTGGTCGCATCCGTAGCTACCTGTGGGTACCACAAGACACGGCTGGTCACCATCCGGGTGTGGTTCACAAAGGCGATTTGCCCCCGAATTAACAGACCATAATCGTAAAGTAGATATGTTGACCTCGAAGTAGGACCTCAACCTCCATATTGCCCAAGGGCCAAGAAGGCCGCGGTGAGTAATGGGTCTCGACAGTTTGATCTTCCTGCGCACTAAAATTGAAAAATACCATGGAGAGCAATGGTAAAATTTCAGAGTGTTGGCCAGGGTCGCCCGACTGGGGATAGGGACAGATGGAGCCGGTAAGGCTAAGACATTCACAAAACCGAGCGAACTATTCCCGGCAAAGCTTGTTCATGGTTGTTTGGTGCGGTGTATCACTGCCATTCTTTTCCGAATGGACGTGCCTAAGCTGTGAAAGAGCAAACCCTGAACTCCTCATGACAAGCCTAAAGGTCCCAAACCACAGTGCCTCATTACATGAACTTTTCTTTACTCCTCGGGGACTGGAACGTACGTCAGCATGGTCTGTTTCCAATCACTCCGCCTCTGACGAGGACGCAAGGCTGTGTTGTTGGACTTACTGTCGATCTCGCCCGCATCGATCGCATCTTGGATGGCCTTGGGGCTCTTGCCGTCGACCTGGCAGCCGACAGAGAAAGCAGTTCCCAGGATCTCCTTGACGGTACCGGCCAGAGTCTTGGAGAAAGACTTGTATCGCATGGTCCGGGCGATCTCGATGATCTCGTCAAGAGGGACGGACTTGCTGTGCTTGATGTTCTTCTCCTTCTTGCGGTCGCGTGGGGGCTCCTTCAGGGCACGAATGACCAGGGAGGAGGCGGTGGGGACGACGGAGACAGCGGCTTGACGGTTCTGGATGGTGAGCTTGACCGTGACACGGAGACCCTTCTGTTTGTTTGCAAATAGTTTGTCAGCTCCACTGCACTCTCAAGAAATTCCCCTGAACATGGCAATAGGGGGCCCAACTAGGTAAGATATGGGAGAAGGGGCGAGGTGGTTCGTACCCAGTCACCAGTCGCCTTGGCGATATCTTCACCAACTTTCTTGGGGGAAAGACCCAGAGGACCGATCTTGGGCGCAAGGGCGGAAGAGGCACCGACCTCACCTCCGGTGGCACGGAGGTGGCTGTAATTCCATCACGTCAGCATCGTCTGGCTCATCGATCACAATTGAGATCGCGAGGTCAAATCGCTGTTGTGATGGTGTCGGCGAGGGGGAGCAGGTTTGCGTACATGACCTTCACCTCATTGGGGTCGAACTTGGGAGCTGTGCAACGGGCGATTGTCAGTTTTCTGAGCGTAACTGGGTCGAACTTGGGAATAGGTCTGTATACTCACGCATATTGACTGGTTGGTGAGGTTTGACTGGTGGTGGGTTGAGTTCTTTGCAAAGGTCGTCAACTGAAAGGCCAGTCTTAATCAGGTCGAACTGCGAAGCGATCCCCTCGAAATTTCAGAGATGGTGGGCAAACTTTTTGGACGTCACGTGCAGGAGGCCCACTAGCTGTGTAGCCCAATGCTGATTGGACAACTACCTGGGCCAAGCGAGCAGGGGTCCCCAACGCTACCGTGTGTTTCGGTAGTGTATTTCGATTATGAACCCTCTGCTCCCGAATGACACCCTACAGAATGATTACTGGCTGTATGTACTCTCAAATACTTCAGGATTAAGTGTACGGTAAACAGGATTATATGACTGGATATGTATGTAATTTTCACCGTCTATGCTATCAAATACCTGAGGAGCTTTTTGGAAACTTGAGTTCGGTTTGCTTTTAATGTCAATTCGCCATGCTCCTTCCATTCATCAGATTTAGTCATCGTCCAGGCGACCTGTGTACAGTATCGATGATCACTATTTTTCTACGCATTTTTGGACAACGTTGCTACAGTTTGTGAGTCGTAAACCACACGCTGCACTTCGCACACTGCAGGTCCCATCCTCAGTTGCGTGAGAGCACGAAGTCGCCTTCACAGCTACATGGAACGACTGTCGTCAGGATCGTGTACTTGAACTTGTGTAGTAAATTTTGCCTGGGCTATCTTTCTCAGAACACCTGCTCTGTACCTGTACCGACCAGCACCAACCAGCAGCCGCCTCCTACCTCTCACGCCTAATTAGTGCCGCTTACCGCGAGCCTAAGAAAGATCATTAGTACAGTTCCCGGACATGCAGGACGGAGGCAAAGACATACTTCATAAGATGGTCCATGAATGTTTGTAGAGAAACATCGTCGGTGAAGATGGTCTGCGCAGTCTGAGCCCCAACGCCACCGTACGCTCCCGTCGTGTGTGTGGTGGAAGGGTTTAGCTTGGATAGCAGGAAACGAGCTTGCGAGCCACCCGCATCACAGACGATGAACCGGGGCAGAGGGAAACGGTCGGTAATCAGGTCCTGCACGTTGTCAGCATTACAGTACTTCCACAGTGAACTTCTCTTGACTTACTCTGGCGTCCTCTTTCGGCTTCTCGAGCAGGGCCGCAAAGTTCTCATAGCCCTCTTGCTCTTGGTACCCAGCCTTCCTCCACTCGGCAATAGTCTCACCGTGGAAGATGAGGATATGGAAGAAGGTGTCGAGGAGCAGAATGTGCTGAGGTTGAATGGAGGTAGAATCCAGCAAGACGGGCTGACCCTCTTCCTGGTCGAATGTATATGAATCCAATGTGGGTTGGATCATAATGAGCGAATTGCTGACATCCTCGTGATTGAGCACATGCCGATAGAAAGCGGTTTCGTCTGGGGAGTTGTTGAAGACCTGAAGGAACTGACTCCTCCTGAGGTGGAACATGAACTGTGGGTAGAGGGTGAAGTTCTTTTCGAGGCGGAAAGATGACGGGTCGTCCTTTCTATAGTCAGCGAATCTCGAGCAGAGCCGAATGAGCATTCGGTCGACCCAGCGCAGGACATCAGGGCCGTCATCCACTTCGGCCTTGAACACAGCAATCCTGGACATGAGCACCGCAGCGGCTTCTTGGTCGAAGGACTGGGCGATCGCGGGGTCACCTGCTGGTCCACTCATGTTTCGCGCGACCGTTGTCACTCGCAGGTGGAACTGGCCAGAAGAGTGTTGGTAGTAAGTCAAGAACTGCATCATTCCCTTCTGAGGGGTCTGCTGATGAGCCGCTGGGCCTCCTTGGCCAGCAATCTCAAAGTAGATGCCGTAACTGGCGTTAGGATCGATGCCGCACATCTTCCAAGAGCAAGTGTTTCCGATACCGCATTCTGTCTCGCCGACTGAAGTGGACTTCTTGTTGAGGGAGACTGCATGTCCGATGAGACCCGTGACCTTCAACTCCTTGGTTGTCAGAACCTCGAGAACACCGTTGAAGCCCATGGTAAGGTTGTCATCGTCGTCCTTGTCGAACACTCTCACAAACGACTGTTTGAACATCGAGGATGTGAAACTGTCTGTCAGAATCATGTGGCCGCCAGTAGAGTTGCAGAGACCCTTCATCTCGAGGAGTCCGACTTGGTCCAGGCAACCTGCGAAAATGTCGATGATATGACCATTATGAGCAGTTCTCTTGGCCAGGTTGTCGTAGAACTTGAGGGCCTTCTTGTAGTATTTGATGTTGTCACGATCAATATCGTGGTGGGAACGAATGGGCTCTCTCAGCTCTGGTCCTACCACCAGGCCAGGGCCTTCTGTTGCTGCTCCACCGGCAAACAACATGACGCGCCCACCTGCGTTCTGGAATGAGGTCTCCAAGAGTCCAACGGCCACACTCAGCGCAACACCGGTGCAACGCAGGTTCCTGCGATCATTCGCAACAGGCCATGGGTCCTTTTGCAGCTGCTCCAGGGCTTTTGTGAGGTTGAATTCGCACTGCGAGACCGGGAGCAGGAACCGGGCAGCCGGTCCCATGGGCATGGGCCGTCCTGGCTGAGGCTGCATGCCGGGTCGCAGGGCAGGCTGTGAGAGCCCAAGCATCTCTTGAACCTGCTTGGCGGAGTATTCCTTGCTGCCACGGAAGACGTATGATTTGGCACATTCGGTGTAGCCGATCTCGTGGACCTGAGCCATGGTACCGTAGGTGATGAGCCCGACCAGCGCATTCTCTGGCAACAAGCTCAAGCTCATGATCAGGGACTCCTTCAGGGCAGCCAGGCTGTCTTCCTCTTGGCACGTGTCGACGACATATAGGAAGATTGGAGGGCTCGGCGCGGGGCGAGACAGCCTGTATTCAATCGTCGTGTTCTGCGGGTGGAGCTCGGGAGGGATCGCGTTGGCCGAGATGTCTTTGTAGTGTGGTGGGAGCGCATTTCGTGACAGGCAGAACGGGCAGATCCAGAGGCGCGCCCTGAGGTCAACTTGGCTGGCTTGATGTCAGTTGCGACGAACCCAGCAAGGACGACAGCAGGCTCACCAGAATGGGTTCAAGACTGAGCGGCACGGTTGCTTGCACGTAACTGGCTCGAACTGGAGGAGCGGCGACTCTGGCTTCTCCTTCAAGGGAGTATACAGGGCTCCGATCGGTACCACGAGTCGGGAAGCCTCCTACAGAGTCGGTCAGCTCTGGTCGCAAAACACACAGAGTCGGCACGCGAAACCCACCATTCGAGAGCTGGGGAAGACGTTCCAGCTGAGACGAACGCCATCACGCTCCTCGACGTCGCTCCACTGCTCCTTGAGCGCCTCATAGTCCATGGCGGCCATGGTGATGTGGCAGGTGTGGGTTGTTGCCTTGGTCTGGCCCCCGAGGCTGGCTTACTGGTGCCCAAGTACTGTATGTGGGATCGGGGGTGAGGGGAGCCAGTTGTCGACCGGTCGCAGTAATGGAAGATTCCCGTTCCAATGGGCAACGGCAGCAGGTGATGGAGCAGAGGATTGATAGTTGTGAGTTGGTATTGGGTTGACAGACGTGGCCAGAAACCTGGTCTCAAGGCTAGCTCCAACCACTACTGCCCCTCGAAGTTGAGGACAAGTTCACTGTCCGAGCTCGTGAATTGCTAGCGCCACAGTGGCCGGAAGCTCCCTTCCTGTCAGCCCGCACGGACCTGGCCCAGATCCTGTCAACGACGAAAACATGGGTTGGGTCCCACCTCAAAAACGTATTTGCACCCCGATTTACCTTTGCTGCTGAGATGTGCCTGCTTGAGACAGCATATGTGCCATGTTGAATATGGGACCCCTCCATATTGCAGTGCAGCAACTGGAGGCTTTCATCTAATTATGGGCCCGTCAATCGGCACTCTGTAGCATCAAAACATTTCTGCACGGTGACTTCCGTTGAAATAGCCCCTGGGAGACCTTCAAATGTAAACAAGCAATGCTCGGAATCAAATTTCACATGGATTGAAATTTCGATCCTCTTGTGTCCGAAGAGCTTCAACAGCAAACGAAATTCCAATTCAATCGCAGTCCCGTCTTTAGACTACGAGAGTAATCCTACAATCACACAGCCTCCATGAGAAGGAAGTCCTGCACCAACGAACGTCACGCTCCCAGAGAAACAGAGGATCTTGTCGAAATCCCCACTCCATTTCCTCAGTAGTCGCACCCACCTCCGCGTCAACAACACGCCGTCTAAGCATATTTTCGAAGCTAGTTGCCATGTCAGTAAGAGACAGTGGCGAGGAGGGGAAGCACCAAAGGGCAGAAAACTTACATCCAGGGTCAAAGTTTTGGAGCTGTTGACCTCCTGGTCTCGGTACACTCCAATGAGGCTCTCGCTGTCCTGGAACAAGCCTGTCTTGAGCGAAATGACAATGAATTGCATGCCCGGACCAGCATGCTCCCGAATGTACTTCTTGATCTTCTCTACGTTCGCATTGTCCAGTGCAGCATCAACCTCATCCAGCACAAAGAATGGACTGGGCTGGTAGCTGTGGACGGCGAAAAGAAGCGCCAAAGCTGCAATGGTCTTCTCGCCACCAGAAAGGTGTTCCATGTCTCGGAACCGCTTCAGTGGTGGCATAGCATGGTATTTGATTCCCGACAAGTACGGTGTGTCAGTGTCGTCCTCGATATCAAGATACGCGTGGCCGCCGATAGGGAACGCCTCTGATCGGGTGAGATCCTTGTACACCACGACGATCTGCTCCTTGATGTGCTCAAAAGCCTTGTTGAAGAGCTCGAATCGCTTCGCCTTGACGGTGTTGAAGGCGTCGCGGGCTTCTTTGAGAGCAGTGCGCGAGTTCTCGAAGTCTTGTTCGGTCGCTTTGAGACGGTTTTCGACGCTTTCCAGGCGCTCAATAGCACGCATGTTCGGGTTGAGTTTCTCGAGCTCGGCCGTCAGAGAGTTGATCTTCTCTTGGAGCTTGTCCTCTACATCCTCGTCCGTCTGCGATTTTGTCAGCCCTGTGCACAACAACGAGTGAGCTGATCTACTTACAACCTTGAGCTCGTCGTCCAAGCTGTCGAAGTCGACTTCGACGCCATAGTCATCCAAGGCAGCTTCCATATCAGCTTCGTCCCCTTCATCAATATCCATAGCATCCGGATCTTGACGCAAAAGGTTATCCTCGTTCGGCAAGTCGTCAAGCGAGCCCTCTGCCAATGGTATCTGTACTTGCTCCAGCTTACAGCGTCTGAGAAGCGCGAACTTGCTAGAGCTGTTCTTCTGGATCTCAGCCTCTAGTGCGCTTATTGCCTTGAGCCGGGCCTCGATGTCCCTGCTGCGTTTTTGTACTTCTTGTTTGGCCTCATTGACCTTGTCCGCCTTCCTGTTTTGCTTCTCTTTGACTTCGTCGAGGCTCTCTTTGAGCGCTTCCAGCTCATCCTGGTGTGCGCCTAATGTCTCTTCGATGGCTGCTTTTTCCCGTTCGTACGCTTCGATGTCGGCCTCCAGCCGCTCGAGATTTGACTTGATCTGCTGCAGGCGTCGTTGGGTCTCATCATGGCGAGACGTCTCCAATGTCAACATGCTCTTGAGCTTCTGCTTCTGCACCTCGAACCCGTTTCGCTTCTTAGACGCTTCTTGTTCCAGGCTGCCTTGCAGTGCTTCGTATGTGCGGATGTCTGCGTACCCGAGTCTCCTGCAGAAGTCGGCGAATATCTTGTCTTGCACTGCTGCAATGGCGGTTTCGAACTTAGCGACTGCCTTGCGCGTTGCTTCAAGTTCGCCGTTCTTATCCTCGTATTTCGGTTCCCATTCATCGAGTTGTCTCTCCTCATGTTGCAATTCCTTCTTCTTGCTCGCTTCATTTCTTTCAAAGGCCTGGAGCTCGCCACGGGCTACCTTGAGCCGCTGCTCAAGACTTGTGAGGCTTTGCCTGAGGGTCTCTTCTTTTGTTCTGTCCGGCCGTGGTAGTGAGAAATACGTCTCGCGGTACTTTTCGAGCTGCTTCCGCAGATTCTGGACGTCATGCTCTTGAAATTGTCGCTTTCCGCCCTTGCGCTCTGGCAGGCGACCGCCGGTCATGAGACCGGCCTTGTGAATGACATAGCCCTCCAGAGTCACAGCTTTCACGGGGATCCGTCTCTTATAGCAGACCTCCTTGGCGATCTCCAGAGTGTCGCACACAATGGAGCTCCCACAGGCGTACGTCATGGCACGTTCGAGTGATTGGTCGAAATCAATCGTCTCGATTGTGAGTCTCGCTCCGGGTATGCCTTTGACAGCTGAGTTGGGGGCGTTTGTCTTGATGTTGTCCAAGGGGATAAAGGTCATGGGAGGGTAGCGCTGTTGCTTCAGATACTGAACGCAATCGAGACCGACCTTCTCTGTGTCTACAACAACAGAATCGAAGTCGCGACCAAGTGCAGTGATGACAGCTTCATCAAATTTCTTCTGCTTGGGCTTGCAGAGATCGCCAATTCTTCCACGCACTCCTGAATTCATGCGCTTGAGGCTCTGGACCATTTCCTTGGTCCGCTTCTCTCGGTCGCTCTCCGCTTTGCCGCCTTCAGCTTCTTCAATCTTCCTGCCGAGATCGTGCATCTTTTCGTCCAACTCAGTCTTAGAGTTGTTGATCCTGACTCTCTCAGAAACCAGATTGTTGTGCTCCTTTTTGTTGTCTTCCAACTCAGTCGAGATCTGCCGTACCAGTTCCTGGGTCGTTTCCTTGCGTTCTCGGATAGTCTCAAGCTCGCCGTTGAGTTTTTCTACTGTGGCTTGGAAAGTGTCGACTTTGCCCTTGAGACTATTGACCGTGACTTCGTCACCTTTCAGTTGGCGAATGAGACTGTCAAGCTGGGCTTGATTTTGTGATGATTTTGCCATGACTTGCGCCCGCAGAAGGTTGTACTCTCTGCGATCCGCGTCCGTGAGTTGCTTGCCTTGCTTCTTGATGGTCTCCTGCCATTGCTTCTCGAACTCCTGCTGGGCTTTCTCAACGGTCGCCAAGTCCTTTTTGGCTTTTTGGATGGCTTTAGATTGGTCGTCTCGCTCCTTTCTCACGGCTTCGGCGCGCTTCTTCAATCTTTCGATGTCACTGGTGCTTTGAGCCACTTTCTCGTTAATTGGGACGAGGCCGTTCTCTCTCTCCTCGATCTCTCTTTCCTTCGCACGGATGTTCTTCTCGATCTTGCCCACTTCTCTGCCCACCGTCATATATTCCTTCCGGGCTGCCTCGAGCTTCTTCTCGAAAGCCTCAACGTTCCTACGGAACTCAATCAGGTTCTGTTGATGCTCCTGTATCTGCGCGCTGGACTCGTCCATGACCTTCTGGAAGTTGTACAGCTTCCAGAGGATGTGTGTTACAATGGCTTCGTCTCGCTCCTCTGTCTTCTTCTGAAAACTCTCGGCCTCCTTCTTTTGTTCCTGGTATTGCTTGATCTCGGAGTTGATGCCGCGTCGCCTGTGGAGCTGGAAGTTCTGATTCTCTGTGGCTTGCTCCGCATCTGCCTGGAGTTTATCATATTCTGCCTTGTACTCCAAGCTTCCCGAAATTTGTTCGATCAGGCGTGTCAGGTCTTGCGCGGATTGCGACGCAATCGCCTCAACGTCTCCCTGGAAGACCAAAAAGTTGCGTGCCTTGATAAGGATATTTTCGGCCTCCAAAGCCTCGTTGTATTGCTGCGCCGTGACGCTACGATCGTTGATGTGATATGTACTAGTTCCTTGGGGCGAGATGGTACGCTTCCACTTTTGCTCATCGCCTGCGTCGTCCTCGTAGACGGCCATGACCCAGGCAGTCTTGGGATCATTGCGGGAGCCTCTCTGCGATGTGTCCTCATCATCGTTCGCGTGTCCGTTTGTGGTCCCGTTTGTGGCTGGCTCAACAACAGATCCATCATCATTGATCTTGCTGGTTTTCATTACCCGGCCGCGGTAGACAAGTTCTTTCAGGTGTGATGACCGGAGTTGGGACGATTTGATTCCGAGGACGAACGAAATCGCGTCCATGCTGCGGACTGCCGGTTAGCTTATGCCATGGCGGGGGTATGTGTTTCTTAGCTCAGGGCTGGCACTGACGAGTTTGACTTTCCCGATCCATTGGGTCCGATGATGGATGTGAAATAGGAATCGCCGAAGAGGAGGGTGTGGTGTCCCTTGTAGGACTTGAAATCTGCGCGGTCCGGTCAGTGACAGCTCCCTCTCCAGGGCTTTGGACGCGACAAAAACGTACTGAAAAGCTCAAGACGAATTAGTTTCCCCATCTTGAATGCTTAAATGGTGTTGCGACGCGTCGCGGATTGTCGTGTTGAGTGGCGCAAAAGGGTTGAGGGTCACCCAGTCGCCTGGCGGATGACAAAGTCGCGTCGAATGGGAAGGCTATTTCTGCGCCGAGTCGATAATGGAAGGATTGGCTGGTTTCCTGGTGACGAAGGGATTGTGCGCCTCCCGTGGCGGACTGCTGCAATGGGGGCAGCTTGAACCGAGAGAGTCGCAGGATGGGTGCTATGTAAACGACCAGGAGGTGTGTGAGAGAAACGCGACGCTATTTTCGGAGGGGTCGTCCAACGCGATGGGATCAGGTGGTTTGAATAGTGCAGGTAGGATGGGAAAGCCGGTGTTCTTGCCAGAGCCAGGGGTCTTGCACTGGGGGTTGGATGGGGGCAGGGGGAGGCCCACGGGGAATGGCTGGGCTAGTGATGGGCCATACTAGCGACCTTCAGGTCGAATGCCTTTCTTTACTGGGAATCAGTTTCCCACATTCATTCAGGTTGCAGAGATCGCAAGGACCTGCCAGGTACTTGACAGTCCATAGTAACATTGCAGACTTGTCTATACAGGCAATCCATGTGAGCTTATCCTACAGTATTCAACACCCATAGAACATCCTGCAGGAGGTTGGTTTTCCCCAGGAAGAGTGGGTTCAGGGTGCCTGGGCCAGCCTGCATTTGAGGTCCCTGAGATCTGTATCCGCAGCATAACAATATGGCCCAAGCGTACAGACCACAACTAGCACATGTTGTACAAGGCGCCAGCTTCAGATCACTCCGCTCTGCTAGACACTGAATTTCTATGCTGAAGGTAACTTGAGTTTCAAGAGCCCCCTCATGCGAACAATAAAGAACCACAATACATTCATTGCGGACTAAGGTCAACTAGGGTCGGGCGAGGATGATCAGAAACCAGGTAGTTGACTACCCTCGGGCACAAACAGCTTTGTTGCTGCGGGATCTTCAGGTTGATCTCCACTGTCGTCTTATCTAGCCCATGAGCTTGGCGTTGGAGATGGATCGCCGTGACAGCCTGACAGGCTTGAGCTGGGCTTACACTTGGGCATATATATCCTGCCCTGCTGACGAACTCGACCCGAGGAAATAAATTCCCATTCGCATTCGTCCACGGGTTCGCAACAGACAACCTGTCTAGATCACCTAGCCTTAGCACCTGCTGGATCTGCACTCTGATTGTCCGGGTGCCGACTAATGACCAAAGGTTTCGGGCAAGATTACTGGTTTCCTTTTGTCCACTCACGATGCGGTTCCAGGACACGCTTCCAGAGGCGGCCAGCGACAGGGCCCGCGTCTGGGCCGCCGCGGTAGCTACGTCAATAAGGGTGCAGTGCTATGACATCAAAAGCGGACCCCCTGCCTAGTAAAGTTCCTGGGGTACCTATGGCTCGACATCGACAATCCAGCCAAGCTGAAGACCACTCCCAACAACAATGCTTCGCACATCATCGTCTTGAATCTCGCAGCATTGATCCACGCGCCCAGTAGTCACTCCGATCATCTGCCGTCTCCCCCACCATTCCCGATATTCTTATCTAGCTTGCCTAGACCATCAATTCTTGGGTACTTCGATCTAGACCGGCACTTCCACGTTGTGTAGCTCGGAAATCGTCTCTGCTGCAACCACAATCAGCAACGAGACAGGTACCCTTTGTTGTTGAGAAGCGGGGGTCAGAGGAAGTCAAATTGTGTATACCCACTGGCGGAAGGGTACTTGAGGCTGCTCATCCGTCGGGCTACCCTGACTCTTGTAAGTCCTCCTTTCGAGGTTCTGTTTTGTCTGCCTCTCCCGGCGATCTGTGGTGGGTGCATGTGAAGGTGATCACGCCCTTTTGGCTAGGATGCTATCAGCACCCACCCTCATGAGCTATTGTACTTCACCTTATTGACTCCCCTTCTACTCGTATACCCATACGGAACACGCTCTTGTATTACTTCTAGGATAATGGCTGACACGTTGGTCCTCAGACTGGTAGAAGCCCTTCCTAAGTTGTCTTCTCCCACTTGTCGCGGGTTCCATCACCGCACCTTGAGTGAAATGGCAGACCCAGACCCGTCATCGATACCCGCCACCAAGCACGATGCCACCGACAGCGAGGGCGGTTATTTTACCGGCCTCGACGGCGCCCCCGACTCCCTCAACGACCAAGCCATCACAGACACGCCGACTCTGGGTCCCACAACCCCGACCTCCAGCAGCCCGAAGCTTTCAAGGAACCCGTCCTTCTCGAATAGCAGCTCATATCAGGAGGACTGGGAGGCTTTTCCACCCTTGGATCGCCTAAGTGTTCTGGACATCCTCGACAATTTTGCTCTGCCGCATCAACTTGAGAAGTTGCAAAGAGGGCTGTCAGCTCAGACTGAGAAGGTGCGCAAGTCGCGCGATGCCCTCAAGAACAGGAGTCAGGTAGCGCGGGAGCGCATGGTCGAAGAATGGAGGAGGCGCGTCCCTCCTGCGGAAGAGCAGCTTGACCGCTACAAGAAGCGCATGCGGACGAGCGTAGACAAGCTTGGCAAGCAGTGGAACGACACAAAGGTCATCACGCTGCGTGAGAAGGTTTCGTTCATTTGCGGTGTCCTGAATATCTTCATCAGCGGCTACTTGATCGGGGCCTACCCGGGATACATGCATCTGTGGTACTCCGCCCAGACAATGTACTTCATGCCGATCCGCTACTACACCTATCACAAGCGAGGATATCACTATTTCCTGGCCGACCTCTGCTACTTTGTTAACCTGCTTCTGATGTTAAGCGTGTGGGCTTTCCCGGGCTCAAAACGACTCTTCGTCGCAACGTACTGCCTGGCTTTCGGAAACAACGCAGTGGCAATCATAATGTGGAGGAACTCGCTCGTCTTCCACAGCTTCGACAAGGTCACCTCGCTCTTCATACATATCATGCCATGCGCCACTCTGCACTGCATGGTCCATCTCTGTTCCCCGGAACTACAGCTCCAGCGGTTTCCCGCTGTCTACACAGTCAAGCACTCCCCGCCCGGCTCCCCGACGGCTTACGCGAACGTTATTTCCATGCTTGCCTGGAGCACTATTCCGTACGCCATATGGCAGCTGGCCTACTACTTCCTGATCACTGTTCGACGCCGAGAGAAGATCCTGGCTGGGCGCCCCACATCCTTCACCTGGCTACGCAAATCCTATTCCAAGGCCTGGATCGGAAGGATTGTCCTCTCACTCCCCGAAAGCCTTCAAGAGATGGCATTCATGCTGATTCAATACTCGTACGCCGTGTTGACTATGATTCCCTGCCCGATCTGGTTCTATAGCCGATGGGCTTCGGCAGGCTTCCTGATGGTGGTTTTCATATGGAGCGTCTACAACGGCGCGACGTACTACATTGACGTGTTCGGCAAGCGATTTCAGAAGGAGTTAGAGTCACTAAAGGCGGAGGTCGCAAGGTTACATGTCGGTCCGGATGGCTATACCAGTCCACTAATGACGCCGCAAGCGGACGGGGCGGGAGTTTCAGGAGATTCGACCCACAAGGAAGCGAATGAGAACATCCACGCCGAGGCGGTGGGCAACATCGACAGCATCCCGCTTCTTAACGAGGAGCGCGAAGTGAAGCGAGCCAGTGCCAGTGGGGTGGAAATCGACGGAGGAGCCAAGGACGTGGCAAGGGAGAGGAAGGCTGGGGAGGCAAGCTCATGACATCGACTTGGCGCTAATCACACGCAGTGTAGTTGATGATGGTTTCAGTAACAGCATTGTTAGATTAGGTTGGATATTCAAGGCTGTCTTCTACTCCGGAACTTGACCGATGTTTATGTCCAGGTTTAAGGGTGGTTTCACAGCTTGCTTCAGGTATTGGTTCATCTCTCATGTTGCCGTATTTCATACATGTTGTGCGTCTTCACTTTTGTTCGATAGCAATATATGCGGGCGGCTCGAATCTCGTTTTGGCATTGGGGTTGCTCGTGTACACGGACGGTGTACGGTTGATTGGATGAGAATGGGAATGATTCACGGACCAGCCACACTGCGTATTGGAAGATAGATGGGTTGAGATGAGATCAACTAGTACAGAAGGAGCAGACTGCATACGGCTGAGCGACATAATTCTCGACGTTTCAAATATAACACGTTCAAAACTGATGTATTAATTCCAGGTCGCACGCCGTTGAGGCGTCGAATTGACCGCTCATAGAGGGCCAACCGCTCGTCAGCAGCCAAGTCTCACAAACAGAAGTGGACGAATGCACCTGAGAGGTTCATGCACATGCAACCGATGTCCTCCAAGCAGCTCCCCACAGTCGCTTGGCGAAGATCCAGCAGAGTCTTCGGAATACATGCATGTCTCGCACAGCATAGCACGTGGGATCGCATCTCAGGTGGAACACAACACTGCCTTGATTCTTCATCATCATCATATCTCGTGTAACTCAGTAGCAGGCGTCGGCGAGCCCTGACGGCTCAGCCCAAGCCTTTCCTAGGCAGCGCTGCAGGCGCCAGAGTAGAGTATCCCCTGCCGGCTCCCTGTGGGATATTAACTGGGATGAGAGTCGCGACGCGCTCTCCAGCCGCAGGCCGCACACAGCAGTAGCAGCAAGCAGCAAGCCCAAAGGTCCCGCGTGCCAAAAAAGAATTTCCAAACTCCAGACCTTCCAGACCGTAACGCGTCATTCATACCCAGGTCCTCTTCCACCCTGCCTTTCCATTGCCCTCTGGGGAGAAAACACCTTTGCTGCCGCTTCTTTGATGTAGACACCGGTAACAATGCAATAGCGTCCATGCTGCTTGCTGAGGCTTCAGTGTTTACTGACAAGTCGTCCGCCACACCGCAGGCCCAGCAAGCGTGAAAAAAAGAGAATGTAACAGGAACGGACGGGTGATTGTACATGCAAATATTTTGAGTCTCTCACAGACGCCTCGATTTCCCAGGCGACCTGGGACAGTGAGTCGAGATACAGCAGCTGCAGTGATGATTGGAGAGAAAAGCCCCACATCCTGTCCAACGCCTCGCAAGATGAATAGGCAAAGAGCCAGAACAAACCAAGCCAATACCAAGCAAACCTGGGATGTATCACACCCCATCATCATTTATCTCTCGATATGCCACAAACGCCGTTGGTGTGCTATTTTCTGAGCACCGAAGGACAGGACGAGAGTCTGCCCATGACAAATCCGAAGACGACGCCTTACTTGAATGGCGATCTCTTTTATACACGAGAAAGGGTGTCATGTATGTTAAAGTGCTAGATCAGGTAGCCCCTAGATCCTTCAGCGAATTATGCCCCAGTCTGAGAGACGCCCTGCCCCGTCACTATCCTCTCTGGCCCCGGGCTTTCTCCCAAACACGTTCCAGAAGCGCAGTGTCTCGTCACCCGCTCCTGTGACGACTGTACGTCCATCTGGACTCATGGCGAGGTAAAGGACTCGGTACGTGTGGCCCGTAAGGCTGACTACCTGCGTCATGGAGGGGTATTTCCACACCACGATCTGATTCTGACTGTATCCATGCGTCGAGACGATCTCATTGGAGTTCTTAGACCAGGCAATGTTGCAGACTTGGCTGCCAGTGTCGACTTCGTTGATGACGCTTCCTTTGAGGGTGTCGTGAAATATTATCCGCCGGTCCGCCGTACCACCTCCTGACGCGAGGAGACCTCTTTGATGCGGCGACCAGGCTATCGCTTTTACTGCAGCTGTGTGGTCCGAGAATTTCCACAACGGCGTCTCGTTGAGGCCTTCCCAGACCATCAACTTGTTGTCGTTACCACCAGATGCGAGTTGGCCGTCATCGGCGTTCCATTTCAGACCGCAGACCTCTTGCTTGTGGCCGACCAATTTCCGGACCCATTGGTCTGGTCTCCTGACGTCGCGGTGGTATATCATTCGATCCCGGGATCCTGAAGTCAGGATGTGCGAGTTCCATGCCAGTGAACCGACTCTACCAGTATGGCCAGTCATGGTTCTCAAACGTCGCGTTTTTTCGGCATCCCAGATTTGCACCAATCCCTTGTGTGTGCCAATTGCAATGTGTGTTCCTTTTTGTATCCAGGACACGCTGGTGACAGTGTCATCCTCGAGTGTGCAAAGCTTATTCACCCGGCTCGTCTGAGCGTTCCACATATAAACACTCGATCCCAGACCGACACCTAGCACATTTGCTGAGCCCCAGTCGACAAGATTCAGATAGAAATCATCTGCCAGCTCCGGTGCGTCCAGCACTTTGTAAGGCACCTTACTCACTGCCCTAGGTTGCCGTCTTGGACTTAATAACATCTGCTGGCTCCCAAACCTAACGGGTGACAAGCTGTAAATCTCGGCTCTGGTGTCCATATTGGGGCCATGTCGACTCTGTGGCGTCCTCGAGGGAGTCATGTGACCAGCGACACCGCTGAGGTTGCGCGGTGACATGTATGTAAACAGATTTTTGTGGGGCGTGGATGGGGTCATGGTGGGTGGCAAGGACGGAGCTGGAGCCGCTGGGGGAGTGTGCGATCTTGCTCCGTCATAGGGATTTGCATTGCGCGACGATGTTGGCAACGAAGGGTCTGGAGACATGATAGGGGGTGTCGCGTGCGGTATTGAGCCTTCAAACAGTTCCGCACGAAGTAGGGAGTTGTAAGTCCGGTTTGCTTGCTCCGCTGTATGGCGCGTCAGCTCTGCATCCTGGCTGTCTTCCTCTGCTCGGAGAACTCACTCTTTTGAAAATTCAACTCGCCATGAGAGGGGCGCTTGGACCTCGCCGCAGTGGGCGTACCGGGCTCATGAAGGCTGTAGCTGGCCTGGAGGTCCTGACCAGTTCGAGTAGGAATGAATCTGTGGCGCCTCGTCAGCTACCGTGACGCTCTTGTACTGAAACGTGCCGGGGCCGCATTACCTGTCACCATTTATCCTTTGCCGTTTCCTGTGGGGACTTCCGCCTGGTGTTGACTCCCTCTGGGAGCGACTTGCCTGTCGGCGCAGCTCTACATCGACAGCCTCAACATCCAAAGAACCTCCTCGCCCGACATCGCTTTCTCTTGGATTCGACCTGGAAGGTCTTGAAGCCCCGATATCGATGTTGTGCTTAACCTCCAGGCGCGCACGATCTGCTGGTGGTGGTGGAGTAGCTATCCTGCCGGGAGTGTGGACAGCACTGTTCGTATTTGAGCAGCCCCTCTTGGACGCAGGCAGGCCGGCGCCTCCTAACCTGTCTGGATCGAGCGTCATGATCGGAGGTAAAGGTTGCAGTAGTCGCGGGGACTGTGATTCGGAGCTACAGTCGGCCTCTTGGGCGACCTGGACGGGTTGACGCCCAATTCTTGGAGAAGATCTCAGATGCTAGATTCGATAGAAAAAGTAGTCGTATGGGCAGTCTCGTGTCGCGCCTGCCTCGTTCACCGGTGGCTTTGAGAAAGAGAGTGGACAGGCTGGGTGCGGGTGGGGTGCGGGTGGCCTGGTTTGAGTCGCTTTGTCTGTCAGGCTGGTCGAAGGGAAGGTTGAAATGGCCGGAGTGATCGAAGCAAGCGAGGTGGAAAAGCCAGTTCTGGGACTTTGTAGCTGCCAGCAATTCAGAGCAATAAATTCGGGGCTACGGCATGTCGTTGACTAGCAGAGTAGTGTCGTCTTTGGATGTGTATAATAGGATAACAATGCGATCGCGCAAGCCAGAATGGAAGATGAGTCGGAGCCGCCGTTGCTATTGTTGGTGCGCTGATTCAGCAGCGGGGTCGTGGCTATTGCAAGCGGATGGGCTCGTGGCCGTCGTGGGTGGTGACGGGGGGACACAATACGGAGTTGAGAATGGGTATGGAATGGGATGGAGTCGCTCCAGTCTGGATGAGGCGGGTATGCTCTCACCTCTAGGCAGTGCAGGCTAGCAGCAGCAGTGGCAGCCAGCTAAGGTGAGCGGGAGTCAAGGACGGGCGGCGCAACGAGACCCAGCAGCGCAGCAACGGGCATACAGTCGGTTCCCCTCCTCCCCAATCAGAGCGGCCACGCGGGTCTGGAAACGGCCTAGCGCGATTTTGGTGTTTTTGGCGCTCCCTCCCGCCTCTGACTGGGACCTGGGCGGGATGCGAAACAAGAAAGCACAACCACCCCCCCCCTTCTTTCCTTGCCTTCTCACCCTGCACCCTACCGTGCCTACCCCCTTACCCCTACCCTCACCCTCTGCCCCTACCCTTCCAAGGAAAAACACCACAGCTTGCAATAAGGACTTATCTGGTATATAGGCGTAGGGAAGTGCATTGAGCAATATAGACAACCTATTTGGCACTTGCATGCCCTTCGCACATCTGATCAAAGTGAATTCATGCTCCTCAGCAGCACTTACTATTCACTTGGGCACTCACTCAAGCGCCTGCAGGATGGACTTGACGGAGTGTGCCCCAGGTGGCTGGCTCCAGACCTTGCTCGCCTTCAGCCTCCCTTGCTCGAAGTCTGTTTTAATGGCGAACGCGAACGGCAACTCCCATCAAGGCCATCTGTCGTCTCGTCCTTGTTGTTTGCTGTTTTGCCTCAACCATCCTGGATCGGAAACCGATTCAGAAGGCTCTGAGCCAAAGACACACAAGGTCACAGCGGCTCCTGGACCAGCCATTGTGTTTTTCTCAACACGAGATCGCGAGTTTTGACATTCAAGCGGCCTCACCATGTGGCCACTGTTATTGTTGTGTCGCGTCACGATGCTTGCCCAGCTGCGGTCTGGGGTAATAAAGCGACGCTGCCATCTGCAGACTGCAAAATGAGGAGCAAGGGGCATTGTTTGTTTTCGGACCTGACATACAGCTGCAGTGCTTTGCTTTGCAATTGCAATTGCAATTGCAGTAATTGCAAACGGGTCGCCGGCCACTTAACGCGTCCTACTGGTCGCATTCACCTGGCACCAATACACACGAACGCTGACGCACTCGATCGGATGGCCAACCAGGATCTTGGATTGGCTTGCCCTGACTCCCCACCGGCGCGTGGCCCTGGCCTCAATGCACCTTGAGACCCTTTCGATAATAAACATGCTCGCTCCAACGGCCTGCAGCTGCCGCACCACACCCTGGCAGTCCTATTTCACACGCGCCGCTTCGCGTTGCACCGGGGTCTGTCAGCCTGTCAGTCCGTAATTCCTTGTTTGTCTGTGTCTGCTGCAGGTGGGGCCAGCAACAATAACAACAACAACCAGAACATAGACTATTAACCAAGTTGGAATGCTGATTCTCGCGTGCTTTGTCTGTTCGCACCCCCGCTTGAGCTCGGGCTAACGCTGGCAGTCTGGCAATCGCCGCGCAACCGACATTACATCCAAGAGGCCCTTGCTATGATGATACTGGTGCTGATGCCAATCTCGACTCTAGCAGCTACCTGCTTTCCCTTGTCACGAATTGGCAATATATATCTAGGTAGGGCAGTCGTCGCCGGGTGGGCCTCCGCGGGCCACAATCATATTCCTTGGGTTTTATCCACTCGGACTCCCGAGGCAGATCAGCGGAACTGAGGAAACAACACTCCGTTTGTGGGGACTTGATACAGTACTGTACTGTACTTTGTGTGTTGGGATTTCAGGAGTCCAGTGGACTGCAGGAAGTACTTTTACTGCCCCGGGTACGACGTGACAGCCTCTGGTCGCTGACTGTCCAGTCAACCTTGATGTGCGAAAGTCTCCCGCCATACCACAACTTTACTCAGGTTTGCCAAGCGACTGCCCCGAGCTCTGGCGTCTGTTTCGCGCGTGGCGTAGTTCACAGTTCATACCATTTGACTATCTGACGACTGTAGCTCTGGATGGTCCGCCGCGGCTGCGCGGGAAGCTCCATAGCAGCCGGGCTAATGCAATCCAATCCGCATTGGACGCTTGATCGTTTGCCCGGAACGTGGGTCTCCAACCACGAGCGGCCCTGACGCCCGGAAACGATCCAGTTGTGCTCGAGAGCATGCTGACAGCGGGGCGTGCTTCCTTATTCTCCTACCCCGGCACGTGCGCGGTAACTGAGAACTGGATCTGAGATATACGTGTAGAACATAATCCTCCGGCTGATCATTTCGTGATCGCTCACATTCATGCCAGCCTCTCTAGGCACACACACGAGGGCACCGGGGAAGATACGACGGACTCAGGGGGCGGCCCACGTTGCCTCGCTATTTGGGTGTCATCGCTGCAACCTCGTCTGCGTTCCTTTCAAGCCCCCGCCCCGCATCCTCAACGCCCGACCTCACCCACACACTTCAGGTTATAATGGCAATGTGTCCGAGCACAACACACTACTGCCAACCGGACCGGTGCCCGTTGAGCCCCGCGAGCAGAAGCAATTCCTAATGCCCTCCCTCCATCGCGCAAGAAGCAAGCGTCGTCTGAGCAGACGACGTCTACGAATTGACGACGCATTCTCATTCCTCGCATTGAACATTTGATGGCTGGCAGCTGACAGCCGGTGGCTGATTGCACGATGAACGTTGCTGTCACGACTGATGGGCGTCCATGGGCGATCCCGGTTTCCCATCCTTGACTGCCATCCCCCGGAGTCCCACTCCCGCAGCTCGGACGGAGGTTTTGTGGCTTGTTAACTTCAGCAAAGTTGCGGGCCCCGGGGGAGCTATCACCCTCCACTGTCGTCCTGAAAGGCGCTATATGCCGGCGATAATTGGGGGAGACCAGTTACACTGGTGTGTAACTTTATTTGCTGAGGGGCACATTGTCACATCCTGTCTTGCGATCTGCGGGTACCTGCTCCTCCTCTTCCACACACAAGCCCCGGTGGGCGAGCTTGCACAACCGTGGCGCTGGCTGCCATGGCCTTGACTCGCGGAAGGTTCCTTGTCAGATATCTGCACGTCCATGCTCGTCAGCTAGGGTCCAACACCATCGTCCGATGAGAGCTCGTCTGATCGTCTACCGGGTTGGCTTGTCGAGTCACTCCCTGTCTCATGGTGGCCTGGGCAGTGCCCTGTTACATGTGGGAGAAAGTGTCTTGGTGCAGTTGCAGTACAACAATTTTACTAGCACAGGTAGATTGACGTCGCTTCGGGAGCATGGACCTCAGGGTCGTCTTGTCCGAGTGGGCAAGCCTGCGGTGCTGCTCTGATACTTGCTGATCCTGCGAATAAATATTCCCAGGACGGCGGCTTCGGTTCTTACCTTCCTCTGTCTTTCTGCATAGTCACTATACATCTCTGCAGCTCCGCTACGCTCGTCCAAACTCATCGGCATATCCCTTGCTCTGCTACGAGGCAGCCCTTCACATGGCGGAATCCAGGGAAAACGAGAAGACTGAGCTCAAAGGGTTGCGCCGGGCTTCCTTTGCTCGTGCCCTCCACGTGCCAGCCATCGGCCGACGGAAGCACGTTGAGATCGTGGAAAATGCCAATCGCAACGCCTCGCCCAGCGGGAAAATCATGGAAAAAGTGTCTCAGCGCACCCCCAGCCCCAATCCTGTGACAGTCTCCATTGCTCCTCGAGGAACTGAGCACAATGACAGCGAGGAAGGCGCGGAGATTCCGGATATACCACTTCGACGGTCACATGTGAAGCGGGTCAGCGCGGACTACAGTGGCTCACCACTCACCACCTTGGAGCGAATGTTGAATACGGGCGGGACCCCGGATGTATCGAACAACCACGCTTTTGGTCCTATGAATCCCAATTCAATGATGTCCAGTGGCGAGAGGAGGTATGGTGCCCAACTTCCTGCTTTGCGGGAATCGGCTTTCCATGACCGGCTGGAGAACTGACGCGAAAGCAGCCTATCCGATGTCCCAGAGGCTTCATCTGCATCAACGATCAGACCAGAGGCTGATTCGTATCTCGAATCTGTGAGGGAGACTCACTCCGCCCCCGAGTCCACCATCGGCTCAGCTATATCTCCGTACCCGAGGAGCGCCCAAGATAGATCGACCATCGAGCCATCCATAACCTCAGTCTCGCTGCATACTGATTTCTCGTCACCCCTGCCCGCTTTGCAAACAAGAGGCGCCGACGAGTTGTGCGATGCTCTTGAACCGCTGGCTGAGGAGGATGTGGAGCCAGGCAGCTTCGACCTGGTCATACCCGCGACAAATCTCACCGTCTACAACCTCGAGAGGAGATCGGAGCTTTTGTTCTCAGTGGACCATCTGCGGCTTATTTTTGGTGATCCCATTTTCCTGCAAAGATTTCTGAACTTCATAAGCATCTATCGGCCCCAGTCTCTACCTCTTCTGCGTTACTATCTTGAAGCGTTGAAGGCGATCCGGGCTCTTGAGTGGGTCAATAGTGTGATCTCGGGTACGTTGCGACTAGATGGATATGACTTTGCTCTCAAGGGCCCACTGGAGCCAACGACGAACAAGTCTCTGCTGCAGAAAGCGGAGGACGCCTGTGAGAGGCTCGCGAGGGACGAACTGCCTGCCTACATCACCCATGTCTGGACCGAGTTTGTCGAGACTTCGATGAGAAGACGCATCACTGGCACTCTGCCGGCGCACCTGCATGACATGAGCGACGGTCTTGCTGAGGTCTTTTGTATCACTGACCCGTCTCGGCCGGACAACCCTATTGTTTTCACATCCGAAGGTGAGTTGTCATCTTTTTATCATTCTCACGGTGGCATCTGCTAATCGGCGCCGACAGAATTCCATCGTATGACCCAGTATGGTCTTGACTATGTCATTGGGAGGAATTGTCGCTTCCTTCAAGGTCCAAAGACGAACCCATTTGCGGTACAGAGGATCCGGGAGAAGCTTGATCAGGGAAAGCAGCATTACGAGACATTCCTGAACTACAGGCGGGATGGCTCACCGTTCATGAATTTGCTCATGTGTGCACCCTTGATGGATTCTACAGGAGTTGTGCGGTACTTCCTAGGGGCGCAGGTCGACGTGTCTGGGTTGGCCAAAGATTGCTCTGGGCTGGAGTCCCTGCGAAGGCTGGTCGACAGAGATGGAGGAGACAAGCAAGGGTCTGGAACTCAAGATATTGACGGCGATGCTGTCTCCAGAGTGGACAGTGGCGCCGACGTGGACTCGACCGCGCCTGCCAACATTCCACTACCACCTAGAGATGCCGAATTTGCCGAGGAGGACAGGTTCCGCCTCCTCTGTGAGATATTCAACCGGCAGGAACTCGAAACCGTCCGGCGCTACGGTGGCCGGATGCACCGGTCCCAACAAGAACAGATTCAGCACGAGTCAACCTCGAACTGGTCTAAAGGTCGCGTCATAATCCATGACAATGAGACCTCGCCGCCCAGCACTCCACGACGACAGAACAACTCAGAGGTGCACGACTACACCGGGAACATCACCATCTCCCCAAGAGCCACTTCCCCGCCTCTATCGGTCGCTCCGATCCCTTCAATCCCGGCGGTCCCTACTACTCTTCACGGTCCGCGGGTGCCTACAATCTACGAGCACTTCCTCGTCGTACGGCCATACCCGTCGCTGAAGATCCTCTTCGCTTCGCCATCCCTGCGCGTGCCGGGGATCCTGCAGAGCCACCTGATGAGCCGGATCGGCGGCTCGAAGCGCATTCACGAGGAGCTCGAGCAGGCCTTCGCGCTGGGCCAGGGGGTGACGGCCAAGGTGCGGTGGGTGTCGGGGAGCGTGCGGAGCGACAGCAGCAGCGGCAGCAGCAGCATCGAGAACGGCGGCAAGGAGGGCCGGCCGCGCTGGATCCACTGCACGCCGCTGATCGGGTCCAACGGCTCGGTCGGGGTGTGGATGGTCGTCGTCGTCGACGAGGACGCGGACGGCGGCGGCGGGCGCCTGCGGAGGGACGCGCCGTCCGTCAACGGCCCGCGCGCCAGGGGCGACAGGCGCAAGAACCACGACAGCCTCCTCGCCCTCGACACCATGTCGCTCAACGACTTCGCCGCCATGAACAGCCTGCCTCAGGACGAGGACCTGAGGCAGCACGTCAGGCACATGTACGAGGAGACGAGGAGGCGCGAGAGGCTTGCTGGGATGGACAGCTGGGATAAGAAGTGGCCCGAATCGAGGGACGGGGATAGAGAGACCATCAGGGTGAAAGAGGGGACCATCACGAGTTCTGGGTCCTGGAGGGGAAGGGTGGAAGAGCTGCGAAAGGTGTATAACAGAAGCCGTAGCAGCTCGCCGTTCACTTTGAAGGTGGATGATTGAGACGGGAACTAGTAAACCAGCACGGGCTCGTGCTTTGGGGCAGCTTGCGTGGCAGTAAATTGAAGGAACGGAAGGGAGTGACTGCCACTCAAGAAAAACTGGTTCGGGTTGGGTTTTGCGGGTAATGGGAATGGGGTGGAACTCCCAGGTCCTGCTGGATGGACTGTGAAGGAACGATGACATGCGACTGACCAAGGATAATGGGAATGCTGCATCGAGTGAAAAGGAGTGAGTGAGCTGGTCCCGGAGACCTGGATACTTGGGCGGAGATACGCACCTTCACAGGTCTTGTGTTCATGACCTACGGCCTGGACAATCTTTCGTTTCGCGATCAACTTGGTCCTGGCAAGTGACCTTTAATGAGAAATATCCTAACCCAATACCACGATGAACCAGTGCTTCATACATAGTTCCGCTGATGCCATGCCCCTACTAGCAAGCTTGTTTGGAATCACGACGGTTGTCATTCATCGAACACTCTGTCGCCTCTCCATTCAGTCTAGTGTAAATAAAACCAACGGTTCAAGTGGCTGCCCGTCTGTCTTGTCTTCCAAAACGCCTAGTGCCGCCTATACCTCTCCGCAGGTATCATCGTCACTTATTATGCCAGAATACAAAGGAAATTTACAGTGTAGAGACGGACATGTACGATCCGTCATGAGCGCCTGTCTGAGGGTTCAGTTTAAATTGATCCCAGCGCAGGATTCCTTCGTGATCCTCCAGCGATGTGAGCGAGCTGCTTGCAGTAAAACAGCTTCTTGGCTCTGAGATTAAGCCGGGGCGCTTTCCGTCTGGGCGAGCCTCGTCCTCCAGCTATCACACACTTCTTCAAACCCGCCCACGATGTCGCCACACACGCTCGCGCATTCTCTCTTCTCCAGCCTCTCGCCCCAGTTGCCCTTCGTCAGCCACCTCTCGCCCTCTTCTCTCAGTTCCTCGTCCCTCTTGAGCTCCGCCACCAGTTCCTTCGCGCTCTTCAATCTCCTCGTCGCCGTCACCGACGTCTGTCGTGACATGTGTAGCGTGTCGGACAGATACGACAAAGTCTGCACCAGATCGTTTGTCAGGTTCTGCAGGCCCATGATACTTGAGAATGCGGCTTGTGATGGCCTCGGCATCATCTCCTGCAGCGTGGTGAGCTCAGGCAGAAGCGAGTCTATCGTCTCGGAGTCGGGTGGTATGGCGAGGGGGTTGAGAAGCGGGAAAGTGAGGTTCTGCAGCTGGCGGGTTTGATGTGTAAGGTGTGTCGTAAGTGCTGAGTGTGCGGTTATGAGCCTTGTGGTATTGCTCTCGACGGTCGACTGCGGGGCTAGGTCCCTTAGACCATCTGTTACCCGTTTAAAAACACCGTCCGTGTGGCCTCCGTTGTTCTCTGTTCCTCGCCGGGCAAGCGATTCGACGGCATCCATTCTGGCGACAAGGGTGGCTGACATGCCTGGAGACTCGAGATCCGATTCGGAGCCATACTCGCTACCATCGTAATCACTTGCCTTCCTGCGGTGGCCACGGCCGTTCATCGCCGGTGGGAGCGTCAGGCTCATGTGCTTGGTCTTGCGGCCGTCTGGACTCCCAACATCTACCCCACTGTCCCGTATCCCATCCTGCCTTTGTGCGTCACTGTGATCCTCGCTGTCCTCGTCACCTGTGTCCACACTGATGCCGGGAGGTCCATTCGGGTCGTAGTAGTCATCCTCGCCGTCCGAGAGAGCGTCTGCCAGCTCGTCTGCAAGGTTACCCAGCCCGTTGCCGCCGTCGCCGTCCGCCATGCCTATGCCGCTGTTGTTGAACATGCTGTCGCCCTCGGCTTGGTTGAAGCCACTTCGTAGTGGGGTGCCGGGATCGGGGCCCGCAAGCGAGCTGCGGGACTGTCGCCTTTCTTGAGGTGAGTGGTTGAAGTCGAAGCCCGAGCTCTCGCGGGAGTGGGAGAATCGAGGGGTGGTGGGAGACGCCATTTTCTCGGTTGTTCTGTGGACTGCGTGGAAGAGGAGGGTTGTGTGTATTGACCGCCAAAGGTCGCTGGCTCGCTGGAGCCCTGTCTCGTGGTTTTGGGCCCCGCAGAGCAGTCTTTGGCGAACTGTCCGTTGAAGCCCCTGGGGTGTTGGTCTGGTACGGCTGACAGGGGACGGAGTACGGGTACGGGGCACTGTGGATGTGTGTCGAATTCGAATCGACGAACGGTGTCGTGGCTTGCCCGCAAAAGTGAGATGTATTCTGGTGATAGAGGATAAAGGAGAGACACGGGCCGTGGTCGTCGTCAAAGAACGAACAAGGGCGAAAAAGAGTCAGTCAGCCCAGAAAGTCGCTGTTGCTATAACAGAAATTTGCTATAGACAGCGGAGCATAACAAACACTCTGCGGACGTTTATTCGCTCGGGTGGGCTTCTGGCCTAGCAAGCATGAACAAGTAGACAGGTTGCTTTGTTGTGACGGTATGGGGCCTAGCAGGCATCGACGGGGTCGGTTGTAGAACAATGCCGGCGGCCTGCGTTGGTCGGAAGACGGGAATCGAAACTGAGTTGCGAGTTGGCCTCCTCTTGAGCGTGTGTCTCGTCATCGGCAGTGCCTGGATGGATGCACATGGCAGTCCAGGTCCAGCGCGATTAGTGACAATACCGTATCCATGTACCCAGGTACCGCAATCAAACGCGTCCCAAGTGTCAAAACGCTCGACAGGGGTTGGACAATCAGGGTTACATGAGCACTAGCAGCCAGGGGTGAGGCCAACGTCGCACAGCTGGTAGTCGCGAGGGTAGACAGCTTGATGGAATCGGCCCTCCACTCCAACGCCTGCACAATTTTTGGCCCTGACAATCAACGTGGAATGACAGAGAAACACGCCATTCACCCATTATTGTCTCACTCTACTGTATAGGGGGCCAGGATCGCGCTCTCTCTCTCACCTGTTGACGCCTGTTGACACTGAAGGGAACCGAGAACCGCCCTGAGCACAGATCGCGAGGGGGACGGGCGCTCACTACGGGCAATTCCCCAGCTGATGAGCACACGTCCGTGAACCAAGCGAGTCGGGGGTGACAGGGCCGAGATCAACTCACAATGGCAAATTTCCGTCGTTTCAGGCCCGACGACGTGAACAAGTTCTCAAAATGCAATCTCGACCCTTTTACCGAGACATATGAGCTCGGCTTCTACCTGCAGTACTACGCCAAATGGCCCTCACTCTTCCAGGTCGCAGAGGACCAGGACGGCAACATCATCGGCTACCGTGAGCCATTCTGCTCCCCGTTCCCCCCCCCCCTTTCCCCCCCGCGTCTCGTCCCACAAAGCCAGCAGGAGCATACCACTGACCATTCTCATAGTCATGGGCAAGCTTGAGTCCTCTCCAGCCTACTACCAGGGCTCTGAGAACTTCCTGCCGTGGCATGCACACATCACCGCCCTGACAGTGGCCCCCGAGGCCCGCCGACTGGGTATAGGAAAGCTGCTTAGTGAGCAGCTCGAAGCAGTCGCCGACGACAACAACGCCTGGTTCGTCGACTTGTTTGTGCGCGCCTCAAACCACAAGGCCATCGCCTTCTACAAGAGCATGGGCTACAGCGTCTACCGCGTCGTCAAGGACTACTACGGTGACAATGCTGAAGACCCTACCTTGGACAGTGAGGATGCTTACGACATGCGCAAATCCTCCAAGAGGGACACCAAGGGAGAGCATGTGAGAGATGACGGAATGCAGCATGAGGTGAACCCTGAGGACGTGTGGTGAGGGGTCTATGTCACCCAACATTCCCTGGGTGATATGGTCCGTACTGGGCTTCTGCGCTATACCGAACCAGAAACCCCAATATCAACATCTCCGTCATTAAATTATGTCCAAGCCCCATCCACTGCGTACACGCTGCCGCTCACAAATGTACTGTCCGGACCCAGCAGGAACACAATCACGTTTGCTACCTCCTCCGCCGTTCCCTGTCTTTGGAAAGCGCTTGGTTCGTCAAAGGGTGCGTCTGCAGCCCTGCCGCTTAGGTCCCAGTGCTTCTGCATGAGAGGCGTGTATATCGAGCCAGGAGCGACGGCATTCACTCGAACTTCGCGAGGACCATTCTCTTGGGCAGCGGCCTTCGTCAACCCTATCACGCCGTGCTTGCTGGCATCATATGCAGCATGCCGCGCGAACCCTGCGGCATAAGTGAATGTATGAGCGGTGGGCCCAACTAGTGCAATTCGGTGGGAATTGTGGTAATGGGCGATGCGGGAGCAGGATCAAGAGGAGCCGTACCTTTCGTCCCGTGGATGGAAGCGACGTTGACGATCGAGCCCCCGTCCACTATTCTCCTCAGCTCGGCTCTCAAGCAGTACATCATCCCTGTTAAATTCACAGCAATGATCCGGTCCCACTCGTCGTCGTTTAGAGCCGTCACCGCGTCCCTCCCGTGACCCTTCCCAATGATCCCGGCGACATTTGCAGCCCCGTCTAACCGCCCAAACTCTGACACGATGCTCTCTATCCACGCCTCGACGTCGGTCCGTTTCGAGACATCCACCTTTGATGTTTTGAAGCTGCGTTTCTGGGAGGTGAACAAGGACCCGGCGCTGTTCAGTGCAGATTGGTCCAAATCAGCTATGCAGACAATTGCGCCCTTCCGCGCGAGACTCTGTGCCGTGGCCAGCCCGATCCCGGAAGCTCCGCCGGTGATCGCAAAGACCTTGCCCTCGAGAGGGAGGACAGGCAAGGCGCCGTTCTGGGTCATTAGGTACGTTTCGAAGGCCAGAGGGACTTCTTCGAGATGTTCACCAGGTGTAGAAGTCAGGATTATCAGGCCCTTGAGGCACTATGGACCTGGTCCGGGGCGTCCAGGAGGTATTTATGCGTTCCGCCAACCATTCATGGAGCTACCCTCCCCGAACCAAGAGGCCCCCCAAGGAGCCGCCCGGTAGGCAGGGCGGAGCCATAACGTGGAGGCCACGGAGCATCTAGCCCGGCAAGAAGCAACAGTGGTATGTAGGTCTCCCGAGCACCCGAAGCGTGGCTACGTAGTGCGATCGCCTCGCAGATCAGCCAGTCTGGACGCTTAGTTGAGCGGGGTGCTGGAGAAACTCGACGCTTTTTGTCGGGAGTTCTGGCGGGGGACCGCGATGTTACAATTTCCCGTCGGCTGATAGAGAGATAGTGCAGTCGAGCTGTCATATGGAGCCGTGCCATAGCGGTGTTCAATTGCACCTCGACGAAGCGGGTAGGTGGCTCCCGGTCCGGATAGTCCACAAATAGTAGTCATGGCTTGCTTGCCTGTCGCCCGAGACACGTGCAAGAATTGGCTACATATAAAATAGATTGTCCATCCACTCGTAAGAGCCGCTCCGCCATTGATTCTTGTATATATGCTGCAGAGATAATCTAGTACTGGCTGAGACATGATTGGACTCTGGCCTCCGGAGCTGTCACGGCCTTCAGACGAACCTGGGGCTAAGGGTGCTAGCCTGTATGGGTGATTACAGGATAACATTTTAGTCAAGTCGCTATGGTTCCAGGCACCATAGAGAGAAATTTGAAACTCGGCCTACAGGCTACTATGCAGTATGTGTCGCGCAATGCGGAAACATTCAATGAAGGAGGGGTCCACACCAGTGCGTTTTGTTGGGGCTCGAGCTCTGGTCGCACATACTGTGGTCTGGTAGTCTGTTGGGAATAGGTACGATATAAGAGCTGTGACTTCGCAGAATGGCCTGTCTTCTTACAAAGATGGCAGCACTTCCTTTGCTCGCAGTATATGCATCACGACATGTCACGCGGTCCACCAGTCCGGTCGCGGTCGGATGGGCGGCCGACTTTGTTTGACTCGAGTGCACATTCAAATGCTGCAGCTCCAACCGGACCATGGCACTGAATGGCCACTGCCCGTGTCAGGAAGAGAAAGACGACTGAGTCGAAAGTCGCGTTCCTCTTCCCGTGGTATGCATGTCTCAGTGTTCCGCGCGGCCGGCTGTCTGGCGATCAACTACCTCGCGGTCTGATTGACGATCTGAGTTGGTGCTTGCTGGGCTGGCCCCAATTAGCCTGACCGTTGGACCCCAGCCGGCTCAAGATTCGAGAATGCTTCCCCGGATTCCAAGTTCAAGTTTCCCCACCAAGAGAGGGGCCGCTGCTCGCTGGCGGGGAGGGCGGCACTGCTTTGTTCCCCACAGCTGACTCGAAAACGGCGGTCTTGGCTAGCAGCATCTTTGCCAGGTGTCCGCGCCCAGGACCAGCTGTCTCAGAACCAAGCGTACCAGTTTGCCGGACCAGACCAACCGGACAAGGACAAGATGGAGGGGTCGCATTCTGTGCCTGCGTGGTGGGAGGCACCTGGACACTGGCGCCGTCCAATGTGCTGCCGCCTTGGGGTGTCTCTTGGTTGCTTTTGGGCCGGGTTTGACGTAACGCAGGCCCTAACAGGGCGCATGATCAGGTCACAGCTGGCCCAAAAGCTTACAAGCATGCATCCCGCCTGCCGAGGTCCGATGGTGGCCTGTTGCGGCAGGAATTGAAGGAGGTAAAGGGGCGGAATCGAGTCGCGGCTTGACGATGTCGAAGGCTAGGTGAAGCACCTGGGCACAAAGGAAGATCAAGTGATGAAACGACCGGGGGTGTAGGAAGGAACCCACTTCGGCTGGGGACCCTTCTGACCTCCCACGTCCCAGCAGGCCCACGTCATAGGGAGTCAGTCCACCTGGCACTGTCTGTGTTCTGCGTCTCCGTGTCTCCGTTCGTGTGTGTACCGACAGCGCAGCACAGCAAAGCGACGGCTGACGTGACCACAGCCTCAGCTTGGACTGGAGATCGATTCAGGGGGCCCCCGCCAGATACATTTTCCTTCTCCGGGCTTGAAACAGCCATGCTCACCTGCTCCGAGCTCTCGCTCTCCACTCCGTCTTCGCTTGATCTCTGCTTCTCAACCCGAATGGCCTCGGTCATCCTACCTTTCTCACCACACTCTGCCTCCTGACTGATCGCGTGTTGGCCAACCTCTCCCCTTCCCGCCCCTTCTGCTTCGACGCGGGTTCGTCTGAGACCAATCTGGTCATCCTGATCTCTGCGCTTTGTTTTTGGGCCCCCACGTGGTTGTGCTTGCCTCCTTCTGTCACTCGGAATTCTTGTTTCGAGCGTTGTTGGAGCTATTCTCAACATGCGCTTGAGCCTGTTAAGCCAGGCCGCTGCGGCTGCTCTTGCGAGCGCCTCGACTCTTACGCCCCCAATTCTACCACTGGTGGTCCGGAATCCATACCTCAGCACGTGGGTCCCGTCGCGCCATGCGCCTTGGGAACAGTGGCCCATCTTCTGGACTGGGCGCACGGTGAGTTCAATGAAAAGTCGAGTTCTTGGCACTACAGCTTTTCTTGAAGGCCCGAGAGGGCTAGTGGCGCCCAATTTCTACCACAGAGATCTGAAGGTGTCCAACCATGCTGACAATGGACCTGTCAGGTTGGTTTTTCCGTGCTGGCTGCAGTTCCGGACACGGGCGACGTCTACCCACTCCTCGGTCGACCCCAGGACTCTCTTGGAGGCTCTGGACGTGACTACAACGTGACTTTTCCCGAGTACCTCGGCGCCACTTTCGATGCTTCCACTACGAACCTCACCTACTTGATTGCCGCCCCCAAAGACAAAGATGAGCCTGTCAAGCTTACCTTGTCCTTCCTTTCCCCAATTACCCCAACATCCACTCTGAGACAGTCACTACCAGCTGCGTATTTGACCGTCTATGCCGAAGGGTCCTTCGACGTAAACTTGTACATCGACCTGAATGGGGAATGGGTTACAGGCAACAGGGACAACGACATCGAATGGAGGCTTCAGCAGACCCAATCCACGACCCGGACGAAATCATCCGCCGGCATAAAGACATGGAAGGTCAATCGCCGCACTCAACAGCTTCTTACCGAGTTCGATGACCGGGCGGAGTGGGGGACCCTGTTCTTTTCCGCACCGGAGGACGTGCAGCACGAGAGCGGTGTCTCGGCCATCTTGCGCAAGCACTTTTCTGCACGAGGCGAGCTCCGCAACGCGAACGATGATAAATTCCGCAGGATCATGGACGAGGAGCCCGTTTTCGCATTTTCGAAGTCTTTCAAGCTGGGTTCCTCGTCTAAGGCCGCCGGCACCAGTGCACAGAATAATGTCGGCACGAAGAGCGGCAGCGTGAGGTTCACCTTCGCTCTGGCTCAAGACCCAGTGGTCCAATTTGCGGCTGCCAGGGGATTGACCTATATGCGCCCATTCTGGGCCACCTACTTCCCTGTCGCGGAAGAAATGGTTGAATACCATTACCAGGACTTTGACACTGCGAGTGACTTGGCCAGTAACTACTCACGGCAGCTGGACATTGATGCCTATGCTTCAGGCTCATCTGACTACCGAGACATTGCCGCCCTGTCTGCGCGTCAAGTCCTGGGTGCTACCCAATTTTCGGGCACTCCGGACAACCCGATTTTGTTCCTCAAGGAAATCTCATCGAACGGCAACTTCCAAACCGTGGATGTCATCTTCCCTGCTTTCCCATTCTTCCTGTACACCAACCCCAGGTGGCTGGCCTACTTGCTCGAGCCTCTTTTGGAGCATATGGGAAGCGGTCAGTACCCCAACAAGTATAGCATGCACGATCTCGGTTACCACTTCCCCAACGCCACGGGTCACAGTGATGGTAACGACGAGTACATGCCTCTGGAGGAGTGTGGAAACATGCTCATCATGGGTCTTGCCTTGGTCAACGCATACAAATATGACACTCAGCCGGCATTCCTGAACATGGTGTCTGCGGACAGTGTCGGCATGGCAAAGGTCAAGGAAACCTCGATTGTCGATGAGTACGGCATGGACCGCGCATGGGGTCATGGCCAAGAGGTAGAGACTACTGACCTCAAAGAAGCGCAGAAATGGGTTCAGAAGTCGTACAAGCTGTGGAAGCAGTGGACTGTCTACCTCATTGAAGAGGCATTGGAGCCCAAGAACCAACTGTCCACGGACGACTTTGCAGGCTGGCTCAGCCTACAGACCAACCTGGCGCTGAAAGGCATCATTGGTATTCGAGCCATGAGTGAGATCTCGAGCATTCTGGGCGAGACCAAGGACGCCAAATACTACCGCGAGATTGCGGATGACTACATCGCCAAGTGGCAGGATCTCGGCCTCTCCAAGGACAAGCAGTTCCCCAAACTCTCGTATGAATGGTATGGTTCGTGGACCACCATCTACAACCTGTTCGCGGATTCCCTCCTTTGCTTCCATCTTCCGGAGGACTCGAGCGCCTCTGTGCAGGCGCCGCAGTCATCATCGGCGAAGTGGCGCTGGTGGCAATCAAACGAGCAAGCTCCTATTTCGGACCAGAAAAACTCAACGACTTTCATCCCAGACTACGTCTACACGCTGGCGAGCGACTGGTACCACAACGTGATGCAGCAGTACGGCCTGCCGCTGGACAGCCGTCACCTATACACCAAGAGCGATTGGGAGTTCTTCGCAGCAGCTGTTACGAGCAGGTCGACACGAACGGAGATCCTGACATTGGTGGCGAAGTGGTTGAACGAGACCGTGACAGGTAGGTTCACCCATGGGTGGCAAGGATGTGATCATGTACTAACTCGATGCAACAGACAAGCCGTTCACTGATCTTTATGAGACGGAGGGAGAGGGCGGATACCCGGGCGGCCTGGAGTTCAAGGCCAGGCCTGTCGTAGGTGGCCATTTCGCCTTCCTCGCCCTGGAGCGGGCCTGTGGTGGCAAAGCAACCGAGGCGCTGAGTTTTCTCGATGCCGAGGAGCCCAAGCAGCTGGATGTGATGGGTCTCCTGGAGGAGGAGAGGCTATTTGGGCTTTCCCGCGCTGCAGAAATGGAGTTGTAAGGCGGTATTAGCTGAAGATGGTGGGCCGTTGCGGGGCTATCTGGAAATGATTGCATGAAAATTAGCATGGATAGCACAGGATATCTAACCATGAACGGGCAATGATAAGTCCGTTGCTATCAGGTATTTGCTTGCTACCACGACAACGGCCTGGTGATTGGGAGGAGGGAACAGACCAGATTGCGAATGACACATTGTGAATGACACGGGACGTCATGGGATAGGCCAGAGGCACATACGTCACAATATGGAGCCCAGGAGCATCTTGATACGGGCGGATACATAGGTACAATAGTAGGCCTAGACTTGCAGGAGAAGCTGCAATGGGAATCCATCGCAGTCCGTGCCAACTGGAGAGACCCCAGCCAGAGTGTGGGGGAGAGGCAATCAACCGGATAGCCGACTGCATTGTAACCCATATCGCCTGGCAGTCTGGGCATTCGACCAAATCTATCTATCTACATACTGTAGCCTCATGTACGTAGTCAGGTGAGGCTGCAGGCCGATCCACTGGCCTGCAGCGAAGTGGACAAACCCATGCAGTGCCTGTCGCCGTCAACTTCCAGGTCTCCAAGATGCCAGCCCCATGCGAGGGTGCGAGGGTGCGAGGGTGCTCAAGCAGGCTGCAGGCAGGTTAAGGTGGCCGATGCAGAAGGCTATCCCAAATTGTGTTGAAGATCACACCGTATAGAAGATGCCGACTAGGTTATTCCGCAGGAAGTCTGCATACTGGCCGGGTTCTATCCAGCCGTTCGAGATCCCTGCTAGCTACTGTAGCGGCGCAGTAAAATTTAGAGCACATGCGGAGCGCAGGCAGGCCCCACCGTCGCCGCTCACCCCCCTTGCTGATTAGTCATGCTAGCCTTTGGATTCCAGCTTTCAAGTTCTCCCTTTCCTCGTGCCTGGCCCATTTTTTTCAGCTTCCTTCATCAACATCCATTCCCGTCCCCAACCTCGGACTTCCATTTGCAGAGAGTCCACGCAGTGCATTCATTTGTATTTGCACTTCCTTTATTCACCGGCTTGCCACCTGGGATCCTTCCAAACAGACGGCCCTTACTCGCCAGAAACCAGCCTGGTGACTCAAAACCACTTCAATCCACTCCACTGCCGCCCATCTTTCTCTGCGCTCTGGCCTGCTTACGTCCCGTCCTCTGCCTGACAGCCTTGCACAACACCAAAATCTTTCATCGACACATACCATCCTCCAGCCTCATCAATCCCACTCATCACCATGGCCACCACTGCTATGGACTATGAGAACCCCGGCGGTGACCGCTTCGAGGGTTAGTTTTCAATGTTTTTCTTCGCCCTTCCGTGCCGCGCCGCACCAGACGCGCCGCCAACATAACCTCCAGGAATCAATCACTGACTTCCTACCTTTCCAGATGAGGGACCTCGCTACGAGCGAGACAACCGCAGCGCCTCCACCCGAAGCGACAACGGCCATGATAGCACTCGTCGTCGTTCCGCTTCGCCTGGTGGCGACCGGTAAGACAACCCCGACCAAGGCTGAGGCTTCCAATCCATACCAATCATCAACCTCGACTGTCACATTTACTCGCACACACAAACTAAAAGTCTCTAACATCATTCTGTCGCAGCGGCCCAGCCAAGGATGACGGCGGCGGTTCCAGGGACGGTGAGGGTGCCATCAACTCTGGCTCTAACCTCTTCGTTACCGGCATTCACCCCAAGCTGAGCGAGGATGAAGTCACCCGGCTCTTCTCCAAGTACGGCAACGTTGAGAAGTGCCAGATCATGCGCGACCCTCACACCAAGGAGTCTCGTGGCTTCGGCTTTGTCAACTTCATGACTTCTGACGAGGCCGATGCAGCCAGGGACGGCCTGCAGGGCAAGGAGCTCGAGGGACGCACCCTTTCTATTGAGAAGGCCCGTCGCTCCCGTCCTCGCACGCCTACTCCTGGCAAGTACTTCGGTCCCCCCAAGCGTGGTATGTTTGGCACTTTATCCCCTCGACTCCTGCTTTCTTTTACTCACAACCCATCAGAGGGTGGCGGCCCGCCTCGTGGCCGTTACGGCGGAGACCGATACGGAGACGACAGGCGCGGATACGGCGGCGGCGGTGGCGGCGGCCGCGGAGGATACCGCGACGACCGTGGCTACCGTGGCTACCGCGATCGTGACGACCGTGGAGGATACGACCGTGGCTACCGCGATGACCGTGGCGGATACGATCGAGGATACCGCGACGACCGTGGAGGCTACGACCGAGGCTACCGCGGTGGCGACGATCGTGGAGGCTACGACCGCCGAGACCGGGACTTTGACGGCGGTAGGATCGACCGCTACGCCTCTTCAGGCCGTGATGACCGCTACGGTGGCGGTGGTGGTGGAGGAGGTCCTCGATTCGACCGCGCTCCTCCCCGCGATGCGCCCGCGCCCGGCGGATATGGCGAGGGTACGCGTGAATATTCCTTGCCCCGCTATGGTCGTGACTGAACTCTATAGGTGCCGACCGCCCTGCGCGCTGAGCAACTTCCCAGCTGGTGTTGCGCCGTATCGATGCGTACATGGTAGGTCGGGTCGCCTGCTTTGATCCTATGGGGTCTGCATGCCTCGTTTATTTTCTTCGGTTCTTGGGAAAGGGAGTGGGTCGGATATCACAAAAGCAATTTGCCATCGAGGAGTTTTGCACGGCACAACACTAGTTAGGCACTCTGCACCTGGGCCTTCTGCATTTATTGCAATGAGCTGCGATTTAATTACCGGGGATTCGCGTCGAGACTGAAGCGGCCGACATCTTGGTCTCAATCATTCATTCGGAAGCGACGCGAATGTAGTGTTCTTCAGCAGTCGCCTGTATACGGAGCAGATCAGGGACGGACAGGCCTTACACATCATCACACCAGACTTCACCAACGTTTTCTTCACCTGCACCTGTACGAATATCAGTCCACGTCATTTCCCCATCACAGCCTCTGAACGGATTCGGTACGGCTTGAAACGGGTAACGACATCCGTCGAAAATTACAGGGAGAGGGACGTCGTCAACAGATAGCGCCAAACTTGACTCGGAGCTCAGCAGAACTCTCCTAACAACCACTGTGCCTGCCAACTCACGATTGAATGACAACCTGAACAACCAGAGAATTTCCTAAAGGTGCAACAAAATATGTCACGACCCAGTCAACATGTCCACCTTGCCTTATTGTACCCGCTCTCGCTCAACCACTTTACACGAAGTGTGCCAACTTGAAAAAACAAATTTAACGATATGCGTTGCTTCGTCCAATACGCGCAGCAACAACGGCAATTCCTGAACTCCTTAGACTCGCCCCTGCCGCATGTTTGCAAACAAAGCTCGTCTTCTTCAAAGGAATGTGAGCGCATTGTTTGCCCGTGTACGGCAGGACAAACGAGCGACAAAGGCACAGCACCACACCATAACAAAGGTAAACCCCAAATGGCGAGTGAATGCTCTTGTAGCTGATGACCTGCTTCTGTTCAGTCCAGGTAAAACCCCTTTGCGGCACACTGGACTGCTGGAATGTGGCGTTAAGCCCAGGTCCAGTCCTTCGCATCAGCACGGAATTGAGTACGCGGGCAGCGGAACAAAACAAAATGGTTTGTGACAACCAGCTGACTGAGACACAGCTGCATGTTTCGGCGCAATTACTTTTCCCAGGGCGTGTTCAGGCTGAGAGGTGCCTTGCGCCGGTGCTCAGCTGAGCTGCCCACCCTCTGAATCCTCATGGCTACACAAACCTGCACCGGACAACAAGGCAGCTAATCAAGCATTGCTTTGGTGAGACTAATCGGCACTACCCAAATCCGCTCGGCACAGCACTTGAGCTTTGGGACGCGACCGAGTACGTGTGCGCGAGTCGTCTACCATACTCAAGCCGAGGTAATACTCCTGCCAGGCTTTACTGGATGTCCCGGGAGGGTGTTTGCCTAGCTTCCACCTTTTGCTTTTCTGTCTATTTTTGTCGTTTTCTGTGCGGGCCTTCCTCGAGATAGAGGCTGCACTCGTTCAGAAAACAGGGACACTCCGGAATGGTTGTCTCCGTGCCATCAACTCACGAGAAGTTAGACTGGACACAGGGAATGATACAAAGTAAGTCGTCATTGTCATTACTCCAGGTAGGTTCTTTCTTCATAGGAAGTGTGCTGCCCTCATTTTTTTTTTCTTTTGAGGTGTCATATCATTTCGCTCTCAGGCCCCTTGGGCCTCCCTTTTGTCTCCATGTTTTCGTTGCTGCCTCAAATTGAATCTTTTCAGATAGATCGCAATGGCATCTATTCAAGAGATCGTTTCAGTTAGTCTCAGTTATTCGAAAGACAATACAAAGGATTGTATACACGGAACTTTTCCCATGCTGCTGGCTACCGTCGTGACGATTGATATATATGTGTGCGTAGATGGCTCGGTGTTTGACGCGAGACGGTGTCCCTTGATGCAATTCAACATCAGATCATTAGTCCCAGCAGCAATGAATCAATCATCGCAGCCGTTTTGGCCCTCTCCCAATGTCAGAGGCGAGGATCAACCTGAGCTTGCATCTACCCCAACCGCCAAGCGCACTTTTGGGCAAACACGCTCGCAGCAGCAGCAGCAATTGCTCACGCCCCGTTCATCAAGCTCTTCCTCCAGCCAGTACGCTGATGATGAGTGGAGTGAGGGTTTTGCCTCAACCGATGACAGAAGAGATACCCAGAGCGATTACAGCCTCCCCGTCCAGCCCGGCGGCCTCCATCCCCAACAACATCAGCGCCGATACATCTCGCACCCGGGCATCAGCACCCGGCAGCAGGTTGCCGCAGCCCCGGCGCCGTACCAGAGCAACGGGAACAGGAGGAGGCGGACGCAGACCGAGCTCCTGATGCACCACGGCATCGCCTGGCTCGGCTACGGGACCGTCATACCCAACGTGAGCGTCGTGACGGGCGAGCCGCTCGTGTACGGGCCGGTCCCCACTCATGGCACGAGGAGGACGGGTGGTGGGCAGCAGGAAGGTGGAGAGGAGTATGGCGATGACGAGGATTCCGCGCTTGCGGCGAGGGCGTCCAGGGCTCTCACCATCGAGGTCAACAAGCGCGCGGCGAAGGGGCACAAAGCGCCGGACTACCGCAGGGCCTAAGATGGAGTTGAGCTTGTGGCTGGACACGACATTGAACTGTTAAAAAAGGAGGTATGATCACCAGTTGGGCTGGGAGGTTGACTTGTCTGTGAAGTGGCAATCTGTCACATGGGAAAATCAGTTTGGAGGAAGAATTTCTGTGCTGAGACTGGCATTATGTCGTTTTTGGGCGTTTTTGGCGTCTGTGTTTTTTTTCTTCTTTTTTTTTTAAAAAAAAATCATCTAGAAGATTTTTGGACACAAAGAGGGCTCTGTAGGCGCAGTGATACCAGGCCACGAGGAGAAAGGCAATAACTGACGGGATGGAATTCGTCATGTCGTCCTTCCCCTGCGACTTGACAACAAAACTTGTGCAGATACTCGCTGATTTAATTGTTCACCGCCATAGCATAGTACCTATCCGGTTTCAGCAAAGGAGCATGGCTTTGTCTCAACTCATCCTGCTAGACTGTCGCATAACGAGTGCAGACACATCTTTGTCCCGTCAAGGATTTGAGAACCGGAAACAGCACTTCGCAACCGGTTGCGAATTGTATTAAAATGTAGAGACTAAAGACCTCAATGCAAGAACCAGATGCTATGTATCGATGGGCTTCGCACCGTGAGAATAGGATCAGCTTCGCAGCGTTCTTCTTTCTCCTAAAACAGCTTCTTGTTGATAATATCGAGGACGTGGGTTTTTTAGAGCCGTGGAAGGAAATCTACCAGCTCACTTAGAGCACCCGCCATCATAATGGCCGGAGTCTTCAATAACCTTCTCGGCCGTCTCGGGAGCACATCCGGACCAAGCTCTTCAACTCCTCAGCCACCAGCAGGAGGCAGTAATGCGGCGAATGCCACAAATCCAACAAATGTCACGAATGTGCCTCCTGCACCAAATCCTCCGGCTCCAGCAGCCCCACGCCCTCGAAGGGGTGGCTTCTCGTCGGTAAATTCGATGAACAATCAACGACCTCCGGCGCCGCCTGCCCCGCCCACTACGGTGCCTCCGGTATTACCTCCGCAAGTATCCAGTCTGCCGACGGTGCCGCCCATCCCGCCACCTGCGATGCCTCCAGTATTACCTCCGCAGGTATCCAATCTGCCGACGGCGCCGCCCATCCCGCCACCTGCGATGCCTCCGGTATTACCTCCGCAGGTTTCCAATCTGCTGACGACCCCGCCGCCCGTTCGACAACCTGCGATGCGTCCAACAGTACCCCCACCGCCGCCCGCGCCCCGGCCCACAGCCTTTCTGCCATTGCTGCCACTAACCTCTCAACCCAGCACAGGGGTTTTGCCGACGGCGACGAGCAATACGGGAGTGCCAGCACAGACTGGAGGCAAGACTCAACAAGCGGACCCTCCAGCGCCTCCGCTGTCGCCAGGAACACAGGCTTTGGTGAACACTGGAGTCCTCAGTGGGATCCCACTAACATCGCTCGGCGGCGACGATGACACGAGAATGCCAGATACTCCTACCCCAACGAACCCGCAACAGATCGCCGAGCTTCAGCGGCAGGCGAGTAATGCGACAGATGACAACGCGCTCCTGAACACGTTCCGAAGCCGAGTCGCCGTGGCCAGCCGGGCTCAGACTCTGGAGCAGCGCAAGGACACGTTGAGACGGAATTTATGGCCGTGGACCAATCGAGGGACTGCTTACAACGGGCAGAGGCGCGAGGGGCTCTTCTTGCAAGACGGGAGCCGCAACCCGGCCAGGAGGTCGCGGAGAGGTGCTGCCAGAGGCACTTCTGGGACGGTGCTCCCCGGCCCTGGGACAGCTCCGCAAGTTGGGACAGCTCCGCAAGTTGGGACAGCTCCGCAAGTCGATCCCACGCTGAGACCATCCAAGAGGGTCCGTTTCAACGCGGGTGCTTCTACCGCGGGTGCTTCTACTGCGGGTGCTTCTACCGCGGGTGCTTCTACCGCGGGTGCTTCTACCGCGGGTGCTTCTACCGCGGGTTCTTCTAACACGGTTCCTCGCGGGCAGGCTCCTCGTAAGCCGGCTCCTCGTAAGCCAGCTCTTCGTAGGCCAGCTCCTCCGAGTACAGGCGGCCCTGGCTGGAGACGCCGGGACGACCTTTTCAACCCAGATGTAATGAGGGCAGCGGGTATCACACCGGCCGACGCTGGTGAGCCAGTTCCCGTTCCATTGCCCACGCTGCCGAGCGCGATCAAATATCAAATAGAAAATTGGAACTGCTTGGGAACTGCTTGGCCACCTGAAAACCAATAGGGAAACGGATACGAAAAGGCGATGGGTTGAGACAGGAGTAGGAAAACACTCGTGTGCGGTCCTAAGCAGGGTGGCATCCATATATGTTGCAGTACCCAAAGCAATGTAGGTGGGGGACAGAAGTACAGCGTTTCCAATATGGGCTAGCCAGTTGGCGTCTAGCAGAGGCTGTGTTTGATTAGATTTGCTTCGCAGTCGTTATGCTTCTAGCATTCTAGGAGCGGGAGATGTATTCCGGGATATGAGTGTTCCACTTTCTTGAAGTAGTCTGGGCGATGCTATGCAGGCTCATGAACGCTGGATCGATGTTGGGACACAATTATAGCAGCATTAATAACTCACAATGAATTATGAACGAAAAACGGGCCCTATCGATTCCACTACCATGTAAGCTGCGGCGGAGCTTCCTTTGTGAGGTTCTTGGTCGGGTTCCATGTTATGCTAGACGGAACAGCGAGAGAATGAGATGGAGAGACGTCAATGTCAACGGATTTGGTGTGCAGGGATAGAGAAAAGCGAGCCAGGGGCACGCGCATCTAGTAGCTACATCCCTGTCAACGGGTCCCCACCTTTTCCCACTCTACGCGTGAGCACTGAGCAAAGGCGCGTTTTCGTCACTCATCTCTTCTTTCGTCGCCAACCCTTCAGACCTTGCGACAGACTAAGACGACGACCATCACCACCACGACCAGGATCAGTACCGAGACAACTGATCAATTCAACTTCTATTCAGCCAAATATAGACCAGCGTCACCTCATCTTCCCCTGCCATCCTGACCGTCCTTCGTCATGGCACCCGCCCCCGTCGTCGACGACGTCGACCGTAGGTCTTTATCTGCTCTTCCTGCCCTTGATTGTACCTATCTGGGTTGGGCACTGCCGCATTCAGTCGCTGATTCGAGCTTCAACAGTCGACATGGAACAGGATGATGCCAACGAGAATGAGGAGAAGATCATTAACGAGGGTATGTGAGCGTCTCAAGCCCCGTTGAAGCGCAATCGCAGACTCACCCCAGTCCACAGAGTACAAGACTTGGAAGAAGAACAGCCCCTTCCTCTACGACATGATCCTGAGCACTGCTCTCGACTGGCCTACTCTGACCACCCAGTGGTTTCCCGATGTCAAGGAGCCCCAGGACAAGAACTACCGTGTGCACCGCCTTCTGATCGGCACTCATACCGCGCCTGGCGCCGACAACTACCTGCAGATTGCTGAAGTCGAGATCCCAAAGTCTGCTGAGCCTAATCCCAACGATTACGATGAGGATCGCGGTGAGATCGGTGGTCACGGCCGCGAGCCTGCCGCCATCAAGATGAACATCATCCAGAAGATCGACCACCCAGGCGAGGTCAACAAGGCCCGTTATCAACCCCAGAACCCGGACATGATCGCAACTCTGTGCGTTGACGGCAGGATTCTCGTCTACAACAGAACCAAGCACAGTAGTCTCAACCCCAGTGGCACCCCAAGCCCTGACATCGAGCTGCACGGCCACAATGAAGAGGGTTTCGGCCTGAACTGGAGCCCTCACCAGCCCGGTGTGCTCGTCTCTGGAAGCCAAGACACCACAGTCTGCATCTGGTAGGTCCAGCTGTTCTTCCGACGCTCAACCAATCGTCGCCTGTTTTATCTAACATCTCCAGGGACCTCAACACAATGCACGGCAAGACGGTCGAGCCGTCCCGAAGATTTACCCACCACAAGCGTGTCGTCAACGACGTCCAGTATCACCCTGTCGCCAAGCACTTCATTGGCACTGTCTCGGATGATTTGTCGCTCCAGATCCTCGATACCAGACAAGCCGACTCCAGCAAATCCGCGCTGACTGTACAGAAAGGTCACTTCGACGCCATCAACGCCCTCTCCTTCAACCCCGGCTCTGAGTTCGTGATTGCCACAGCCTCCGCTGACAAAACCATCGGTATCTGGGACATGCGAAATATGAAGGACAAAGTTCACACCCTCGAGGGCCATAATGATGCCGTGACTTCGCTGTCCTGGCACCCTCAGGAACTGGGAGTTCTGGGCAGTGGCAGTTACGACAGGCGGGTCATCTTCTGGGACCTGACTAGGATTGGAGAGGAACAGATACCCGATGATGCTGAAGATGGTCCCCCAGAGCTGCTGTTCATGCACGGCGGCCACACAAATCACCTGGCTGACTTCAGCTGGAACCCGAATGACCCATGGCTTGTCGCCAGTGCGGCCGAAGACAACGTTCTCCAGATCTGGAAGCCCGCTGACTCTATCGTCGGCCGAGAAACGAACGCCGATATGCCCATGGAGGAGATGGAACGTTAGATCCTCATTCGATAGGGATGGGAAAAGAGGCAAACAATGCGGAGGGTTGTAGTAGAGTGTGTAGGATAGGAAGCCATTTGGAAGTGCGTTCTTTTGGAGTGAGATATCACACGAAATGAAAGCTTAATGACGGACGCTTCGGTTTGAGAAAAAGGGAACTGTGAAAGAAAACTTTGATTTTGAAGTTATCTTCGGTACGTGTACATTTGGGCAGTGATACTCTCGGAAACATGGAAAGAAGATAAGGAAACTGGTGGTAGTGGTGGACGCTGTCCGAAGGTTATGTCGCCGTCAAGCCACAAACTCTGATTATCCTCACAGCATCCAGTCGCCACATCCTCTCCTGATTGTCTTGGTGGCTTTTCCGTTCATCTCTCGAGGGCTGGTAACTTGGGCAGCATGAGCAGCCCAGGTTACTTGGCTTTCAGGTCACTTTCTGTCCACAAGCTCTTCCCCAAGTTGTGCGCTAGGTGCTGCCATCCCTAATGATTCTTCAAATTTGTCTCGGCCTTTTCATAGGTCCTATGCATAATTAGTGAGGTGAAAGTCTTCTGTATGGCACGCGCTTACACATGATCGAAGCTTCGGGCAGTAGGTTTTCGCTCATTGCAGCTGGCCTTTCGTCCCATCTCCATGGTCTATGGCACACAATGAAAATTTCCCTATTCAACTCTGTTATTTTTTGCTGACAAGTGAAGCAAAAATCTGCTGTCGACATAAAAGGACACACCACCTATCGTTTTCGGACCTCAGCATAAAAGGCCAATCGTTTACCCACAACTTCTCTTCCCTTCCTCGCTCTCCTCTTGACAAGATTGTTGGTTTTTGACGCGCCCATCGAACCTCAACAACTTCAACAGTCACTCGTTCATCCCAAGCAGACCTACATTCTTTAACGCCCAAAAGGCGGAAAATGGAGAATTCTCAGCTTCAAGGTGGTGGCAGCTCATCAGGCGATGATGCGATGCAAGACCCTGAAGTTCTCGACCTTGTCGACAACCTGGCCCGCCTCCGTCACATCTCAGACAGGCGATTAACTGTTCCAGAGCAGTCTCAAATCCAGAGCAAGATCATCGATCAGAAGGAGGCGCGAAAGCGGGCATCCCAGGACGACATCATGGCGGAAGGCAACGCGCAGTTTGATGAGGAGGCGATGCAGGAAGCAGTGAGAGCCACGAAGCGACGTCGAATCGTTTCAAAGTTCGACCTCAGTGGCGCGCACAGGATGTATTTCTACGGTCCTGAAGAGCAGCCCGCCGACGACGACAACAATCTGGACGACTTCGCATTAGACACCGAGATCCTTGGTCTTACGAAGGACTTCAATGGCGCGCACTCCTCCGAGCCCTTCGACCTTAGCTGCGTCCCAGACACGAGCACCGGCGACGTATTTCCTAAATACAAGCCTGGTTTCGACCTCCTCGAGTCTACCTGTTCCAGCGTCTGGTTCGCCGTCGAGGTGGCTAAGCACCTGCGTCCCAAGGACATTGTCTGCCTGTACAGCATCAGCAAGACCTTCCACCAGCTCCTCAACGATCACTGGCAGTCTAGCATCTTCGCCTGGGCAGAGTACATGGCCCCTTCCTCTTTTCGCATCTTTCACTGGAAGTTCTTCGGCCGCTACGCCCGCCTCGACCCGGCGGGAACCACCTGGGCTGCACCAGGTCTCTTCGCAGACGCATTTCCACGACCACCTTGGGCGCGCCCTCGCCCCGCCAGCGCCAGCGATAACAATATCCGCTCGGTCCCTGGTCTGAGGTACCTTGCGATGGTTGTGGAGAGGGAGATCCGTGTGCGCGACATCCTCGCAAAGTTGGCGCGCAGCGGCCACCGCCTGCCCAAGACCTGCCACGAGTCCGTCAAGAAGATCTGGATGCTCATGGACCTGCCGACCAACACCATGCGCCGGTCCTTCATCCACAACACCCAGCTCTGGACCGGCCAGGACATCTACAATGCGCAGATGTTCATCATAAAGCTGCAGCTGCGCTTCAATGAGCCCGGCTTCGGCCCCGACTCGCCTATTCTCGCCGAGACTCTCCTGGGGTCGCCGCATGGCCTAACGCCGCTGTGGCAGATGCTCCGCGGCAAGAAGTACACAGAACTGCTCGAGGCGATGCAGATGCGGGTGCGCTACTTGGTCGACGCCGACGAGATCGATCGCCACGCCCGCGATTGGCAGAAACACTACGGCGTCCCCCGCTGGCAGCTGGGCATAGGCCATCTCGAGGGCTGGGGCAGGGGCTCCATCCACCTGTCCCGTCCTGACGAGCTCGTCGTCGAGGAGGCGGTAAGGCGCGGTATCAACTTGAAGGATCACCTCCCGTTCATGATGTTGTGGGGTCACGTCAACTGGCAGAAGCGCATCAACCTCGTCCCCACTGAGGAGGAGCTATACATGTCAGACGACGAGCTTCGACCCCTGACTGTCGAGGAAAAAGGCCCCAATGGAATGTTTGGCAAGTGTGGCAATGTGCCGTTCGAGAATTGCAACTGGCTTCCCAAGCACGCCCTCCAGGCGAAGTGGGACACCCTGACCGAGGATGAGAAGTTAGCGCTCTCCAAGGATCTTGAACACGACAAGACCCTAATGGGGCCGCACGAGGAGGACGACGAAGGCTTCTGGAACCTGGACAAGAACGAGATGATGCGTCTCAATCACCGCAAGAAGAAGAGGGCTGTCTCGGCACCCAATAACCTCGACAGCGAGGCCGACGATGAGAGCGACGACGACCAGAAGAAGCAGCACCCGGACTCCTGTGTGTGCGAGGGCTGTGCCGGCCAGCTGGGCCACATCGCCGACGGCTACGACACGGACGAGCACCACGACACTTGCATGTGCCGAGACTGCCTGGACCAGGCAGACTTCGAGGCCGAAGAGGCAGACTACGAGGCCCTTCAGGCACAGAATGAGGAATCAGGTGCTGACGACGATGCCGAAGAGTCTGACAGCGAGGCCGAAGAGGCACAGTCGGCCGCGCCTCCCAATCGCGCCGCCCTGGGACTTCCCACCAGCGACCCGATGCCCGAGGAGGCCTTATCGAGCGAGGGCCTCCGCAATGCGTGGGATGTTCTCGTACCTGCGGATCAGCAGATGGTCAACGCGTCCATCGAAAGGCAGCGAGAGGAGCAGGCCGGTCTCCAGCCGCCCGCCCCTATACGCCAGTTCCCCAACATTACAGACCTCGTCAGCCTGGCGCTGCTGCACAAGCTCGACGGCATCCAGCTTGATATGCCCGGCGAGTCTTCCCAGCCCATCGGAGAACCCAACAATGCCGGCGTAACTGACTCCACTGACGATGTCGAGATGGACGAGCAGGGTGAGAACGACAACGACGCGGCCAGCAACTCGTCGATGGACGACGAGCAGCTCAAGGCCCTCGCTGACGAGGAGTACTCCGATGACGAGCTGGAGTTCGACATGGACAACTACAAGGCTTTCCTAGCCAAGGCTCAAGACGACGGCGGCTTTCACAACGGCGGCACCTTCCCTGGTGGCGACGAGGACGAGGACGGCTTTGGCATGGCGCACGAGGCTGACTTGAAGTCTCCGGGTGCCGCTATTGAGATGACCCTCCCGGATATCATCAACTACTAGGCTGCCATTTCTGGCTGTCGGTTGGACAATCTCAACTCGGGCATGTGAGCTGTCGTGTCGTGCGAGTCGGAAGATAGGGAGGAGAAGAACGCAAGGGAATGTCTGCCGGAGTAGGACTCTACCTTATCCAGTGAGGCGAGTGCGTCTTTCTCGGATTGGGCTGGATCTCGTGGAGGCAAAGAAAAGGAAAGAAAAGAAGAAGAAAAAACAAAAAGAGGCGAGGGAGAGTCGACCATGTGGTGGATCACGTCATGGATTTGGATCCTTTCTCAAGCCGCACGCCTTCCTGTCTGGGAACTTTGTCCTGGGGGCACCTGACAAGTCCATCAAAAGCTTCGGGGGTTGTCAACAAGTTTCTCGCCTTTCCAAAAGCGAGACACAGCAGGGACTGTCTTCTAATCAACTCTTGGGATGAGACACATATCATATCTTGTGTGTCGTACTGTAGACTCTGGCTGATAGAGGGATCTGGGCGGGGTTTGAGGCGCCTTTGGTGTCTGGTACATAGGCTGGCCACTGTGTGTGCATAGGTCGAGTAGGAAAGACCCCCCCCCCCCCCCCAATGGAACTCTGGCAGAGACCACAATCATTTCCGTGCCTGTGGATTAGGATGTGCAACTGCATCATGTGCAAGCAAGCCACTCATTCGTTCGCGCGTGCAAAGGATCCGCTGAAAAAACGGAAATGGCGTACGTTACTGAGCCCCTGGGTCATATGGGCATTCGTGGTTGCATGGCTCACATGCAGTAGCCTGAACGACTTACAAGAATCTTTGGGTTGAACAATGATCTCCTGACGGTCTTGTAAGCTGCAGTGGTAAATGCAAAATGTGTCCAGAAATGGCGGTGAGCATGTGCACACCAAATTGAACATTGATCAATCCTCGTGGTCTTCATAATCATCGTAAGCTGAATACATACAGTACAAGTGTGCCCACCCGCCCATACCGACTTGCATTCTAGAAAGCACCCTCCCTTCTGAGTCTCTGTATCTGGGTATATTCGATGAAGATCTTTTTGCTACTCCCATGCGTTTTTGTTCGCCAAGAAAGACAACTGCCATGCGGACGTTTTCCTGTGCGCATAATGTGGCAACAATAAGATAAATGTAACAGTTCAGCTCATAATCACATCTGATAAACGACAATGCCATCGAAGAAACACGCAGTCAGCTGCGGAGCAAGCGGACTACTCCGTTGTGCTTGATCTGCCTTTGCCTTTGAGCAACTCGCGAAGGGTTCCTTCGGCATGGCTCCGGCCTGTAGAGGAATTGCTCGGTTGGGGGCCGGTTGCTACGCCCGCCAACGCAGTTTTCCATGGAACCCAATCACTGAATCCAGATCTCGCCCCAGGATTGGGGACACTAGAATCCTCTCGTCGGGAGTGCCCGTTCGCATGTGCATGCACTGGAGATTCGCCACGGCCAGGTGACTGTGCTTGGCTGCTGCGTGGAGAGTCATTGCCCAGGAGCTCATTTGGCGTCGTTCGAATCTCAAGATGGCTGCTAGATGTCTGTGGGAGTGACAGTTCACTCACGAGAGCGGCAGACGAACTCCGTGGCGTAGTTGCTTCGACCCCTGACTGCTGGTGTTTTGAGCTGTCAGCATAGATAATGGCATTTGCAAAGGACTTCGACCTCTTCCTTGTCGGTTCTCTGGGCTTCGTGACATCGGCAAGACGATTTGCGCTGTGTGCCTTGCTGGTATTGGGGGATCCAGAACCACTGCGGCCTGATTTTGAGGAGGCCCGCCCTCGTACTTCATCCTTGAGCTCTGAGGCCGACTTCTTCTTTGTTTTCTCCTCTTCAGAAGACCTGCTTGATGACATGATAGTCTCCAGTGTACCGTAGGCTGCGCTCTGGCGACGGCCGGTACTCCGACGTTTGCGGTGCGATCGTGCGCTGGCACTGTTGTCCTCATCGCCCGACTGGATGGCCTGAAGCGTCAAACCATTCTGGCTTTGGCTATTCTTGGTGTAACCTCTTCTCCGGATGGATGACGACGGAACGGCGCTGACAAAGGATGCCCCCGAGCCATGTGGTGCCACATGCACCTCGTACTGGTTGCTCAAGCTGTATCGCGATCGCGCGTATATCTGGGCAATACCATCGAGGGCATTGTCCATCTCACTGGACTGCGCTTGGAGGTTCGCCATGATCGTCTTGAAGGAGAATGCGTCATGGGGCGGTAGGGTCTCGGCTGGGACCTCCTCCCGGCCCTGTTTCCAGGGCCACAGCTTCTTCGTAGCGTTTCCACGCGCCATGCTCAACAAGCTGCCATTCTGTGACACTCCAGTAGGTCTGGAGTGTGCAGCCGGGGAGACGTAGGAGATGGAGGTTGAGGTTGTCGAAGGGGGCCCTCGACGACTGGCAGCACGCCGGGCCGACTGTGAGTTGGAGCGGGAATGCCCCTGGGTGGTAGATGGTCCGCTATAGGTCCTGACTATGACGGGCTTGGAATAAGTTTTGCTCTGGGCGCCGGTGGACCTTTCATATTTGTGGCGGGCGACCGGCGACGGGAAGTTGCTGTTCAGCTCACGAAGTGCCAATGTCCGATGAGCTGCGGTGCTGTCATCGAGGGGTATGGGCTTACCCTCTGCGGTGGACGGCACCAGGGAAGCAATAGAGGTGTTGTTGGACTGAAAGAACAGAGGGAGGGAGAAGGGAAGACTCGACCTCATGGGAGTAGGGGTGGGCTTTTGAGGACCGGCACGGATATCATGAGAATTAAGAGCGGCAGGGACATGGGTTGGAGTAGGGGAGGTGGCAGGGGGCGGGCCGGAGCATGGGGAGGAGGAGGAGGAGGAGGAGGAGGCGTTCTGGGAGCAGCCGGGGGAGTCGGAGGGTGTGGGTGGGTGATGACGGGAAGCAGGTTTGGTGGAGGGGGAGATCAAAGAGGAAGCGTCCGTATTCATGTCTCCACTCCCGAGCGCGTGTTCGCCCTCCAGAGGCCGTTGATTATGTGGCTTATCATATATATACAGCGCGGTGAGGATGCGGAATGCGACGGGCTGCCGTAGCACGTATGCAGGCGGGATGCGTGTGTAAGTCGTACTGGGTCGTGGCCCGGCCTTGGCCCCGTGTTGGAGGTTGTGTGCAGGTTTGGTGGCAGCGAAGGGGGCGATAAAGGACGCGTGCAGGAGGACCAGGACGACAGAGAGGCGCTCGAGTGGTGCCGGCAGACAATGGTCGGTGTAGGCAGGCGTCACAGAGAGTCTTGTCGCGAGTAGATGGCGAGTTGAGGTATCATGGTGTGGTCCTCTGGCCTCTATGGAGCTGTATGTCTCAGATGAAGCAGGTGTTGAAGAACACCACCTCGGGAATGCGATTGCTGGATTGGCACTTGTCGGGCGCGCGTGTGACCTCCGATATCGATTGACCCAGACGCACCGTAATCTCGAGAGTGGTGGTCGGGGGCGGCGAGGCGGTGGCTGCTTGTCGGCCGATGACGAGCACGAGCAGCAGTAGTAAGTAGCAGCGACAGCAGCTGGACCAGGAGCAGCGGCAGCAGCAGGAGTTGCAGTTGCAGTTGCAGTAGCAGCGGCAGCAGTAGCGGCAGCGATAGAGGAAAGACGACGGCAAAGGCGGTTGCGAGAGCGAGACGGCTCTCGATTTGTCTCGACTTGTCTCGACTTGTCGTATCGCGTGGCCGTGAGTCGAGTTCCCGGAAGCAGTCAACCCTGGGCCTGGGAGAGAAAGGGAATGGGATTGAAATGCAAAAGAGGACGCGGGAATGCGTTGTCAGATCAGATGGGATTCAATCAAGCGTCGTGCGGTTGCTGTGCGCTGGCCCGTCGTGCTCTTCTGCCCTCTCACAACAGCGACAGCAATAGCGACAGCGGCAGAAATGTGTCGAGAGGAGAGAGGAGTCGTCTGTTTTAGGGTGAAGCTGTGAGCGCGGCCATTGGACCGGGCGCGATGCCTTGCTGCAAGCTGCAGAGCAGTCGTGGCTGCCCTTCAAAGGCAGGAAGGCGTGGTCTCCAAGTCTTGCCTTCCCTGCCTTTTCTCTGCCTTCCCTGCAGCGTGGCAGCAAAGTACCCAGGTACCGTATCGAAACGGTACATGCCGGCCTGCTGGGCGCGCCGCACCCCGTCCAAGTACCCGGGCTAAACCTTACCACGGACGGCACAGAGTGGTGCGGGGCAGAAGCACCGTCGAGTGCCATCCACGATCCCAACCCGGCACTTTTCCCCGTGGGCCTAGAAATGGCTGAGCACGGCCGTCTCTTCCCCGTGCCTCAGGGACCTGGGACCTTGGGGATAATAAGGCGAGGGATCCTGGCCGCCTGTTCATCCCTTCTCTGCAGTGCCTGGACTAGGTTTTTCGTCCGTCCTCCTGTGCTACCGTTAGGTAGTCGACTATGATAGTCTCAGTACCGGTCGCACCCACCGGAGTACATGTGACTTGCAACGTCAGGTCGACTCACTCAGCTTCCTCTTTTCCTTCTTCGTCCTCCCCAAGACATGCGTTTGACCGGACGCCCAGATACCTGCCTGCTTTGCCTGCTTTGCCTGCTTTGCCTGCCTGCCCCGACATTATTCTACTCGTCAGATCACGAACCAGGAAGGAGTCTCCAGCAGGCATCTCCTTCTCAAATTACCTGCGTGCCTGTCTTGCCTCATCATGCAGCATCTCAATAGCCGTCGATCTAGCTGTCCTTCATGTCTCAATCCCAAAGACTGGACAACTGTCGTGCCAGATGCTTACTGATGCCGGGAGGAGCAAAAAGGCTTGTGGCCATGTCCTTGCCTCGCTCTGTCATGCTGCGCCAAGCTTCTCACATCATCTCTGAGTCCACGAGTCCTTTTTCGCAGACGGCGTGTAACTCGAGATACAACAAACAAGCCTCCGTTGTCCAATCCCCGCCCACCTCCGTCTGGTCGGCTGCATCCGCGAGCTCGGCCTCTTCCTCCCTTCTTTCCGCAGGATGCGCGAGGCGGGGGGCGGGGGGCTGATGCCAGCTGGAGACAGCACGAAACGGCTCCTGTCCATAGTGAGGTGACCTTTTGTTTACGTGTGTAGTGGCACACGTCCTCTCCCAGCGATGCCCACAGAGGGAAACCAGCACGGATACTACCAGGTGCAAATTGAAATGTTGCTTCACTATAATATGCCACCTCGAAGCAAACCACTGCACGCCGTGGCCACGGTCATGTCCGAGACCCAGAGCTCGGGGGCCAATATGTTCCAACGTCCCCGTGACCCTGTCTCTACTCTGTTAGCTGGGCTGAGTCACGGCGTAAACAAAGAGAGCTGCTTCATGTCGCGTATTTCCAGTGCTCAGCCCTACACAATTAATTACCTTGCTGGGACGTCCTGCATTCGAGCCAGCAAGACAGATCGAGAGACAGGCCAGGCCCTGGGATTTTCGACGAATGAGCAATCATGTAGATAGGCGCCTGCTCGATGGATCTCGGAAATGTGTGCTTTGAGACTGTTTGAAATAGATTCTAGGATTGTGCGAGAGGACCCTATTCTGAGTCCCTGATGACCATGGTCAGGCAGCCCCAACCAAAGACAAGATCAGGGACCCATATAATCATGCTCTTTAGTTACTGCTTTTAGCGCCACACTTCTTCTCGGGGGCAGCCACCTTGCCGAACATCTCGCTACTGTGTAGACTCTCATCCGACCAAGTCACGAATATTTGGAATCACCGCCATAGCCGCCACCATGAGGGCTGTAAGCGGGAGCATCAGCATATGCCTCGTTGCGGACCTGCGGAGGCTGTGCATCTGGCACCAATTCGAGACCCTCGGCGCGCTGCTTCCGCTCAAGTCGCTTCCTCTGTCCCCAGGACAAGTGACCGCCTTTGCCGTAGTAGAATATGACCCAGATGGCATGTATGAAGCTGGCGATTCCACTGATGTGCCAGCAAGCGTCAGATCTGATCTGGAAAGCTATGCTGATAGCCTTGTATGTAACTCACAAGGTCAGGAGCTCGAGGATGAGGTTGAGCCAGAACTGTGCATCGCAGCTAGTGACGCAGAGCACGGCTGCCGGGGGGACTGTGGGCCCATTGATCAGCGTGTGAAACATATCACCCAGAGGAAAAGCGGAAGACTGCGGCACAGCAGCGTCGAGAGGGGAAGGCAGAGCATCAGGACACACTGACTGAAGATCGCTATGATGACAAGTAGGAAGATTGTTACGTCGTCCCTCGATTTGGTCATGTTGACAGCGTGAAGGATGACTGCTCTTAGGACCAAAGGGTGAGGCTCGGCAGCAAGGCGCGTGATGTGTTTGAGGCTGATTTGGGATGGGCTGGCTGTCTGCTAATATCGATAAAAAGAGGTTCAAGTCTCATATGGCTAAGACGACTGGAAGCCGAAGGATTCCAGAACACATGGAATTGCCTTCGTGGTCCGGTAGTTCGGAGCACGGCACTCGAGCTGGTCGCAATTGCTAATGTACGTGGAATTACGACAAACCTCCTATAGGAAGTTACGGCCGTCGAACAAATTTCGCCGAGAAAAGCAGGAAGAGTATTTTTGCGCGGAAAATTGTGCCTGTCCACGGCAGCATCCGATGGGAAGGGTCGTTGCATGCGTGCAGTCGAGAGCATCCTGGAAATCATCTATGTCTTTAGACTCGAGCACGTAATTATCGGTGCCACACGAGGCCAGAAGCAAAACCACAGTCAAGAAGGGTTAGCAGCGATCTGAAGACATGAGATTTGAGCTCGATGCGTGGCGTTGAGACCCAGTGACAGCCGTTTCTCTGCAATATCGAGGGGGCGGAGGCTGGCTCAGAGATCTGACATGGTTTGGGGGGAGGAAGGCACCAGGAGCAGCGAGGGAGAACTCCGTTGGAGCCTAGGCGACCTCCCTTGCGCCATGCCATCCCGACTACTGTCGGAACTCGAGGCAGAGAGAAAAGGAAAGTGATGAGGAGATAACAGCAAGCAGAGGCAGCCGGCCGTCTGAGGCAGCCAACTATAGAAATGCAACATTTACATTGGGCAGGAGCAGAGCCCGAGGCCCAACTTGAAGCCAAGTCTGGGAACTGCAGACTTGGCTACAGAGACCTCAAAACCTGGACCATCCGACGGGCACCCGCAAGGGACTAGATCGACCTTGATCACCATGTGGACGCCTTTGTTAGGCCACGCGCCGTTAGGCGTGGTATAATCCTCGGGCCGGCGTCTAGCCCAACAAGAAGCCACGCTTTTTGATCGTTGATCGCAGGTGACGGCGCCAACTACTCATCCATCCATCCCTCGTGTCACTGTGGGACGCACCAATAGACGGGGCGCTGGACCCTCAGCCTGCCCGGCGTGCGAGCGTGAACGTGGGCGTCACGGATCCTCGTCCATTCCTGATGGCTGCAGATCTCGCTGCTACATGCTAGGCAGATGAGAGATCTTGTGCAGGGGGTCTTCCACCGATCGTGTCGCCTCGCAACCTGGTCAGACTCGTGGCATTGATACGTGAGTCAATGCTTCAGAGACGTGGTGTAACCGGGCGTGCAGGATCACCAATTTCATCGGCTTGGTGACGGGATTTCAGCTGCTCGTGGGGGCCTCGAGAGCAGGCCGCTTCCCACATATCCTCCGGTAGACCCCTGGATCGAAGAAGGTTGATCAGCACCTTTAATTAGGCCGGTTTGGCGAATGATAGCAGGCAGTTCGTGGGCCCCTATGTATGTAAGCAGCGGCCGCCTCTCAAGCGGCCGCTGCAAGAGCCCTGCGAATAGCCATGAGCTCCACGAGCGGCAGACCGATGAACGTTCCTATGCGTCGTAGGGATACGCATGTCTCAGTCCGCTGTCGGGACAAATAGACACGCGGTTCGGTGAAGCTGGGAGCCTGACTGGAATGTACTTATGCATGACACTGGCGTAGCTGCTTATCCTGCCCAGTTCTGTCCGTGTGAAGGGAAAGACACTCGCACTTTTTCCATGCGGTTAGTCCCCGAAGTATTGAGCAATGGCTGCGACACGACTAGCCCGAAAAGCCCCAAACTACCCAAGTACGGCCAAGGAGTCTGGGTATGATAAGCTCGCATTGGTGAACAGAAGAGACCTGGGCCCCTTAAAATGAGGTTCAGTCAGGGAGGGTTTGTTCGGGACGAGTTCGGGGGAACCAGCGTGAAAGAAGAAGAAGCAGACGCCAGGTCTCGTGTATAAAACGAGGCCCCGCCCATCCTCGTGGCAGACATCCTTCTAGAACCGTAAAGAGTTGCGCATCCTCTGAGAAGATCGTGATACAAAACTCGCAAGACTCACTAAGCCCCCCTTGATCCAAACATACCCTTCGACTCCTTCAATCCAGCCAACATATTTCACCATGGGCCAAGTCTTGGGAAAGGTCGCTGTCGAAGATGAGAAGCCGAAGCAACCCGAAGGACCCAGCTATCCTGATTACATGCTCGATTCAAACGCTGTTGTGAGTCCATGATTGTTCACAAGATGGCCAGCGTTAAAGGTTCCAGAAGGCTCAACTGACATCTGCTCCGTAGACTTATGACAAGGCAACATGGCGGTACGGAGGGCCTCCGGACTACACAGTCACCAGGCAGATGTGGGCAAACGGTATGCTGCCTTGACCGAGATCGAGTTCCACCAACAACCCACGCATGTTCTCAGCGATGCTGACTTCAACCCCACAGAAAAGCGCGGAAGGCATGGGGCCAAGTCTCTTGAGACACTTGTCGAGAACCTGGTCAAGAACTGGGAGATTGAGGCGTCACATAAGATGGACGTGTCTCAATGGCGAACTGTCGACCCTGAGAAATACACCTTCTCAATCAATGGCGGACCGCCTCAGGATGCAGAACACATGCTGAAAGTGTACGTGGCCCACTTGACCCATTCCTCCCCTAAATCATACTTCTGTCAATTTGAGAGTGATGATGACTCTTGGGAGATTGAAGAAGAAAGAGGGAAAGACAAAAAAAGTTCGAAGCGCGTTTTGCTTCTTCCTCCCGGCAAGGTGGCTGACGACGAAAGCAAATTCAGTGGTACTTATTCGGCGGTCATAGCGCCCAACAAATATTACGGGGCCAACTCCACATTTGACGAGAGCCACAAGACGTTCAGAGACATGATGCCGAATTTTGCCTGGGAAGTCCTGGAAGTGTACAGCGGCCCGCCGGTTGCAGCCTTCAAGTGGCGTCACTGGGGGTGGATGAAGGGTGATTATGTCGGAAAAAATGAAGACGGATCGACGGTGACCATCAAGGCTCACCGCGGAATCCTCGATATTCAAGGTGTGACAGTAGCAAAGCTGAACGACAAACTCCAGGTGACGAGCCTCGAGACATGGTGAGCCTGACCCTGTCTGATGCGCGCGGGAGACGGGACGGGTGCTAACCGCAACACATTAACAGGTTTGATCCAACGGACATGTTCAGGCAAATGCGGCCGTCAGACGAGACGATGACGACGAAGCGGATGGAGTGTCCGCTGGGGTACAAGGCTGATATGTAGTGAATGGGGGCGTTGGAAATGGGCATGTAGACAGATGAAGAGTCGTTTTAGCACCGTGGTTATCTGGCTTGTTCCTTGAAGCATCAAACATTATTCTACTCGCATCTCCACCGAGCGATTTCGCAGCAATTGACTGTGACAGTGACCGGCCAGCGGTAGATTGCCTAGCCCTCGGGCCCATGTTGATTACCACGGGTATGGCGTTGAGGGTCTCTGCGCCACAGTGCCTCGTTGGGAGCGCTATGACGAGAAGTGTCTCTGAAACCACGTTGTGCCTATCGGATCTATGCTGGATTCAGAGAGGCTACTGCAGAGTCTGAAACATAGAAGGCATTGGTGAACACCACTTGATGATATGACATCCCAACGGCGTGAGATTGTCAAGAGAGTGCGGGGACACTAGGGGGGAGGGAGGGAGCCACGAATGGTCTTGATCTGATAAAAGCCGCGAGCAGCGCCATGCGATGTGCATGAGGAGAATCATGCCGCCTTCCGACAGACTCTCCCCGTGTCTAGCGTTCCGAGAGCTTATCTTGGGTCGCGGCTGGGCGTCCAGAGTATCCCCTAGTGAGGGTTTTGCCTGTGGGTGGTACGGCTAGAGGAGCCGCTGTATGCTTGACTGGGGTCCCCTTCTGAGCATTTGTTTTGGAGGGTGGCCGTGACCGTTGGCCTCGCACTCGGACCAAGGTGAAAGAAAGCAAAGTCAGGGCAAGTGAGGTGAGTGAATGACAAGACACCGAGAATAATTAGCGCTTGCGCAGCGTTTTGGTGACTCGTGGAGAGGGGAAGGGGGGAGTGCCTCGCCGGCCTGGGACTTATCACACAGACAGCTTGCAACCAGGCCACCTTGGTGACGGGCTGGGCAACGGATGGTTGGTGCTGGGCCGGCCACTGGCGTGGACGCAGGGAGGCTCGACATGACAAAAAAGTAAGAGCAAAAGAAATACTGCTTACTGAACTAGTCCGTGGCACGGCGGCAGCCACGTTTTGAACCTGGCGATCTGACTTGCGGAATGAAATATGCCATGTGGCCAATTGTGTAACGTCGAGGAGAGTGCGTCAGAGACAGGTTCGGTGTAATATACCGACCGGGAACGGGACAGGGCAGCCAGCATAGCTTACCTAGCTAGCATAGGAGAGGACAGAGAGGCGGAGGTGGAGTTGGAGGTGGTGGCAGTGGTTGGTGGCCTGGGAGGGAGAGAGGCACGCGGCAGGTCAACGCGAGCTCATATGCATTTCAATTTCAGGTCGGCGAGCCTGCAACATGGCGTTAGCCATGGACAAGGCGCTGATATATGAGAGAAGGCCGGAACGTGAGGATGAGCTGGCTCAGCAGAGGGCGGCAAATTGCGCCTTCGTGCGCTGCCTCTTCCAAGAGGGTGAAGAAGAGAGAGTGTCATTGTACTGTACACTTACGTAGGCAGTAGCTGCAGCAGACGTCGAAGTCAAACATGTCGACAAGGGATCCCCCCAGTTCAGCAGACGGCCCAGCCCGTGACGTGTTCGCGGCAATCCGACACGGCCAACACACGGCCAACACGGTCATGATAAACACGGTCCCCTTTCCCGCCTGTCTGGGTCAACAAGGAATCAAACGCGCAACGAGATGCTCGGGGTGAAAATATAAAAGACGGTAGTAGCTAACAAATAGATTAAGTCACTAACTGGGAATAAATATTCATGTCCTGTCCAGTCCGTCCCAGTCCAGTCCCAGTCCGGCCCAACCCCAAGCCCAGGGCGTGGGGTCAAGGAGCGGAGGTGCATCATAAAACGTGGGAGTCCTCGCTACGTTTCCCAACATGGCCTGACATTGGGTTGGATCAATGGCCTGCCTAGGTACTTACTCGATCTGGATAGTACGTACACAATACTATACAAACAGGTGCTCTAGCATGGTACCTTGATGGGTTGGGTTGGTGATTATCCCGTCAGAAACAGACCTGGCATGGGCAGGTAAGCAAGCATCACTGTCGCACCACATGGCGAATGGAGTGCATGTGCGCTGCATCTGGCAGGTCCAGGCTGACGAGATGGCCATCAAGGAAGCTCGATCCTGAGTTTCGTGTATACGACGTTGCCGACCTCCACCTCTGCGTTTTGTCTGCGGTTGTTTAGTCCAACAGTCTGGTTCCGCAAGACGGAACAGACCGGATAATAGCCAACCAACGTCTGAGATACCCATTCCTGGGGGATTGCGCTTGGTTGCAAGGTAATGGAAGAGATGATCAGCCCAGAAACAAGATCACTCTTCTCCTTCCCCCAACTCTGACCCCTGAAGTCGCGGGGATGAACCGGATACAGGGTCGAGTTCCCCGTCAGTTGCCAATCTGTCGGTTTGCCGAGGGGGCGACGTTCCAAGCTCCCAAGCTCCTCAAGGTCCGCGTGCAGGCGAGCAAGGTGTCAACATGGACACATCGAAGACGCATTAGTGAAGAAAATTGGGGGAAATTGATGATTGAAGGAAAAAAGAAGATGGAAAATTAAAGAATGGAAAACGCAGAAGGCAGAAGTAAGCAGTATTTCAACCAGAGCAAGCAAGCCACGCTCGAATTGTTAATTAATTAATTAATAGACAGACGAGCTCTGTCCCAGCATGTGTGCATGGTCAATCGAAGTTCAATGTCAGCTCAGTTCAGGCTGGTAAGGTCGGGTCGGGTCAATCTGGCTGGGCAATAAGAGGAGAAGAGAGAGCTCCAGTATTTCCAAGCTCCCAGCTCCCCGTCTGCTGCCAGGCTACTTCCCCCCCTCCGAGCCAGGACGTCTCCTCACCAAACAACCAAAACGGAGGCCCAAATCGGAAAGGATGCTGCGCTGCACGTTGGAAACCGCCCCACCTTTTGAGGGCAACTTCCAATTACATTACACTGACGACAGGGGTAAGCCCGTCGTTTGCACGGAGAGTACAGCACACACACACACACACACGCGCGCACACGCACACACCACACCACGGTACGGTACGGTACAGCACAGCACACACACACGCGCGCGCAGCACAGCACACAGCACAGCACAGCACAGCACAGTCCCCAACGCCTGTTATCAATTTTTCGCCTGACGCCTGCTGTGTGCCAGCGAGTAGCTGGTCGTGCTGTGCTATGCTGTGCGCTGCTGCTGCTGCTGCTACTGCTCTGTCTATCTGATCTGTCTGATCTTGGTCCGTCTGTCAGTCTGTCTCTATTTCCGCTTGCTGGTTTCTCGTCTCCCTCCCCCTGGTTCGATCCTGGCCAGTCCTGTCCAGTCCACCTGGCAGTCCTCTACCATCCCGTCGTCTCGTCTCTTCTAGCTTGGTCTTTTCCTCTCCAAACAACCTCACCTCACCTCCCTCCTCACCTTTTCCCCCTCCACCCCATTAAAGGCCTCGAGGGCGTGTGCAGCACACCACAGCACAGCACACAATCCATCCTGCAGACTCGGCACCTCCCTACCGAGTTCTCACATTGTGTCCACCTCACCTCTCCGCGTCAATCCGGCGGGCAGCCACTTTCCCGAGTCCACACTGGTCCCTGAGGCAAGCTCTGGCGGCAGCAGCAGTACGTGTCCACTCGAACAGGTCTCTTCCGACCAAGCCTCCAGCCATTCCTGCTTTACATCGAGAGTCTCCTGGCTCGCCTCGTCATCGAACCGCCAGAGGCGTGCAGTTCGTTCTCGTGACTTGTGCTCCACCTTCGCACGGCTTGATTGAAGCACCGAGGCCGTGACGGGTTTTCTTGCGCTCCAACTGACCTCTTGCAGCTGGATCAGCTCTCCCGGACACCCTTTCCCCGCCGTCGGCCAGCTACCCCTTTCGACCCCTTCACCGCCAACAGTCTCGACAATGGCTGCACTCCCTCCAGCTCCGTTGAATGTCGACCGCTATGTTGTCATTCATGTGGCCACCACCTGCGACGAACACGGCGTTTATGTGACTAAAGATTCGGCAGAGGTGATCGAGATTGGGTGGATCTTGGTGGACGCGAAGACACTCGAGGAGGTGGGTTATATATTTTGCTCTGACCCCGAATCGCTGCTCCTACTCCTCAGGGATGTGGTGACCTAATTGGGCTTTAAGCTGACGGGTTTCTTTCCCTCGAACAGCTGCATCACGAAAGCGTCCTGGTCAAGCCTATCAACACCCCCATCACCCCTCTATGCAGTAAGTCTAAGTGTCTGCACCGCTTGCGTCTCCCTCTGAGGGGGCATTGCTGCTCGGCTGGCCCCCGTGAATCGGCTGCCTGAGCCAACAAGAAGCTGACCATTCCTCCTATCCAGCGAGCCTGACCACCTTAACATGGGAGCACGTTAGGAATGCCGGGACGTTCAGGGATGCAATTAACCGTTTCGATACCTTCGCCTCCGAGCATCTTAACTCGCAGAACCTCGACTTCGTCTTCGTAACTCTGGATGCTTGGGACCTCCGTGTTCAGCTACCACGAGAAGCCCGCGACAAAGCCGTTGTGCTCCCTCCGTACCTCCAGCACTCTCGGACTTTCGATTTGCGAACCGAATACCAGAGATGGCAGCAGCACCACCCCGAATGCTTGGCCTTCGGCCCATCGTCGCTGGCTAATATCTGTGCGGCTCTTGAGGTCGAGGCCGTGCAATCGAGTGCTCCCATCAAGCACAATCTGCCTTTCCATCTTCAGGCGCTGGCCCCTGCCTCGCCTCGCAGAGCTATGGACGAGGCTATCACCCTCGCTCGTGTTCTCCGCGGTCTGGTCCGGAAGTCCCAGCCTCCCAATGAGCATCCTGACGTGCTCACTCGGCCCATGGATGCCCGTGCGGACGTGAGGGCCTTCCTCTCGGAACGCAGCAAGGTGCTCCACATGTCGGGCCTGCCCCACGACACGACCCAATCTGAACTCGAGAGCTGGTTTACCCAATTCGGTGGCCGCCCCATCGCCTTCTGGACTCTTCGCACGCCCGAGCAGCACAAGCCCACGGGCACTGGTTTCGCAGTCTTCTCATCCCATGAGGAAGTAAGTCGATACCCTCGCATCGTTGGTTTGCCCGTTCCTTCACCTTCATTTAAATCCAAGTGGACTCTCGTGTAAACTTGATGTGGTGTCCGATGTGCAGCTTTTCCCCTTACGAAGTGCAGTCAAACCTACAAGCATGGGTCACGATAGGCAACCTGCAGCTGTCAAGGCTAACCGTGCTCGCACCTAGGCGGCTGAGAGTCTGTGTATGAATGGACGAGCTCTCAATGAGAAAGCCATCGAGGTTTCCCCATCCTCGAGCCGAGTGCTGGATCGGGCCCAGGAGATATTAACCCCGTTCCCGCCGAGCAAAAACCGACCTCGACCTGGAGACTGGACCTGCCCTAGTTGTGGATTCTCTAACTTTCAGCGTCGCACGGCATGCTTCCGCTGCTCGTACCCGGCGGTCAGTGCTGGCCCGACGGGTGACATGGGCTATGGTGGCTACGGTGGAGGTGGCGGCGGAGGCGGTGGTTACGGGCCACCAGCGATGATGGGCCCACCGCACCACGGTGGCGGTCACCACCATGGACATATGGGCCACGGCGGCGGCGGCCGCATGGGAGGCAGCGGTGTTGTTCCTTTCCGTGCCGGAGACTGGAAATGTGGCAACGAAGTCTGCGGATACCACAACTTTGCCAAGAACGTGTGCTGCCTCCGCTGCGGTGCCAGCCGCGCAGGTGCTGCCATTGTTGCCGACTCGGGCTACCCGACTCCGATGGACACTCCATCCAGCTACATGAGCCAAGCGTCCATGGGCGGCACACCTGGACCCGGACCCTTCGGATCGGGAGGCGGATTCAACTCTGGAGGTGGTTACGGCCAGCAGTTTGGCGGCCCGCCCAGCACCTATGCGTTGCCATCCGGGATTGGCGGCGGCGCAGCACCTTACCCTTCCCTGAACACCCACTTCGGTCCTGGCCCTGGTGCGCACTCTGCCGGGCCATTTGACAGCCGTGCTGCCGAAGCTGCCTTCCAGTCGGCCCAGAACGGCCCCGCTTCTGCTGGGCCCTCCAACAACTTCTACTCCACTGGAGAGAGCGACCCTTTCGCCTTTCTGTCGAGCGGAATTGGCGGCCTTTCTGTCAGCGGCGGGGACCCCCGCCAGAATGGTGGCGGAGCTCCTAGCAAGTCGCCTGCCTAAAGTTTGTACATGATGGCTCCGCACTGGGCCTCAGCGTCATCTTTCTAGATCAACGCGACTGTCGGCTTTCACATGTGACTATATATGCGACTACTTTGAGGACATAGAGTAACGGAAAAGCTCGGCAATCTTCTCAACATACCAAACCTTTGGGCGAGGGCGGCTGGCTTTTGGAAGACCACACACATTTCACGGAACGGGCGGCATTTGGGGTGTAGGGGACAGGGTGGAAAAAGCAATATGTTGCAACGGAAAGACAAAAGTAGCGCGCCACGGCGGTGTACATTTTTGCATCCTGATGGGGGGGAGTTTTACCCCAGAACGCATGTTATTCTGCTGGGGGTTGGGAACGGACGTCATGTCATACCCCTTACTTACTACATTCTGCTACTTGTCGTTTTCTTCTTCTTTCTTGTTTATTACCGCACTGTCATTAAGTCGCAATGGTCCGAAATCAGTCAGGAATGGAACGGTCGGTGGTGGACGATTGGTAAAGGAATTTGGAGGGGGGCGGCGGCTGGGGTCTTAGGCTCGGTGTCGGTGTCAGTCACTGGTTGGTTCCGCATCAGCGTGGAGTGCAAAGGGGGGATTCTTATTACTGCCGGCTATGAAAAAAGGCTCACTCTTCTCCAAAGCCGGAGAAGAGAGATTGTTGTCAACAACACCGTTTTTGTCCTGGATCTGCTTCGGTTCTTCCCTGTTCCCCCCTCCATTCTGCGCTTGTGTGGTTATGTGCGTATTACAACCGCCGTCACAGCCTCGTCACGGTGCGGTTCATTATTTCACGGAGTCGTTCGGAAGGGTGAGGTACATTTTGCTACTGGACGGAGTAGGGGAGTCGGTTGGCGAGCGTTCTCAGCATCGCGGGATCTGGGCGGGGCCGTTCCCAGAAGTTGTTATGAGCGGGGGATAGATCTACCTACCCTGCCGGCAGAGAGGATGAATGGTTGGGAGACTGGATACAAGGAGGGAGGGTGTGGGTGCAACCCCTGTGGGATAGATGGCGGCTGTTCGTTCCTCTTGTCGTCCTCCTCCCCACATGCCTGTTGATAATACGGAGAAGTAGGACGTCAATAATATATCATTGTCACACAAAGGCGGATTTCTCTCATTGCTCGCGCCCTACTCAGCCTCATGATGACAGTTCTAGGCCCATCGTTTGTGAGCAGACGAAGGAGCTCGAAGGGAATATCGTTCGTTATTCTTGTGCAGCAAAGCGCAGTGGCAGCCAATTTTCGAGGGTGGGCATGGCCGTGCTTTGTGACGCGAGACTGGGCAGAAGACGTATCACATCAACATGGCGTTGAATCGGACCATTATTCCGACGCAACGGACAGGCGAGGACGAGGCAATCACAGTCCACAACATCAAGGGCACGAAGTAAGACTCAAAAGTGTTTTCGAGCGGAAGGCTCGTTCTCGACATTCAGTTATCTCGCCCCCTGTGCCCGTAAGTGGTGGGCCTCAATAGCGATGTCCACCCACACGAACTACAATATGTACGCTGACCATGCAAAGTAGTAGCACACTGCAGGATTGCGGTCCTCGGGTGGGCTTGCATCGACACTATAGATGATGTGCGAATATAGTGGACGACCTTGGCCTATCCGTCGCCCTTGAACCTCAATCCTACTCGACCGATATAACACCCGAGCAAAGCATCGCCATGTCAACATCCTTTCACGTGGAAAGCCTCTGATTTCAAAGGCACTGAGTGCGGGTGAAACATCAACTCATCCTCGCTCAAGTGCTCAAACGGACATCGCCGGCATTCAAACTCCCGGGTAGCGGCCTTTGGGAAAGGTTATCTGTACCTTTTCTCGTCGACATCCCGCAACAAACGCTGCCACATTTCCAAGCACCTAGGCCTTCTTTGGCTGCACCACTTCGCCGGCCGCCGAAGCTGCCTCCGATGACTTCTCAACATGCTGGCGTTTAGACTCGCGGTTCGTCTCGTTCGCCTCTGGTGGTCGTTTCCGAGAATCCTTGTTGTCCTTGTTGGTCGTACTCGACCCCTTCTCCGCAGCTTTGCGGGCTTCTCTGTCCTTACGCTCGTTTTCACGCCGCAGAGCCTTGCTCTCAAATTCGTGCCAGTCACCGTCTACTTGTTGGAGCCTATTATATCTGTCAGCACAATTATAGCTCAGGGTATAACACACATCGAAGATTTCACTCACTCTACTGCTTGACGAGGGGCCGGTGACTCGGTGGTGAAGTAAGGATGCTCCAACACCTGAGCGGCCGTCGGTCGTTTGACTGGGTCATATTGCAGCATCTCCGCGAGAAGTTTGAACCCGGCAGGTGGCAGTTTCTCTTCGTACTGCTCTGCGAACACGTTCGGTTTCCTCACACCAGGCCGCAAGAGCTCGAACCAAGGCATTTCTAATAAGCCAGGCCAGTCCGACTTGTGTGGCGTGCCAAGGACGGAGTATATCTTGTCCAGCTGACTGATCTCGCCGCCATCACCGGGGAAAATGGCACGCCTCGTGAAGATCTCAATCATAACACACGCCGCGCTCCAAATATCCACGGCAGGGCTGTATTGGGTTTCGCCGAGCAGCAATTCTGGAGAGCGATACCATATGGTAATGACTCGATTCGTGTAGTCGAGTTGGTGCCGCTTAGCGTAAAAGCGGGCCAGACCGAAGTCGGCCAGCTTGAGAATGCCATCGCTGCTGACCAAGATGTTGGCAGCTTTGATGTCGCGATGCAAAACGCCGCGCTGATGCAAGTAGTCGAGGCCTTCGAACAATTGCTTGGACAGATGTTTCCTGTGCGCCGCTTCAAGCTTGAAGGTAGGGTGGTTGAGTATACCTGTCAGGTCGTGCGACATGTACTCAAACACCATGTAACACTCATTTTTTTCGACCATTACCTCCAGAAGTGCAACAATATTGATGTGCTTGAGGGACTGCAGAAGCTTGATCTCTCTCACAGCTGTCACTGGGAAGCCGTCCCTCTCGCCTTCCATTCGGATTCTCTTCAAAGCAACGAGCTTCTTGGTGTAGACGTGGAGTGCCTTGAAGACCTTCCCGTACGTGCCGGCGCCAATCACGGATTCATTGCCAGGCTTCCGGAAATAGACAGAATCAGAAGCCGCTAGATGGTCTGGCAGGGCCGGCTTCTCCTTCACACGCTTCATCTTCTTCTTCACCATCCGCACTCGAGGTTCTCGAGGCTCGCGAGGCTTCTGCTGTTCATGACGCCTCTGTTGCTCTTTGGCCGCCCGTGGCTCTGTCGGCACATTTCTTGGTAAATCTCGACCGTCCGCAGCATGCTTATGTGGTGCGTGCTCTCGATGGTCTCGACCGCCCTTGGTATCTCGATTGTCTCGGTTGTCTCGGGGGTCTCGATTGTCTCGATTGTCTCGATTATCTCGACTTTCTCGGCTGTCCCGATTGTCCCGTATATCACGGTGGTCTCGATTATCGCGGTTATCCCGATCTCGGGGCTCGTGACGACTCAACTCCTTGGGTGGATCCTTCTTGGTAGGCGCGTTGAATTTTGAGGAAATGTCGAATTTCGGAGCTGTGACGGGCGCTTTCGGGGTTGATTTGAGCGCAAAACTGATCTTCTTTTCTGCCGCAGGGCCCGTTGGAGGCGGGCGATTCGTCGGAGGTAGCATCGGTTGTTCCTCGTTGCCTTCATCCATGGTAGTGTCTTCCACTTGGAACTCCTTGGGCGGCCTGAAGGGATTTTCGGTCTCATGCGTTCCTACGTCGCCCTGTACGGAGCCCTGGTCACCTACACTTGAGCCTGCTTGCGGTGTTGCGCGTCCTGAGCCAGCATCTTCTGGCTGACTCGAAGCAGCTCTGGAACCGCTGCCACTGGAACCCCAATGGCCGCTCTTAAACCCGCCACGGTTGGAAGCCCTGCCAGGGCCGGAGTTCGCAGTGTTTCCTCGATATCCACCGCCGGATGAGCCTCTGTAGCCCCCGCGGTACGAGCTTTGAGAAAATTGGTGGCTCGGCCCCGTGGGAGTGCCTACAGGAGGTGAATTGGCCTGATTCCCTTGGAAATGCGCCGCAGGTGCAGTCGGTGCGTAACCGTTCGATGAGAACTGCGGCGGATATTGGCTGTAACAAATGTCAGCGAATCGATCACAAGACGTGGAGTGCTCCCAGCCTACCTTTGTGGTGAGTACTGTTGCTGTCCTCCCCAATTGCCTCTGCCGCCGTTATAAGGCGACTGGGCTGGGGGAGTGCCATGAAAAGAAGAATTAGGCGTAGCATGGCCGGACGAATGTGGTCCCTGGCTGTAGTGGCCTCTTGCGGGATATTGGCCGCTGTATGATCCACGAAAATTGCCGCGCGCCGACATGTTGACTTCGATACTATTCGAACCGGAAGCTGGCTCTGGAGGTACTTCTCTAGGGGGGAAGCGATCGAATCTCCTCTGCCGCTTGGACGAGAATGATGCTCGTCGTTCTCTTGGTGAAGGGGATCGGGTCTGCTGTCTCGGATAGTCGTCGCCCTCCCTGTCGTACACGGGCGTGAATCCGTCCCGGGACAAAGTGTCGGGTATTGATGGCCGGCGTCGGTCTGGCGGCGGTCGAGGACCCTCGCGGCGAGGGGGTGAAGATGGCAGACGGCGAGTAGAAAAGGACGAGAGACTGCGGTCGCGATGTGGAGATGCTCGCTGGCCGAGAGGACAGAGGTTTGGATTGTCTGGAAAATCTCGACCACGGGGTGGAGGGGGCGACCGACCACGGCTGGTTGGAGGCGGCAGACCCAAAGTATTCTTTGAGCGTCGCTCACGGCGCGTCAAGGAGCGTTCTCGTCTGGAGGACGATGTCTCCGGTCGGGTTGGGTAGGGAGACACAGACGCTCTGGCTGCGTCTGGTTCCCCTTCAAACCTTCGCGGGCCGGGTCCGTGACGAGAGCGCCGCGAATACGTTGCACTGGGAAGAGGGCTGCGGCTCCTCAGTCGCTCAGCCGGTGGTGGTGATCGTGGTCGTGATGGTTGTCGGCCAAACTCGTCGGTGTGAGGAACCCTGGATTGGTGAGGGGGCGGCTGGTGTGGATCGGTGGGATGTGCAGCCTCGCGACCCCAAGAGGTGCCTCGAGGGCCTTGCTGCTTGTGTCGAGGGAACAAATCACCAGGACGATGGGCACGGTCTCTGCTAGAATCCCTAGATTCGCGAGGATATGGATGAGCGGAATTGCGAGGCCTTGGAGGGCTGCGAGGGCGCTCGCGAGGTCTGTTGTTGCGGTGACTTCGGTCACGGCCTGTTGGAGGCGGGCTGCGTATAATATCTCGGTCCCTGCGATGGGCGGCTTCTCTGTCTCTCGGTGCTGCAGCAGCGTGTGGGGCAGCGATGTGTTGGGGAGACAAGGGTCGTCGAGAAGGCTTGATGGGATCCCTCATGCCTCGTTCAGGCCGTCCTCTCACTCTTGGTTCGTCGCCGAGGTTGCGGCTGTCGTCTGGCATTGCATCATCTTGTCGGGGTGGGTGGCGTGTCGAGATAGCAAAGTCGGATCGGGAGGCAGAGGAGGCAGAGGCAGAAGCAGAGGCAGGAAACCGTCTGCCCTTTGCGAACTTCATTTTGACTTTTGGTGGCCAAGAGGACTGGCCCCAGGCGGCAACTGGGCCGGGTGACCAGGATTTGCGGGCGTGGGGGACCGATCTGAGGTGCCTGGCCAGCCGCTAGACGCGCTGGACCACAGCGCACTCTTAGTGGATTTTCGGGCCCGCGCCTTCTCAGGTTCTAAAAGTTGCGATATCTGCTGCGCAAATGTTGACGATGCTGTTGCTACCGCCACGTGCTGTTGATGTTAGATCATCGACGTCAACGCGTCCAAAGTGGAAGACTTGTGACAAATGCCAGACAAGAGACGGAGCGAATGAAGAAAGCTGGCTCAAGTCCAACTGATGGGGTTGGTCCTGGGAGACCGAAGAGGTGCGTTGGTAGACCGGAGATGTAAATGGGTCAAGGGTCATCAACAAGCGTTGCGAGGCTGTCGTCGACAAAATAGCCGGATCGTCAAGAAAGACACGGTCGTGCGCCTTCTTGTTGTCAGTTGCGTGGCTGCTGATGTCCGTCGCCAACTTCTTCTTCAACGGACATAGCTGCAATGCAGAAGTCAACCTGCTGGAACTTGTTCCGTTCGCGCTCCAATGGGTGGAGGCCAGTGGTTGTCGTGTCAATGCGACAGGCTGAGTCGCACAGTGGAAGAGGTGTCCGATGCCGTCCTAGGAGCAGAGCCGAGTCTGCAGCCGTAGCGAAACAAAGCGTGCTGTCGAAGAGGGTTCGAGGTCGAGGTTGAAGTGGACGGCACTCCTTTGCTACAGTCAGATACTGTGCAGAGCCGTGCCGTGCCTGATCTCTGGAGGCCAACCCAAGCTGGCATGCGGGTGAGTCGTCCTGAGGTCAGCGACAAACGCATCAACTCGTTCCTAGGCGGACCAGATTCAGACTTTCCACCGCCTGTCCAAAGTCAAGGCGTCAGCTCGTGAATCCGAGCAAGGCTCTTGTTGTAGCCGTGACAGTGACCTCCGCTCGCCGTGAACAGTCAACTATCTAGCGGCAGTGCGTTCCCTTCGGAGTAATCAACTGCCACGAGAGCGTCTCGGCGACTTTTTCTGTGCCGGATCACCAGCTTATCCCGCCCTCAGTTCAAGCAACACCACCCGAGGCAGATTGGATAAAGGCCGATAGCCCCTGCGGCATCGCAAAGAGAGCTGGTCCAAGAGTCAGGACTCAAGGGCCCCCCAAAACTGCCCCTGCCCCACCTTGTCTGCTTGAGCCTCCCTCTATCGAGAACCAGCATTTCAAGTGTCAGGCAGTCAAGTATCTACGTAGGGCTATAATGGTTTACGGCAGCTCAAGATGTCAGCTCCCATCATGATAGACAACCAAACAAGCAAGCAACTCAGAGCCACGGCAGGCATTTAATGCTCGGCGGGCAGGTAGGATGCGATCATGTCCAAGCCAAGAAATGACCCTTCATCACAACAATGTGGTCCTGAGAACACTAAACAACCCCGCCCAACGCCATATTGGCTCCCCGCTGATCAAGGCAGCACGACGGATCCTGGATTGGCGGGCCTCCATCGGATTGCGCCGCGCCCTTTGGATTTGTGAGGCTGCTTCAGCCGAAGGTCCAACTGATTGCTTCATAGTTCGGGTCCTGATCTTGCGACACGACTTGACCACGGTTTGCAGCAACGTGATGATGTATGAAGGCGTTGGGGCGATCGCCAACTTCTATGAACTTCATCGCCAGAGCACGTAGACGCGTGTCGATAGACGGCGAAATGGCAAGGGCTTTGTAGAGCATCATGACGCTGAACACCACTGACGACCAAGGTCGTCAAGTCGTTCTTGGCAGTTGGGCGGCGGATGGGCAGAAATGTCTCCAGACAGGTAGTCGTTGAGCAAAAGGGCGACTGGTCTGCAGAAGCAGCTGCCTGTTCGTAAAAGGCTTTGAAGAAGGATACCACCACGAAGACAGGGGCCGAGTCTCGCGGAATGCTTTCCACCAAGTTCATGTGCTTCATAAAGACAGCCCATTTTGGTATGGTTCCCCGCTCTTAGAGTCGAGCAGAGCAAAGCAGAGCAAGTACTGGTGTTCCTCCTCTTACGAGCACATATCCCAAGCAATGTTGGAGGTTTTTGGTCATTTGCCTCGTGTTGGCGATTCTCTTGGTGCGATCCATCGTTACTGCGGCTCTGGTTCCTCGCCGGGAAGATTACCTAGCGCAAGCTTCGTGTTGTGTGTCCCCATCAAGCTCCCCATCTTTACATCGCATCCTCTGCGGAAGTTGACAATATCGCGCCTGCAGCTTATTGTCGTCTGTTCCTTCATATGGGGGTAATATATGCAACGATGATAAGATGGTCTTGGGCGGTGGATGCGCGGAGCATGAATGGGAAAGGAGGCTTTGTTGGGAGGTTGCAGGAGGTAAACCGCTGTCTGCGAACAGAGTCGGTTCCTCAGGCACTAAATCGTGCTTAGGCCCTAACCCTCTATTGGTTGCTGGAGAAGGTGGCACTAGGCGGGGGGGAGGGGGGTCAACCACCTGGGTACTTCTCTCATCTTCCACAGTGCTCGAATAACCTAGCTAGCACAGCAAATCCAAGGCAAAAGAGATAGAAACTCTGATCAAACCCTTCGTGTCCTCCTCCTTTTGGCTATCTACCTGCGCGTTCCGTTGTAAGCTGTAGGCAACTCTTTCGAGAGGAAGCTTAAAAGATTGTAATTCAGCGTTGGTCATGTTCCTTGTCTGCTCCTTGGCCTGCCTCTTATTGTTTCTTTCACTTCATAGATCATTCCTTGGGACAGCAACTACTAGTACCTTTAAGAAAGCCATAATTTTATTGACTAAGTGGAGAAGCGGCCGAATGCTGTTCAACCTACCTATAGTACCTCATCTTCATCTACATCCATTCCTGTCTTCTCCCCATAGCCGACGGTGGGAACGCCATTGCTGCGCAATGCCTTCCAGATGGCTTCTTCGTCCTTCTGTGAAATCACAATTTTTCCACGCCGTAGCTGTTTTGCACACTTATTGGCGAAAAGCTTAAAGCAAAAGTCTCCTCTACAGTCATGTAAACACATTACAACATCGTTTTGATAATCCTCCAGCCATGCATCAAACCTCGGTGCTAAATCCGTCGAGGATTTGCCGACCAGAAATAAGGGAAAAGTGACTTCACTCTGATCACGTTCCCGTTGGCAGTTCAAAATCGTGGACCAGCGCTGTGTTGTTTTGACTCCCTCAGCCACAGGCGTCGAGGGGTGTTTGTTTCGCCTTTGATTGGGGGTTTTCTTGTAGCACGCGCTCGTCTCATGCCCCTTGATACCACAGTGGTCACAATTAGCTGTGGACCTGCTGGGCGCGCTCTGGTCGGCAAACCAACACTCACCGTGATGTGATTTCTGACAGATTCCGCACTGTGATGGTTTGGTCGAGGGTGTGCCTGCAGATTTCCCTGTAGAATTTTTGTTGGAATTTTTTTGTTTCTTTTGTGGACTATTCTTCGCCATGTTGTTGAGCCCGTCCGACAGTCTGGAGAATTGTCTAGCGTTTTGGGACGTTGTTTTGCGAGCGAATAGACATTGGGCGGTAGCCGAGTATTTTGAAGTCTTGAGCTATTGTACGCCAGCTCATATAGTCACATTCCGTTCCGTTGGAAGGAAACCGACAACAAGAAAGGCATTATTTCATGAGGGACACTCAAGAAAGAGGCATTGTCTCTCAAGTACTCAGGGTCAAAGAACCTAGTCTTTGTCTATGGGCAGAAGCCCGGGCAGCAGCCCGCGAAACAAATGTTCTCAATGGTGTTGTCATTGTCCTTTGAAAACACTCGCAAGTGCATACTAACTGTATCATATTTCTCGGTCACATTCTCTGCCAGGTAATTCCCGTGAACGATACTACGCATAGCATAGCAGCCTATATGTCGGATTGAGATCACGATGGTGAGCAAGTAGCGGTAAGAAGACCATGCTGCGAAGATTGACTACTTGACACTTTGCAGTCGAGGATCTTCGCAGGCAGGAGTGAGTCCGCATACAATATAGTCTAGTACAGTAATGGGAAAAGTATGAACAAGCTATGGCATCCATGGCATATCCAAGTGAATTGAATTAAAGGACCCAGATTTGTCGCTGCCCCGCGCCCCAAACGCCCACAGACGTCATAAAGCACTGACTAAGGATGTGGAGGTGGACCCTTCCCCAGGCAGGTCTCCACGTCAACCGAGGCCGAAAGGGCCTGAACGCGCCAGGATGGGCAGCTCGAGCATGACGAGAATGATATAATTACCCATTTTTTCTGCTCGACGAGGACTTTGGAGACCTGGTCTATAGGGGGCCTGGGTTATTCTAAAGAGCTGGGAGAAGGGGCCAACACGGGAAGACAAGCCCGTCATTTCATTTCCATCTCCCGCCTGGCCTCTGCCGTTTACACAGTAGCTTGTCAGCTTGTGTCGAATAATTATGGGCGCTTCTGGGGCCACTTCGAAGAAATATCTGCGCTAGCGCCGAGTTTAGCTGCGTCTAGCTGCCAAGCTCCGTCCGGTTCCAGGTCCACACTTGCTGCCGGCCTGCCTCCTCAACAAGTCTCATGATGCAGATGCAGAACGACAGTGTCAGTCACGAGACGGCAGAGCTCGGGGTAGCACAACGAATGATGCTGCCCAGGCACCGGCATTTTCCTCTGGTGTTGGCTGGGTGGATGTCATGAGCATCTCGCGTCTGATTCAAGGGATCTGTAGGAATACTTCTATTTTCACAGCACGACTGGGGGCTTCGCAGCGCACGACATCCATCCAAGAGGATCCTGCGCCAGCCCACTCAGCCGCTGAGACTCGACGAGTGCGCCGGTGGAGACGCCTGACACCTGGGCCCCCTTGTAGCGTTCCAAGGTTGGCTCGAGCTCCCCCCTCTCCCCCCGGTTGGAGAGGCCGCAAGAAGCTGGGGATGAGAGCTGCTTGGGGTAGCAGTTCCCTGTCCCTCTAGCCCGGAACGGCCTAACGCCTCTGCTATTGCTGTACCGTAGCGTCACAATCCGATCCTGGATTGCCCAACCACACAAAGTCGCTGCGAGCATCACGCCGAGCATATTACCTGGAGCTCACCTCACCTGCTTCCCAGCCCAACCTGTTACACCCGCCTCCTCTCCCTCTCAACACCAAAAAGGCCTTGAGCACCGGTCAAGACATCAACGGCCTTTCCCACACAGACACCTTCTTCCGCAGCTGCGCATTCTTTCGTGGTTCAATTGCGATCCCACACGCAATTGTTTGCTTTTATTGCCTGGCGGCCTACATTAGCTCCCCATACCGACTGTCACGTCAATAAATTTTTTTCAGTGCGACGACACTTTTCTTGTTGGGTACTTGACTTTGCTTTGCCTTGTCTTTTATCCATTCTTCCAGTGTGAGTAACCAATTTACTGCCCAGCGCCGAGTCCTAGCACCTCGGGGCTTTGCTTCTTCTTGCCTACACTTTGTACAGCCCAGCCTAGATCAGACCACATCTGCTGCTGTCGGCCTTTGAGCTAACTCTGGAGGGCATTAGGCGCCATAACCCATTGCACATCGCGCAGATCGTTTCCCTCGGTTCACAATGTCGAGCGAAGGCGGAGAGCGCGCCCCTCGGGAGGTGAAGAACCACATCCTCTTCGAGATTGCCACTGAAGTCGCCCACCGAGGTGTGTGAGACATCGGGAATATCGATCGTTCGGCTCCACTCTAACGTCTTCGCAGTTGGCGGTATTTACTCGGTCATCAAGTCTAAGGCGCCAGTGACGACAGCAGAATATGGCGAACGCTACACCCTCATCGGACCTCTGAACCACCAATCGGTTAGTCCTTCGTCGGCGACCTCGATAAAACCCTTGGCTGACCTCAGTAGGCTGCTGTCGAAGTCGAAGAGCTCGAACCAACCGTCCCAGAACTGGCCGCAACCATCCAGTCCATGCGAGATCGCGGCATCGGCATACTCTATGGGCGCTGGCTGATTGAAGGAGCGCCGCGAGTCATTCTGATAGACACCAAAACCGCGTATGGATACTTGGATGAATGGAAATCGGATCTGTGGAATCTTGCGTCTATCCCTTCGCCTCCTGGTGACGATGAGACGAATGAAGCCATCGTCTTTGGGTATCTTGTCGCCTGGTTCCTAGGAGAGGTATGTCCCTGTAGGAAAGCAACGAAATTGACACAAAGCTGACGAATGCAGTACGTATGCCATGAGAAGAAGAAAGCCGTTATCGCGCACTTCCACGAATGGCTGGCGGGTGTTGCCCTGCCCCTGACGAAGAAACGACGCATCGACGTTACCACAATCTTCACCACTCACGCAACCTTGCTTGGAAGATACCTATGTGCTGGATCTGTGGATTTCTATAACAACTTGCAATGGTTTGACGTTGACGCGGAGGCAGGAAAGCGTGGTATCTACCACAGATACTGCATCGAGCGTGCTGCAGCCCATGCCTGCGACGTCTTCACTACTGTTTCTCACATTACAGCTTATGAGAGTGAGCACCTCTTGAAGCGGAAGCCGGACGGCGTCTTGCCCAACGGTCTCAACGTCACCAAGTTCTCCGCCATGCACGAGTTCCAGAATCTGCATCAGCAGTCAAAGGAGAAGATCCATGATTTTGTGCGAGGGCACTTTTATGGCCATTACGATTTTGACCCAGAAAACACCCTCTACTTCTTCACAGCAGGCCGATACGAGTTCAGGAACAAGGGAGTCGACATGTTCATCGAATCGCTCGCTCGCCTGAACCATCGCCTCAAGACCGCTGGAAGCAAGATCACGGTTGTTGCGTTTATCATTATGCCAGCTCAAACGACCTCTTTGACGGTGGAAGCATTGAAAGGCCAGGCTGTGATAAAGTCGCTCAGGGATACCGTCGACATCATTGAAAAGAGCATCGGGAGGCGTGTCTTTGAGCGATCGATCAAGTGGCACGATGGAGACCCTTTGCCTGACGAGAAGGAGCTCATCACAGCACAGGACCGAGTTCTTCTGCGGAGGCGTTTGTTTGCCATGAAGCGCCACGGCCTTCCCCCGATTGTCACGCACAATATGCTCAATGACAGCGAGGACCCTGTACTCAACCAAATTCGCCGCGTACAGCTCTTCAACCACCCCTCGGACCGAGTCAAGGTGATCTTCCACCCAGAGTTTCTGAACTCAGCAAACCCTGTATTACCGTTGGACTATGACGACTTCGTTAGAGGCACGCATCTTGGTGTTTTCGCGTCGTACTACGAGCCGTGGGGCTACACTCCGGCCGAGTGCACGGTCATGGGAGTCCCCAGTATCACGACAAACCTCTCTGGTTTCGGCTGTTACATGGAAGAGCTCATCGAGAATTCCAGTGACTACGGTATCTACATTGTCGACCGCAGGAACAAGGGCGTGGATGACTCGGTCAATCAACTGACATCATCCATGTTTGATTTCTGCCTGAAGAGCCGGAGACAGCGCATCAACCAGCGGAACCGCACGGAGCGCCTAAGCGACCTGCTTGACTGGAAGCGAATGGGCATGGAGTACGTGAAGGCTCGGCAGCTTGCTCTTCGGAGGGCGTATCCTAGCTCGTTTGAAGGCGATATGGAGGATGATGATTACATCCCTGGTGTGGAGCAAAAGATATCGAGGCCATTCTCGGTGCCCGGGTCTCCTCGCGACCGCACGGGTATGATGACGCCTGGGGACTTTGCCAGCATACAAGAAGGCCACGAAGGCCTTAGCACTGAGGACTACGTAGCCTGGAAGCTGCCGTAAGTTTCTGACCCCGCTCGCTTAACCCACACCAATACAGAGACTAACTACAAATCGCAGTGAGGAAGAAGACCCTGACGAGTATGCCTTCCCTCTGACTCTGAGGACGAAGCGATCAGGACCTGGGAGCCCCTTGGACGGGGTCCAGCTCAACGGAAACTAGGTGCGGCCGAGCAAATGATCTCTGTTAGGGGGATCTCCTTTTCCACAGGCATTGAGTGAGAAAGGCGGACACAGCAAGGAAGATTGTACTGATACTGGACTCGAGGCGAAAGCGACGGATGCCAGCAAGAACATGACATATTGCATTGCACATCGGGGCGACCTACTCTATCATGTATAATTAGTTACTCATATGGTCCGAGACCAAGCATAACAGGGTGTTCTCGCGGATTCAATGTTATCAATGCCCCCAGATGTTCATGTCTTTGTCTTCTAGTACCAACTCTCGCGTAGGCCATGCTGCCAGCCTCGCCTTCCCGATGCTGTCTTACAGAGGCACAAGCGAGATTACTGAAGCTTGATGCAAGCGGATCGGCTCCTTCAACCCGGTAGGTATCTCTGGGTGTCCTGCTGCGCCGCAGCGCGCCGCAGGATACCGGCATCCCGCGCCTCACCCGTCACCAACAGGTGCAGGTCCAGGATCAGGAGCAAAGCGCTTTAGCTCGAAGGATGTTTGTAAGATTACTGAAACGATCCGTCGCGGCGCGTCAGCTTGCGCTCTTAGAGGTTTGCTTGCCTGCCACTGGGCTCCTCCTACTCGGAACGAACCTTTCAGCCGTGCCAGGCCCGACATTTGGCAGGGACAGGCATCTCTTGCTCGTCGAAAAAGCTGAGGAGTAAGATGGATCAGACGAAATACCATCTCCAGCTCTTGTCCTCCCGAATCGTCTCCTGCAGCGCGTGCGGCTGAGCTACCAACAAATCCAGAAGGCCGGACGACATGTTGGTGATGAGCTGTGGAATTTTCAGGTCTGGATCGTTATCCCTGCGGTTTCCTGAGCACCCGAGTAGGGAAAGGGTAGGATCGTAGAGTCTGATCTAATGTCTTTGTTGGTGATAGTTCGTGCGCATAACTGCCAAGGATCCATCCCCCTTTTGACGCTACTGTTACCACCGCGGGGAATTGATCAGATATACCAAGCCAAGTGCCTACTATAATAGTACGCGTAGGTAGGTGCTGACAAGAGGAATAAACCTGTCGGATCTGTTAGCGTTGGTGTGTGTGTACGTTGGCCGTTGCTCAACTTGGCACCCAGCCGGCAGGGTTCAAAGGCCATTGTTTCGAAACAAGCGGCGCTGTGCACAGCAGAATGGCTTTTTGTGCTCAATCAAGCCGTCTGCGATCTCCGAGCTGAGGGGCAGACAGGCTGGCAAGTGGGAATATCTACGGGTAGTCTCGACCGATCGGCGTGAAATGAGCAGGCAGAGACCCGCCTGGATCCGCTCTCATAGAGGGTCCAGGGTCTTGAGAAGGGCGATTGCTGGTGATTAATTACAGTCGCAGGTGATGTAATGGGGTTGACGAGGCACAGCCTCTGGGTCTCAGTGCTCGGATCAGAAGCAATGCAAATCCCATATGCCTCGTACTGGACTCCACCTCATGCCCTTTGCTGTTGATCGTTGGACTCATGTTGCAGTAATAAGGTTGGCGAGATACTGAAGAACACCAGAGGCCTGCAATCAAATGTCAAATGTCAGATGTCTAGTTTTAGTCAATTCAATGTCAAATGTACCTGGGCTAGCAGTGGCTAGCAGCGACTGCCCCTGAATCCCTGCGTGCCCACCACCACCCACCTGAACCTGAAGCTGAAGGAAGGGTGAGAGAGCGTGAAGGGAGGCCCTGTCAGTCTCTACCAGTGTGTTTCCCCAGACGAGAAACGGACAGGGGACAAGGGTTGGTGTGAATTGTGGGGGCGAAAGAGGTGCGGCTGGCTGGGTGCACCCAATCACCCCTCACCAGCACCAAGCCGGTCAGGTCCCTGCCGCCGCCCGCCCCCTGTGGATGGTCTCTCCAAACCTCGGAGCTGCTTTGGCGATGGCCCAGCACGCCCAGCTCCAGCTCTAGCTGCCACTTGTGAACCTATCAATCCAGATCCAGACCACCAGCAGCCCTCTAGTGTGCTGCACATGCAGTCCAAATAACGTGCAGCTAAAGAAAGAAACACCACAACGGCGTCCTGTACCCTTGGGCTTGGCTTGGGACTGCTGGCCGACCATCGACCATCGACCATCGCGCATCACCACTCCGCTCTGTCTCCTCCTGCCCGCCTGCCTGCATTTGCACCAGCATTGTTACCGGCATTGTTACCTCCTGCATCTTTGTCATTTCACTTCACTCACTTCATGTGTTCCTGTCGTGTCTGATACCCGGTCCATCACACTTCCCCTCGTCCATACACATTCTCGCCCACACCTCTCCCTCTCCCTCGCCTTCTCTTCCTCTCTCTCCCTCCCTTCCTACGACGCACCACTCTTGACCATCCGAGTTCCCTCTCTCGTACCCATTACGTCTCCTTTACGCTTCCAAGCAACCATCCACAATGAAGCTCATGCGATTCTTCAAGAAGCGCAAGCAGCGCAACAAGAGCGAGGCCCCTGGCGCCGAGGTCTTTGGCAAGAAGTACAGGCAGTTCGGCGGCAGCATGCCCGCGCAGCCTCGATTTTACACCGAAGATGACTACCTCCAGGCTCGTCAACAGCGCCCGTACTCGCCCAATCGAGCTTCTGCTGCCAAACTTGCTGCCCTCCCCGCCCCTGTGCTCGAGCGCATCTTCGCCTTCGTCTGCCCCCACACCCAGGACTGCTCGTACGAGACCCAGGAGCAGAGTTCCATTGAGGACGCATGCATGCTCTGCGACCTGCGTGACCTGTCGCATTGCGTCCAAGTCAACCGCAGGTGGTGCAAGACGGCGCCCAAAGTCATGTACGTAATGTGTCGCGAGCCCACAACTTGTGCCCTCCCCTCCCCCCAGTATGCGTTCGATCGAGAGGCGCCAATGGCTCGTTCGAGGCGGCATGTGCTAACTCAGACTTCTCTCATATTGCAGGTATCATGGCATCCGAATCGAAACAGTACACTATTGCGACCGCGAGGCACTGCTAGCCGACAAGCGCAAGCGCAGGACCTTCCTCGACCGTAACGGCGAGCCTGAAGACACATCCCAGAAGCGGTTGAAGCTATTATGCAGAACACTCCGCGAAGACCCCGCGCGCCTAGGCCCCCTCGTGGAATTCTTCAAGCTACCCTACATGCTGAGAGAGTCATGCCAGGCCGACATAGCGCGCACTATAGCAGTGCTGCCAAACTTGCGATATGTCGACCTTCCCGAGGGCTTATTCCAGGACGATAATCACTTCATCACATTGCGAATGGAGGTGGAAGCAAGATGTCTCAATCTTCGGAAAATGACCTATATGCATGGATCTGAGAGAAGTCTGGAGCGGATTGCAAGTGGGCAGGTGTTCCGCAACCTGGAGGTCCTGGAGCTCAACAACATGCAAATGGATGGCACCATTATCCTGCACGCTCTCGGCGCTCTTGGAGGCTTGCGCGCCCTTAAAATCACCAACTCGAGCGTTGTCAACGACGACATGATCGCGCATGACAATGAGATGCTTCCGGCGTTTCCAGCGTTGGAGGAGCTCATTCTGGATAATGTTCCTGGGATCACATCCCAGGGACTGAGGAACTATCTGACCCGTGGTGACGCATCGCGTGCGCTCAAAGTCTTGAATCTTGCCGAGACGGGTGTCAAACCTTGGAATCTACAAGACATCTTGGCAGTAGCCCCGATGCTCAAGCGGCTCACGATAAGCTACGAGGCTTCGACGTCCCTTCCCTTGGCTGCCGGCACGCCCCAGGTCCCACCCTTGGCTTCCAGTTCCCTCGAGATCTTTCACTACGAAGTTACATCTGCGCCCTCGTCCAGCCCGTACTCCAACATCCTTCCATCCTTCTACAACTACCTCTCCGGATCTCTCCTCATGGGCGGTCTGCCTAATCTCCGTGCTCTCTACGTTCGGAATGCCAAGTTTCCAGACACCCTCCTCAACCTACCTCCTCCAGCACCCAAGTTCGCGGCCGATACTTACAAGAGACCTGGTAGCAGCAGCTCCCAAACCTCTTCCGCCTTCTCTCGCAATGGTCTTGGCTCACCCGGTTTCCCCGGAGGCTTCCAGAATGGCGGCGGTAGCTACAACCCCTTCCAGGATCTACCCAAGAAGCCCTTCGCCGGCGCAGGTCACAACCCACGATTCAGCTCCAACAACCCATTCGCGTCACTGGCGGGTCCTAACGGGCCTAGCGGGCTCCCACAGACCCTCGAAGTCTTCACCAAAGGCGACGATGAGCTGAATTGGGGAATGGTCAAAGTGGATCCTACGCAGAGGAGCACGGATGTCGAGGCCGCTGCACGTCCGTCCAGTAGCTATGGATTGGACAACAGCGATAGCGGCTGGAACTCTCGGGCCGGGGCTCGCAGGTCGGTTTTCATGGGAAATGGCACCGGTGGCTTCCTGGCTGTTCCCGGCTTGCCGGAAGCCAATTCTGGTGCTAGAAGGGGCAGCGCGCCGACCGTGGGCGGGGGCGACGAGTGGCCGCGGCCAAGCACTGCGACGCATGAGAAACGCTCCTCAAGAATCGACCTCTGGCGCTGAGAGAACAATGGGTGTCAAATTCGTCAACGCCCAAGCTTCAATAATACAACTTCCTCGGGGAGAAATTGGACTCGGCTGCCCCTTATGGCCTTTCGAGCTCTTCAACAGGAGATATCAGGCCAGCTGGGCTGGTGGTCAGATGGGCGCTAGATGCCATAGCATTCTGAGCGAGTCTACCGAACGCTCTTTCAAGCCTACACGGCACCTTGCGAGATCACGTCTCCGACCTAGGCGACCATCGAAAAGCGCGGAGAGAGCGCATTTGAGGCTTGTGGACATTGACAAGCAGAAGCAGGACGGGCTGCAACACTGTGGCATTTATACCCTGCCTGATAGTGGAGGGAAAGGAGGCAACTAGGGCTATAATACCGCCCTAGGTCAGGCGGCATCTTTCATTGTCACTGTTGAGTTTGTATGAGGAAGGCCGAGCTTTTGAATGAATTCTCCAGCTTTGGACCCTCCATGGAGAGCCTGGAGATTTTGGCATTTCAAGTTCTCGTCCTTTTGTTGTTTTGAATTGTTCTGCGCGCCCCTTTCTGAATATGAGACACCTACAAGTAGCAGCAGTGTTGCTGCCACGCTTGGTAGGGTTGTCCGGCGGGCTTGACGTCCTGCCGCGCATAAAGCTGGAAGGGGGTGTTCGGATGGCATCTTTGACTACGGTCACTGACCAAGTTACGTTCGTCTCTGCATATCCTTGGGTATCGGAGGGGCCAGGCACGACGGAGGGTGTCATGTGCCAGTGGCGATGCGGCATCAGCTTGTCCGCCCCGGAGGAAAGGAGGAGAGAGTATGGTTCCCGGCATTTCGAGAAGGAAGAGAAGGCCTCTGTTGGCGCGGCTCTTGGGTGGGAAAACAGGCCTGACTACTTCGCACATGCTGCAAGGGGCCATTGCATTGCATTGTACTACTATAACACCAATGGCCGGTAGCGGAAGCATCGTCATGAAGATGCTCGAGACTTACAGGTGGATAGAGCCGTGATAGGGAGGGCCAGGCGGGCGTAATCGATGGGTTGAAAACAACACCTACGATGCGTCCATCGCTTATGACTGTGACGATATGTATGGCGGCATCCGCTTAAAATGCCCTGTGTGATTACCATGTGCGTCCATCGCGGGTTCTACGAGATGCCTCAGACTAAGCATAAACCCTAGTGGCCCATGAACTCGGCGACGGCCCGATCGAGCAAGAAGCTCACCACCTCGTTCCGTCTTGGCTCTTGCTGTCGGCGGACAGCCACTGTTGACGAGCAGAATAGATGAGCAGAACGCCGGGATGTGGGTGGGCTTTGCTGCCGAGCTCGACGCGCACAACGTCCAGAGTCGCAATCAGCAATGAGACCCCGACGCTTCTGCCGGGTGCTACGTGCGAACACCTGTCATGAAGAATTGCGATGCTGGGGTTGCAATGCATTACGAATCTTGTGGTCCTGGCCCACACAACGGTTTCCTCTTTTTTTCCCTTTCGGTTTTTTTTCTTTTTCTTTTTCTTTTCCTCTTGTGGAATTTTTTCCGTCTTCCCCATTCCGGCCCGGGTGTCCGGGTCCGTGGGCGGATGGAGTCGGCAGTGTCTGTGCGGACTCAGTGCCGCCGTTTTGGCTGGGCATCGAGGAGGGGTGGGACCTAGGCCAAGAGCCCAGACGGCCGGGACGATCGCGTCGTGGGGAGGCGAGGGAGGCTGCCATTGGGCGCTCGCGGTGCTATTTGTGGACGGCCAACTTAGGCAGTATATAGTGGTTCGTACGTGTGTGCGCATCAATTTCTCCGGCTTGCCGTTTGCAGGTCATCGGTGGCCAAGCTCGTTGCTCCCGTTGACCCGGAGCGAGGGCCAGATGCGCCAAGTGCGTGCGGTAGATGCCAGCGTGCTAGATAGACGAGGCGGGCGGGCTAGTGACGCACAACCATGGGGGGATATATTGCGATAGTCCCCAGATTCGTAGACTTTGTCTGAATCGGCATATGCGTTTGTGACCTATGGGATCATGAATTATCCGTCAGATGATTTTATGCCTGCAATTGCCATAGAACTCAGTAGTCAATCACCAGAAGCCCAGCATACAGAGTACTCCGAAGGCGGATATTCACCTCATTGGTTCCAGGCTTGCAAGATATACTGTCCAGTTGATGTTCTAAGGTCAATGGATTGCATTTCTAGGTACCAGAATATCCTGGGATTGTAGTTTCTGAATAATTCCACCGTCAGATAGACTGGGCCCGCTCAAGTAGGCATACATCATCCAGTGATAGCACTTGATTTCAGAGGGGATCAGAGAGAAAATGTTGGAGCTATTGAAATATGAATGATGGGGGCTACACTGGAGTTACCCGATGGTGTACACTACCCTACTTGCTGTCATGGACGCTTCCAATCCGTTGACTTCCTAAGCTCTGTGTCGGACCAATTGGGTAAAATCCAGCCTCGTCGCAAAGGCATACTTGGCCTCCCTTCCACCGCATCGATGCACCTCATACTACAGAGTTCATCTTGGACAGCAACAGGGTTATGATCTGTGGAGGTGGACATGGCCATGGCGCACTATCACACAAAACTGCTCACACAAGAGCCTCACCGCATTGTTTTAATTTGTTGAATTTTCGTCCAGTGTGGATGTTAATTTCTGGACCAAACGAGCCTCGACGAACCGTACTCTGTAGAGTGTCGCGTCATCCAAATCTGTAAAATCTGTTGTACGCCCACCACCACTGCTTGTCACCTGGCCACGTCGCCCGTGCCGTCCTGCAGATGCCAGCCGACGGAGCACCAGCCCGAAAGCGGAAGCTCGGGTAGGCCTTGGCGTTTCACCGAGACGAGGACGCGATGGCTTACGCAGGGGGGAGTCGGTCTTACAAGTGCTCGGCCGATTCCAGTCGATCGGGATTGGCAGCGTTCGGCTCAGGGGCAAAACGTCGTGCTGCTGCTACCGCAGTTAACTGTTAATTGATTGCAGCTAATCTGGCGACCTTAATCGATCGTCGAAGGCTTCTAGAAGATCCTGGTGATGGCAAACCGTTTTCCGGTTGCTCATTTCTCTGGTCGTGCCATCGGGCCATCGTACCTGATCACGACGTGACATGGCGATGATACCTTGGGGCTCCTTGTAGGGCTCGTGGTCAACGCTTTGGATGGGGATCAACATGTCCGTGGTTTCGTGGTGAGTGGTCAATCTCGCAGGAAGGGCCGACGAGAACTCTATTACATTGCGTGCCTTGGTATTCATACGTAGATGGTGGACACTCATCGTCACCAGTCTATGTGGCCTCCGGTCGTGGTGGATCCAAATTCCCGGCCGTCGCGGAGCCGGCGACTGACTAAATTACCGTCTTGACCCACGATGGCCCCGGGATGTGGCAGTCAAGATTCACAGCAACAGTCAGAAACGGTACTGGTGCCTCAAACATCAATTGTTTTTGTTCAGTATCTTGATGTTGGACCCAATTCCCCGCGACCAGGCTCCCATACTGTGCCAGACCATGAGTCTCTGTAGCGGAATAGCCGGCAGAAACTTGTTTCGTTCCAGAAGTCGCCTTGTCCGTTACGCCTCACGCCCCGTGCTGCTGACTCACTTTGCCTCTGGGCAGGGGAACCTACTGCACCCCGTAGTCACAAAGCCAACCAGGCTGCCAGGCAATTGCCTTGCAGCATAGCTACTATTACCTAGAACCTTGTGATAATGCCCCTTCGCCGCCGTCGTTGGCCCTTCAGGATCCGGACGCCGGCCGGCGTTTCAACGCTCCCGTCTGTGTGGTTTCGGACCTGCACGGCCTTGTCAAGCTTGCGCCCCGTGTATCGATCGCGCAAGGCTTGGGAGGATCAAGCTTGCCCGACACATAGGTAAGCTAGGTAGTGCTCCGTCGAGACCGTTTTGCCTCGACGGAGTTTTCGTCCCACCTCGCGGAAAACGGCACCTACACATCCTCAGAGTCGGGCCTCAACTCCTCCTCCTCCTCGTCGCGCTGGGGCCCCGGCAGCCGGGGTGCATCAAGGTAAAGGCCAAGGACAAACATCTAAGTTATCAGACCACGCCAGGAGGAAACAAAAACATTGGAGCCACATCATCGGACGGACAAATCTTGATAGACAACTCACTGCCCGACCGGCAGTGGTTACAATCTAGAATCTGGGTAGCGAGGCCGCAATTGCCGGCAGACTGGATTTTAAGTTTCAGAGCTCCAGCTCCCTCCCCAGTCCACGTATGGTCTGCCAACCGCTTGATCGGCCAGGAAAGAGGAAACCTTCGATCTGCCTTGAACCGTGAAACCTTGCTTCCCATTTTCCCCTGCCCCGAGATGATCGCCAGATACCTGATGCAGAGAACCCAATCGAGCCGGGGGGCACCTGGCTTCGCCCACCGTTTTGCCTAGGAGAGCTCTGTTGCTCTCTCCGAACATGGGCGGCAAGCTCGTTCGTTGGCTGGCAAAGCAAGGGCCATGAATAAACCTCTCTGGCCTGCTGTTGAGGCGTGCGCGCTGTGGCTTTGCCTCCCTCGGTCACGTATTCGTAGTAGGCCGCCGACGCCTTGCAGATGTACGCACATCAATATGCTGTGCATGTGGATGGACGTATGTCTTTGACTGCGCCGCAGTCGTCAGTCCACCACGCAAGGGCAACGACGACCAATGCAGGTCCAGCGAATTTGCCCAAGCTTGGCCTGTTGTCTCTTGAGTGCAACGGCAGCCGCTTACACCCAAACGGGCTGGGCGAGCGTCTGTGCAGGGATCAGCACTCCTCCCCCCAGCTGGGACAATACCATGGTAATACCATCCACTAAGGCCATCGACCCTCAGACTTCCCACCCCTAGGCGAGCCAGGGGGCGCCGCTCCCTCTGCAAGCCTGTTCCAGAAGGACGGAAGGACCCAAAGCTAACCTGGCTAGGGGCTGGCCTGAGTTCCCTCGCCTGGACGTGGTTCTCCCCAATGGGTGGTCGAGAAGCGGCTGCGCACAGATGGGCGGTCCCTCCTCCCTCTGCGGCATGGCTCGCATGAACAAGCACCGCCGTCCGTCATGCGGGGAGCTGGCGAGAGAGGTCTGTCTAGCTAGCTAGCTTGCTTAGCACAGGGGGAGGGGCTCGCCTCCCGGGGCAGGCTAGCTATAGGACGGAGCGAGAGGGAACAAGGTTGGCTCGGGCCTTGGGCCTCTTCTGCTTCTTTTTCGTTTCCGCTTCGAAACAACCCGTCAAACGGGACTTGCGATGGAAACGCAAAGGTTCTGGAACACACGGTGGCGTAGGTGGACGGGGTGGGCGAGCTAGAGCATGTGCTGTGACACTGACTGCCGGGCGCGCGTGCAGCTGAAGACGAATTAGGTTTTGCTGTTCAGGTTGCACCTGGGCTCAGACAATAGGGTGGGATGGATGCTGGGAAAAGGCAGGGTCGATGGGCACATAGCACGGAGATACGGATTGCCCGCATGATAGGCATGCAGGTGCATCGGCAGACCGCTCGTGGCCCAAAGATAGAGACATGGCGTGTGTCTGATGTGCACTGCACGCCATGATGGAGTTTGGGGCGATCAGGTAATCAAGGGATTTGAGTTGGGGGATAGTCGGACTACGGGTAGCCGCACGTTTGGGGTTGCACACAGACGCACACGTTCACTGAGCGATACACTGGACAGAATGGACGCATTGTGTCTCGTAGGAGAAGTGTCTCCCTCGTTGTTCGATTCGAGCAGTTTGGTATCATAGCTTCGTGAGGTACTGCTAAAAACCTCGACAGCCACAGGCTGCGATAACCCCCATTAATCTTCCTTCTGCACCCTCCCTCAGGCCTTGTGCAAACAAGGCGGGACGACCTCCACCTCCTTTTCCGAGGCTGTCGTCCATCCCCTTCAGACAGACGAGAATGACTGCCTTGTTGTGAGGACATAAAGAATGAATGTCCGACGCCGTAATGCCAATGCATGTTTTGTTTCAACAAAATCCCAGCCGACCCTCAAGCGCTGAACCCGACAGCGTTGTTGTGCTTTAACGCCATTGCAAAACAAAAAAGATTCAATTCCTCCGATGAGCCAAAATTATCAGGCCTCGTGGACCTTATAGTTGTAATTTTCCGGTGAGCTTGATGCTCATTCTCCTCCGCGCGGCGTTGAAGCTTGACATTCTCTTGCCGGTGGTAGCGGTGGTGTTGGTGCTTGTTGCAGACAAAGGAGACATGGGAGAGATAGGTGATTCGGCGAGTTCACTTGTTGGTGTTCGTGCAACCGACAGAAGCTTCTCATTCCTTTCGATCCTCTCGTTCCTCTTGGCAACGCGGACAATCTCGTCGTAGGTGACTGCGGACGAGAGAGGTTGTGGCGGCGGCCTCTGCGGTGGTGGTGGCGCAGCGAATTCGGCTGTCTCCTCCTGAACCATCTCCTGCGGTGCTTCGCACAGAGGCTCGCCTAGAATACTGCGCTTCGACGGCGAGGTCCCCAGTGAAACATTTTCTGTGGAGGGTGACAAGAAGGCTTGGTTCATCCTCGGGGTGCTTCGCCTCTTCATCAGGCTCAGTGTCCTCGCGACACCCTTGAACATCTTGGTGGGTGTCCTGGGTGTCTTGGGCCGCTCGTCCTCCTGCTCTGCCTCCTTGGGTTCCTGTACCATGTCTAGCGAGTAAACGCTGCCATTGGCGTAAGGATCGATCTGTAGGAAGGCCGGTTTCGTCTTCTTGATGGTGTTGTGAGTAGATATGGGCTGCATGCTGCTGCTCCGAGGGGGGTGAGCCACCCGTGTCGGTTTGGTGGAGACAGAGTCGGATGATGTGGTCGAGACAGACATCCGCCGCCTCTTGACTTCAGAGTCTTGCCCCAACGAATCCGAGGTCAGATCCATAATGCTCTGCCGCCTCTCGAACGAGGTGGGTGACATTGATCGTCGATTTTGTGGTACATCCACGACTGAAGGCTTCCCTGAGAAGATGACTGACACTACCCGGGCCGTGACCTCGTGGCTCCTTCGGTCTTTCGCAGGCGAAGGGCAGACATCGTCGCTACTTGAGTCGTACTCGAAGTCTGAGAAGTCACCAGCTGTCGACGAAGCGTCTTCTTCTGAGGACATGTACTCGTCGTGTGGTGTTTGTGTAAAGGTAGGCGGGTCTGGCATTGTCAACTTCAAGCCAACGAGGTTGTCAAGTAGTCGTGATGCTCGGAGAGCGCTCTTCTGTGGGAGTACTGGGGGTTGGTCCTCTGAGCCACCGTGTTGGCTGGGCTTTGTTGGCATCATCACCTGGTCGTCCATTGCGGCGGAGGTGTTGGAGTGAATAGAATCGCAAGAGGTACGGTTGCGAGAAGGGCTGTTGGGAGTGTAAATGTGCACTCGGCCGGTGGCCGTGCTGGGGACAGGTTCGCTATATGAATGTTCGGCCGCGTGGCGATCAGTATTGGGCCGGTGTACCTCCCTAGGTGGGTAGTCGTGCTCCACCAGGGACATGTCGGTGGAGAAGACGGTGAGGTTTGTTTCTGTCCGGGGAGGGGCCAGGGCCGACAGATTTAATCTGTGTGTGGACAAGGGAGTATAAGAGAGACAATGTCTTTTCGGTAAAAAGCAGGCCTGCGTCCAGCGACTGCTACGTTATGGGGTGAGCGGCTGTTCTTGTATGCCACTTGTGGGGTCTCTGGATAACTGGATGATTTGGGAGAGATATGAAGGGGTCCTGGTAGCAGAATGTTCCGAGATATGGGAGAGAGGATGTTTTAATGAGTCGGCCGGTGGTGTCTGGCTATGTGTGAGGGCAGCGCAGACCAGCCAGCGCCAGACGCTGGGAAACGAAAAGGGAAACGGGCATATCCCTGAAACTGGAGATACCCATAAGCCCATGTCGGTGGTCCCCTGAAGTCAAGGTGGGGACACGCTAGGGACAGGGGGGCTGGAGTGCAGGCCCTTGTCCCTGCTAGCCACGCACCACGGTCCCCTTCCTTAATTGCCATAATAATATGGAACGGAGCCAAGGAGATACGGAAACGGTGACTTACACGCCTTGCCCGGGAATGGTGTGTCTCTCTTGTGTCCGTAGGTTCTCCTCCGTACGCAGTAGGCCGGCCACACTCACACACACACACACACACACACTTCTGCACCTTCTCTTGGGGCCTCAGGCGGAGGAGGAGGAGGAGTGTCTGTCTCGTCGACGCATGCAGGTTTCAAGTTTCAGTATGCATCGCCAAGGGATAACAAGCTGCAGTACTCCGGCGCCGGACGTGATTCACAGCTTTTTCTTACAGGCTGATCGATCTACGTCCGGGATGGCAACCCGTGTTGTGTCGAGTCGACACACAAGAAACGGGTACTGTTAGGGTCGAGGAAGGGGCTCAATTCGGCGTCGAGCTCTCTCACCCAGGCCGAGGCCAGCGTGGTCCTGGCACGGCAGATCCTGTCTCGGCACGACGGACGGACTGACTGATCGCTTGCGGTCGACCTGGAGGCAGCGAGCCAAACGGTGTTTCAGGTAGAACAAGGCCATCAGAGGATGATTTGCTCGGCGGATACGACACAGGCTATCTTCAACGTGGGGACTTTTACCCTCTTAGAGAGGGGTGCTCGATAATTTTTTTGCAGACTGGCCGCGGGGGCCAGACCCAAATGCGATGGACTGACTGACTGATTGATTGTCAGGCCAGGTCTGGTCAAGGTCAGGTCGAGCCCAAGAGTTCTGTTGGCGAGTACAGAACGCTCACGAAACAAATCAAGAAACAAGTAGGGCTTCACCGTCATCTTCATCGTCATAGCATCATCAAGCAGCCTGAAGCTTGCGGCTCGTCACCCGTCCGTGACAGCTTCTGTTTCCCGCCCTGGGCCTGCCCGTCGAAGCGAAGCGATCCGATGCATTGCGAGCATCCATGGGTGCCCAGGTCTTGCTGAGTGGGTTGGCCGGCCTTTCGTCATCCTGTCTCTCTTATCGGTACCAGCCTTGGAGCGTTTCCCTCCAGGGGGCCCCACCGTTTTGCTCTGCTCCAGCCATGAAAACCCCCCAGCCGCTGATCCGGCTAGGGTGGTGGGTGGCATAGGAGATGTGAGATGTGTGTCACTCTGGTTGTCTGGTCATTGGCAGAGTCCTCACAACCCCGGAGACCTTGGGGATGCTCACAGCTTCTTGATTGGCCAAACTGCGCTGCCCAACCTGTTCAACCACCAACCAGGCCCGTCAACCTCGTCGCCCTCGTCGCCCTCGCTACCACTGACCGGAGCTAGCTGGCCGGCGTTCGACACGGCCAGTCAACTGGTTCAGCGGCAACCAGGTCCCCAGGACTATTTCCACTTGCAAAAACATGATTCCGCATTCGCCACCTGCCCGGCAGCTTTGAACATCGATAGAGTGCTATGGTGACGGACATTGAGTATTCCTAAAAGAGCCATTGCAGTGGGTCCTCTCTGCGCTTGCGAAATTGGACAGGTTCGTCGCAGCTCGCTTGGCCCCTCCTCCATATCCTAGATGGGCAGACGCTCGACTTTCAGTGTTTTGTGGCTTGCATGCATGCGAAAACTCGGCCGACCACGCCGAATCTGGGGTTCGGAAGAGCATCCAACGGCGCCAGCTGCGCAGCGCATGCAGCCACCCAGCAACCTTTGCAAAGCCTCTGGTAGAAAACGGAGGGGCACTCGACCGCGCGACCGCGCCCGCCGTTGTCTCCGAGGGCAGGCTAAGCCTGCAGGTTGCTTGCCTATTTGTGCCAAAGCGAAATGCGAGCGCAACACTCCAACGACCTGACGGTCGCAAAGAATACGACATCGGATCCTGAATGTCAGAATATTTATGAGTCTGCCCGTCGAATTCAGTCATCAAAAGTCGAATCTCCATCGACTTTCGGTAAAGACCCGAGTCAGCCCAGAAAAACCAGCGGCGCCACGCCAGATCGAAATGAGCTGGTGATCAGTGCTCACGCAGGGTGCAGATTACCTGTACTCGTCCGGAGCCGCTGGCCCAAATCCCATTTTATTTACACGGCTTGCCGCAGTTGCCGCCCAGCCATGCACAACCGGGACGGCCGCTTAACCGAATTGACCTCTTCAAAGCTGACCTTATTTTGTTATCACGTCGGCCCTACTCAGCCTCTTGATCTCTCATACTCAGCCCTCTGGTGCTTGGACATCAGATCAGCTTATACGATGAAGCAGGTGCCCTCAGGGTAAGCGAGTTACTGGTGGAGTTGTGGTCAACCTCCCTCCGAACTGTGGGTGGGTGGGTGCGTGGTGGTCGGCACAGCTGCTAGGGGCTGGCGGCACCTCCAAGTGGTTGCAGTAGAGGCTGAAGCAGCCGTGCATTAGCCAGTCAGAACGCATAGTAGCACTCGGTCTCCTATTCACGGACAGGACCATCACGACTCTGCATGCAAGAGAGGGTGGGATAGTGGGATGGCGGCATGGCTCCCTCACCGCAGCCAGCAGCCCAGACCCATTTGCTGTCATGTCATGCTCATGTCCTGTCCTGTTCCTGTCGCGCCCGTATCTGAATGCCCTCGCTCCACCCACGAATCAACGCCCCGAATCATCCCGAAATCACCACTGATCACTCACTCGCCAGAGGGCCATGGCGCGAAAGCTGTCGATATGCGAGAAGTCAATATCGGCTGTCAGATTTGAACAGAGTTGAAGCGGGGGCCGCTAAACTCCTGTCCATCATCATGTCCATCATCGTCACCATCATCTCTATCCGATGGATCTCCGTCTTGGGCGACGTTCGGACAATCACCACGTCTAGCGTGCCCCTTTTTCTGAGGGCTCCATCACGCTCCCACCAAGAACATTCGATGCCCCAGATTTTGGGTGCTCATGATCCCTGCCCGGCATTGTGCGTTCTGTGGAATGTGACCGACAGGGGCTACAGCACAGGAAGCCAATCAGAAGGGTGAGACATTCTCCCGCTGGAGAGGGCGGATCTCTGACAGTTCCCACCGCACACGGACCTCCCCCATGCCGCTTCAGGACGACGGCTCGGTTCGAGGTTGTCCATTATCAAACCTGTCAAAAACACTTCTCAAACAGCATCTGAACTACAGACGGCTACGTGTGTTTGGTTTTCTCCAGTAAACCAGCCTCTCCGCTGGGATCACACAGGTCTAGTCGACGTAGTTGTCGAAAACCACGGTACACGCCCATGCATATTCAGCCCCAGCGCAAACTTTGCGCAGTGCCGTGGTCAGTCTTGGGGTCCGCAGTCCGCAGAGCAGGCAGGCCGGAATGAGACCTCAGCCTTGCTCCGCCGATCGCAAAACGGTCAATTGCTGCCATGGCCTTGTGACACCAAGAGTGTGCGCCCAGCTCGACGACCGTTTTGATGCTCTGGGAAACACAGCGCCCCCGGCGTCCGGCGGGGGATCCGATTTCTTGTGTGATATGAATCAAGGTTTACTACCATCTCACTTAGAGTTTCTGTGGTGGCTGCAGCAGCCTTGGGAGACGGCCTGAAAGGCAATTGCACTTATCCGCCGTCATCTTGCAGTAGTCGCCTGAGCAAATCGGCCGTGGCTGTGGCAATCAAGCGACAGACGCCCTGATTCCTGACTCTGGCAGCCTCGGCTTCGTTGGGCCACGTCGCTGGCATGGTGTGATCATGCAGAGTCCCGCCTTGTTTAGGCCAATTGTGCTGGTGGATGGGTACATCATCGTTGTTCAGATGCCCTGCCATGAGTAGTGAAATAAGACTCTCTGATAACGAGCATCAAGATCTGGAGGAGCACTATCCCACTTTCCGACCATGTCGTCATCATGCTGCCTGGCCCAAGCTCCCCCACCCCTGTCCAGCATCTCGTCAGCGTGGGTCTGTCGTGCCTGCCACAGCGCGCGTGGGCACCTGCCCGCTTGGCACCTGCCACACTTACAGATTCACTTCACCAGCCGCAGGTGGCTGGTGGCTGGGGAGAGCAAGCGCGACAGACCACAGTACCGTGGTACACAGGTACGTACCGCAGTTGCAGCCCGCGGGGGACCAGCAGAAGGAGGCTAAGCTTAATTCTATATTTGGACTCCCTTCAAGCCTCGCAGCCCACTTTGCCTCTGTTTGCCGTCGAGCAGCTATCTATCACCAACTGACCCCACTGACGACAGCACAGCGACATCGCGCCGGCGAGCAGCCTCGGTGATGTGACTATGAGAGTGCACGCGGATAACTTTTCTTGCGCATCGAGGCCTCCTAGGTTGGGGAATTCCGAATTATCCCATCGTGACCCAGCGCTGTCAAGCGGTACAAGCCGACGGCCGGCGGGGGTAAGCGGCAGCCTCAACAACAAGCAAGCATTTCAACA